TTTTGTGCTGCACTTCTCGTCTTGCTCATGGGTTTGCTTATGAGTTTGAGCTGTCCCGAGTTTCTTGCTGTTCACGCTGGCTGTCCGAGCCTATATCACGCGTTTTGTACTCCCACTATGTTCCTCTCGTCACTGTATCCTATGGTCTGAGCCTGTATTCTGTGCTTTTTCTAAAATTCTCATCTCATCTCACATCTCGAGCTTCGACCCGCTCCTCGAGTTTACCCGCCCACGGCAGGTAATTCTTGCGAGCTCCGCGCGGAGGTGAATGCCCAAAGAGGCAATCTGGTGAGGTCTCCGACATGAGGCATTGATGGCTTCGTGATCAGGGTCCAGCCCTTTCGCACGCCACAGCGGCGATCACAATTGCCTCGTGCACCTGATCACACCTCCTGGCTTCATCTTCTAACTCTACAGCTTTATCCTCTACCTCTTGCTTCTATCTATGCTTCCTCCCTATGTCTCTGCTCGCTCTCGATGCCTCCGCTTCGTCTCGATGTCTCCATTAGCTCTCGAACCTGTGGGTACTGTCAGCAACTACCAAAGCAAGCAAAGGCGAGATCGGCAGCCACAACACCTTGGTTGCACAAGGGCAACACCGAGCCACCTCCGAGAGCGACGGAAGCGAGCGAGCGAGCCACGGGAGCAAGCCGGAGAGCACAGAGAAGACACGGAGCGAGCGAGCAGCAGAGAGACCGAGAGCAAGAGCCCGAGAGCAGCGAGAGTCCCGAGAGCGGCAGGGACCCGGCACTCGGTGCTGGAAACCAGCCCGAGGGCGAGTCAGCTCGCCAAAAGGTACGCAGACTCACTATTAACCCCCGAGTTGAGCGCTGACCCGCGTTGCGAGCACGGTGGCGCAGCGGGTCCGAGAGCGAGGCGGCACAGCCCATCAAGCGCAGCCTAACGAGCAGGATCAGGACGTGCTCGAGGTGCGTGCATCGGGCCTGATGCATGAACAGCAAGCTTACCTGGATTCACAGCTTCTCCGACACTCCAGGGTACGTGCAAAATGCATCCATTCAAGATACCGAGCTTACATCTTGTACATACGAGTACTTCCTACCACGAAGAGGGCGAGGGCGCGCTCTCCTTGCGACACGGATAAGATCCATCCATCAAGAACTCACCTGCGCGCCACTGTACTCGTCGGAGGGGACTGCCGACACCCGACGCTGCGATGAGCGAGATCAGGGCGTGGGACAGCAACGACGAGCTTACCGGCGATGTCCGCGCCACTGAAAGCGCGCCGCCGTCTCAAGATCGCGTCGTCGGTGCGTCTACTCAGTGTCAGCACTTCCACATCTGCTTACCTATCCCCCAGCGAGTAGGACGACTCCAGGCGTTTGAAGCGCCTGTCACGCCGATCTGCACCCCGCAGCGACGGCCGAAGACGAAGCGCGCGACACGGACGGGCTACGCGGCGCACGACGGCCCCCGATGAGCAAGATCAGTACCGGGATCACGATGAGGAGCTTGCCGGTGCGATCCGCGCGGCTTGACGGCGATCTGCGCAACGCCCGGCACCTTGGGGCGAGCTACGTGACGCTCGGCGGTCTGGATGAGCAAGTTAGCGCGCGGAGATCGAGAGTGAAGGGCTTACCGGTTGCCGACGGCGCATCGCCCACGCTCTCCATCCTCGACAGCGTTCTCTTCCCTCGACGCTCTCCTGCCTCCAATGCGCTCTCCCCCATCTGATGCGACGAGATCCGCATCCCCGTCTCGGAATCAGCCACGCGCTCGGCGTCTGGCGACATGACGACTACGCAGCCTCATCCCGCGAGGACGGCGACACCAAGACCTCCCTCGACGAGATCCCCTACTCGGTGTGAGTCGGCTGTAGTCCGCATTGCAGCCAGCAAGGTTACCCCTTGTGTTCGATCTCCGCCAGCGTGCCGTCCATCCCACGCCGAGAATGTCGTCGCTGGCCCTCTCTCGCGCCTCGTCACGGTTTTCCGCGCCTCGAAAGGCTCACCAACGACTTTCGCATCGAGATCTGCGGAGATCACGTTGATTAGTGTGAGTTGATTCGCATGCTCGGTGACTGCCGGCAAGCTTACCTGCTGGTACCAGACCCATCGCGAGGTCGAGACGCCCTCTGCGACGTCAAAACTCAACCCCCCGGACGGGATCGCCATCGCGTGGGATCTCCGCGCGTCTGGAAAGGTGAGTGGACCGACGCCTTCATCGCAGGAAGCGAGCTTACCCTTTCGTCAGGCCGCGCGCGTCGAGAACCCCAAGTCGCCGGGCTGAGGTAAGTGGTCCGAGTACTGACACCTCGCCTCCTCCCCCGCCTCCCACCGCCGCACGGGAGGAAAGGGGGGAGGAGGAGGAGAGGGAGGGGGGAGGAGAGGGGGAGGGGGAGAGTGAGAGTGCTGTGAGAGCAAAAGTAGGGTAGTTATAGAGTGAAAATGCCAGAGCTTAAGCGCTCGCTGCGCTCGCGCCGCGCAAAGGGGAGGTGGATCTCCTGCCCGCGCGAAAAACGGGCGTTTCGGGGATTGCCGAACGGTCCCAAGGATGTGAGGGTAGGCGGCGGGGCCGGAAAACGAGGCGGCGGCGGCGGGGCGAGGCGGGAGGCGCGACGCGGCTGAGAGCAAGGCGGGGCGCGCGGTGTGATCTGATCGACGTGATGAGGTCGGTGGTCGGGCCGGGAGTGGTCTGCGTGCTAGCATCGATCGCGACTGGCGTGCTGCGACCACGACCACGACCATGGACGCCGCTCGACTGCCTCGAACCATGGGAACACCGAAGGCGCCTTGCGATGCGCCTGAGCCTGCTAGCGTGCGCACATGACAGAGCAGCCGGCCTTATATCAGGTCATCATCCCGCCTTCCCTCCCCTCTCCCTCGTCTTCAACAATGACTCGCTGTCTCAGTCCACCGTCCTCAACATGGCCCTCACCTGCTCGTACTGGCACGAGATCGCCATGGAGGTCCTATGGCGCGAGCTGCCCTCCCTCGTCCCCCTCTTCATGCTCATGCCCGAGGACGCGTGGTGCGCGCCCCGCGGCGAGCGGACCCCGCTCGAGCCCATCCGATTCGTGCGTACCCACCTCGCTAAGCCCGCTAGAACTCGTGCTCATTCCACCGCAGGGCCTGCGCAGAACAGTCACGAGCCACGACTGGCATCGAGTCCATCGCTATGCCCGCCACGTCCGCTCGCTGCGCATCCAGCCGCAGACATATCGCAAGTCCATCGCGAAGGCGCTGCGAACGTCCGAATCGGACGGACCCCTCTTCCCCGGCCTCCGCCACCTGTCCTTCGCGTCGCAATGGGACTGGGACAAGTGCGACCACCTCGCCATCCTCCGCATGCTCCTCAGCCCCAGCCTCGACCACCTCGCCATCGACATCCCCAATAGCTACCTCGAGCAACTAAGCTGCCTGGCCCCCATCTGCTCCGCCCTCACCACCTTCTCCTTCACCGACCAGGGCCACGCCGACGCGCGCCCCTCCCCCGCCGACCTCACCGCCTGCGTTCGCGCGTGGCCCGCGCTCACGAGCATCAGCCTCAACGGCAGCGCGGGCATGTCCCAGCTCATGCCTGCGCTCGCGCTCTGCGATTCCGCCGGCGGCCCCGACGCTGTCTTCGCGCCCTGCTCACCCTCCGGCGCGTACCCGCGCGCGAGCTTTGCCGCGCTCCGCGACCTCACCATCGGCGGGCAGAGCGCGGCTTACGTCGTCGGGCTCATGAAGAGCTGGGGCGTGCGCCCGATCGAGCGCCTCAGCGTGTTCGGCCTTGAGCTCCCCGCGGACGCGGCGCGCGCGCTGATTGCGGATATCCCGACGCACTGCGAGCCCGCCGCGCTGAGCAAGCTGATGATCAGCGCAACCTCGCCGGGGTGGAGTATGCGTGCGGAGGACGTCGCGCCGCTGGCGGAGTGCACGGGCTTGACGAGCTTGGTGTTGAACGTGTCCGACGGGGCGGACATTGCGGACGTGGAGTACGAGACGCTGGCAAGGAGCTGGCCGCTTCTGCAGCGTGTCGAGTTCCCGGGGTCGTACGACCGTGCAGTCGCTCCGCGGTGTACGATGGCAGCTCTCGGCGCCTTCGCGGGCGCCTGCACGCACCTCGAGAGCATCGTCCTCTCCTTCGACGCCAACATGGATGTCGTGCCTTCCCCTTCCCTCTCCGACTCCACCGTCACCCACCTCAACGTCGTCGACTCGCCCATCGACGAGTCCTGCGCGCCGCGCGTAGCCGAGCGCCTCGCGACTCTGTTCCCGAGCCTAACATGGATCGAGGACGACTACGATGACGGACGATACGAGGAGAGCCAGGCAGGCTGGGTCGTGGCGGATGCGGCCATGCGTGCGCGCGCACGAGCGCAGCGGGCAAAGGTGTGGGCCGCGGAGCGCTCCGCAGTGAAGGCGAAACTGGCGGCAGCAGCAGCAGCTTCTGCACAGCGAACTCCTTCGTCAAGTTCGACTTCGCCATCGAGGACAACATCCTCGACTAGCTTGGGGACGTCCTACTTTGACGTGCGTTGCTCTTCTCTCCGTTCTACTTTGGGGATGCTGACCTTTCTTCAGGCCCTCCGCGAGCAGTGCATCATCGCATAAGCTGCCCGGCACATTGTGAATATGTGAATATCAGCTTCCGACGACGACGCTGTACATGCGGCTCGACCACTCCCCCCTCTGTGTGCATACGGCTCGGTGCTATGTACATACAGACCACCCTACCTCCCGGCCTTATTCAACGACCCGGCCACCCTCGTGCTGTCTTATACCTCTGCTCTCTACTTACGACCTCAGGCCCTCGACGCGAACCAGGCGCGACGCGGACTGTAATGACTCCAACCGCTGGATTCCACAGCGAGGCTTGTCGCGCGTTACCGACATTTGTACTATACCCCTGGACACGACACGCGGAGACGTGTACATACTGGTGGAGATACATACATAGTAAGCAACGTGTATTTGTAGTGTAGATACCCATGGTTGAGAAGAATACGATGACGTTCATCTAGTGAAGGACGAGTGAAGCTCACCACGAAGGCTGCCCTCGCCGTCTCGCCTCGCCCCCACCGTCGGCTGAAGTCGCGCGGGGCGAGTTTTTGGATCTGAGACTGACTTCACACCACCCGACGACACCTTTGCGAGCGCGGCGGCCAGTCGTGCGCAGCCTCGATGTCGTTACTCAACTCACAACACGCGGGAAAGACCACGGCGGCCATCCCACGTCGCCAGCAAGTCCCCCCACCTCGTCTCCGCCGCCGTCGGCTCAACAACTCACCAACTCGCGGGGGGCGAGTTTCTGGTCTTCAAGCTGACATGGCAACACCCGACGACGCCTTCGTGAGCACGGTGGCAAGTCCCGCGCGACCTCGTCGTCGTTATTCGAACTCACGGCATGCGGGAGCGGCGATGGCGGCAGGCCCCTCGCCGATTCTGACGTCGCGCGCAACTCGCCCCGATCGCAGCTCACGCTTTACGACGCGGGGAAAGTCGCCCGTCACTGACTCGCGCTCGCCCAGTCCCTCGCAGACCCCCGCACGGCGAATGGAGGGCGCGCGACTTGGTGCGAACCTATCAAAATGCGCCCCCACCTCCCCCTCTCACGCCGACTGCACTCGCCGCACCTCCCAACTCGTCCCACCGTGCACGCTCGCAAGTGCCCTCGCAAGCGACTCCATTCCCGCGACGTCGAGAAGACGGCGAACGTGTGATTTTGGCGGTGAGAAGACGCTTTCGCGCGCATCCCCCCGCTCGCACAACGCCTCCTGCTTGCACGGCTCAGCAAGAGAGGAGGAGAAGAGATGGGATACTCACCTAGCGACATCGACGACGTCCCCACCACACCTCGCAAACCTCACAAGCGCCTGCGCGATGCTCGAGCTCGTCAGCAAGCAAGCCCGCCCCCTCCCCCCACCTCACGAAATTCGCACTCACCTCGCAAAGCCCGCCACGCCTCCGCGCAATGTGCGCGAACGACGCCGCTCCCTGCGGGCGATTCCGTGGACCGACGCGGCGCGGCGACGATACTCACCTCATCGACGGAGGAGATGCCTTCCCCCTCCCCCCTCCTCTTCGACGTGGACAGAGTCGCACCCACGTCACAGAGCACAACGGCGCTCGTCGCGGGCTATGCGGCTCGCGTGAGGGGTGCTCCGAGGGTGGGCTTGCACCTGCACAGTCGTCAGTAACGTCTCAAATAACGGCAGGGGGGAAGGGTCGGAGGGAGGAGAAGGGGAGGAGAAGGTGGTAAAGACGAAGGTAAGGGGGACGGAGGCGACGGAGCAAGGTCTGCAGGTGATGGGGGAGGGTAGTGCGAGGGTGGACGAATAGAGAGGGGGTGAGTATGACGAGGGTGGAGTGATGGGGAAGGGCAGTTGGTGAGGAGGGAGGGGGAGGAGAAGGTGGCGAGGGCGAGGTCAGGAAGCTCGGAGACGATGAAGGACGGCTTGTAGGTGGTAGGGGATGGTGGTGTGAAGGTGTAAGCGTTGCGAAGGGGCCGGTATGACGAGGGAGGGTGTGATGGGGGAGGGCAGTTGACGGAGGGAAGGGAGAGGGGCTCGAGTAAGTACCTGAGTACATGATGTGGTAGATAGATGTGGTAGTACAAGCTGGCTGAAGTAATCGACGAGGGATAGGATGGTGAGGGTTCGCATATGAAAGGAGAGGGGGTACGAAGGGAAGGGGTGGCGAGATGAGAAGGACATGAGAAACGTGAGAAATCGGTTGCTTACCTCGCTTTCGTGTGTGCTGAACGAGCTGGTGGTGACCACCGCGAGCAGTAGGACCTGGCCAGACATGAAGAGAGATCAGCAAAGCAGTTGACTGCAACGAAATTCAAGGGCTCACCTTGAGTTTCTTTCAGTTTTCGTTGAGGGTGGCGCTCGGCAGGGCTCTTCCGACGTCGCAGGCAGTATTTAAGAGGGGGCGGAGCATGTTCAGTATCACACTATGTATCCTTCATGTAAATAAGTACTCGTACAGCCCCCCGAATGCGATATAAGCGATGTATTCACACTACACCACCTTCATCGCATGAGCCCCTCCCTCCCATGAAAGGCTTTTCGGCGTGATACCAGGGCTACCCCTGGTCGTGGACACGTCTCAGTAAGCCTATTAATCGGTCAGCCTTATCTCTAGCAGCGGGATTATACGAAAACTCACCGATGTCGAGTTATGATGAGAAAATCAAAGATCCTTGAAAAGCGCCGGACGTGTGGCAGTCAGAGGAGAGGAGAGGGGTCGCAGCGTTCATATATACCGTAGGAGATATGATTCTAGCATATGAAGACCACATACCCTTGTTTGAGAGTCATGCCGACGCTAAGATGCGCCTGATCTCGATTCAAAACGAGCACAATGTAATTCTGCGAAAACAAGGGCATCAGCGTTCGTCAAGACAGTTCTGTGCGAGAGCTTACCTCGCATGCAGTACCGAGCATCGTGCTTAACATTCAGGTTGCGGTGAAGCGTCGGTAAGCGCGAATTCTGCGAGGGTTGCACGAGTTGCTTAACCCAAGAACGAGCTAGTGGTCTCCCTACCTCGATCATAGCTTCGACAGCGACTACGGCTAGTCGAGCGTCTATGTGAGACTCCTGAGCGACGCCTACTTGCGTCAGACAACGCGGACAATCCAAGGAAAATGATGAGCACGAGTCGAGCTAGCCAAACATTATCACGTACCGACGCGGCCGTATCACTTGAATCCCCAATGGGACAGGCGAAGATGGCGGTCGCACATCCGCAGAGCGCGCTTAGAGGCCCAGCTAGAGCGCCTTCAAGGCATGGTCTACCATCAAGCGGTCAGTCAACAGTTGAAACTCGCGGCGGGGTAGCACGCCTCACCGTGTACCAGCATAATCTCCCCCTCCTCGGACGTGCTCGGAATCGTCAAGGCGCGGGTATGTAGGGGCGGAGTAACAAGCCTGCAAAGGCGATCAGCACGGTCAAGATAGAGGTCGTGGCTCGTCGAGGAGACGGTCAGTCGCTCATGTTATTCCCTCGCGCGCTCTGTCACATCCGCATGACGGCCGGTCGCGTCGGCAGCGGTCTCTCGTATCCTCACGGCAATGCGAGATTACCTCACCCTGAGGTGTCCCGTGCGAACGCGCCGCATCGCGACGGTGAGCGATTCTTTCACATCGCGGGTGAGATTGTTGATGTTGCTACAGCGCGGCAGCACGGACTCTGTGAGCACACAGAGAGATGGGACGAGGGCGCATCACGTACCATCACGTCGCATCCATCATCCTAGAGGACTCGCGCGTGCCTCCGGCGGTTTGGAAGGCTCGGAAAATGCGGAATTGAAGGTCAATTTCTCGTTCTGTACAGTCAGAAGCGAACTCACAACCCTCAATGACCCCGAGAACCTACTGCAGCGCGCGTAGAAATAGCCTGAATGGTAGCCTGTTTGACCAATTATCAGCCGGCGCTCTTCCAGCAAAGGATGAACTTTGACTCGCCGCATTCTCGTATGAATCGCTCTAGAGATCCCGCGCATGACTCCGGCGGTTTGAGGGCCTCAAGGATAGCTGTGAGGAAGATCAGTCGACGCTTATGTAGTTCAGATCCAACCGAGGCGGAAAAATCGTAGGTACTCACCTCGATGACCCCGAGAACCTGATCAAATCCCTCGAAGGTTCAGGGTATCGTCGAGCGGCTGGGTGAAGGTGGGGACCGTCTAGCGAGCGGCCTATGGCACCTCCAGAACCTGATGGTGGACAGCAGCTGTCAGCGAGCGCTTCGACAGGACGAAGGACTCGAGCTTGCCAAAACTCTGTCACTCGCGCATTCCTCCAGCGGTTCAAGAGACGTATACACCCACCGTGTAAGCGTAAGCGCGGGCTATATGCATCCTCGTCATTGAGAGTAAGCCGACGGGGCATTACTCACCTCGATGGGCCCGAGAACCCCGGGTGATTGTCGGACTCCCAAGTCGGCGGTGTCAAGAATCAAGGATTGAGTCGAAATGCGAGGGAACAAGGTTAGTTCGACTCACAATCTGGTCATAGATGAGTCCGGTATCGCGTATCCTCCTATTGGTCGCCCTATCGTAAGGCGGCGACGTCGCAGACATGGCGGTGGGAAGCAAGAAAAGTCAGTGACACGTGTTGTAACGCACTGAAAGGACTCACAAGACGGGTGACGGCGCTCAGCTCGAGAGTCGTCAGGGGCTGACCGCCGCTCAGCGACGCAGAGCGCGACGACGGACCATCGCGTCGTGGGGATAGGACGTTGGTGATGATCAGAGTGAGCTCGACATACGGTCGTACACTCACCCTGCTGCTCGTTACGTCTGGCCGGCGCGTTTAAGAATCCAACAGAGGGCCAGGCAAAACTAGCTAGAGTTATACCGAAGGAAAAACGCGGGGATATCGTCGCGGAAATCAGCAGCGGGCTTGAGAGAGAAGAAACAAGGAATGAACTCACGATATTTTGAGGTTCCCGGCGTAAATCCTCGATTTCCTTGTTGTGGCGGCAGTCAGAGGAATACTCGACAGGATAGAAGAGATAGGTACTACCTACTTTGAAGTACCAGGAGTTCGAAGCGCAGGCTGGGAAGATCCAAATCAGCCAAAATGGATGTGACGCGATGCAAAAAGCGAACTCGCCTGCTCTGGTAGTGGCATGAGAAGGTACGCGTCAAGTAGTGAAGATAGACGATAGAGCACCTGTAATCACATCGTCAGTGGGAGCGAATCAGTAGTGAGAGAGCACAGACCGAAGTGATGACACGAAGGTCAACTGCTGTAGACGGGCTGAACTCGAAGATGAGCGCTTCGTCAAGAGATTCAGAAGAGCGCAGAGTAGGAAGGTGTCAAGGGAGGTGTAGTGTGTAGACAGGTGTAGGAAAGGAAGGAAGCAGTGAAGGAGGAGAGAAGGGAAGTAGAGGAGGGATGGGAAGTGAGGAGAGCAGTCGACTCACCCCGCTCTTTATACGAATCTACCAGGCGCACGGACTCGCAGAGCATCACCGCGTCTCCCCCTTGATGCCCCACCACTTTGCTAAGCGATTCCACGACTCTGTCACCCGGATATTCCTTGCCGCTCGCCCTCCTCCTCCTAAGCCCCAACAGCGCATCTTCCGCGCTTCTCTTCGAAATCAGGGAGCCAGCGCCCAGGCCCGCGCGTGATTTGATCGTGACAAATGATGGGACCCTGATTGATCGGTGTCGAGAAATCGCCTCCGCGCCAGTGGAAGTTTGGAGGCGAGGCAAGGCGGTAGGAGCGGTGTTTGCAAACCGAGTAGACGGATGTCGGGGAGGAGAAGGACAGCATAGAGGCAGTATCCTGAGTCTTAGGGGTTAGGGGTAGGGTGTCTCGAGTGCCCGGACGCCGAGGCGAAGACGCTGCTGCTCGGAAAAGTCAGGAACGCGCCGTTTAGCGTTTTGAGCCGTTTACGACGCACTCACAAAAAGCCAGCAGACTGTGACGTTGGATATATGGTCTCCCAGCCGTTAGGATCCACGTGGTGTGTGCTCGCTCGGTCTGAGGATTCGTGAGTTGAGGCTCAGAAGCGCGAACGGACGGCCTGCCACAAAAGGCAGGCATTCAGCCACACGCGGGGACGAGCGCGAGAGTGCGACGACGACCTCCGTCTTGCGCACTCCCAATGCATTGGAAAGACCTGAATCACTCACGGAATCATTGCCGTTCACTCTCGGCCTGCTATATTGCAAGCATGATGGTGTGAAGCTCAGGATTTGCGCTTGGGGCCAAAACCGCAAGGCCGCGCTCGAGTCCGCCTCGCGCGCATCACGATTCGTGCAGGTCGACAGTCTCCGTGCTTCCGCGTTTCGGTACGTTGGTGCCCGAGATTTGCAGTCGAGCGGCGGTTGAAGACTGGAGCCGGGGCGATCCCCGGCAATATAACCTTCTCATTGTCCTCGGGCGCTCGGTGAGCGTAGGTACAATGCTATGATGACGGGGGATGGCTCACTTTTGCGATTGGTTGCGCAGAAATGCGAGACCGCTCAGCGGTCGGGCGTGAGCTGCTGGGGGAGCTCGCGTGTCCTTGGGCTGATCTGCTATTGTCTAAGCACGAGCACAGAAGCCGGCTCACCATCATCACAGGCACATGAGCCACTTGCCGAGTTCCTTCAAGGTCGGTTGGGGTCGTGCTCAGGCAACAGAAGCCGGTGCTTCTCACTCTTCGTGACCTTGCTCCCGCCGGCTCGAGCGGTCCCCTGCCGCTTCAGTGACACCCTCGGCGCCTTCGTGCTTTCATTAGCGCATCTATCTCGCACGTACCTGTCTTTCTCCTCCTTCAGGAACCCTTGTCGTTGACGAGGACTTGCGCAGCGCTACTCTAATCTCATCGCCGGGGGAACTACGTGAGGCGAGATTGGGTGTTATTCCTGACAGTGTATGCGGTACGGAGGGTCTTCGATAGTGTCGTATATGTGGTAGGTACGCGTATCTAGGGTGGTCGGTGACTTGGGCTCGTGGGGTTGGTGAGGGCGGGAGGCAAGGAATAGGTCCGCCTTGCTTCCGCCGCGGTTTGCCGGTCTCGAGCGCGGCGGCTCACCGGCGCGGCTTTTCCGTCCGGTTTCGAACCTCGCGACCGCCGTCCGCGTCTTGCTCCCGACCACCATGTACGACGCTTCGGCGTGTCGCATCACTGTCTACAGTCGTCGCCGAGTTGTTTCCCGCAGAGTGCAGATTTTTGGAAGCCTTTTGTGTTGCACTTCTCGTCTTGCTCATGGGTTTGCTCATGAGTTTGAGCTGTCCCGAGTTGCTCGCTGTTCACGCTGTCTGTCCGAGCCTATATCACGCGTTTTGTACTCCCACTATGTTCCTCTCGTCACTGTATCCTATGCTCTGAGCCTGTACTCTGTGCTTCTTCTGAAATTCCCATCTCATCTCACATCTCGAGCTTCGACTCGCTCCTCGAGTTTACCCGCCCGCGGCAGGTAATTCTTGCGAGCTCCGCACGGAGGTGAATGCCCAAAGAGGTAATCTGGTAAGGTCGTCAACATGAGGCATTGATGGCTTCGTGATCAGGGTCCAGCCCCTTCGCACGCCACAGCGGCGATCACGATTGCCTCGTGCACCTGGTCACACCTCCTGGCTTCATCTTCTAACTCTACAGCTTTATCCTCTACCTCTTGCTTCTATCTATGCTTCCTCCCTACGTCTCCGCTTGCTCTGGATGCCTCCGCTTCGTCTCGATGTCTCTATTAGCTCTTGAACCTGTTGGTACTGTCAGCAACTGCCGAAGCAAGCAAAGGCGAGATTGGCAGCAACAACACCTTGGTTGCACAAGGGCAACACCGAGTCACCTCCGAGAGCGACGGAAGCGAGCGAGCAAGCCACGGGAGCAAGTCAGAGAGCACAGAGAAGACACGGAGCGAGCGAGCAGCCGAGAGACCGAGAGCGAGAGCCCGAGAGCGGCGAGAGTCCCGAGAGCGGCAGGGACCCGGTACTCGGTGCTGGAAACCAGCCCGAGGGCAAGTCAGCTCGCCAAAAGGTACGCAGACTCACCATTGACCCCCGAGTTGAGCGCTGACCCGCGTTGCGAGCACGGTGGCGCAGCGGGTCCGAGAGCGAGGCAGCACAGCCCGACAAGCGCAGCCTAACGAGCAGGATCAGGACATGCTCGAGGTGCGTGCATCGGGCCTGATGCATGAACAGCAAGCTTACCTGGATTCACAGCTTCTCCGACACTCCAGGGTACGTGCAAAATGCATCCATTCAAGATACCGAGCTTACAAGTTGTACCTACGAGTACTTCCTACCACGAAGAGGGCGAAGGCGCGCTCTACTCGCGACACGGACAAGATCCATTTGTCAAGAACTCACTCGTCAAGAACTCACATGTGCGCCACTGTGCTCCTCGGAGCGGACTGCCCGACACCCGACGCTGCGATGAGCGAGATCCGGGCGAGGATCAGCGACGACGAGCTTACCGGCGATCTCCGCGCCACCGGAAGCGCGCTGCGTATCCCGCCGTCTCAAGATCGCGTCGCCGGTGCGTGTGCTCAGTGTCAGTAGCCCCACATCTGCTTACCTATCCCCCAGCGAGTAGGACGACTCCAGGCGTTTGAAGCGTCTTTCAAGCCGATCTGCACCCCGCAGCGACGGCCGAAGACGAAGCGCGCGACACGGACGGGCTACGCGGCGCACGACGGCCCCCGATGAGCAAGATCAGTACCGGGATCGCGATGAGGAGCCTACCGGTGCGATCCGCGCGGCTTGACGGCGATCTGCGCAACGCCCGGCACCTTGGAGCGAGCTACGTGACGCTCGGCGCTCTCGATGAGCAAGTTAGCGCGCGGAGATCGAGTGTGAAGGGCTTACCGGTTGTCGACGTCGCATCGCCCACGCTCTCCACCCTCGACAGCGCTCTCTTCCCTCAGCGGTCTCCTCCCTCCAAAGCACTCTCCCCCCTCGAAAGCGACTTCGTCTTGAAAGCGACGAGATCCGCACGCGCTCAGCATCTCGCGGCGTTGGCGACGACGCGGCCTCATCCCGCGAGGAAGGCGACACCAAGATCTCCTACTCGGTGTGAGTCGGCTGTAGTCCCCAATTCAGCCAGCAAGCTTACCCCTTGTATTCAGGCAGTACGCGCTTCGACGGCGGGATCTCCGCCGAGAAGGTCGTCGCCAGCCGTCTCGCGCGCCTCGTCGCGGTTGTCCACGCCTCGACAGGCTCACCAATGACTTTCGGCATCGAGATCTGTGGGGATCTCGTCAATTAGTGTGAGTCGATTCGCATGCTTGGTAACTGCCAGCAAGCTTACCTACAGGTGCCAGACCCATCGCGACGTCAGGAGGCCGTCTACGACAACAAGACTCAATCCCCGCGGCCTCTACGAACAAAATCGCCATGGCGAGGTCTCGAAATCGCGTGGGATCTTCGCGCGAGCACGGCGTCTGGCGAAGTGTGTGAACCCACGCCTTCATCGCAGGAAGCGAGCTTACCTTTGTGTTAGGCTGCGCGCGCCAAGTCGGTAAGCTGAGGTAAGTGGTCCGAGTACTGACGCCTCGCCTCCTCCCCCGCCTCCCACCGCCGCACGGGAGGAAAGGGGGGAGGAGGAGGAGAGGGAGGGGGGAGGAGAGGGGGAGGGGGAGAGTGCTGTGAGAGCCAAAGTAGGGTAGTTAGAGAGTGAAAATGCCAGAGCTTAAGCGCTCGCTGCGCTCGCGCCGCGCAAAGGGGAGGTGGATCTCCTGCCCGCGCGAAAAACGGGCGTTTCGGGGATTGCCGAACGGTCCCAAGGATGTGAGGGTAGGCGGCGGGGCCGGAAAACGAGGCGGCGGCGGGGCGAGGCGCGAGACGTGACGCGGCTGAGAGCAAGGCGGGGCGCGCGGTGTGATCTGATCGACGTGATGAGGTCGGTGGTCGGGCCGGGAGTGGTCTGCGTGCTAGCATCGATCGCGACTGGCGTGCTGCGACCGCGACCACGACCATGCACGCTGCTCGACTGCCTCGAACCATGGGAACACCGAAGGCGCCTTGCGATGCGCCTGAGCCTGCTAGCGTGCGCACATGACAGAGCAGCCGCCCTTATATCAGGCATCCCGCCTTCCCTCGCGAGCTGCCCTCCCTCGTCCCCCTCTTCATGCTCATGCCCGAGGACGCGTGGTGCGCGCCCCGCGGCGAGCGGACCCCGCTCGAGCCCATCCGATTCGTGCGTACCCACCTCGCTAAGCCCGCTAGAACTCGTGCTCATTCCACCGCAGGGCTTGCGCAGGACAATTACGAGCCACGACTGGCATCGAGTCCATCGCTATGCCCGCCACGTCCGCTCGCTGCGCATCCAGCCGCAGACATATCGCAAGTCCATCGCGAAGGCGCTGCGAACGTCCGAATCGGACGGACCCCTCTTCCCCGGCCTCCGCCACCTGTCCTTCGCGTCGCAATGGGACTGGGACAAGTGCGACCATCTCGCCATCCTCCGCATGCTCCTCAGCCCCAGTCTCGACCATCTCGCCATCGACATTCCCAATAGCTACCTCGAGCAACTAAGCTGCCTGGCCCCCATCTGCTCCGCCCTCACCACCTTCTCCTTCACCGACCAGGGCCACGCCGACGCGCGCCCCTCCCCCGCCGACCTCACCGCCTGCGTCCGCGCGTGGCCCGCGCTCACGAGCATCAGCCTCAACGGCAGCGCGGGTATGTCCCAGCTCATGCCCGCGCTCGCGCTCTGCGACTCCGCTGGCGGTCCCGACGCTGTCTTCGCGCCCTGCTCGCCCTCCGGCGCGTACCCGCGCGCGAGCTTTGCCGCGCTCCGCGACCTCACCATCGGCGGACAGAGCGCTGCTTATGTCGTCGGGCTCATGAAGAGCTGGGGCGTGCGCCCGATCGAGCGCCTCAGTGTATTCGGCCTGGAGCTCCCCGCGGACGCGGCGCGCGCGCTGATTGCGGACATTCCGACGCATTGCGAGCCCACCGCGCTGAGCAAGCTGATGATCAGCGCAACCTCGCCGGGGTGGAGGATGCGTGCGGAGGACGTCGCGCCGCTGGCAAAATGCACGGGCTTGACGAGCTTGGTGCTGAACGTGTCCGACGGGGCGGACATTGCGGACGTGGAGTACGAGACGCTGGCGAGGAGCTGGCCACTTCTGCAGCGTGTCGAATTCCCGGGGTCGTACGACCGTGCAGTCGCTCCGCGGTGTACGATGGCAGCTCTCGGCGCCTTCGCGGGCGCCTGCACGCACCTCGAGAGCATTGTCCTCTCCTTCGACGCCAACATGGATGTCGTGCCTTCCCCTTCCCTCTCCGACTCCACCGTCACCCACCTCAACGTCGTCGACTCGCCCATCGACGAGTCCTGCGCGCCGCGCGTAGCCGAGCGCCTCGCGACTCTGTTCCCGAGCCTAACATGGATCGAGGACGACTACGATGACGGACGATACGAGGAGAGCCAGGCAGGCTGGGTCGTGGCGGATGCGGCCATGCGTGCGCGCGCACGAGCGCAGCGGGCAAAGGTGTGGGCCGCGGAGCGCTCCGCAGTGAAGGCGAAACTGGCGGCAGCAGCAGCAGCTTCTGCACAGCGAACTCCTTCGTCAAGTTCGACTTCGCCATCGAGGACAACATCCTCGACTAGCTTGGGGACGTCCTACTTTGACGTGCGTTGCTCTTCTCTCCGTTCTACTTTGGGGATGCTGACCTTTCTTCAGGCCCTCCGCGAGCAGTGCATCATCGCATAAGCTGCCCGGCACATTGTGAATATGTGAATATCAGCTTCCGACGACGACGCTGTACATGCGGCTCGACCACTCCCCCCTCTGTGTGCATACGGCTCGGTGCTATGTACATACAGACCACCCTACCTCCCGGCCTTATTCAACGACCCGGCCACCCTCGTGCTGTCTTATACCTCTGCTCTCTACTTACGACCTCAGGCCCTCGACGCGAACCAGGCGCGACGCGGACTGTAATGACTCCAACCGCTGGATTCCACAGCGAGGCTTGTCGCGCGTTACCGACATTTGTACTATACCCCTGGACACGACACGCGGAGACGTGTACATACTGGTGGAGATACATACATAGTAAGCAACGTGTATTTGTAGTGTAGATACCCATGGTTGAGAAGAATACGATGACGTTCATCTAGTGAAGGACGAGTGAAGCTCACCACGAAGGCTGCCCTCGCCGTCTCGCCTCGCCCCCACCGTCGGCTGAAGTCGCGCGGGGCGAGTTTTTGGATCTGAGACTGACTTCACACCACCCGACGACACCTTTGCGAGCGCGGCGGCCAGTCGTGCGCAGCCTCGATGTCGTTACTCAACTCACAACACGCGGGAAAGACCACGGCGGCCATCCCACGTCGCCAGCAAGTCCCCCCACCTCGTCTCCGCCGCCGTCGGCTCAACAACTCACCAACTCGCGGGGGGCGAGTTTCTGGTCTTCAAGCTGACATGGCAACACCCGACGACGCCTTCGTGAGCACGGTGGCAAGTCCCGCGCGACCTCGTCGTCGTTATTCGAACTCACGGCATGCGGGAGCGGCGATGGCGGCAGGCCCCTCGCCGATTCTGACGTCGCGCGCAACTCGCCCCGATCGCAGCTCACGCTTTACGACGCGGGGAAAGTCGCCCGTCACTGACTCGCGCTCGCCCAGTCCCTCGCAGACCCCCGCACGGCGAATGGAGGGCGCGCGACTTGGTGCGAACCTATCAAAATGCGCCCCCACCTCCCCCTCTCACGCCGACTGCACTCGCCGCACCTCCCAACTCGTCCCACCGTGCACGCTCGCAAGTGCCCTCGCAAGCGACTCCATTCCCGCGACGTCGAGAAGACGGCGAACGTGTGATTTTGGCGGTGAGAAGACGCTTTCGCGCGCATCCCCCCGCTCGCACAACGCCTCCTGCTTGCACGGCTCAGCAAGAGAGGAGGAGAAGAGATGGGATACTCACCTAGCGACATCGACGACGTCCCCACCACACCTCGCAAACCTCACAAGCGCCTGCGCGATGCTCGAGCTCGTCAGCAAGCAAGCCCGCCCCCTCCCCCCACCTCACGAAATTCGCACTCACCTCGCAAAGCCCGCCACGCCTCCGCGCAATGTGCGCGAACGACGCCGCTCCCTGCGGGCGATTCCGTGGACCGACGCGGCGCGGCGACGATACTCACCTCATCGACGGAGGAGATGCCTTCCCCCTCCCCCCTCCTCTTCGACGTGGACAGAGTCGCACCCACGTCACAGAGCACAACGGCGCTCGTCGCGGGCTATGCGGCTCGCGTGAGGGGTGCTCCGAGGGTGGGCTTGCACCTGCACAGTCGTCAGTAACGTCTCAAATAACGGCAGGGGGGAAGGGTCGGAGGGAGGAGAAGGGGAGGAGAAGGTGGTAAAGACGAAGGTAAGGGGGACGGAGGCGACGGAGCAAGGTCTGCAGGTGATGGGGGAGGGTAGTGCGAGGGTGGACGAATAGAGAGGGGGTGAGTATGACGAGGGTGGAGTGATGGGGAAGGGCAGTTGGTGAGGAGGGAGGGGGAGGAGAAGGTGGCGAGGGCGAGGTCAGGAAGCTCGGAGACGATGAAGGACGGCTTGTAGGTGGTAGGGGATGGTGGTGTGAAGGTGTAAGCGTTGCGAAGGGGCCGGTATGACGAGGGAGGGTGTGATGGGGGAGGGCAGTTGACGGAGGGAAGGGAGAGGGGCTCGAGTAAGTACCTGAGTACATGATGTGGTAGATAGATGTGGTAGTACAAGCTGGCTGAAGTAATCGACGAGGGATAGGATGGTGAGGGTTCGCATATGAAAGGAGAGGGGGTACGAAGGGAAGGGGTGGCGAGATGAGAAGGACATGAGAAACGTGAGAAATCGGTTGCTTACCTCGCTTTCGTGTGTGCTGAACGAGCTGGTGGTGACCACCGCGAGCAGTAGGACCTGGCCAGACATGAAGAGAGATCAGCAAAGCAGTTGACTGCAACGAAATTCAAGGGCTCACCTTGAGTTTCTTTCAGTTTTCGTTGAGGGTGGCGCTCGGCAGGGCTCTTCCGACGTCGCAGGCAGTATTTAAGAGGGGGCGGAGCATGTTCAGTATCACACTATGTATCCTTCATGTAAATAAGTACTCGTACAGCCCCCCGAATGCGATATAAGCGATGTATTCACACTACACCACCTTCATCGCATGAGCCCCTCCCTCCCATGAAAGGCTTTTCGGCGTGATACCAGGGCTACCCCTGGTCGTGGACACGTCTCAGTAAGCCTATTAATCGGTCAGCCTTATCTCTAGCAGCGGGATTATACGAAAACTCACCGATGTCGAGTTATGATGAGAAAATCAAAGATCCTTGAAAAGCGCCGGACGTGTGGCAGTCAGAGGAGAGGAGAGGGGTCGCAGCGTTCATATATACCGTAGGAGATATGATTCTAGCATATGAAGACCACATACCCTTGTTTGAGAGTCATGCCGACGCTAAGATGCGCCTGATCTCGATTCAAAACGAGCACAATGTAATTCTGCGAAAACAAGGGCATCAGCGTTCGTCAAGACAGTTCTGTGCGAGAGCTTACCTCGCATGCAGTACCGAGCATCGTGCTTAACATTCAGGTTGCGGTGAAGCGTCGGTAAGCGCGAATTCTGCGAGGGTTGCACGAGTTGCTTAACCCAAGAACGAGCTAGTGGTCTCCCTACCTCGATCATAGCTTCGACAGCGACTACGGCTAGTCGAGCGTCTATGTGAGACTCCTGAGCGACGCCTACTTGCGTCAGACAACGCGGACAATCCAAGGAAAATGATGAGCACGAGTCGAGCTAGCCAAACATTATCACGTACCGACGCGGCCGTATCACTTGAATCCCCAATGGGACAGGCGAAGATGGCGGTCGCACATCCGCAGAGCGCGCTTAGAGGCCCAGCTAGAGCGCCTTCAAGGCATGGTCTACCATCAAGCGGTCAGTCAACAGTTGAAACTCGCGGCGGGGTAGCACGCCTCACCGTGTACCAGCATAATCTCCCCCTCCTCGGACGTGCTCGGAATCGTCAAGGCGCGGGTATGTAGGGGCGGAGTAACAAGCCTGCAAAGGCGATCAGCACGGTCAAGATAGAGGTCGTGGCTCGTCGAGGAGACGGTCAGTCGCTCATGTTATTCCCTCGCGCGCTCTGTCACATCCGCATGACGGCCGGTCGCGTCGGCAGCGGTCTCTCGTATCCTCACGGCAATGCGAGATTACCTCACCCTGAGGTGTCCCGTGCGAACGCGCCGCATCGCGACGGTGAGCGATTCTTTCACATCGCGGGTGAGATTGTTGATGTTGCTACAGCGCGGCAGCACGGACTCTGTGAGCACACAGAGAGATGGGACGAGGGCGCATCACGTACCATCACGTCGCATCCATCATCCTAGAGGACTCGCGCGTGCCTCCGGCGGTTTGGAAGGCTCGGAAAATGCGGAATTGAAGGTCAATTTCTCGTTCTGTACAGTCAGAAGCGAACTCACAACCCTCAATGACCCCGAGAACCTACTGCAGCGCGCGTAGAAATAGCCTGAATGGTAGCCTGTTTGACCAATTATCAGCCGGCGCTCTTCCAGCAAAGGATGAACTTTGACTCGCCGCATTCTCGTATGAATCGCTCTAGAGATCCCGCGCATGACTCCGGCGGTTTGAGGGCCTCAAGGATAGCTGTGAGGAAGATCAGTCGACGCTTATGTAGTTCAGATCCAACCGAGGCGGAAAAATCGTAGGTACTCACCTCGATGACCCCGAGAACCTGATCAAATCCCTCGAAGGTTCAGGGTATCGTCGAGCGGCTGGGTGAAGGTGGGGACCGTCTAGCGAGCGGCCTATGGCACCTCCAGAACCTGATGGTGGACAGCAGCTGTCAGCGAGCGCTTCGACAGGACGAAGGACTCGAGCTTGCCAAAACTCTGTCACTCGCGCATTCCTCCAGCGGTTCAAGAGACGTATACACCCACCGTGTAAGCGTAAGCGCGGGCTATATGCATCCTCGTCATTGAGAGTAAGCCGACGGGGCATTACTCACCTCGATGGGCCCGAGAACCCCGGGTGATTGTCGGACTCCCAAGTCGGCGGTGTCAAGAATCAAGGATTGAGTCGAAATGCGAGGGAACAAGGTTAGTTCGACTCACAATCTGGTCATAGATGAGTCCGGTATCGCGTATCCTCCTATTGGTCGCCCTATCGTAAGGCGGCGACGTCGCAGACATGGCGGTGGGAAGCAAGAAAAGTCAGTGACACGTGTTGTAACGCACTGAAAGGACTCACAAGACGGGTGACGGCGCTCAGCTCGAGAGTCGTCAGGGGCTGACCGCCGCTCAGCGACGCAGAGCGCGACGACGGACCATCGCGTCGTGGGGATAGGACGTTGGTGATGATCAGAGTGAGCTCGACATACGGTCGTACACTCACCCTGCTGCTCGTTACGTCTGGCCGGCGCGTTTAAGAATCCAACAGAGGGCCAGGCAAAACTAGCTAGAGTTATACCGAAGGAAAAACGCGGGGATATCGTCGCGGAAATCAGCAGCGGGCTTGAGAGAGAAGAAACAAGGAATGAACTCACGATATTTTGAGGTTCCCGGCGTAAATCCTCGATTTCCTTGTTGTGGCGGCAGTCAGAGGAATACTCGACAGGATAGAAGAGATAGGTACTACCTACTTTGAAGTACCAGGAGTTCGAAGCGCAGGCTGGGAAGATCCAAATCAGCCAAAATGGATGTGACGCGATGCAAAAAGCGAACTCGCCTGCTCTGGTAGTGGCATGAGAAGGTACGCGTCAAGTAGTGAAGATAGACGATAGAGCACCTGTAATCACATCGTCAGTGGGAGCGAATCAGTAGTGAGAGAGCACAGACCGAAGTGATGACACGAAGGTCAACTGCTGTAGACGGGCTGAACTCGAAGATGAGCGCTTCGTCAAGAGATTCAGAAGAGCGCAGAGTAGGAAGGTGTCAAGGGAGGTGTAGTGTGTAGACAGGTGTAGGAAAGGAAGGAAGCAGTGAAGGAGGAGAGAAGGGAAGTAGAGGAGGGATGGGAAGTGAGGAGAGCAGTCGACTCACCCCGCTCTTTATACGAATCTACCAGGCGCACGGACTCGCAGAGCATCACCGCGTCTCCCCCTTGATGCCCCACCACTTTGCTAAGCGATTCCACGACTCTGTCACCCGGATATTCCTTGCCGCTCGCCCTCCTCCTCCTAAGCCCCAACAGCGCATCTTCCGCGCTTCTCTTCGAAATCAGGGAGCCAGCGCCCAGGCCCGCGCGTGATTTGATCGTGACAAATGATGGGACCCTGATTGATCGGTGTCGAGAAATCGCCTCCGCGCCAGTGGAAGTTTGGAGGCGAGGCAAGGCGGTAGGAGCGGTGTTTGCAAACCGAGTAGACGGATGTCGGGGAGGAGAAGGACAGCATAGAGGCAGTATCCTGAGTCTTAGGGGTTAGGGGTAGGGTGTCTCGAGTGCCCGGACGCCGAGGCGAAGACGCTGCTGCTCGGAAAAGTCAGGAACGCGCCGTTTAGCGTTTTGAGCCGTTTACGACGCACTCACAAAAAGCCAGCAGACTGTGACGTTGGATATATGGTCTCCCAGCCGTTAGGATCCACGTGGTGTGTGCTCGCTCGGTCTGAGGATTCGTGAGTTGAGGCTCAGAAGCGCGAACGGACGGCCTGCCACAAAAGGCAGGCATTCAGCCACACGCGGGGACGAGCGCGAGAGTGCGACGACGACCTCCGTCTTGCGCACTCCCAATGCATTGGAAAGACCTGAATCACTCACGGAATCATTGCCGTTCACTCTCGGCCTGCTATATTGCAAGCATGATGGTGTGAAGCTCAGGATTTGCGCTTGGGGCCAAAACCGCAAGGCCGCGCTCGAGTCCGCCTCGCGCGCATCACGATTCGTGCAGGTCGACAGTCTCCGTGCTTCCGCGTTTCGGTACGTTGGTGCCCGAGATTTGCAGTCGAGCGGCGGTTGAAGACTGGAGCCGGGGCGATCCCCGGCAATATAACCTTCTCATTGTCCTCGGGCGCTCGGTGAGCGTAGGTACAATGCTATGATGACGGGGGATGGCTCACTTTTGCGATTGGTTGCGCAGAAATGCGAGACCGCTCAGCGGTCGGGCGTGAGCTGCTGGGGGAGCTCGCGTGTCCTTGGGCTGATCTGCTATTGTCTAAGCACGAGCACAGAAGCCGGCTCACCATCATCACAGGCACATGAGCCACTTGCCGAGTTCCTTCAAGGTCGGTTGGGGTCGTGCTCAGGCAACAGAAGCCGGTGCTTCTCACTCTTCGTGACCTTGCTCCCGCCGGCTCGAGCGGTCCCCTGCCGCTTCAGTGACACCCTCGGCGCCTTCGTGCTTTCATTAGCGCATCTATCTCGCACGTACCTGTCTTTCTCCTCCTTCAGGAACCCTTGTCGTTGACGAGGACTTGCGCAGCGCTACTCTAATCTCATCGCCGGGGGAACTACGTGAGGCGAGATTGGGTGTTATTCCTGACAGTGTATGCGGTACGGAGGGTCTTCGATAGTGTCGTATATGTGGTAGGTACGCGTATCTAGGGTGGTCGGTGACTTGGGCTCGTGGGGTTGGTGAGGGCGGGAGGCAAGGAATAGGTCCGCCTTGCTTCCGCCGCGGTTTGCCGGTCTCGAGCGCGGCGGCTCACCGGCGCGGCTTTTCCGTCCGGTTTCGAACCTCGCGACCGCCGTCCGCGTCTTGCTCCCGACCACCATGTACGACGCTTCGGCGTGTCGCATCACTGTCTACAGTCGTCGCCGAGTTGTTTCCCGCAGAGTGCAGATTTTTGGAAGCCTTTTGTGTTGCACTTCTCGTCTTGCTCATGGGTTTGCTCATGAGTTTGAGCTGTCCCGAGTTGCTCGCTGTTCACGCTGTCTGTCCGAGCCTATATCACGCGTTTTGTACTCCCACTATGTTCCTCTCGTCACTGTATCCTATGCTCTGAGCCTGTACTCTGTGCTTCTTCTGAAATTCCCATCTCATCTCACATCTCGAGCTTCGACTCGCTCCTCGAGTTTACCCGCCCGCGGCAGGTAATTCTTGCGAGCTCCGCACGGAGGTGAATGCCCAAAGAGGTAATCTGGTAAGGTCGTCAACATGAGGCATTGATGGCTTCGTGATCAGGGTCCAGCCCCTTCGCACGCCACAGCGGCGATCACGATTGCCTCGTGCACCTGGTCACACCTCCTGGCTTCATCTTCTAACTCTACAGCTTTATCCTCTACCTCTTGCTTCTATCTATGCTTCCTCCCTACGTCTCCGCTTGCTCTGGATGCCTCCGCTTCGTCTCGATGTCTCTATTAGCTCTTGAACCTGTTGGTACTGTCAGCAACTGCCGAAGCAAGCAAAGGCGAGATTGGCAGCAACAACACCTTGGTTGCACAAGGGCAACACCGAGTCACCTCCGAGAGCGACGGAAGCGAGCGAGCAAGCCACGGGAGCAAGTCAGAGAGCACAGAGAAGACACGGAGCGAGCGAGCAGCCGAGAGACCGAGAGCGAGAGCCCGAGAGCGGCGAGAGTCCCGAGAGCGGCAGGGACCCGGTACTCGGTGCTGGAAACCAGCCCGAGGGCAAGTCAGCTCGCCAAAAGGTACGCAGACTCACCATTGACCCCCGAGTTGAGCGCTGACCCGCGTTGCGAGCACGGTGGCGCAGCGGGTCCGAGAGCGAGGCAGCACAGCCCGACAAGCGCAGCCTAACGAGCAGGATCAGGACATGCTCGAGGTGCGTGCATCGGGCCTGATGCATGAACAGCAAGCTTACCTGGATTCACAGCTTCTCCGACACTCCAGGGTACGTGCAAAATGCATCCATTCAAGATACCGAGCTTACAAGTTGTACCTACGAGTACTTCCTACCACGAAGAGGGCGAAGGCGCGCTCTACTCGCGACACGGACAAGATCCATTTGTCAAGAACTCACTCGTCAAGAACTCACATGTGCGCCACTGTGCTCCTCGGAGCGGACTGCCCGACACCCGACGCTGCGATGAGCGAGATCCGGGCGAGGATCAGCGACGACGAGCTTACCGGCGATCTCCGCGCCACCGGAAGCGCGCTGCGTATCCCGCCGTCTCAAGATCGCGTCGCCGGTGCGTGTGCTCAGTGTCAGTAGCCCCACATCTGCTTACCTATCCCCCAGCGAGTAGGACGACTCCAGGCGTTTGAAGCGTCTTTCAAGCCGATCTGCACCCCGCAGCGACGGCCGAAGACGAAGCGCGCGACACGGACGGGCTACGCGGCGCACGACGGCCCCCGATGAGCAAGATCAGTACCGGGATCGCGATGAGGAGCCTACCGGTGCGATCCGCGCGGCTTGACGGCGATCTGCGCAACGCCCGGCACCTTGGAGCGAGCTACGTGACGCTCGGCGCTCTCGATGAGCAAGTTAGCGCGCGGAGATCGAGTGTGAAGGGCTTACCGGTTGTCGACGTCGCATCGCCCACGCTCTCCACCCTCGACAGCGCTCTCTTCCCTCAGCGGTCTCCTCCCTCCAAAGCACTCTCCCCCCTCGAAAGCGACTTCGTCTTGAAAGCGACGAGATCCGCACGCGCTCAGCATCTCGCGGCGTTGGCGACGACGCGGCCTCATCCCGCGAGGAAGGCGACACCAAGATCTCCTACTCGGTGTGAGTCGGCTGTAGTCCCCAATTCAGCCAGCAAGCTTACCCCTTGTATTCAGGCAGTACGCGCTTCGACGGCGGGATCTCCGCCGAGAAGGTCGTCGCCAGCCGTCTCGCGCGCCTCGTCGCGGTTGTCCACGCCTCGACAGGCTCACCAATGACTTTCGGCATCGAGATCTGTGGGGATCTCGTCAATTAGTGTGAGTCGATTCGCATGCTTGGTAACTGCCAGCAAGCTTACCTACAGGTGCCAGACCCATCGCGACGTCAGGAGGCCGTCTACGACAACAAGACTCAATCCCCGCGGCCTCTACGAACAAAATCGCCATGGCGAGGTCTCGAAATCGCGTGGGATCTTCGCGCGAGCACGGCGTCTGGCGAAGTGTGTGAACCCACGCCTTCATCGCAGGAAGCGAGCTTACCTTTGTGTTAGGCTGCGCGCGCCAAGTCGGTAAGCTGAGGTAAGTGGTCCGAGTACTGACGCCTCGCCTCCTCCCCCGCCTCCCACCGCCGCACGGGAGGAAAGGGGGGAGGAGGAGGAGAGGGAGGGGGGAGGAGAGGGGGAGGGGGAGAGTGCTGTGAGAGCCAAAGTAGGGTAGTTAGAGAGTGAAAATGCCAGAGCTTAAGCGCTCGCTGCGCTCGCGCCGCGCAAAGGGGAGGTGGATCTCCTGCCCGCGCGAAAAACGGGCGTTTCGGGGATTGCCGAACGGTCCCAAGGATGTGAGGGTAGGCGGCGGGGCCGGAAAACGAGGCGGCGGCGGGGCGAGGCGCGAGACGTGACGCGGCTGAGAGCAAGGCGGGGCGCGCGGTGTGATCTGATCGACGTGATGAGGTCGGTGGTCGGGCCGGGAGTGGTCTGCGTGCTAGCATCGATCGCGACTGGCGTGCTGCGACCGCGACCACGACCATGCACGCTGCTCGACTGCCTCGAACCATGGGAACACCGAAGGCGCCTTGCGATGCGCCTGAGCCTGCTAGCGTGCGCACATGACAGAGCAGCCGCCCTTATATCAGGCATCCCGCCTTCCCTCGCGAGCTGCCCTCCCTCGTCCCCCTCTTCATGCTCATGCCCGAGGACGCGTGGTGCGCGCCCCGCGGCGAGCGGACCCCGCTCGAGCCCATCCGATTCGTGCGTACCCACCTCGCTAAGCCCGCTAGAACTCGTGCTCATTCCACCGCAGGGCTTGCGCAGGACAATTACGAGCCACGACTGGCATCGAGTCCATCGCTATGCCCGCCACGTCCGCTCGCTGCGCATCCAGCCGCAGACATATCGCAAGTCCATCGCGAAGGCGCTGCGAACGTCCGAATCGGACGGACCCCTCTTCCCCGGCCTCCGCCACCTGTCCTTCGCGTCGCAATGGGACTGGGACAAGTGCGACCATCTCGCCATCCTCCGCATGCTCCTCAGCCCCAGCCTTGACCACCTTGCCATCGACATCCCCAATAGCTACCTCGAGCAACTAAGCTGCCTGGCCCCCATCTGCTCCGCCCTCACCACCTTCTCCTTCACCGACCAGGGCCACTCCGACGCGCGCCCCTCCCCCGCCGACCTCACCGCCTGCGTCCGCGCGTGGCCCGCGCTCACGAGCATCAGCCTCAACGGCAGCGCGGGCATGTCCCAGCTCATGCCTGCGCTTGCGCTCTGCGACTCCGCTGGCGGCCCCGACGCTGTCTTCGCGCCCTGCTCGCCCTCCGGCGCGTACCCGCGCGCGAGCTTCGCCGCGCTCCGAGACCTCACCATCGGCGGGCAGAGCGCGGCTTACGTCGTCGGGCTCATGAAGAGCTGGGGCGTGCGCCCGATTGAGCGCCTCAGTGTATTCGGCTTGGAGCTCCCCGCGGACGCGGCGCGCGCGCTGATTGCGGACATTCCGACGCATTGCGAGCCCACCGCGCTGAGCAGGCTGATGATCAGCGCAACCTCGCCGGGGTGGAGGATGCGTGCGGAGGACGTCGCGCCGCTGGCGAAGTGCCCGAGCTTGACGAGCTTGGTGTTGAACGTGTCCGACGGGGCGGATATTGCGGACGTGGAGTACGAGACGCTGGCAAGGAGCTGGCCGCTTCTGCAGCGTGTCGAGTTTCCGGGGTCGTACGACCGTGCAGTCGCTCCGCGGTGTACGATGGCAGCTCTCGGCGCCTTCGCGGGCGCCTGCACGCACCTCGAGAGCATCGTCCTCTCCTTCGACGCCAACATGGACGTTGTACCCTCCCCTTCCCTCTCCAACTCCACCGTCACCCACCTCAACGTCGTCGACTCGCCCATCGACGAGTCCTGCGCGCCGCGCGTAGCCGAGCGCCTCGCGACTCTGTTCCCGAGCCTAACATGGATCGAGGACGACTACGATGACGGACGATACGAGGAGAGCCAGGCTGGGTGGGTCGTGGCGGATGCGGCCATGCGTGCGCGCGCACGAGCGCAGCGAGCAAAGGTGTGGGCCGCGGAGCGCTCCGCAGTGAAGGCGAAGCTGGCGGCGGCAGCAGCAGCTTCTGCACAGCGAACTCCCTCGTCAAGTTCGACTTCGCTATCGAGGACAACATCCTCGAGTAGTGTGGGGACGTCTTACTTCGACGTACGTCGCTCTTCTCCTTGCTATTCTATGTCCTTGCTTACCTGTCATCAGGCCCTCCGCGAGCAGTGCATCATCGCATGAGGTGCCCGGCACGTTGTGAATATGTGAATATCAGCCCCCTTCGACGACGACGCTGTACATGCGGCTCGACCACTCCCCCCTCTGTGTGCATACAACTCGGCGCTATGTACATACAGCCCACCCTACCTCCCGGCCCTATTCGACCACCCGGCCACCCATGTTCTTCACCCCATGCTTTACCCCTGCTCTGTGCTCTCCCTGCTTTTACTTACGACCTTCGGCCCTCGATGCGAACCAGGCGCGTCGCGGGCTATAATGACCCCAACCGCTGGATTCCACAGCGAGGCTTGTCGTGCTTTACCGACATTTGTACTATACCCCTGGACACGATGCGTACACATGTACATACTGAAGATGTGCTGTACATCGGTGGAGACACATACATAGTAAGCAACCTGTATTTGTAGTGTAGATACCCTTAGTTCGTGGAGAACAATCAGACGCCGTTCCTTTCCTTCATTGTCGAATTTTCGGTCAATATTGAATTTGCGTTGACGAGCGATTGGATCAGAGCGGGAATACTGCGGTAGTGAAGAGATACTTCGTCCCTTCAGCCAGAGGTACCCTACTGAAGTACTTGTTGCGAGCAGTAGACGCAGACGGGCGTGCGGCACTGAACACGATCCCACGTGCTGCCCGCGTGAGCGACAATCGCCGAACATGGGAACCGCACGGTGCTTCCGTCTTACCATTGTCGAAGACGTCCAGCTCTGTGACTTCCCGAACAAAAGGATGAGTCTCCTAGTGCGTATCCCTCTATATACCCATCAAATGGGCACTGAAGCCTACTATGCCAGCACCCTATGCACTACCTGACCGTCGACGAACTCCTCGAGCGCGCGGCGCCTGTCGCAAACCTCGCGATGCTGCGTATATACGCCGAACCATCCCCCATCCAAATCGCGATGATCAACGAGTATACTCCCCTCTTGGAATCTGAGCTCAGATCCCTTCCCCCGAACGAAACTCTCACCCGCGATAGGATCCTCGCACAGCTGAGCATACACCGATCCATTCTAGCTCCCATCCGCCGACTACCCGTCGAGCTCTTATCCGAGATCTTTTCACGCGTACAGAAAATAACACCCCTGCGTACTTTGCAGGTCGCGACTGTCATGTCGCACGTCTGCTTCACCTGGCGAACCGTCGCGCGCGGGCATGGGGCCCTGTGGACGAAAGTTGTCGTAAAGACTATATACGACTTCGATCGATACTGCGAGCGATTCCTTCCTATAGCCGGGAAAGTGCCTCTCGAGCTGCGATGCGACGATCGCGAGGTCCTGGGGCACCTGTGGGATCGCATTGCGCCGTATGCGTCTCGCTTGCGGCGCATCACGCTCATAGCAGATCTTAGCATGCTGCCCGATCTCAAGGTTCTCTACATGGAAAACCTCGAGCGGCTGGTTGTCGATGCGTACGACACGCCTGCGTCTGCGAAACTCAGTGCTCTTGACTTTGTCGTCGCACCCTGTCTTCGCCATGTCGCACTAACGCTGGACGTGCTGCAGAGCGAACGTCAGCTACACGTCCCGGTGACGAGGGCGCTCACGTCTTTGGAGATCGACGTGATGACACAGTTCCCCGTCACACTTACTCTGCCGCTCTTGCGGGCGTGCGCAACTACCCTGCAGTCCCTCACTATCAAAATCCGGCAGATGTCAGAAGGCGTAGACAGATCATACCCCACGAGCGCCTCTGCAACGTTCGAGATGCAGTCTCTCACCTACCTAAGCCTCGTCGATCCTGCCTGCTCACTGCTCAATCACATCGACGCCCCTCTCACTCAGGAGCTTGTCCTCAGTACCGTCCCTACATACGGCACGCAATCTTTGCTGGGATTCTTGACTCGCAGCAAGGCCTGCCGCCATCTGCGTACACTGAGAATCTACGACGTGGAGGAACGAGATCCTTCCGCATGGATTCCTTGCCTACAGCTCATGCATGGCCTCAGAGAGCTCCACTTCGACGATATGCTGTCGAATCCACAGATATTGGAACAAATGACTCAGTACGAGGACCGGCCTCCATTGCTGCCTGCGCTGGAAGGCATCGCCATTTGGCGTGTCTTCTGGGCTCACCTGGAGCTCCACGACGCCATTGGCGAGATGCTCTCGTCGAGGGACCAGGAGACGACAACGAGGAACGGCCTGCGGTGTTGGAAGATCGTTCGTTGGATTGATGCGTGGCCCGACCCTTGACTGAGCAAAAGGGCCCGATCGAGCCCAGCCGATTCGTGCGTATAAACCTCGCTGATCCCCTCAGGACTTCCGCTCACTTGATGCTAGGGTCTATGCAGGACAATCACGAGGCAGACTCACATCCGCAAACGTCTCGCAAGTACACGCGAAGGCGCTTCGAGCTGCTAGGACCAGCGCACCACTGTTTCCCAGTTTGCGACATCTATCATCCACCTCGCAATGAGACCGGGACGAGTGCAGTCACCTCGTCATCCCCCGCATGCCCTTCAGCTCTAGCCTCCGCTACCTTGCCGTCGACTTCCGCAACAGCTAAGACTGCCAGCTAAGCTGCCTGACCCCCATCTGCTCCGCTCTGACCACCTTGTCCTTCATGCAGGTGATCAGGTTCCGAAGACATTGATCAGCGCGCGGCGGGACGACGGTTCAGTTGAGACGGACCTCCCCAGACAACTCGTACCTCCTCCTGGTGGTAGCGCCCAATTTAACGCGTTCGCGCAGTCAGTGGCTTCAGGTGAGGCGCTTTCTTTGGCCAACAGGGCTTCGGGCAACCGGCCTTCTCGCATACGAAGCCTTGAACATCGTGTCCCGCCATCGTACTAGCAAGGCGGCGAGGAAGGCGATACATGCTGTCGAATAAGTCGCTGATGTGAGGGTGTCAGTGGGGAACGATAACCAATGAGAGCTTTACTAACTCAATGGACCCTTGGGTCGACGATGGTCGGAGGGGACTTGCTATGCCTCTTATCGCAGCCGTCGCTTCGGGTGGTCAGGTGGGCGACAGCGTTCGCGGGTGCTTGGGATCCCATTCAATCATGCGGGTGTGCTGGCCTCCAATGCCAGTGCATATCGCGCACGGCTCGACAATCTCTACATTAGCAGTCCCCTGAGTCAAGGAGCACCCGATACAACATAGCACTGGCCTCAGGGGACGACCGTGCCTCCGATGCCCTCGCGAACATAGGTAGACCTGCCAACAGTAAGGGTAAGCGCGAACTAGATGAGACGGGCGCTTACCTGAAGGAAAGAGCACTCACCTGGTTAGGACGTGCGTTACACTTTCGTAGACCGCAGAGTGAGCGCGCTGATGTTCGGTGAGGCTGCACAGAGTAACGTCGTTGAGTGGGAGCTGCTGAAGCTGGGAAGGTCAAGACCGTGAGTAGGGACGACGTACCGGCGAAGAGTTGGTACGCGGATAGGGCCAGCGCGCGAACGGAGAGACAAAGAACCATGACATCTTCGCGCATTGTACAACGATATGAAACATACCGTACATTCTGAAGTGTACACTGAGAAGAGGGCGACGAGTCTCTATCAAGTGGACGAACGTTTCTTGAGGCCATTCGCCCTCCTCGAGGTGCGTGCCGAAGTCATGCCTGCCCTCATTCGCTCGAGCGGAGAAGTGATGCGCGCCGTCGTAAAGTCCGCGGCTCGGTCAATGTGCTCGCCGGTAGTCAAATCCTTGCTCGCCAGAGTAGCCTGTAGGTTGGCGATGATGGCAGACAATGCATTGGCGGCTTCGACGAGGGTGATCATGAGTTGCTTCTGTGGAGCGGAGACCGAGCGGTGCAGGGACGTCGCAAGGCAGGGGAACGTTATTGAGAGGGCGTGAAGCTGCTCGAGCATGGTATCGGACAGGTCTTGGACTTGGATGACGGAGCGTTGGCTGTGTGGAGGTTCAGTTGACTTGGGACGGCAATAAGGTGCATGTAACGCACGAGGGGAAAGTCGTCTGCTGCAATGGACTGGAGGGAACGGATGTGACGCGCTTGGTGAGAGCGTTCGCAAGGTTGATTGCGCGCTGGTATTGGTGCTGCATTTCATCGCCTTCGATGTGTTCCTTCGCGCGCGTCGATCCGGCAGACTTGTGGCTTAAAGGCTCGATTTGGTTCTCATAGTAGTCCACGAGAGGTGCAAGGCGCTGACGATATCCATGAGTACAGGCAGGGGAACTACGAGTATACCCACACACCTCATCGACCCCTTCCGCAACATGCAGGGCGGGGCCTTTGATACCCTTGTCCACCATCGTTCGTGCGTCATCAAAGGAAGTTGCGTGTTTTGTGAGCCGCGCTAACGAGTCATCTGGCGGAGCGTAGAAGAGGTGCGGAGAACGCGTCTCGGCCAGGTTGAAGATCGTGTTGGCCAAGTCATCGACTGGTGCGATCAGCGTGGCGAGAAGCCTCTACACGGGCTGCCAGCACTGGGATGCGAACATTAGGAGGCAGTTCAAGACAGCATATGGTCTTGCTGTCAAACCGTTCGACGTGAGCGACCCGTGAACTTCGTCGAGTGCTGCAGCGACGAGCGGGATGTCGAGCACGCGCTGGAAGATGGTGAACTCGCCCGTTGACAGCGATGCGTCTGGCATCGTCGATGTCGCCTTCGAAGTCGGACTCGGCATTGAGAGTGATGGGTCGGGCAGAAGAAAGGGGAGTACAGCATGGAGGACGCCATGAAGGCTCGGCTAGAAGGGGAACAGGAGCAGAACACGGACTGATGGCGGCGCCGGACCGTAACGCGTTTGGGCAGATTTGCATCTTCCCATAGACCGCCATGTCGCGCATTTTGCTCTCCAAGATCAAGCTTGTCTGCCTACCGCTCCCTGCACTCAATATCTCAACAACGCTGCATAAGGTGCGTCGAACCAGGCCTGATTGGTACCTTGAAGATCAACTGCTCATGAACCCAGAAAGATACTAGTAAGCTAAGTATGTCGTGCGTCTACTCGATACAGCTGTCATCTGCCCTCCATTGAATATACATGCTACTCGGGATTTCGACCGGAATTAGGGTCTACTGCTCAGGTGGGCTGGTACAGGACGAACCAAGGACGAAGTGAGCTTCATCCTTCGAGCATGATCTCCCTTCCGATTCACTTGCGGCTCGCCTCGGTCACGATGGTCGCCTTTGGCTTACTCACGCACTCCTACGAATGCCTTTGAGCGGGCCTATAGCGCTACAGGCCCCGCATTCAGGTAAGCCACATCCAGAGTTGCTTCCCTGCGTTACGTCGCTTTCACGTCTCGCATTACTTAGGCTTTGCATGGATCAATTTCCGCTGGGATGTATATGCTAGCCTAAGGCGGTGACGCCTCATGTGAAGTGAGACGCGCTCTCTTTCTCGTCATGGGCTTGCTCTCTGTCGCGCTCGGTATCGCCGTGGTGGCTCTGCCATCGATCGCCTCGACGCCTCCGACTCACCTTTCCCAGACACCTCTGGCGAGCTTCGTCACCGACGCTTGCCAGATCATCGCCGACGCCATTTCAGAGGCCAGTGATGTGTATTACCCATGTTCGTGCCTTCTTCGACTGTCCACCATAGTTCGACTGATCATATTCATCTAAGGGTCACCAGCGGCCACTTCGCTGCGGATATTGAACATTACTCGCCGGCCGCTATGGAGCTATCTGCCTGCTCAGTCGAGCCTGGCACCGCGGATGATGTCGCGCTCATCGTACGTCGACGACGAACGCTACCATGCGCCCACCGACTTACCTAAGCACAGCTGTAAGCCCTCGATTGAACTCGGACACTTTTCGCGGGAGGTCTCTCACACTGTGGTGTGACACCCTCGCTTGAGATCCCATCTGTCGCCCACAGGTCAAAGGCGGCGGACACTCCATGATCCTCAGGTTCTCCTGAACGACCGGTGTCCAAATCGCCATGACCCGCTTCTCCGAGATCACATACGATGAGGAGATCGAGACCGCGGTCGTCGGTGCCGGCCTATTATGGAACGAGGTTTACGCACCTCTGGACCCGCTCGGTGGCGGTGTCGTGGGAGGACGCGCGCCCGGCATTTGGCGTTGCTGGGTTCATACTGGGTGGAGGTAAGTTTTGTGAGCGTCTACTACGAGCGGAAGGCTGAACAGCGTGTATAAGGGTACTCGTGGACACCAATGAACGTGGACTAGCTTTGGACAACGTCGTTGGCTTCGAACTCGTGAAGCCCGATGGAGGGGTCGCACTAGTTTCGGACAAGTCAGATCCGAATCTGTTCTTCGTGCTGAAGGTGAGCTTCGCCTCGTTCTCGGCGATGAGCGTAGGATACTAATAACCTTCAGGGCGGCTACAACAACTACGCATATATCACTCTCCTCGAGCCTCGCGCGCCAGCGCTCATACAATCCGCTCGTCGTCCAGGGCATCGTGACCCGATTCACTCTCAAAAGGACCCACAATAACGGTGGTGGGTAAGCTTGCAAGCTCCATTCGCCAGGTATCCCTCGTTCACGATGTTTTCCAGGGTGGGCACGCACTCTACTCCAAAGACCTCTCTGACGAATTCTCTGACCCACTGTACAGCTTCTCCGAAAGCGATACCGATTCGAAGGCATCTTTTATTGCACCACACCTGGGATTCAATATTCCCCTGCGCTTACTGCACTTTTATCGAGGGAATATTCTGAATCAGCTTTCGATAAAGACCGCGGGTCGATTGAAAGGGCATATCGAGGCCCAGCCAATCGGAGGCCGTACCGATTAATATGCCACCCGTAAGACCACGATCCACGCGCCGCCTTTATGCTTCGCTTATTCAAAATTGGCTTACGATAATCCTGCAGTATGCGCCAGGGAATATTGAGACCCAGGGGTGGTGTTGGCTCCTACTTAAGTATCAATAGCGAGGTGCGCTCAGATTCTCGTCCTTAACAACAAAGGCCCTCACGCGCTCTGCCTAAAGCTGTATCCGACATTGTTCGTGGCTTACAACGGTCCTACGCCGCCGGATGCGATCTTCGACAACTTCCTGGCTATGCCCATGCTCGAGTCAAACATTTCGACGAGGGATGGCGTGCTGCCCCTCATCAAGTCAGCGGCCAATAACGCTTCGGACTGCACCGGCATTGACCATTCGTCCTGACGCGTGCTCAGAGCGTTGTATAGCACGGCCCCGAAGAGATATACGCTCCAGGCCTAATCGCGTTTGCTGCTGAACAGATCCAGGTGTGTTGCTTTTGTCTCGACGGCCTGCCGGATTGACAGTTATTGTGCAGAGCCTCTCTGCTGCTCTCTCGTCGGACGACTATCCAATGTTCGCCTATTACCTCGAGCCCTTTGTCCCGGATTACCTCTCGCACGCGCACAAAACTCCTCCGCCTTCCCGCCCTCTCGCAAGAAGCTCATCCTCCGACCCGCTATCGGCGTCTGATGGAGCTCCCCATCGTTGGATATGAAGGGCATGGAGGTCATCAAGGGCCTCGGCGACGCGCTATCCGCCTATACGTCCGACGTCGACGGTCAAGATCTATCCGGATGCTATATCTATCCGAACTACGCGCTTGCGGACGTGCGGATGGTGGACATGTACGGGGAGAATCTAGAGGAGAAGAGGGAGGTGCGCGAGCGTGTCGATCCAAACCGACTGATGGCTCTGGCTGGCGGCTTCAAGGTTTGGATGAACGACGCAATACCGCCATAGTCACGTTGCGATTCGAGCAGCGTGTAGCATTGCGACTTCCAGTCAGTTGGTGCGGAAACTTGCATTATGAAGGAAACGACCCGATTTTCGTGAATCACAAGGAGGCCCATCACTCACTTCAGTGTCGTCGACTCGCCCATCGACGAGTCCATGGATTGAGGACGACGGCAACGACGATGATGGATACGAGGAGAGCCAGGGTGCAGAGCGCTCGGCGGTGAAGTCGAAGCGGGCGGCGGCGGTGGCAGCGATGTCTGCAGCATGGTCAACGTCTCCGTCAAGTTCGGCTTCGTCGTCAGGGACAGCGACCTCGAATAGCATAGGCGCGTCTCACGTCGACGTAAGTTGCTCTTCTCCTTGCTATACTTCCGCGTCGCTCACCTTCTCCTCAGGCCTTCCGCGATCAGGCGCCCGGCGCATTGTAAATATTTGAACATTGGCCGCCATAAACGACGGCGCTGCACATGCGGCTCGATCAACCCTACCTCTTCCTGTGTGCGTACGGCTCGGTGCTATGTACATACGGAACACCTTATCTCCTGGCCCTATTAAACGATCCGACCCACCTATGCTGCTCCCCCATGCCTTACACCTGCTCTCCGCTCTTCGTGCTTTTACTTACGACCTTCGGCCCTCGACGCGAACCAGGCGCGTCGCGGGTCGTAATGACCCCAACCGCTGGCTCTCACGGCGAGGCTTATCGTGCTTTACCGACACTTGTACTATAACCCTGGACACGTCGCATGCCCTTCCGCAAGCGCGGAGATATGTACATACTGTAGACGTGCTGTATATCAATGGAGATACATACATAGTGAGCAGCCTGTATTTGTAGTGTAGTCGTGTTGAATTGTGGAGGAGAATAAGACGATGTACTTTTGATTCCCTGTGTTGGGCGTTCGATAAGGCTCAGTTCTCGAACGAAGGTACCAGAATGAAATCCAGAGTGCCGGACCGTACTAGACTACTTGTTGCGAGCAGGAAACGCAGACGAATGTCAAGAAGTAGAAGTGTGGCGCACCGAACACGACCACACGTGCTACCCGCGTGAGCGGCGATCGCCGATTGATGAGGCCGCACGGCTTCCGTCCCACCTTTGTCGAGGACAGCCAGCGCTTTTACTTCCCGAGAATGAGCCTCCGAGTGCGTGTCCTTCTACGTAGCTTTGCATCTGTTTTTGACGCTCACCTTGACAGCACCCTATGCGCCGCCTGCCCGTGGACGAACTCCTGGAGCGCGCGGCGTCTGTCGCGAACCTCGCGATGCTGCGTACATACGCCGAGCCATCCCCCATCCAGGTCGCCGCGATCAACGAATACACCCCCCTCCTGGAGTCTAAGCTGAAATCCCTTCCCCCGCATGATGCCTTCACTCGAAAAAGGATCCTGACACAACTGGACATACACCGATCCATCCTCGCTCCCATCCGCCGCCTTCCTAAAGAGCTCTTGATAGAGATCTTCTTTCTACTGGCGTACGAATCATCGCTTCGAACTCTGCAGGTCGCTGCCACCATAGCAGGAGTCTGTGCTGTCTGGCGGGCAGTCGCGCACGGACTCACGAAGTTGTGGACAAAATTGGTCGTCAAATCATTGCGCGACATAGAACGATACTGCCAACTATTCCTTCCTCTAGCTAGGGAGAACTTACCAGATCTGAGATTCGACGATCCCATGATCTTAGGGTCGCTGTGGGATGGCATCGAACCATACGCCTCTACCTGGCGCTCCCTTTCGATCGAGGGTCGTCTCAGCATGCTTCCCGATCTCAAAGTCCTCTATATGGAGAATCTCGAGAGGCTGATCGTCGACGCATACGATGCGCCTTCTTCCCAAGATCTCAGCGCTCTTGATTTCGTCGTCGCACCATGCCTTCGCCATGTCGCGCTGACCCTTGATAACCTGCAAAGCGCCCGTCAGTTACACATCCCCGTCACGCGGGCGCTCACGTCGTTGGAGATTACCGCGGACTCTCCCTTCCCCGTGAATCTTACTATCCCTCTCTTGCAAGCGTGCGCGGATACGCTGGAATCGCTCACCCTCAAAGTTCGCCACCCCCTGGAAGGCCCCGAAGGCTCCTACCCGACGAGCGCCTCCACGACATTCGTCATGGGGGCTCTGACATTCCTCAGCCTCGTTGATCCCGCCTGCGCGCTTCTCAACCACGTCACCGCTCCCCTCCTCGACCATCTCGTTCTCAGTAATGTCCCAGCGTATGGCTCGCGCTCGCTATTGGGATTCTTGGCGCGAAGTCAGGTCTCGCAATGCTTACGCATATTCAGAGTCTACATGGCGGAGGAACGAGAGCCATCGGCATGGATCCCCTGCCTTCGACTCATGGACAAACTCCGACAGTTGCACTTTGACGATATGCTGTCAAACGCAGAGTTTCTCGAGCAGTTGACCCTGCGCAAGGATAGGCCTTCATTGCTCCCTGCGCTGACAGGTATCACCATTGCCCACATATTCCACAGTCGCCCCGACTTGTATGACGCTATTGGCGATATGTGTGCGTCGAGGGAGGTGGAGACAGTTTACTGTGGGAGAAGAGCTTGGGCGCAAATCGACTGGATTCTGGACTGAATGCGATCATCATCTATGGAAGCGTTATGGACATGTATCTCGTAGGTATACTGAACAGGTATGAATGAACCGGGGTTATTAAATCGCGAGGGCCTCCACTGAATAAGCGAATGCGACATGGATATCACTCCCTTGCGCGCGCGAAGCAAGGTACTGGTATTCTCCCAGACGGGTATGGGATATTTGAGTATTATGGTACGAAGGGTAGGTCTGAGCCACCGAGGTCGAGTTTACAGCCAAGGAGCGAACAGGCGGACTATGCAGAAGTAAGAGAGGCGCATAGCGGAGAAGCCGATCGTGTGACCATAGCTGGGAAAGGAAAGGACGTGAGTATGGCACTTTGTTGTGGCTGGCGGATATCTCGACCGGCCTCGCAAACTGGGAATTGCTCACAAGAATTGTTGATCATAACAGCCGAATATTTCTGGACCTGTGGTATCATTTTCCTACCTCGGCATTACTTGGCCGGAGAGTATGTCTGGGTTATCTCCCATTTTCGTTGATTTGGAATGCATATCGTAAGTTCTACTTTAATCTCGACAACTCTTCTCGACATTCGTGATAAGCTGAGACCTTGCTGAGCTCATGTACCTGCCGTTCAACTGGCCAGCGCCCCACACGCAGATCGAGTTGCTCTCTGCTCATCGCATGCATAGTCATGCGGGACCCCAATGACAGGGGAATTCAGATAGGATGCGCTCTAGGTCGCCCGGAGCGTCTTCCGCTATGACGAGACCGGCAACTTGACTGACAGTCAGCGCTCTGTGCATGCGACAGTGACGTATAGTAGCCTGTACCTACCTCGATCTTTATTCCAACGCCCACCATGGGAATATACATGCCCTCCGACCACATATAGCTTTTTCTTTGTGGGCGACAACATTGCCCATGGATTACCGCGTCGCACGACCACTGTCCAATCACTTATGGAACAGTCAATGCGATTTCTCGCACGAAGCAAGGCCGCTTCAGCAGCCCGATGCACAGCTTCAAGTGTGGCTGGGTCGGTTATGTCGTCGTGAGTGAGGATGTGAGGGCAGTGGCTGGGGTGGCGCCAATGGTAGAAGTCTTCAGCCCGGTTAGAAAGGCTCCTGTAGAAGTCCCAGGCCTCAGAATCCCGGCATAGGTTATTGACGCGAATCAAGGATACGTCAAATCCGTTTTGCATGGTCAGCCCTTGGTGGCGGAGAAGTGGCGAGAGAAATTCACGCTGAGTGGCGCGTTTCGAGGGATGGTAGCTGGCAAAACAGCAGCCAGATAGCTAGCTTTATACTCTTCAAGCCACAAAAGCAACAGAAACATACGCATGCCAACGAGGAATGGAGCCCGACACAGCGCGCCGCTAGGGCACACCCGCCTCGTTTGTCAGTCGTATCGAGCGCCGAGCACAGACATATCTCCGGAGGACGTGTCATAAGCTCGCTTCAAGGAGACATAAACTCGGGTCAATTTGACCACACGCCCAGCGTTCATGAATCGGGGCGCTTTTGCTGCAGTCGCTGTCGCGCATGATCGTCGGAATAAAGAACAAAGCCCATCACCTGATCGTGTACGTCGCGAACGTGACTCGGTCCGATGTCCGAACCAGAAAGATCGCTTTAACCTCTTACCACCATCACTGATTCAGCCCCATCCTTTCCTAGTGTCCCACTTCCTCCGATCCCTCGTCCTCCCAGGATTCTTACTCGCTCTTACCGAGGGACGCGAAGCTATGAGTTTCGATACCAAAGCCAACGACAAAAGTGACGTGGTGCTTCGCCGCGTACCATTCATCGCCTAAAGGGGAACAACACAATCCGTTTGTCGACGCGATCGAAGCTCCGACAATGAAAGAGAGGTCGATCCCCGTGTCATGGTGACAGCCAAGGCCTTGCGGAGCTATTCACTCCCTGTGAGTGCTTGTTTATGTTCGGAGCCCGCGTCTTACGCGTCCATGGAAGGCCAGCTAAGTCGGTGCCCGATCACACACAGCGACCATGGTCTGGGCGATCACACGCAGCAACAACGCGTCAACTCCGCTCCGCTCCCGTCGAGGCCAACAACCTTCGGCTTTTGTCGAGCGAGCAATGCCAGGCGTTTGACGCGTCGGCGTCGACGGTGAGTTCTTGCTCTTCCCGATCGTCGCCACAAACCACTTACGTCGGAGCAGATGCAGCGGGCTTCGGTGTTCTGGTCTCCCTCCGACGAGTAGGCCTCCTTTTATCGTCTTTCTCGAACAGCCATACCTCCGCTTCGATATAAGAACACCCCACCTCTGCTTCTCTTCGCCGGCAATTCATCAACCTTTAGGCGCTGTGCCAATGTTCTCTTCGCGGCGCTGGGAACTGGCTTTTGAGGCGCTATTGACTGCAATTCACGATGCAAAGGATGCAATTTGTGCCTCTGATCCGTGGTTCTCGATGTTCTGACACCATGGGCTACTGGCTTCTCTCCCAGCTTCTTCCATTTCGCTATTGCTCCCTCCGACGAGTTTCGACGACTTCGAGGACGGCCTCTATCCCCCGCCCCTTCTCAATCAATTGTCGACGTGCGCTCTTCGTGAGTGCACAGTCGAAGGGAGCTGAATAGGAAGACGGCAAAAGGGCGTGCGCCGTAAAAGACTGGTTCTATACACCTGCAATGCAATGTTGGCCTATTCTCGGCGCTCTTTCGTACCCTCTGTCTTCAACACTTCACATTAGAAGACTTCGATAGCGAAAAGAAGGGCCGCGCTACTTGACGTCCTTCGCGCTCATCTATAGCAGCAACTGCATCGCCATCGCACGGACGATTTCGCGCTTCGAAAGGTGACTTTATCTCGTTTCTCTCGTTCGTATAAACAGCCTTACGCGTCTGCCGCGTGCGCGCACTGCGATTCATGACAACTACGACCACGACCGTCGCCGGCTTGAGTAGCCCTTACACCGCAAGTCATATACCTGCCGACAAGTCTGATCTTCCTCAATAGCACGACTTCCTGCCTTGATGACGGGGAATGTACGCGACGCTATGCATGGCCGGTCACTTCCTTTCCCTTTTCGGGGTTGTCGCGGCCGACGGTCTGCGCCCTTCGCAAGATATCATGCAGTTGAAGTCGGGGCGACATGGATACTCAGAGACCGGTGTTTTCATCCTCGATTGGTTCTGATACAAGGTACTTATGAACCCCCCGCACCAGAATTCGCCGCGGAAGGTCGAACTCGTCGATGAGTACATCACTCGAGGGTTTTCAGCCGGAAAAGAGTAACGTATTTGTAGCAGGGTGATTTCGACCATTCACTTCGTTACAGGATGTCGTTCAGCTCGTCGATAGGGAGCATGAAAAATCTGTTGCCCACTGAAATGAACGTTGTTAGCAGTGTGCGTCCATAGCAGTGAAGCGGCCCAAGTATATGACATACCTGCTAGCTTCGTGGAGCCGTATTCGTCGCCCCAGGGGTCTTGGCGCCATTTGGTTCGCTCCACCACTTCGAACGCGAGTATCGACTCGTCCTTCTTGTATATCGCCCGTGGGAGTCCATTGTGCACGATGACGATCCCTTCCTTCGCAAAGGAATCCTGGCCGATTCTGCAGGCGAGGAAACGCGCATGGTCACGCATCGCGACTACGTGGTTACGCGTTGCTTCGTCGTAGATGTTGTCCTGCGTGACAACGCACATGATATCGTTGCGGTAGAGTTGCACGGATGGGCGCTTCGGGTTCCTCTCGTATGTCCAGTCATTCTCGTGGGGGACGAATGGTTTTTTAGGCTTGGCGTCCTTCAGCCCCGTGGTATCAGGGTTGGGCGATCGACGACGGGGGTCTGGACTGAGGTCGCGCGGGCGCGCACACCTCCCCGGGGCGTCGATGGAGAGCTGCTGCATCTTCCTTATGTTCTCGTCCATGATGCTCTCGGGCGCGACGGCGTGACCTGCAAGCAGTAAAGCGAGTCAGCCTTCCGGGTGCTGCCAGTCCGCATGCCACAACGTACCTCTGCGATAGGATGCCATCTTCTCGAGGGGCGGGAGATTGACGAGGTTAAGCTTTGGATGGGGTGGAGAATGGCTTCTCTCAAGATCAGAATGAGCATATATATACGACAGAGCTATGATCATAGGCAAAGCATGCCTAAACAAGAATGGTCGGAGATATCTTTGCTCGTACCCGACAGCGCGTGTCGCCTGACACTCATGCAGCTACGACATCTTTTCTGTGATACCCCGCTTTGGTATCCAGGCTTGAGAAGGCGGGCGAGTCTCAGAATCCGCGGCGCGTCTCCGCCGACGCGACCATGCACGTCAGAGTTGACCATAATCAACGACAAACACTGATCACCTGACCGCGTAAGCCGCGTGCGCGGGACTCGGTCCGGCCCACGAGGAAGGTTGAACCTTGCTTGTCTCCCGCCACCATCTGTCCCTGTGCCAGCAACCTTCTTCTGCGTCTCTTGAGGCGTACAATCCCTCATATCTGCTATACTCCGCGGTAGGCGCGCAGCCGCAGTCAGAAAACAAAGCCATTACGCAGCGCATCGCCACGTCCGGCATTCATGGACAAAAACGGAACAACAGACGACGCTGGCTGGGGTCGGAGTTTCGACAAAGGGAAAGAGAAGCAACTTCATGATGATTGCCGAAGGCCGAGACCCGACATACCCATCCCCTTTGAAGTTTCGCTTGTGACGCTCGAGCAACAGCCCGGCTATTCGAGGCCAGCGGCTTCGGCAAACGCTGACTCTATAGTTCTCGGCGTCGACGGTCTGTTTCATACACACCCCAACTTGCTATCTCCGTGTCCATCTCTTTGTGCATCTGCAGGTGGCGGCTGTTGGTAGTGGCAAACACCATGGGAACCTTGAGTTCTTGCTCTCCCGCCACAAAGTACTTACAATGAGTCAGATGCCGTGTTCCTAGCGAAGGCCTACTTCGTGCTGTTTTCGAAGCTTGTTCGTGCCCTCGCCGAAACCATCGTTTGGCGATTCTGCCTCCCCGAAGTTACTCAATATGGCAAACCTTGCGTCGGGCTTCTTGCCCTGCTTCGCGGCTTCGGCTTCTTGTCCCACTTCGATTGGCAGAAGCACAGCGGGAGATCCTTCTCACGCCACCTAATCTTGTTCTTCTTTCGCCGGAGCTTCTATAGTCGAAACTCGAGACTCGAGTGATTGACTACTTGTATAAGGCGCGCCTCAAACTTGCCGCCTTCGATCAACAATCGGACGCCTTGAAAGGATTGATCTGGCACTGCCTATATTCTGGTGTCTGAATTTTGGCGTTCTTCATACGATGGCAAGAGATGAAGCGTGTGGGAAGGGTGCGTCGTTGATTCTTCGAACCTTTGCGGCTCGTTCTTTCCCTCTCGAACCTCCTCTCGCACTGCTTCCTTCGCGTTCCATCTTCTCCTGCTTTCGTGAGCTCTTTGACTTATTCAGGCGCCCAATGCCGTTCCTTCCATCATACCACACTTCCCGACGACCTTCGGCCGTCCTTCTTTGGCCCTCTGACGGCATCCGACCGAAGCGCTTGATTCGTCGGGGAAGAGCTTCTCGCAGGTGTCTTCCGTCGAGTCGATGGAGATGGGTTCTATGGCGCAGACCGCTCATTGGACCGCCTCGAGAATTCGAGGCTAGTTCTTCCTTGCGCCTCCTGGCTCCTGGCGTTCTCATGAAGGTTCCGAGTCTTCGAGAATTCAAACTACAGCTTTTCGAGCTCGTTTGGCCCGTTCACAACGGCTTTCATCTTCCTACTTTCGAGGGTCGGCGTGAAGTTCGCTGGGCTCTTCGAGTGCGTAATTTGAACGACGAGTTGTTCACAACGAGATGATGCGCGAGGCCCGACGTCACTTGACTAGAAACCCAGTGCGTTGGATGGATCTTTCTTGGTCGCTTGCTTGCTCTCGAGCAAAAGGTACACTCTCTAACTCGTCTTGAGCTCCTAGCAGCGGCGCGGCGCCGAGGTACTCTAGTAAGTAGTAGAACATGGACGCACGTGCCGGTAGCGTGATCGGCGATCGCCGAAGCGATGAGGCGGTGCAGCGCTTCTCCTCAAACCATCGTTGAAGATAGCCAGCTCTGTCACTTCCCGAGAATGAGTCTTCGAGTACGTATGCATCTACATCGCTGCGTACACGTACATCAGGTGCTGACATTCTCTATGACAGCAAATTCCGCGCCGCCTATCGTTGGAGGAACGCCTCGAGCACGCGGCGTCTATCACGAATCTCGCGATGCTGCGCACATCCTCCGAGCCTTTCCACATACAAATCCAAACGATCAAGTGGCTCACATTTCTTCTGGAGTCTGAACTTAGATCCCTTCCTCCCGACGACGATTTCACCCGCAAGAAGATCCTGGCACAGCTCGACACCAACCGGCTCATCCTCGCTCCCATCCGCCGCCTACCTCTCGAGCTATTGTCCTACATTTTCTCCCTTGTAGTCAAGAAATCGCCATTGCGTACTGTCAATATCGCCGCTGCCCTCTCGCGCATCTGCGCCGCATGGCGGAAAGTCGCGCGTGCGCATCCGGCGTTGTGGACGACGGTGTACGTGGAGAATCTGAATGACTTTGATGAGTACCGAGAACTGTTCCTTCCTTTGACAAAGGATAGGCCTCTTGAGCTGCGGTGCGATGACCTCGAAATCCTGGAAGACTTGTGGGATCGCATGGCACCGTATGCGCCTCGCTGGCGCCGTATCACACTTGGGGCTCGCCATGGCAGGCTACCAGATCTCCAGGTTCTCCACATGGAGAGCCTTGAGCGCTTGGTTGTCTTCGCATACGATGCGCCTATCTCCTCGGAACTCAGTGTACTCGATTTCGTCGTCGCACCGCGCCTTTGCCACATCGGACTTACGCTTGACGTGCTGCAGAGCAAGCGTCAGCTTCACGTCCCCGTGGCGCGGACCCTCAAGTCCCTGATGATCGAGACGATAGAGCCGTTCCCCATCACTCGTGTTTTGCCCCTGCTCCTGGAGTGCGCGGCCACATTGCGAGTTCTCACCCTCAAAATTCGCGACCCTTTGGGGGGTACCGAAGGCTCATCCCCCGCCTGCGCGTCCGATATACTCGTCATGCCTGTCCTTACCGACCTCAGAGTCAATGACTCTGCCTGCGCGCTGCTCTATCACATCACTACGCCCCTTCTCGAGGAGCTCGTCCTCAGTACCGTACCAGCATATGGCTCCCACATGTTGCTGCAGTTCCTGACTCGAAGTCAGGCGTCGCATCATCTATTGGACTTCAGGGTCTACAAGACGGAAGAACGAGATGCGTCTACATGGTTCCCCTGCGTCGAGCTCATGCACAGTCTCAGAGATCTGCACTTCGACGAGCTACTGTCGAACGAAGACTTCCTGGAGCGCATGGTCCTACACGCGGACAAACCTCCCATCTTGCCCTCGCTTAACAAGATCGCCATAAGTAACATTTACTACCGACACATAGAGCTGCGGGGGCTTATTCGCGAGATGTGTAAGTCGAGGTCGACGATGATAACCATAGGCGGACATCGGGCGTCTCTAACCCTCAACTGGCTGGCGGATTAAGCCGGTACTGGACTAGTGTGTGGATCTTTGTCGTCTGTTCTTGGATGATGTTTGAAAGATATTACAGTCTTCGCCATCAATCTCATGACGCGTGGCGGCCAGAGGGGCCAATCATGGAGGTCATTAGTGGAAGAATACGGATGGAGAAGATATCTAGGGAGCGGATTCGGGGTGCGCACCGCCAAAGAACACATTTACGACTTCGTCCTGGTATAAGCGGTTTCGGTGAAAAGTTTTGTCCTGCCATCTTTGTCGTAGCCAGATGCAATTAGCGGAGTTATTTCTCTCATGGAGGGGCCTTGTGGTTCGTGACAGCCCGGTTCGCGTAGGTGGGTTGAATTGGCGTTCAAGATGACCTGGGTCGAAGACAGACCTGACCGGTCCGAGGCAACGATAGCGGGGGTCAGATGAAGGATGTTGGAGAAAAGAGCTGTGCACGGAGTACCACGGACGACTGGCAACCAGGCCGCCGTTCGGCGGTTGCGCTTGCGTTGCCGCCTATAGCGCTTCGGTCGTGGAGGATTGCCAGTAGTGCTCGTAAGGCACTCAGAGGAGTATGTTACACGGTCTTGAGGGAGCGGCATAGAGTAGACGATGACACTGGATGCAGCAAGCAAGCAAAGGCGGTGCGGAGCCGGTAATGGGCAACTGGCGGTGAGTTCTCACGATCTCGTGCTGCGTGGTTCGACTTTTCGCCGTGTGCACTCTCAGGGTAGCGAGCTACGCCCTTAGTCGTCTTATTTGTCATCCCCGAGCTCTCTCTACGCACATTCGTCCCTCCCCTGACCAAATCTGCGCCGATTTGGTTCTTCCACGCTGTATGTTATCCCCCTGTGGCCTAAAAGCATGAACACACGTGTCTCTCGCGTGATCGGCGATTGCCGTACTGAATATGCCGTGGCACGACGCTCCCTTCCCGCCTTCATTCTGATCGTTAACGATAGCCAACCCTTCGTTCTAGGGCAATTCACCTTCGAGCGAGTAGTTCTATGCATAGCTTTTAGGAAAATTTTGCTGATAACTTTAACAGCACATTATGCTTCGGTCGTCTCCTATGAGGACGGTCATCGAGCGCGCGGCGTCTGTTGCCAACCTCGCCTTGCTGCGGGCGAACGACCTTCCAAATAAGCTGCAGATTGAGACGATCAGCGATTATAATTCTTTGCTGAAAATACGACCTTGCCTCTCTTTCCCCAGCCGACACGCCCACTCGCAAGATAATAATGACTCGCAACGCGCAGCTCGAGGGAGTCATGGAATCAACTGCCTACCCGCCGCAATCTGGCCCCTTGATAGTGAGCATATAGTTACAGTAGAAATCATGTATATAGGTAACTTCGAACGCTTCATACAGTATGTCGCTCGCGTACCAATAGAATTGATTACTCCTCGATCCACCCAAGGCCTACATGTATAATCTCTCCATCGACCACTTCCTCCCTGTCCCTCGCTCCGCACAGATCCTCAATAGCTTCGTGCAGTTCTCGGTGATTCCAGAAGATGTGGCAGATGGCAATATGCTCCAACGAAGGTAGAAGAGGGGGCTCCAACTGAGCCAATTGCCTTAGAAATACCTCGCTCGACAATAACTCGTCGAAGTGCAGTTGACTGAGGTTGTCCATGAGGCGGAGGCAGGGGATCCAGGCGAATATATCTTTTTCTTCGGCCTGATAGACCCTTAGTATGTGCAGATGGCGAGCGGCCTGACTTCGCGCCAAGAAATGCAGCAAAGAACCCGAGCCATACGCTGGCACGTTGCTGAGGATGAGCTCGTCCAAAAGCGGGGCGGCGATGTGGTTCAGCAACGCGCATGCAGAATCGACAAGGCTGAGAAGGGTGAGAGCTTCCATGACGAACGTCTCTGACGCGCTCGTCGTGTACGAGCTTTCAGGGCCTTCCAGTGGGTAGCGAACTTTGAGAACGAGTGATTGCAGCCTGTTCGCGCAAGCTCGAAGGAGAGGAAGTGCGTGAGTGACGGGGAAGGGTGACATCACGTCGATTTCCAGAGACGTGAGCGCGCGCGCCACAGGGACGTGCAGCTGGCGCTCGCTCTGCAGGACGTCGATCGTGAGCCTGATGTGGCGAAGATGTGGTGCGACGACGAAGTCGAGGGCGCTGAGGTCTGCAGAGTTAGGTGCATCGTATGCGAATACTACCAAGCGCTCTAGCCTCTCCATGTGGAGGACCTTGAGCTCTGGCAGTACGCTAAGATGAGCTCCGAGTGTGATGCGGCGCCAGCGAGAGGTGTACAGCGCCATGCGATCCCACAAGTCCGGCAGGATCTCGTGAGCGTCACATCTCAGCTCGAGCGTCATGTCTTTCGTCAACGGAAAGAATAGCTCGCGATATTTATCGAAATCGACTAGGCTCTCTATGACCACCGTCGTCCACAACGCTGCATGCGCACGCGCGACTCTGCGCCAGGCGATGCAAATGTGCGAAAGGGTTACGGCGACGTTCAGAGTACGCAAGGGAGATCCTTTTACCACGATGGAGAAAATGTAAGACAAGAGCTCGACGGGTAGACGGCGGATGGGCGCGAGGATGGACCGGCTGATGTCTAGCTGGTTCAAAATCTTCGTGCGAGTGAAGGCGTCGTCCGGCGGAAGGGTCCTGAGTCCCGACTCCAAGAGAAATGTAAGCCAGTTAATCGTGCTTATCTGAACATGGGAAGGCTCGGAGTATGTGCGCAGCATCGCGACGTTAGCGACAGACGCCGCACGCTCGAGGCGTTCTTTCAACGATAGATGCCGCGTAATGTGCTGTCATAGCCAGAGTTAGGGTCCAACGTGCAGATTTGCAGTTGTACGTACCCGAGAATGCATTCTCATGAAGTCAAAGAGCTGGCTGTCCCCCACAATGGTTTGGGAGAGAAGCGCTGCACCTCATCTCTTCGGCGATCGCCGACCACACGGTCAGCGCCCCAGCACGTGCTCATGTTCTACCTTCCCCCCGCCTGTCCTGTGAGCCACAGGCAGATTAGAGGAACACCTTTCGAGCGAGCACAAAGCAGCGACCGCGGACGATTCATGTCACGCACTGGGTGTTCCTCAGGTGCCTTTGGGCATTGCGTAACCTCAGACTAAAGTAAGAGCTCGACGAGCCCAGCAAAGTACACATCGACCATCGAGAAAGGTAGATGGGAAGATGATATATATTTCGAACGGGCTGAGAGAGCTCGAAGAGTCATGACCGGAGTCGACGGTCATGGGGGAGGCGCAGGTCGAGAGGGAAGGGGCAGTTCGATGGGGAATGGGGAAGGAGCTCACTCACGGGCGTCGAGGGTACCCTCCCTGCTGTCGAAGGCACTGCTTGGCATTCGCTTTCGCCCTCCTCCACGCTCACACTCCCTCCGCCGACCGCTTTTCTTCGCCGTCCCCTTCCTGCACTTCCACCCTCGAGCTCTCCTGCACAGCGCGTGTAGCTCCACCCCTCCCCTGCCAGACGCCGAAAATGAGATGATTCCATTCCCAGTCTGACCCGTGGTCCACATCTCTCCTGCGCCCATCTCGCGTATCCACGCTACTCCTTTCGCGTGCCCGGGCCCTTCTCTGCCTGTGTTCCATCGTCGCGTCCTTCCCCTCCGTCGTCGCCCGCACTTGATCGCCCTTCGCACCGACATCCTCATGAGACGACACGCTCCCCTTCGCCATGTCTCCACTGGCTGAAAGGCAGCGGGAAAACGGGTCGTCGTTCGATATGAGCAGTCGAACGCGCCCACCTTCGCTGGCAGGGCAGGTGCGTCCTTTTTCGCTCAGTAATCGGTAGCACCCCCTTTCTCGGAGTGGTCAGACGGGCTCTTCTTCGCTGAGCGGTCAGACGCGCCGCCCTCCTATGAGCGGTCGGATACGCCCTGTCTAGCCGCCTCGAGTGCTGCGGTCTCTTCGCCGTCGGAAGCGCTCTCCATCGCCTTCGCTGACGGAAGCACTCGCTCATCGACTTCGGGCCTGTGGATCGTCAGCGCAGTTCAATATACACAGTTGAGGGTTGTGAGGGAGAATGAGAAGAAATGGGAGACAGGAGGAGACGGTGGGACGGTCGAAGGAGGGAAAAGGGATGTAGGAAAAGGCCTCACCTTGCTTCCAAGCGCGTTGCCTGCTTCCCTTTCTATCCACAAGTTGACGCCTCTGGGCCTAGTCTGCCGCCCCAAGCCCTAGTCTGACGCTCACTGCGCCCCCCACCTGCAAACGCACACCCTGCGCCGCCAACCTCCCCTTATATCCCCCCTCTGCCTCCGCGCATTGCCCTCATCCTTCTCCCCCCATCCCCCATCCCCCATCCCCATCCCCACCTCTCCATCCTACTCCTCATCGTGCTCTCCTCCACGTCTTCGCCCCTCACTCCACCCTCCAACAGACTGTCGGAGGCGCCCCGTCCTTCCGCTACGCCGGTCCATCCTGCTCGAGACCAATTGCCACCCCCTCAGCGTGTCCCGTACCCTTTCCTCAGTGCATCCCCATCATGCGTCCGGTTGTCCACCTTCAGACGCTCAAACCCTTCACCATGTCGGCACGCAGTCCCCTTGCCGTCGTATACGCGCTCTGTTGTCATCGTACACACTCTCCCTCGCTGTCACACGCTCTCTCTCGTTACCACACGCTCTCCCTCCAGCCGTCGGACGCATACCCAGCATTCTGGAAAGGTCGGGAGGGACAGAGAAGGGATGAAGAGGAAAGAAAGGATCAGAAGAAGAGGGAAGGTAGGGGACGGGAAAAGGGTAGGAAGGGGAGGAGGGGAAGGGAGCGGCGAGAGAGAAAGTAGACAGTGGGATGGAGGGAAGGGGCAGAGGGGACGTGGGAGAGAGGTAGGTGGAATAAATGACGGAGACATGAGATAAGAGAAAAAAGAAACACCGAACACACCACTTGAATTCGGATACGGGGAATCGAACCCCGAGCTGCCGCGCACTGCAATATGGGACTATGAGAGGCGGCAATGTTGGCCGTTACACCATATCCGATGAAGGGTCAGGGGGAGGGAGAATACCAGAGCGGGGAGAGTGGGAGATTGCAAGGGCAAGGGACGAACTTGAAGGCAGGGAAGGGCGGGAGGAAGAATCGACGTGGAAGGAGCGAGGGAAATGCAGACGACGGGTAGTCGGGGGAAAGGGGCGTGTGCGAGGAGGAGGGAGATGAAGCAAGCGTAAAAGAAGACTAGCAGACATGTACCAGAGGTTCGTGTTGCGGAAGGAGGGCACTGGGAAGGACGCGCAGGAAGAGGTTGATGAGGTGGTGTAGTAGGCATGTCGTGTACTGACAGAGAGAAGAGATGAGTCGAATGCGAGTACTGCCAAAGCCTGCGACGCGACTAGCCAGGGAGATGGGCGTGGATCCTCGAAACCCAAACGAGGCGACGCCACCGCGCATCCGCTCTGGTCGGTCCGAGTATCTGATTAGTCATCGACATGTGACACTGACATCCATCCGTCGGCGCTACGATTTGCTCGCATCTACATCTTTGGCTCAGAATCCAATCGTTCGAACTTGGTAAACATCGTCAGCCCACACTGTACAGAGGCGAACGGTCAGAGAAAGTGCAGCATACCGTGACGGATGGGTTCCTCAAGCGCATTGATGCCCAGTTTCAGCGCATTCATTCGACTGGAAAGCGAGCGTTCGAGGCGCAATGGCAGGATGACAACCTCTTGCGTAGGCTTCGCAGGACGTGGGCAGCGTGTAGGCCTGTGTTCTCCGGCTGGGGGCCCACGGGCTTCATTCATACGAGGACCTCGACCGCCCCTCATAGGCCTGTCCAAACGCGCGGGGAGCAAGTGCACTTTCAGGACGAGGCGCGCCATCGCCCGGATGAGGCGCAGCGCCGCCCGGATGAGATGTAGCGTAACCAGGAAAAGCTGGCACGATCAGACGCGGCGTTTATAGCACGACGCGTCGCGGCGGGTCGCGCCATGTCGGACTGGGCGAGGGTGTCATGTCGGCCTCAGCACCCTTCCGCGCCCGGGATCCCGGGTGGTTATATATACGCTGGCGAGGCGGTGAATGCTACATAGCATATCTCCCTCACTGTCCGTTCTGCATCCACATCCTCCAACATGACGCTCGCGATGAAGACCGCGAACAGCGTCGTGCAGAATGGCTCGAAGGCGCTCAAGGCGAGCGCCGCGCAGGGTGTGTATGATTACTTTCGAAGTCCTCGATCCGCGCTGATACTTCCCCATTTGCAGCCCAACGACCACGGAGCCCCTCCCCTCCCTTCAAGCGGCCTTCTTCGCCCAGCCTCGTCCGCCCATCCCAACCCCTCAAACGTGGCCTACTTCCCCCTGCTCTCGACCCCGACACCCATCACCACCGCTGCCTTGCGCAGCTGCGGTCGAAGGACAAGCCTCTCGAGAAATACATCTACCTCACCTCGCTCAAGCACACCGACCCGGACCAGTTCTTCAAGTTGTGCATGAACTACATGAGCGAGTGTACGCCGATCATCTACACGCCGACGTGCGTCTGATTGTTCGCTTTGTACTGGTCGTTGTGCTGACGATCCTCTTCAGCGTCGGCGACGCATGCTTGCAGTTCTCCAACATCTACAGGCGGCCGGATGGTTTGGTGTGCATACATCCCTCCCCTTTCGACCGAGTAGCTAACCCATTCGTATAGTTTGTCTCCATCAAAGATAAGGGCAGTATCGGCGAGGTCCTGCGCAACTGGCCAAGGATGGAAGATGCGCGGATATCCGTCGTCACTGACGGTACGCACATTTCCCTTTGTACCGTGTCCTCTCAGCTGACTTCCCCCAAGGATCCCGCATCCTCGGCTTGGGTGATTTGGGCGTGAACGGTATGCCCATATCCGTCGGCAAGCTGTCCCTGTATGTCGCCGGCGCGGGGTGAGTAGGCTGCGCTTCGCGTGGAGGGAGCTGTCTGTTGACACGCTGTCCAGCATCCGCCCACATTCCACCGTGCCCATTTGCCTCGACCTCGGCACGAACAACCAGCAGAACCTCGCCGACCCGTTCTACCTCGGCCTGCGGCAGCCGCGCGTGTCGGAGCAGGAGATGGACGAGTTCATGGATGAGTTCATGCACGAGATGCGGGTCAACTTTCCCAAGCTCTTGGTGCAGTTCGAGGTATGCTGTCATGGACGACGACCGTGCGATAGATCGCTAACCGACGTACCCTCCTCCTCCAGGACTTCTCCACGGACCACGCCTTTGGCTACCTCGCGCGGTATCGGCACAAGTACCCCGTGTTCAACGACGATATTCAGGGCACGGGCGCCGTCGTGCTCAGCGGGTTCATCAATGCTGCGCGCCTGTCGTCTGCCGCGTCTGGGCGTCCCTTGACGGACCAGCGCGTGCTGTTCTTCGGCGCGGGCAGCGCTGGCGTCGGCGTAGCGCAGCAGCTCATGAGCTTCTTCACGCTGAACGGGCTTAGTGAGGAGGAGGCCAGGGAGCGCATATACCTGGTGGACTCGCAAGGCCTAGTGTACGACGGACGGGGGAAGCTGCAGGAGCATAAGAAGTGTGCGTGATCGTCCACGTTTCCTGTCGGTATCATACTGACATACATGTTTCACTCACCAGACTTCTCCCGCAAGGACTACACCGGCCCGCCGATGAAGAGCCTCCTGGACATCGTCGACCACGTCAAGCCGACTGCGCTGCTGGGCCTCTCCACCATCACCGACGCCTTCACCCCCGAAGTCATCCGCCGCATGTCCGAGCTCAATCCGCGCCCGATCATCTTCCCCCTCTCCAACCCCGTCCGGCTGTCGGAGTGCTCCTTCGAGAGCGCGGTCGCGCACTCGGACGGCCGCGTCCTCTTCGCGTCGGGCTCGCCTTTCGAACCGATCGACTTCAACGGGCGGACGCTGTACCCGGGGCAGGGCAACAACATGTACATTTTCCCCGGCTTGGGGCTGGGCTGCATCCTCGCCCGCGTGTCGGCGGTGACGGACTCGATGGTCGAGGCGTCGTCGCTCGGGCTGGCGAACTCGCTCACGGAGGACGAGCGGGCGCATGACCTGCTATACCCGCGTATCGAGCGCAGTGAGTGCTGTTCGACGAGTTCGTCCGTGTCGCTAAGCTGACCCGTGCTCTCTAGTCCGCGAGATCAGTGCTGCTAACGCCGCCGCGGTCATTCGTGCCGCGCAGAAGGCGGGCGTGGACCAGAACGAGGGGCTACGTGGCCTGTCGGACGATGAACTTCTGGAATACGTGAAGCAGAAGATGTGGAGCCCGCTGTAGAGTGCTGTCGTTCCTCCCTTCCGTCCCTCTCCCCTCTCTCTCCCCTAATCTATGCTAATATGGTCTCCTCGTGTTGTGTATTGCTCTGGATCTCACTGGATATGCTGTCGGACCGTTGTAGAAATCAATAGTAACTTATACCCTACTAAAATATCGAGTCTTGCTCTCCTTGCCGCACCGTCCACGGTCGTTGAGTCTCAGGAAGATGGTCTTCTTATACTTTCGACACTGCCGCTACACTCGGAAGAACGTGAGGTATACATTCCAGGCGAGGACGACCCGTCTGCTCGCGAAGACGACCTGTAGTCTCGCGACGAAGACCTATATGCCTGCGAGACCGACGTGTCCGTCGGCTCGTGCATGCTCGGCGGACGCCCATGTTCCAGCTGCTCAGTGATACCCTGCATGTTCTCGCGGCTTGCGGAGGTAGATGCGGAGTACCAAGTCAGACTGGGCAGGTTCCTCATGATGGACCCGTCGGTCGTAGTCAGTATGGATCCTGCGCGAAATTGAGCGACTTCGCTAAATAAGACGTTCGCAGCATACGCACGTTCGGACATGTCCCGATCCTTACGCTGCCGCCGACGCCAGCCCCGATACAGGAAGACCGCACAACCAACGCTCAGGATGAACAGCACGCCAGCAAGCACGCTAGTGAGCGCGATAACGAGCGTGCGGTCCGGCCCTTGGTGCTGGGCGTCGGTCGCCGGGAGATTGTCGGGTGAGACGGATGGATTCAGAGGGGAAGTGGAAGGCGCGGCGGTGTTAGACGGCGGCGGCGGCCACGAGCCGGAGAAGGGGGGTGGAGGGGGGCCGTCGCCGGGCTCATCGTCGTCTGGCGCGATGCTGAAGCCGGCGAAGACGTAGGGGGAGGAGGCGTTCTCGATGGTGATCACCAGGCTGTGGGGAGTGTCCTTCGCGAGGTCGCGGGTGGCGAAGAGGGGGAGGAGAGTGTTGTCGGTTGAGCCGTCGAGGGGCTCGCGGGAAAGGAGGGGCGTGCATTCATCGAGGACGTAGGAGGCCTCTGCAGGGGGCGAGGTACTGTCGCTCGCATCGGGCGCGGCGCCGAAGACGATGATACCGCTGCCTGCGGCTGATCAGTACGATGCGATGGCTGGCGATGAACATCACTCACCGTTGAAAGAAAAAGACAAGCTGGCGCCGGGCCTGTCCGCAGTGCTGACCGGCAGGACCGAGGGATCTTTGTCGTCAACTAACCAGGTGCCGTCGTAGTTGATCCGTGTGCTGTTCGCCTGCACGCACGTATCACAGTCCATGGAGCCCCATGGCTCGTTCGATTCCTTGCTTCCATCTGGCGAGGTGCTCTGGCCATCGTGTCCCCCAGGCGAGGGAGGACCCCAAGGCCTACCGCTTGAAGACGCACAAGACGACGCGCTCGCACTCATGTCAGTACTCAGCAACCGCCATGAGGCGTGCGGACAACCTGCAAGCCTTATCCTTAGCGCCGCCTCGCCTCACGCATACCATCAGCAACTCACTTGCACCAGAAGGGCGGGCAGATGCGGGGGAGAATCGCTCCCCAGGAACGCACCCAAGCCGTCTTATATGACGGTGTGCACGGCGATCCCGCTGTCGTCAGGCCGCAACACACGGCCTGGGTTCTTACGCTCGGCTCTTGTGCTGCACATCTTCACCTCATTGACCGCTAGAAGTGCAGAAGAGATAGCGAGGAGAATGGTCGGCCGTCGGCATGTGCACCTCGTTATAACCGCGGCCGTGGGAGTGATAAACAAGCCCGCTGACCACCGTGGCATCCACGCTTTCGGGGTCTATTGGACAACGTCTATAAGCACTGCACGTGTACCAAACAAGCATGTAAGTAGATCAATCCGTTCTAAGAGGGTACCTTCCAGCTCGTAGCGCCATCTCATGCGCCAGCAAGCTTTTTCAACATCGCGAATTCCTCCTTGCCCGTCGCCTTGCACAGTGAGTAGAACTTCGACGAGGTATCGCGCAGAAGGGTGGCCGGGCTATAACGAGAGTCAATCAACCGTGTCCTTGTGTACACCACGCGAAGCGAAGTACTGACCTGTCGAACTCTGCAATACGCCCGTTGTCGAGCAGCATGACCCGGTCGTAATCGATCACGGTCCTCAAGCGATGCGCAATCGTCAGTATCGTGCTATCGGCGAATTCTCTGCAGCAAGAAGGTCAGCGCTTGGTCCGCAACTCAGAGAAGGGTGGCGTACTGTCGAATCGTTTTTCCGATGAGCTCGTCGGTGGCATAGTCAACACTGTGAACATCAATTTAGCTCTCACGCCCCACGGCGTCCAGCTCATCTCATACCTCGCCGTCGCCTGGGAAAGACCATATCAGTATTGTAGAGCGATTCCGGAGACAGGACATGACGCACCTCGTCCATGAAAAGCACCTTGGAGCGCTTAAGGATAGCCCGGGCCATGCAAAGGAGTTGTTTCTCGCTGGGGACGATGGGCTTCAGCGTCCGCTCAACCCCAAAAGCACAGATGACTTACCCAGTCGAGAAGTTTTCGCCGCCCTCCGAGACAACACCGTCGAGGTTGCGGAAGACGTTCACGTTGATGTCCCCTGGGATTGGCTCCGAGGAATTCTCCGAGGGGATCAAGTGTACGCGACGAAGGGCTTCGTACTGTTGCTGCTGTTAGGGGTTGTCCGAGCCTCGCGCAGAAGACTCACGATTTCGGCGTCCTCGTATTCCTCGAAGACGTCCAAAGTCGAACGCAAGGTACCGCTTAAGATCGTTGGGTCCTCTGCGAATGAATCATCAGCAAAGTTTCCTCTGTACAGCTGAATGCTACTCACGAGGGATGATGGTCAAGCGACTCCTCAGGTCCGTCAGCCCGACCTTCGCAATGTCGAGCCCATCGATGAAGATCTTGCCCTGCGTCGCTTCCACAAACCTGAAGAAGCTCAACGCAAGCGTACTCTTGCCGGAGCCCGTCCTTCCGAGCACCGCAACCTTCTCGCCCGGCTTGACCGAGAACGTCAACCCATGCAGCACCGGCGGCAGCTCCGGCGCATACTGGATCACCAAGTCCTCGACATTGATCTCCCCGCGCTCCGGCCACGCCGCCGGCGGGCGCGGCTCGACGAACTCGGGTGCCTCGCGCTTCAGCTCCGAGTACTCCTTCACGCGCTCGAGCGCGACCATGCTCTGCTCGAGCCCGACGAAGCGGCGGACCATGAAGAGCAGGTCGCCCGTGATGCTGTTCGCGAACGCGAGCGCGAAGCCGGCGAACGCGGCGTCGATGCGCGGCGTGAGCATGACGACGACGGCCGTGACGCCGACGACGGCGGAGGAGAGGAGGTTGAAGCGCACGGAGAGCCAGCGGTTCACGCCCCACATCCAGTAGTACGGGTTCGCGTTCGTGTCGACGCAGCGGAGCATGTCGCGCATGAACTTGGTTGAGGCGCCGAAGGCGCGGAGGATGGTGACGCCGGAGATGGTCTCGCCGTAGAGCGAGTAGAGCGGGGAGCGGGTAACCGAGTCGAGGCGGCGCATGTCGCGGGAGGTCTGACCGTAAACCTTGCCAACTTGGTAGTAGAAGAACCCGATAACAAGCGCGGCGGCGACGAAGGGCGGTCCACCGACCACGCTGACCGTGATGATTGTCGTCGCCGTGGACAAGCTGTACATCGCCGTGCGTCCGAAGTTGTCCGAAAGCGAGGAGTCAATGCCCTCAAAATCCTTCCCGAACCGGTTGAGCACACGTCCGCGGGAGACAGTATCGTGGAAGCGAATGTTGGCGAAGAGGACCGACTCAAGAAGGCGCTTATAGAGAACGCGGGAGGCGTGAATGGAGCCGCCGTCTGAGGGTCGATCAGCCAGGGGAAGAACACGACGTGGAAAGCTACGTACACAAGCTGAACCAACGGAGAGTCGTGACAACGAGACCCGCAAGAGCGACCGCGGCGTAAATGCCGATGTAGTACCCCGCGCTCTTGCGCTCGCTCGGCGGCGTCAGCTCTTGCGCCGACCAGTACCTCAGCCAGCCGTTCTCAGCGACCGGCGAGAGCGCAGAGACAACGAAGACGAAGACGAAGAACGCCCAGTACCACTTGTCGCCGCAAGCTTTGAAGTACGTGAGCCTGAAAGGCGGTCAGTATCACGAAGGGACGCAGTGCTGTGAGAAGCGCACCAGATATCCTTGCCAATCCTGCCGACAGCGCGCTTCTCCTCCTCGACGAGCTTCCGGGGCGGCTTCCTTGCCTTGGCTGGGGCCGCAGGCGCCGGCTGCGGCGCCGTCTTCAGCTCCGACGGGCGCACGCCCTGCCCCGCCTCATCCGCGCCTTCAAAGCCCCCCTCAATCGCCAGCTCCTCCTTCTCGTCCTCCTCCACCGCGTCCACCGCCTGCACCAGCCCCGCCATCACGCCCGAGCCGCGGAAGCCCTCCACGCCGCCCGCGTACCGCACGCGCCCGTTGTCCAGCGCGACCACGTACTCCGCGCCGCGCCTGCCCCGCCCGCCGCCGCCCACGCACAGCTGCACGTGGTGGCTGACGAGCACGACGGTGCGGCCGTCCATCAGCGGGCCGCGGAGGCAGCGCGCGAAGAGGTGCTGCGCGGTGTGCGCGTCGACCGCGGAGAGCACGTCGTCGAGGAGCAGCGTCTCCGCGCGCGAGTAGACGGCGCGCGCGAGGGAGACGCGCGCTTTCTGCCCGCCGGAGAGGTTCACGCCGCGCTCGCCAATTTCGGCCGCGTCGCCGTCTTCGAGGACGTCGAGGTCGGCGGTCAGGGCGCAGGCGTCGAGGACGGCGGTGTAGCGCGCTTCGTCGTAGGGGAGGCTGAAGAGGATGTTGTCTGAGGGGGCCGGTTAGTAGGGTGAGGAGAGTAGGCTGAAGGGAGGTCGGGCGTACCCTTGATGGAGGCATTCCGGAGCCAGGCGGCCTGCGGCACGTACGCGCACACACCGGGCACGATCCAGGATTCGGGCGCGATAGAGCCCTTCTGCATTACATCACACGTTAGTCCACTTACCCTTCGCAGCAGCGCACAGCCCACACTCACCTCCTCCGCCTCCTTCGCAAACACTGCCAGCGCATCCGGCGGCGACCTTGGGCACGACAGTTGCCCTGCAAGCACGTCCGCCTCGCCCAGCAAGCCCAACAAAAGCAGCGTCTTCCCGCTCCCGAGCTTCCCGCACACAAGCGACAGCGCGCCCGGAGGGAAAGACAAGGTGACGTCCTGCAGGATGAAGGAGGGGCGCGGGGTGGAGAGGCCCGGGAGAGTGGTGGAGGTCGTCGAAGCTTCAAGACCAGTCGATGTGGAGCTCGACACCTCGTTGCCAGCTTCCAAGCCTGAGGCGCCAACCGCTGTCGATCCACTCGTCGACGGCGCCGGCGTACCCGCGCGCGCGGGCGTCGCGCCGCCGATACCGACTAGGGGCGTCCCCGACGCGCGCTCCTGCGGCCAGGTGAGCGTGCACGAGCGGAGCTCGATGGGCGTAGGCTCCGCGGGGAGGGCGGAGGCTAGAAAGAGGCAAAGCGTCAGCGTTATGTACTTGTTCTCCTTCACCCCACCTCGACCTCCCAAGCTCCCCAAACACTCACCACCCAAACGCCCCAACCCCTCCAACTTCTTCACCTCCGCCGCGCCCAGGTACTTCTCGATACGCCGGAGCGACACGAGCGACTGCAGCATGTTGATGAACGTCTCCGGCAGCGCGTTCAGCGCGAAATTCATCTCCGTGAACACTGAGGGGAGGGGCGGTCAGTTTGCTATTGTCCCAAAAACGTTACTCCTCCCCCGAAATCCTGCTCTCCCCAAAACTTCGGACTCTCTCTGCCGCTGCGCCCTCTCCCTCCCCCCGCTGCCACAACCGTCCCCCATGGACGCCCCACGCGCCCAAAACCGTGACGCCGTTTCAATCATATAACAAAGCGGCCCCACAGCGAAACGCACCCCCTTCACGCAATCAACCCCCCCCCCCCCCCCACCACCCCCACCCACCCACTCACACAACCAGCGAAAATCCCCCACTCACCCATAATACTCGTGAACGCCGTCGCCGGGCCCAGCGGCTGCCCCCGCAGCACCGAGTAGTGCCAGAAGGCGACGAGCGTGACGAGGATCGGCGAGCCGTTCCAGATCGCGTTCCAGAGGGTCTGGGGGGGGTGGGTGAGTATTCCTCGTCGTTTGAGGCGTGGGATGGGAGAGGCGAGAGGGATGGGGAGGGGAGGGGTATGGGGCGAGAGGGATGGAGAGGGCGAGGCGAGAGGCATTGGGGGGAGGGGATGGGAGGCGAGAGGCGAGAGGCATGGGGAGGAGGAGGCGCAGCACGCATGTCGAGGACGCGGGGCGGTTCTAAAGGAACAGGGAAGGGAAGGGAGACCAAAGGGGAAGGAAAAGGGAAGGGAAGGATAATGAGAACAAGAGGAAGGCAGGAACAAGAGGAAGACGGGAACCGCGAGGAAGGCGGAAACAAGAAAAGCACGAGAAACAACAAAAAACCGAACACGCACCTCAATCACGTAGTTCATCCTCTGATACTTGAGCTCCTTCTCCCGAACACGCAGCACGCGCGCCTCGAAGGAGCGCTCCCAGGCCATGAACTAGAGGTTTTTTCGATTAGCATACGATGCCCATATGCACGATTAGCATGCGAAACGGAACAAGAGGGACACCTACTTTGAGCATCCGGATCGCGCCCAGCACCTCGTTCATGAGCGCGACGCGCTCGTCGCGCGCGCGCATCAGGTTGTCCTGCGCGGAGACGACGATCTGGAAGGGTTGTCAGCAGTGGCCTGGACTGGGTTGACATCCCGGTCCGACAGGAAGGAGGCGGCCGCTCCCAACAGGAAGGAGGCGGACGCTCCCAACAGGAAGGAGGCAGCCGCTCCCGACAGGAAGGAGGCTGCCGCTCCCAACAGGAATGAGGACCGATCCCAACAGGAGGACCGATCCCAACATGAGGCGGCCGCTCCCAGCAGGAAGACCGCTCCCACCCAACAGGAGGACCGATCCCAACAGGAGGACCGCTCCCAACAGGAGGACCGCTCCCAACAGGAAAGTCGAGCTCGACTGGTTGACGGGAACCGTGCACGCACCTTCCCCGCGAAATGGTTCATCGGCAGGAACGCGAGCGTCGCCGCGAGGCCCACGAAGCAGGAGGGCCCGAGGAGGTCGTAGAGGAACCAGGAGCCGATGACGATCTCGATGGGGGAGTCTGTGGGGGGGGGGGGGGGGGAGTCAGCTGTCTGCTCATTCCTTCCAAGGCTTGTGCGTCGCTGCACCTCATCCCTCTCCCCCAAACCGCCCTCAAATACCGTCACCCCCCGGCGCCAAAATAACCCACCCCTCTCCCCACCCTCTCCCCACCACCACCCCCCCAACCCACCACAAAAACGTCGCCCACTCACCGATCAAACTAAACAAATGCCACGCGAACTCGCTCACGCGGTCCACGTCCGTCGTCATCAGCGTCATCACCTGCGCGCGCGACGAGAAGTCGTCGTCGTCCGATGGAGTCTGTTCGTCCTCCTTCGATGACGCCGGTTCGTCCGCGGTGGGCTTCTTGGAGTCTGCGAGAAAGAGGATTAGTATGGCTGCATGGTGGGCGGGCGAAGGAGAGAATGTAGGACGGGTTGAGGAGCGAAGGAGAGAGGACGGGTTGAGGGACGAAGGAGAGAGGACGGGTTGAGGGACGAAAAGAAGAAGGGAAGGGGAGCAAAAAGGGAGGCGAGGGATAGTCGGTTTGCAACAAAAAAGTTCGACAACAACTCACCCTTCCCCTCCCCTTCCTTCTTCTCCGCCCCGCCACCGCCCGCGACGTCCTTCCTGACCAGCGTCTTCGCGAACAGCACGCTGTTGAGCTGCTCCTTAATCCGAACCTGAGACGGAGGTTAGCACGCGGGTCGATTCCCTTTCCTAGCATGCAGGCCGAATCCCTCTCCCCTTCTGTCGCAACGCCCTTCTCCGAACAGGCCATCCACACGCCTCACGCCCATTCCCCCCACGCCGCATCCATTCCCCTCACGCCCCGCACCCATTCCCACCACGCCTCTCCCTGCTCCCTCCGTCTCGCCCCTCCCTATTCCCCTCACGCCTCACCCCCCCCCCCTTCCTTCCCTCCCCCCTCCCCATATGCGCGCAACAGAACTCGCCACCCACCTGAATGACCGTCGTCGATATGGACCACAACTGCGCGGTGACTGTTATTCGTGAGCTTCAATCTCCAGACCACAATCATAGAAAAAAAAGTAGAAAAAAAAACCAAAAAACCACCCGACTCACTCATATACGTCACCGCCTTGCTCGCGAACAGCCCCGCGCACCAGACCCAGCCCCAGCGCGCGTCGCCCGTGCGCGGCGCGTAGGCGAGGATGGAGGTGAGCCAGGCGGATGCATAACCAGCGGTTTGCTCCAAAGGTGCGATTCCACTTGCGCTCACCGTAGGCGCAATTCCACTCGCGCTCTCCATGGTCGCGCCGATAATTGCGGCAGTGGCGTTGAAGGCGGAGGTGGCGTTGACAGCGAAGCCCTGCACGAAGGGAGCGGGCGCGACAGCGGTGAACAGGCTAGATGCAGACACGGCGTCAAATGAAGCGGGCGCGAACGACTCGTAGGGCGTCCAGGTGAAAGGCTTGCCAGTCGCGTGGGTGGCCATGACCTCAATGGTCGCATTGACGAAGTTAGAAGCTGTAGCGTTCACCGCATCGTAGGCCCCCATCCCGAGCGCACCCAGCGCATCCGCCGCCCGCTCCTGGTCCTCGAGCCACTTCACGAGGCCTCTGCGTGAGGCGTTAGCAAGCGGGCTCTTTTTCCTCTTGTCCGCCCCCTCTCCTGCTTCTCGAGCCCGCCCCCCTCCTGCTTCTCGAGCCCCCCTCCTGCGTCTCGAGTATGCACTCCAAACCTCACCCTTCTCTCCCCCTCTCCCCCTCGCTGATCTATTTCTCCCCCTTCTCCCTCCCCCACCCTTCTCGCCCCCTCTAAACCACTCCCCACTCCCCACCCCCCCCCCCTCCTCCCCCCCCTCCTCTCCCCCCCTCCCACCCCGACCCCTTCACCTTTCAACCCCCTCCCACCCCAGCCACCTCCCCCCCACCAATCAACCCCCAAACCCCCTCCCCCATCAACCCTCTCCACCCTCTTTCCAACACAACAACCTCACAAAACCCCCCTCCCCCCTCAACAACCTCACTCAAATAACCTAAATTTAACAGAAAACACCCACCTCGTCATCCACGCCGGCACATAGAACAGGCCCGCGCTGCCCGCCGCGAGCGCGGCCTCGAGCGCGAGCGCGCCCGCGTTCGCGCGGAGGACGGCGCGCGCGAGGCGGAGGCCGGGGATTTGGAGGAGGGACGCGGGGGTGGGGAGCTGGGGGAGAGGGGTGAGCATCTTGTCAGGAGGATACGGCAGGGGGAGGGGGGTGGGAAGGCCAGCACAGCCACCCGAGCGTGCTCTCCATTGGACTTCACCCCGAGGGTGGGGGCTACGTAGGGAAGGCGATAACGCACCTTGAAAAACGCCCCAATCCTACTCCAAAATCCCTGTCTATCCCCCTCCCGCGCCCCCCTACTCCGCCTTGCCAGCTCCGCGCGCATCGTGCTGTAGTTGTACGTCGCCCTCATATCCGCGGGCAAGATTGGGAGGTCCGCGATGTCGAAGGTGGCGGACTGGGCTTTTGGGTCAGTGTTTTGTTATGGGGAGGGGTCAGCATGTAGTTTTCGTAGTGAGTTAGCACGTGAGTTTTCGTAGAGAGTGAGCACGTGAAGTTTTCGTAGAGAGTGAGCACTAATTTTTTGGTGGGAAGGGTAGTGAGTGAGTTTCCGGGGGAAGGGTAGTGAGGGAGGGCAGGGGGAAGGGAGGGAAGGGAGGGAGAGGAGGGAGGTAAAGGGACGTGGAGGGGAGGTAAAGGGCAGGGAACGGAGGGAAGATGGGGAAAGCAGAGGTGAAAAGGGAGGGAAGGGGCGCGTAGCAGGTCTCCTCGCCGATAGTAAAGCCCGCGTATGCAGGGCATCCTAGTAAAGCCCGCGCAACGCACTCTCCCAAACCCCCCAAACCCCACACAGCACTCAATAAACCCCCAACTCACCTCATCCAGCGAGTTATACCCCCGCCACACCACGGGCGTCGTGTAGCTGAAGAGGAGCGTGGACCACAGGGACGCGGTGCGCACGGCGGCGACGTTGGGGGTAGGTTCCGCGCTAGACTTCTTCAGCGCAATTGACGTAGGGAGTAAAGGCGTCCTCTCCGTAGTCGGCTCGGTAGAGGACTCGATAGCCGCGGGAGCTTCGTCGGCGTCAGAATCTAGTGGGGAAGTGAGCACAAGGCGATTAAGTGGAGGGTACTGGGTACCATACCTTGTACGGCCCCCGCCACCTTCTCGGCATAGATCTGCGTCAGCGGCAAATAAAGCTCGGGCCCCATGGGCACGCCCATGATAAGGGCAGTGGCGATGGCGAGGAGGATCAGGTGTGCGAGGAAGGCGGGGTCGTCGGAGGGGCCTGGGAGGGGGGGGGGGTTAGTTGTTTGTTAGTTATTGTTTTTTTGTTTTTTTCGAGAGGGAAGAGGGGGTAAGGGGGTCAGTTTTGTGTTTTTTTTTGTTGTTTGGAAGAGAGAGAAAAGGGGAAGGGCGAAGGGGGGAAGGGAAGGAGAGTGAGAGCGAGGATGGGAGAGGGGAGGGAGGCATGGGGGAGGGAGGAGAGGGGAGGGAGGGAAGGGGGAGGCGGGAAGGAAAAACGCGATGGACTCGAGAAGCAAACTCACCCGCACCCGCGCCCTCCCCAAATCCAGATCCATACGACGGAATCAGCGCGACGGCGGCACCCAACAAACTCGCCGGAATCCCGACGGCGCATTGATGGAGGACGACGTGCTCGTGGAGGGCGATGCGGTCGAGCCAGGGCGCTTTCTCTATCTTGTCCGACGGGGATTGAATGGTATCCTCGCCAGGGACGGGCCCGCGAGAACGCGACAGCGCAATAAACGACAGGATGAGGAGGTACAGGGCGACGAGGCCGTTGAGGAGGTGCGTGATCGCGTTTCTGGCGACACCTCCACCACCACCCCCCTCATCCCCCACCACCACCACCGCCGCCCCCGCGCCCACATCCACCGCCACCGCACCGGCGAGCAGCGCCGCGATCAGGAGATGCGCCGCGCGCGTGCGGCGCCAGAAGGCGGGCTCGCGGACGGGGACGCCCTCGAGGATGTCCGCGGGGGTGGTGACGGCGAAGGGGGAGGGTGGAGTGACGGCGGAGGGGGAGGGTGGGGTGTTGGTTTCTGTTGGGTTGTGTGAGTAGGGTTGAGAGGAGGGGGAAAGGGGAGGGTTAGTTGAGGTGAGGGGGGGAGGGGAGATGGGGGGGAGGGTGAGGGGAAGAGGGGTGGGGCGAAGGGGAAGAGGGGGGAAGGGGTAGGGCGAAGGGGGAGGGAGGGGAAGGGGAGGAGAGGCGGGGGGAAGAGGCAGGGCGAAGGGCAAGAGGGCAAGAAGGCAGGGCGAAGGGGAAGTAGGGAGAAGGAGGGGATAATTGACCAGGGCACGTTCAGGGACGAAGGGGGGGTCCAAGGTGAAGGAGGCAGCGGTCGCTGGCAGCGCCGGTACGAGGATGCGAGGGGGTGACAGGCGAGGAGATAGCAGGCGGGGACGAGAGACGACGGGGACGAAGGGTGAAAGGAGGGACGAGAACATGGGAAGTGCAAGGAACGGGGAGGAGGCAATGGAGGGGATGACGCTGGACTACAGAACATTACACGCACCTTCCCCATACTCCTCCGGGATCGGGATGCCCTTGGGCTTGGGTTGCGTGGGGCGGAAGAGGGCGCCGCTGAAGAGGGCCACACCGACGAGCGCGGCGGAGGCGGCGAGGTCGAAGGTGGGCATGGTTGGTAGAGATCGATGTCGGTGTGAATGGATGGTTGTGTGGTGTAGGGAGCGTAGGTAGTTGCGCTAGCTAGGGAGGTATTCTCGCTCTAGCAGCTAGCTCTAGACGATAGCGCGCCTATTGGCTCCGCGCAGTGGAAGCAGGCCTCGCACTGGCTGTCAGAACGACAAGGCAGCGTTGGCACGACTAAGTATCGAGCTCAGATGCGTTCTTGGCGCGTTCAGCAACGTCAAGTCCCAAGCAAACACACAGGCGCCTTTCACACCGCGGCGCGCTCTTTACGCCCCGGACGATCGAGGATAGAGTCAGGGCCAGTCAGAGCTCTTATCGCGTCGGCCCACGTGCAACGGCGGGATCAGTCTCCGGGGTCGCCGCTAACCCTCCGATTGGCGACTAATTTAGATACCGGTGCACGCGCGGTCCGGCGTCCGCGGATTGCTGCACGCGGCCCGACGCGGCTGGGTGGGTCGCGTGGGTTCGTCCGCCCTCGTCCTCGACGGTCATCGCGGTGTCATCGGCAGCCTCTCTGGTCGCCAGCGATACTCGCATTCCAGATTCACCTCTCATCCCAGCGTCATACTCGTGTACGCGAATCAACCTCGTCGTCTTTACTCACGAGCTTCACGTCTTGCGCTATCAGACACGCCCGCATGCTCAGTGCGCCCCATATCAGTGCGCGACATGTCCCACTAGTCTACCTAATACTTAGACGTCCTTCGTGTGCATCCTTCGTGCACATCCTTCGTAGTGCCCTCCTTGCGCAACACGAACCTCTGTCAATGGTTCATGTTCGCTGGTCTTCCCTTACACTTCTTTCTTCTCCTTTTCCCTCATGTCCCTTTCCCCGTCTTCATTTCCCCACGCCCCTTGATCCTCCTTCCCGTCGTCGTCTCCCCTTCCCCGTCGTCGTCTCCCCTTCCCCGTCGTCATCTGACCTTCTTCGGGGTCCATCCACCTCCCTTGCATGTCCTATGTCGACTCCCCCTTCCCCTTTCCCGTACCACTTCCCCCTCCTCCCTGCATTCCTCCTTTCCTGCCCTGCCCTTATGCCCTCTCCCTCAAACGGCTCTCAGTCCCTTCCTTCTCTACTCTAACCCCATCGGATATGGTGTAACGGCCAACATTGCCGCCTCTCATAGTCCCATAGGATGCAGTGCGCGGCAGCTCGGGGTTCGATTCCCCGTATCCGAATACGGCCACGGCACTTGTTTTTTTCGTGCTCCCGAAATCCATGTTGCACCGTGCTCCCGAAATCCGTGTTGTATCGTGCTCCCGAAATCCATGTTGTATCGTGCTCCCGAGATCCACGTTTGTCTGTCGCGCTCCCGCGACCCATGTTTCCTTCTTGCTCACAAGACCTACATCTTCTTTCGTGCTCCCGCGACCTATATTTTCTTTCGTGCTCTCGCGACCTATATTTTCTTTCGTGCTCTCGCGACCTATATTTTCCTTCGTGCTCCCAAGACCCATATTTTCCTTCGTGCTCCCGCGACCTATATTTCCTATCGTGCGCCCGAAACCCATCCATATTGTGGTGCTCGTTGACTTGGACGGCTTGGTCCTTCCCTCCCTACCCCCTCTCCCACCTCCCTCCCTACCCTCTCCCCCTTCCATCTCTCCCCCTTGCCCCTTCCCTCCTCTCTTCCCTTCCCTCCTCTCTTCCCTTCCCTCCTCTCTTCCCTTCCTTCCCTCCTCTCTTCCCTTCCCTCCTCTCTTCCCTTCCTTCCCTCCTCTCTTCCCTTCCCTCCTCTCTTCCCTACCCCCTCCCTCCCTCCCCGTCCCCTCCACCCGGCATCGTGGGAAGGCGCTCTGGACGATCACGAAGCGAAATGAAGGACGAGGACAAAGTGACGCGACGGTAGGGCGCGACCCCGAGAGTGGACGAAACGAAGGACAGCGACGGCGAGAGTGGACAACGGCGCGGGGCACGACGGTCGAAGAGGCGGCGCGGGGCACGACGGTCGAAGAGGCGGGGCGGTGCTCGACGAAGCGATGGGAGGAGGGGCGAGGACAACGATGCGGGGCGATGGCGAGGCGGAGGGCGCATCGGCAGCGGGGCGGAGGGCGCACCGGCAGCGGGGCGGAGGGCGCATCGGCAGCGAGGCGGAGGGCGCACCGGCAGCGGGGCGAGGACGTCGAGTCCATCGCATGCGGGCGAGGACGCCGAGTCCACTGCGTTGGGGCGCGACGGCGAGAGCGGACGAAACGGGGCGGGGACGCCGAGCCCATTCCGTTGGTTAGGCCCGAAGGCGGACGGGGGGAGGAGCGACCGCGAGCAGGGGGAGGAGGAGGAGATCGTACAGAAGGGGGGGAGGGGAGAGCGGTCAAACAAGCGGAGGGGCGCCTGACGACGAAGAGGTCGGACGGTAGGGGCGAGAGGAGGGGCGCGACGGTAGGGGCGAGAGGAGGGGTGGAGGGGCGAGAGGAGGGGCGGGGAAGTGCGAGAGGAGGGGAGGAGGAAAAGGGAGGGGCGGGAGGGGAGGAGGGGAGGGGTGGAAGGGGGGGGCGAGCAAGGAGGGGGGGCGAGCAAGGCGTGGGAGCGAGAAAGGTGGGAGGGCGAGAAAGGTGGGGGAGCGAGCAAGGTGGGGAAGGGGAGGAGTGACTAAGGAGGGGGCGCGAGCAACAAGTGCGCCCAAGGGTGTCAAAGGGGAGGAGATCGTCCAGAAGGGGGGAGAGAGGGTGGGAGCGAGGGCGCAAAGGAGGATGAGGGCGAGGGTGGGAGAGAAGGGAGGCGAGGGAAGGGAGGAGGGAAGGGAGGCGAGAGAAGGGAGGAGGGAGAGGGAAGGGAGAGGGGCGAGGGTGGGCAAGCGCGGGGCGAATGAGGGTAAGCGCGGGGCGAGGGCGGGGCGCGCTCACGGCGGCCAAGGAGCGGTGCGTGTTGACCAGCGAAGGGCGCGTGTGTCTGCGAGCGAGAACGTGTGTCTGCGAGCGAGGACGGGCTGAGGGCGGGAGCGACGCGGTGGTGAGGACGTTGGAGGATGGGGAGAAATGGAGCGACGATGAGCTGAAGGCACCATGACGAGCTGCAAGCGGGCGGGAGCGACGAGCTGAGAGGGCGGAGCGACAAGCCGAAGGCGGGAGCGACGGGCTGCAGGCGGGCGGGACGAGCTGAAGGCACGCGCGCGGATATAGTATGGAGAAAGGCGCGCATCTCATAGCTCTGCATTCTTTCGCACCTTCCCTCTCCCCCTCGCTTCCCCCTCGCTTCCCCCTTCGCTCCCCCCTCCCTTCCCTCTCCTCCCCTTCCTCCCTTCCCCCCTCCCTTCCCCCACGCCCGCGGATGAAAGCATTTGATTGGATTTCGACCGAACGCACTCGATAGGATTTCGATGCGCGTATCCGACAGCAAGGGAACGTGCATGACGGCGTAGGTGGTGGGGCGCTACCGAGAGCGTAGATGGAAGGGCACTTCCGACGGCTAGATGGAAGAGCACTTCCGACCCCGAGGGAGAGGCGCGTTCACGACGGCGAGGGCGGGGCGCTACCGAGAGCGTAGATGGAAGGGCGCTATCGACGTTTTAGAGGGAGCGCGTATCCGACGGCGTAGACGGAAGGGCGCATCCGACCCCGAGAGGTGCGGAGAAGGGGGAGGTGGGGAAGGGTGGGAATGTAAGGAGGCGAGGGGGTGAGAGCAGGTGAGAGGAGGTGAGGTGAGGAGTGGGGAAGGGTGAGAGAAGAGCGAAGGGAGAGAGGAGGGCGAAGGGGTGAACGAAGAGTGGGTGGGTGAGGAGGACAGGACAATGCGCACGGACGGGAGAACGATGCGCACGGACGGGAGAACGATGCGCACGGACGGGATGACGATGCGCACGGATGGGAAGACGATGCGTGCAGACGGGGAAGGGAAGGGAGTGGGGGCAGAGCACGATGTACTAGAAGTTCAATGTGTACCTTCAGATGACCGGTGCTTGACTGGTGCTCGTGCACCCACAGAATTAGATGAATGCGCGCCTCCAGAAAGCTCACTGCGCGCCTTCAGAAAGCTCACTGCGCGCCTTCAGGAAGCTCGCTGTGCACCCTCCGAAAGCTCAATGTGCACCCTCCGATAACTCACTGCGCACCCTCAGAAAGCTCAATGTGCACCCTAGACAATTGGAGCTTCCACAGACAAAGCGCGGTTGCACGACGTAAAAGCGCGTTCGCGCGACCGTGATGGGATGCCGTGCTTCGATTGCAATGCATGTCCTCCCTGTCCTCATGGTGAAAGAAAAAATCCTGTCCTTATGATGAAAGTCAGCAAGAGCGTGAAGACGTTTAGAAAGGGCGTGAAAAACCTCACTGTGGGATGGCAAAACCTCACTGAGGGATATCAAAATGTCTCGCTGTGGGATGGCAGAATACCTCACTGGGGGATGTCAAAAAAACTTCACATCCATCAGCGATTCGGATACGGGGAATCGAGCCCCGAGCTGCCGCGCAGTTGATGTCGTGATCATGAGAGGCGGCAATGTTGGCCGTTACACCATATCCGATGCAAGGTCGTGTATGTCCGATGCAAACTCGTGCATATCCACTGCAGGCCAGTGCATATCTAATGCAAGGTCGTGCATATCCAATGCAACGTAGTGGGGTACGCGCGCAGTATGAGAGGGGTAGCTGCCACCGTTGGATAAGCATGTATCTTGCGAGAGGTAACGAGCTGGCAGGAGGTGAGGAACAGGGCGGGAAGAGCGATCCATGGGATCAGTGGCCGGATGGTATTGGGCGCATAAAGTTCAAGCATGTTAATGTGTATGGACTGTGCCGAAATATCATAATGTATGTGTGATAACGGGGAGGCCCAACTACGCTCGGACGGTACGAGCGCGAGCGGCCATAGTTCAACTCCTTTTCACGTGATCGTGTAAGCAAGGTTCGGCATTCGCCGGATTTCGCGACACCGGCTCTGCTCTTGCCCTCATGGGTCTTCGGATTGACTTCGACGTCACATCGCTTCTCTGGGAATATTATGCCGCGCTCAGGAAGCTACTTCCGCCGCTCTGCTGTTTTGGATCCTCTACCTCTGCCCAGTCTGGGTCCGACAGGTTCTCACTCCGAGCATCTGCTGCGAAGAGCTGGTTCAGCACGACAGCATATATTTCTAAGCGCGATAACGCGGGGCGAGGAGAACGTAGCTAGTGGAGGCAAAGGAGCGCTCTCTAACGAGGGGCGCGGGGAAGTGGACGAAGGTGCGCAAAGCGGCCTGAGCCCGTGGTGGGGGGGGGGGGGGGGAGGGTGTCGCTGGGGAAGGAGGAGGCGCATGGAGGGGATGCCAGAGGACGGGGATGGGCAGTCGAGGGGTTCGCGGATGGACGCCCGACCAGCGAATGGAAGGGCGACGAGTCCAATTATCATTTCGGCAGCATCACCACCGACGTACTGGGAGGCGGACGCGACGTAGTTCACCCCCATTCGTTGATCCAGCTTATCGTCTCCAACCTCCTCCTGCCGTTCACAACTGTGAATTTTGCCCTCGAAGCGCACATTTCGCCAATGATATCGTGTAGGTCCCGGTGTTTGCGGAAGATGTCCCAGATGGCGATATTCTTCAGCGACGGCAGCAAGGGTGGGCGGTCTTCGTAACGTATAAGTTGCTCGAGGAACCGTCTATTCGACAGGAGCTCGTCGAAGAATAGGTCCCTGAGCTTGTCCATGAGCTGGAGGCATGGTATCCAGGCGTGGATGTCTCGTTCTTCCACCTTATAGACCCGCAATGCAATCAAATGACGTGAGGTTTCATCCCGAGTCAAGAAGCCCATGAGCGATCGCGTTCCATATGCGGGCACATTACCGAGGGCGAGCTCCTCGATGTGTGGGGCGGTTATATGGTTAAGCAACGCGCAGGCAGGATCGATGAGGCTGAGCAGGGTGAGCGCATTCATGGCAAACGTGTCGGATACGCTCGTGGGATATGAGCCTTCGGAGCCTTCCAGAGGATGGCGAACTTTGAGAGTGAGCGTTTCCAGCGTTCCCGCGCACGCTCGCAGAAGGGGTAGGGTATGTGTGATGGGAAAGGGTGACATCACTTCGATCTCAAGAGACGTGAGTGCTCGTGTTACAGGGACGTGAAGCTGACGCTCGCTTTGCAGCACGTCAAGCGTGAGCGCTATGTGGCGAAGACGCGGTGCGACGACGAAATCGAGCACACTGAGTTCCGGAGACTCAGGTTTATCATACGCGTCGACGACAAGTCTCTCGAGATTCTCCATGTAGAGGACTTTCAAATCGGGAATCATGCTGAGACGGCCCTCGATCGAAAGAGAGCGCCAGGTAGAGGCGTACGGTTCGATGCCATCCCATAGTGACCCCAAGATCTTGGGATTATCGCATCTCAGATCTGGTAGTTTCCCCTTTGTCAGAGGAAGGAATAGCTGGCAGTATCGTTTGATGTCGCTCAAGGATTTGACGACTAGTTTTGTCCAGAATTTCGTGAGCCCGTGCGCGATGTCCCGCCAGACGGCGCAGACCCGCGCAATGGTGGATGCAATCTGTAGAGTACGCAAGGATGATTCGTACGCCAGTAGAGAGAAGATCTCGATCAAGAGCTCTGTGGGGAGGCGGCGGATGGGGGCGAAGATGGATCGGTGGATGTCCAGTTGTGCCAGGATCCTCTCGCGTGTGGCATTGTCGTTCTGGGGAAGAAATTTGAGCTCAGACTCCAAGAGGAGAGTGTATTCGTTGATCGCCGCGATCTGGACAGGGGTTGGTTCCGAGTGGGTACGCAGCATCGCGAGGTTCGCGACAGACGCCGCGCGCTCTAGGAGCTCTTCCACAGCTAGGCGGCGCGTAGGATGCTGTCGTAGTGATGATGAGGACTCGTCCGAGTGAGTATGCAGATAAATACTTACTCGAATGCTCATCTTCGAGAATGGAAGAGCTGACTGTCTACGACAAGACGGAAGCACCGTGCGGCCTCGTGCCATTGTAATCACATGACTTCGACCTCAACACCGAACCAGCCTACAGTGGCTTCAACCAGACAGGAAACTACGTCACATGCGGAGACCGCCGAGGAGATCGGACACCACGGACAACATAGTAGAGGTGCCCGCCTATGGGCTAGCGCGTCTTGGTACTGCATAGTTACCTGCTGCGCGAATAAAATGCAGAGACAAAAAAAAAAAAAAAAAAAAAAAATTGTAATCACATGTCTTTCGGTAGTTGCCGATATCACCGGCGTTCACTTCCCTTCCCATCAACCACCACCAGAGCAACATCGTGCTTTACGCCGTTAGTGGTATAGGGTGTAGGCAAAAACATCCTGGGCAGCGTGTATATAAGAGCTTTCTGGCCCAAAAGCCAGAATCGACTGATGATACTCGTACGTGTCAGCTTCGACTTCACGGATGCTGTGACCACAGTACTCGCAAGACAGCATCAGTCTTGCGGTTCGATGGGGGCTCTTTGATCCTGTCATTGGGCAGACATATCCGACAGACGTGCGCTACGTACAAGCCCCACGCGTTCGCGTCCTGGGTTGGCGACTGCTCATATCTCTTCCGAGAAGTACATGTACGTTGCTCCTATCCAGTCGTCGGTTCTCTCCACAAACACCTCTAATATTCTCTCCGTCTATCTGTCGCGCACGTGCCTGCACGTCGCGCGGCATGCCCTCACCGCATCCGCAGGAAACACGCTGCCTCCATCAAGACCGCCACATGATGCGCGATGATCTTGTCTCTGCGTCTTTGCTGAGAAATGTCTTGGTAGGTCGTCGCTGGGGAGGTAAGTAAGCCATGCCTTGACCCGAGAACTGGCAGGAGGTAGTGGACATTGTCCGTCGAGGCGATCTAGGTCGACGTAATGGTGATTGGAGTGTAGGAAGCGGGGTTGGGAACGCGGAGATGCAGCTAGGCATGCACTGAAGCTCGAGCGCGGCGCAAGGCGTGTCGCGCGCCGGCTGACGGGACTACGCTGGCCGCTCACGAACGGCTTTGTATCAGACCGCCATGTTCGTCGAGCGGGCTGAATATCGGGGCGTGAATGAGACCACTCACCTCGCAGAGCCGTCAACTCGTCGAACATTTCCTGGTGCTCCGGGACGAATTCGAACAACGCCCTCACGTTTTTGTCTGGGTGGAGGTGTCAGGTCGGTCGGTGAGTCGGTTGAGGGGTTGACGCTCTCGGTTCCAGCAGGTTGACGCATTCGACCAGAGCGGATTGAGGAGGCGGACTGGGAGGTATTGACGCGGTCCATTCGAAAGGATCAACACGGCTTTGGCGCGGCTGACTCGCGCGGCTTGACGCGGTGGGACTCGTGAGTGAACACGTTCGCTTTGAGCCAGTCAGCGCGGTTGATCCTAGCGGCTTGGCACGTTCAACTCCCGGCCTGATTCACGCCCCCAGCTCTTGTGTGCTCCATGCTCTTCCTGGACTCATTCCGGCGCTCTTCTCGCGACCTCCTCTCGCCAATTCTTCGCCTCTGATGCAAAGCATATATACTCACCTTCCTCGTAGGCCCTCATCAGCTCGTGCTCGGCCATCGCGGGCAGAGGACGGTGACACGGGAACTCGGCGAGAGTCTTCCAGAACTCGCTCTGCAAGTCGGGGATGAGGGAAACTAATGAAGAGGCAGTCGGAAGTATGTTGGTGGGTGCGTGAGAATTATGATCATATCATACCTGGCTCGCCGTCCTCGTTGAGCTGAACGTTCTTCACCTCCTTCTCCTCCCACCAGCAAACTCGTTGCACCTGCCCTTCTTTGACGATCTTATCGCAGTCGCTCTTCCGCGAGAGAGAGCGCGGGTCTGTGAGCGGGTTGGAACTACCGGACGCGACGGAAACGGACCCGGAGGACGCTCTCGAGATCAACCCATCCTCTGCACCAGGGACGGTCATCGGCGACGGCGTGCGGTCCGTCGACATGGAGGATGCACCGGCGAGCAACCCGGTATACGAGCTCGAGCGCGGACAAGTGGACGAGCTGGCGACTCGCTCGTAGGGACTGCTAGCTCTGGCCAAGGTTGTGGACGCTCTGGCACGCCCCCTAATGGGCGGCCTCGCCACCGTCGGCGACCTCTTCGGCAGCGGCGGCGGTGGGGAGAGAAGTCCCCCGAGACCACCGCACGCCTGTCGGACGCGCGCACGGACATCGGCCTGCCGGATGTCGTCGGTCGTGATGATGCGGGCGGCGCGGTTGTAGTAGTAGGTGGAGGCCTTGAGCGAGCGTTCTTCGGGTGAGTCCTCGGTTTTGATCTGGAACGGCGCGTCCTCGTGCTCAATCTTGTACAGTACGGTGTCCTGCACCGCGTGCGAGTCTTCAAGCGCGTCCTCTGGGTTGCCGTGGCTTGAAGAGCGCAGGTCGACACCGGAGGGGATTGTGTGGACTTCCCACTCGTCGGGAACTCTGCCGAAGGGGAACGAGAGTATCGGGGGCTGCGTTTCCTCCTCCGCCGTGTCCATCGGGAGCGGCGGCGGGTGGAGGGGCGGCGTCGGTGAGCGGATTTGTGGCACTACGGGGAATGGAGTCCATCGGGGAGCAAACGTTGCGCTTTATTGCTGTCTTCGCTCTCTGATACCCTTTACAGGCGCATAGACATGGCCCTCTGCGATGGCGACCATACCTAGTCGTCTTTACGCCAGTATCAAGTCCGCTGCGCGTGGTCACAGTTGACTCAACGCGCTTTAATGGACGACAAAGCACGGGGTCCGCATCTATGACCACAAAGCAAGCTTGCCCTGGGCTGGTCGTCCGACAAGGGAGTCGCTTTCAACTACTGGGACCGCACAATGCTAAGGTTCTGGACCTCTTCTTCTGCCGGCATACAGCGGACAATGGATTGCTTTCTTCCCTCTGCTGCTGTCTACTACGAGTGACGCCCTTCGGGCAGATCGGAGAACAAATCCATCGCTCGAGCCTGTGTATCTCAAGACGCGCGGGTCCATTTTTTGCTTGGACCCTTTCCCCAGAATACTTACTCGTCGCTCGCGCGACATATAAAGCAAGCCGTGTCCAGTACTTCGGATATTCCTACTACTGCAATGCACTGGGAAAGCCGATGGTCACCGTTAGACGCCTTCACGATGTATTCCGCTGACAGCTGAGTGATGTGAGGGAACCAAATCCAAATTGTGGCCGAGTATCAGGAGCAAAAATGGGCGCAAGCACAGTCTTTCCCACCAACGAGCCAACGGGAAGAGTTTGAAAAAAGTACTATGCCGTGACCAGTTCGGATACGGGGAATCGAACCCCGAGCTGCCGCGCACCCTTGTCTGAGAGGCGGCAATGTTGGCCGTTACACCATATCCGATGTTGGTCTTGTTTTGTAGGCAGCCTCCCCCATGATCTCGTCGTGTTCGTGATGAGCGAAGGCGAGCATTGAAGTACTCACAACCACGGCCGTCATTACAAGAAAGGAGGAATATAGCAATGAAGGAAAGAGAAGTACAACGAGCTCCTGTGACTGTACAGAGGAGCAACCTGCTTGCCGCTATGGCGCATGACGGTTGAGCCGCGTAGAGTACCATACACGAGCTAAGATATTCAGATTTTGACAGACCCGAAAGAAAAAGTGAAGCGTCTCTCTTGACGAGTATATTCCGGTACGGGGAATCGAACCCCGAGCTATCGCGTGAAAGGCGATAATGTTAGCCGTTACACCATACCGGACGTGCAGTTTCAGTTGCTTGCTGTAATGTAGACGGTAGGTAGAGGCCAAAAGTGAGAGCGATGTATACCTTGGAGGAAATGCACGAGAGGTCCACAATGTAAAATAGCTGGCCAACCTTTCCTCAGAATTGAATCGCGCATAGAAAAGGAAGGCGTGTCACCGCATTTGTCCGTGTTTTGTCACGCGGCAAATGCCGCCCGTCAGTCCGCTTTCTCCTTGTACCATCACGTCCATTTGCCCTCAGTCGCTGCAGCCTTGAACCCAATTGCAGTATGCACCTCCAGCAGCGCCTAGAACAACCCCCAAATCACGACATCGTCGAGTATTGTTCATTATCGGGCACGCTTACGCAGTGGACCGATCCTTGTGCCTTTCCCTGCGCTTCTTTGCTTCTCGACCTCCCGGAGGTGGCCTGCGCATGCAGATCCCGGTATACTCTATCGCGCATATGCGGTGTGTCGTACCTCCCGCAACGCTCTATCTCAGCGAGCTAGCAGCATACGGCTCTATCCTGCTCTATCTCTATCGACGGTCCGCCAAGAGTACTCTGCTCGCTCTTGGCCATGATAATTGGGGAGCGCGATCCCAATTCCCAGGCTAAAGACCACAGCCCTATACGAGGATAGATCGGATGGCCGCTGTAACACCTGGCTCTCCAGGGCTGCCGTGAGAGAATCGCTATCGCGTCCGGATGTCTGCTACCTCTCAACACGGTTAAACATATCGTCTCCTCCGCGCCATGTTCTTCCGTCCCTCCGATACATAGCAGGAGAATATCTCCATCCGGAGTCGTCATCGTTCACCACACGCGGTGAGCACCTGACTATCGGCTTAGCAGTCGGCGCGCCAGAAGGCGCAATCCTAACGCGCAATGCAGCAGGTTCGCCGGTCGCGTTGTCGGTTCGCGAGAGCTGCGGCTATCTGGAGCCTCCCTGTCCAGGGGCACGGGTCTGAGGCCACCTCGGAGACTGTCAACTTAGCGCACCTTCGGGACATACTGCGACCTTCCGCTGTCACGCTTCTTCACCATCTCGCTATCGTCTCTCGCAAGTGAGGTACGAAATGCTCAAAGCATGGGCCGGACCCACGAATTCGTAGGTCGAAGCTGGGCACGGTACGCCCAAGTGATGAGCGGCGAATCGAGAACGCAAGCCAGGAATCGAAGGCGCAAGTGAGGTACACTCTCACCACTTAGACCGGCCATACACTAGGGTGGCGCGGGGTGATAGCTCCCTCGTGCTTATCGTCTTGTGCGCCTTCTTCCCCTGCCCGTGCGGGATGCATCCCGACTATCTGAGTCTGTGGCCATCTGGTACGCATTCGTGAGACGGGCTGACGATTCATCATCAGGATAGAGGCTGGATTCCATCATCGGGAGCTAGAGGGGCGTACACGGCGGGCGATCTACTTAAGGATGGTACCTGGGCGAGCGTCTTCTCCCCGGTCTCGCGACCACCTCCTTGTGCCGCCGGTAGCTCGCCTCCTTGTCTTGCCGCCTGAGCGATGGCCACAATCATGGAGGAGATCCCGTACGTCGACAAGAAGGCCGAGAAGACCTCGCCGGGAGACAGTCTCTCGGAAGAGAAGAAGAGTCTGCCGGACGTTGAGAAGGTCAGGGCAGTCTCCAGCGACGAGGAGCTGGATAGTCTGGCGACGAAAGGTACGTAGTACACCTCAATCATCATCCACATAGCTCGTCGATAGCTGACTTCCGCCGCAGGAGACGACGATGATCCAGCCTACAATGTCCTCCCGCAGATCGTGCGCGAGATCTGTGATTTTGAGGACGACACGACGATGCCCGTGCTCACCTTCCGGTACGTCTGGACTGCGTTGTCCTCATCACTTATACTCACCAAGCCCGCCCAGCTTCTACCTCATCTCCGCCATATTCACCGCTCTCGGCGCCTGGCTCACGCAGATGGGCTTCTTCCGCACGACATACATTCCGTACTCCAGTACGTACTCGATCCCCTCGCAGAGATACGAGACCACTCAGGTTCGCCTAGTCTACTTCGTGCAGATCGCTTCGCTGTATGTCGGTCGGTTCTTGGCGCGCGTCCTTCCGAACAAGCGCGTCGGCTACGGGCGGTTCGCCTTCGAGCTCAACCCGGGCGAGTTCACGATTAAGGAGCATGTCGCCGTTGTCCTCGCGTGCGTCTCGCCTATGTCCACAATATCGGTCATGCTCACACTCGCCATTCAGCGCCAACACCGGAGCCACCAACGTCGGTCTCACCCGCAATCCCGACTCCCCGCACCACTGACCCCGCCCCGCAGAACCTCGGCGACTACGTACTCGCCCCGCTCCAGGTCTTCTACGAGAAGCGTGCGTTCCCACCCCGTTCCCTTTGCTCGTCATCTGACGCCACCATGCAGCTATGAACGGCTGGGTACGTGCTCTGTTGGTGACCGCGTGCAGTGCTTCGAAGCTTACCCTTGGCGTTGCGATAACAGCTGGCGATCCTGTTCATGGTGCGTAGGGCGGCATGGCTTATCGTGGTGTGCGGTGTGGATTGACGATGCGTTGCAGTGGTCGGCCGTGTTCATCGGGTTCTCGTTCGCGTCGTTCGCGAGAGTGTTCTTGATTGAGAATCCGTCGATTCCGTTCCCCTTGAGTGCGTACTTTCAATCAGTGATGGCGGGGAGACAGGGTGCTGACGAGATACCATAGCCCTCCAGCAAGCAGCGGTCTTCAAGGCCATGCGATCCTCAGTCATTGGTGACTCGGCCACTTCGAAGAGGCAGATGCGCGTCTTCTGGTACACCATCCTGATCTTCTTCTGCTGGCAGTTCCTGCCCGAGGTGCGTCAATTTCGTCCAATCGTCACGTTGCCCTCTAACTCGGCCTCCTCACAGTACGCTTTCCCGTTCACTTCGTCTCTCGCCCTGCTATGCTGGTTCAGCATGAACCCCACGACGCAGTTCTTAGGGTCCGGTCTCGGCGGCGCGGGTATCCTCAACATCACGCTCGACTGGTCAAACATTGGCTCGACGATGATCTACTATCCGTACTGGGCACAACTTAACTTCCTCGCCGCATGCGTTGTCACCGCCTGGATTCTTGTCCCCATTGGCTTTATCAACGGTATCTGGGGCTCGGATAAGTACCCCATCCAGACGCAGACACTGTATCTGCGTAATGGGTCGACGGTGCGTTTAGCTGCCTTGCGGTATAAGAGGTGGTGGCTAACTCTCCTTCAGTACCCGACTCGTGAGCTTTTGATCAATGACAGCGATCTCAACGAGGTGCTTTTCGACGAGATCGGGCCACCGATGATGTCCGCTCAGTTACGCTGGGAGTGTGCGTTGCTCTTCTTCACCTCGAGCGCACTCACAATACTGACGCAGCCCGTAGACTTCTTCTCCTACGTCGCCTACATCGGATCGTTTGTGAGCTACATGCTCTTCCAGGGCCCCGCCCTCTGGCGCTCGTACAAGCAGCAGTGGCAGGGCGGCCGCGTACACAACGACAAGCTCACGCAGCTCGCGCGGCAGTACCCGCAGGTGCCCCTTTGGTGGAATTTGGCGCTGTTCGGGTTCGCGTCCTTCCCTGTCCATCGTTCGACGATGCTGATATCCGCGTGCAGCGTCTCCTTCGCCGTCCTCATCGTCCTCACCGCCACGGGCGTCCTGTACATGCCGATCTACATGCTGTTCATCGGCCTCGCCATCGGCGCGCTTATCGTCTTGCCCATGGGCTTCATCTACGCGGTCTCGGGGTACCAGATGCAGGTTGGGTACTTCAATGAGCTGTTCTATGGGTATGCAATCGACGCGGGTGGTACACGCCATCCTATTGGTTCGCTCTCGTATCGGGTTATTAGCGGGCAGTGTACGTCTCTTCACACCTTGAGAGGGGGTCTAGGTTGCTGACTCGACGTCTTAGGCTGGTACGAGGCGCAGAGTATGCTTTCGGACATGAAGCTCGGGCATTTCTTCCACATTCCGCCGCGCGCGACGCTCACGGCGCAGATTTGGGGTATCATTGTAGGCGTGCCGGTCAAGTCAGTCCTTATCTTTCTAAGGATACGGACATGCTATTAACCCACTTCTCAGCTACGCAACGAGTCAGTCGCCGAACTAATCAATAGGTCGCTGTTGCTGATGCCCCTCAGTTCTTTGGGTCTGCAATACCAAGGGCGGTATCCTGACCGGCGCCATGACCGACCCGAACCACCAGTGGACGGGTCAGACGGTCATCTCGCTATACAATCAGAGCATCTGCTTCGCGCTCATAGGTCCGCGCCGTCTGTTCAACGACCCCGTCTACACGCCTATGGTCAGTTATCTGATCGCTCGCTTCGACTAGTCCATCCAACTGACCACCTCGCGATGGCAGCTCTATGGGTTCCTCGTCGGCGCGGTCGTACCCTGCATCCTCTACCTGCTCCACCGCTGGAAGCCGAAGGCGCGCTTCGACCTGTGGAGCGTGCCCATCTTCGGCGACAGATGCGAGCACTTGTACGTATCGCTCCTTTCTATCTTTTCCTGACCCGTTTGCTAAATGCTTACGCAGCTGGGGCAACATCTCGAACTCGTTCTTCACCTGGTTTATCCTCGGCACGCTCAACCACCTCTACTTCAAGCGCTGTACGTCCTCCATTTCTTACGCAATCCGAGAACCTCACTTACGCAAGCCACCTCACAGACCGATACAACTTCTGGAAGAAATACGCGTACCTTTGGGGCGCGGCCGCAGACACGGGCTACAACTTCAACATGCTCATCATCTTCATCGCGTTCAGCGCGGCGAAGACGGTCACGATGCCCAACTGGTGGGGCAACAACGCGAAGTCCGTCGAGCGGTGTAAGTCTTCGGCCCCTACAGTCTCGATGGCTCTATCGCTAACTCATGGTCACAGGCTTCCACGTACCGGAGGATGGGATGCATATGGTGCAGTAGGATTTTTACGATTATGGATATATAAGGAGTGACCAATGACTTCACGACCTGGCACTATATACGGTTTTTGCGCGTAGACTTGTAGTTTCTGTATCATAGGAGAAGTAAACAAAGGGGGATTACGGTGAATATTAGCCTCTATATCAATAGGTCGTGAGACATTCAGGCGGCTGACGGTTGACTCGCCGAGGTTCGGTTACTTATATGTCCTTGTTTGGCTTAGACTGTGCGGCATTTGATGGGCGCCGCGCCTTGCTCAGTGCCTCGTCTGTCGCCATCGTCTTTCGCTATCATGCTACTGGTCATGGTCGTGAAGCTCAGATACCTGGCGCATTCTCAATGGTGATGGTGTCTCTCAGGAAGGACAGGACCCCGGATTGTATCAAACCCCGGTCACAGGTCTTGACATAGTCGACAGTAATGGACAAGGCACACCTTTATACCTGCCTTCCGCTGGTCCGAATGCACGGTGTTCTCTCGTCGCCTAATCTAGTGCTATCACATGAAGGGGCGTCCGCACAAGCTAGATTCACGTTTGCCATAGGTTGCAGGAGGAATGATCGGGGATGTCCTACAGTGCGTCAGCCGCCCATTGTACATTGGCTTCAGGTCCTGACGCTCGAAAGACTTCTGCCTCGACAGCTTGCCGCCAAATGCATGATTGGAAGACCATCATGTGTCCTCTTGCCGATATAGCTCGGTCGGCGCTCAGAGTTGCTCAACATTCGCGCTGTCCTTCGACGGCAACTGCCCTCCCATCGTCTGAACAACAGACCGACCAGGTTATATCCTGTCGTATATAGGAGGTTCATTCAGAGCGCATCAGCATCCAGCGCCGCTCAGAGACATCCAGCAGAACATACAAGCAGTGAGTGCTATTTTGTCATGCTGCACAGACTTTAACCCGCCGAAGATGACAGCGAATATCTTCGATTGCTCGGTCTACGTGACGCTTCACAACAAGACCAAGGAGACGCTATACAACGATCCCGGGCGCACGACATCCTCCCATGGCGACTGGTTCAATGTCCCCTCCACGATCGCCGCTGGCGCCACCGCCAAGTTCAAGCTCTCGGACCGGGGTGGATGGTACGGCTCTGCCGGGAGCTTCGACTTCATCGTCCGCGACAAGGACAACAAGCAGCGCGCTAATATGTACACATCTGAGGCGTGCCCTTGGCCGAGCGGCTCGAATCAAGTTCGCTACGACCCGCCCACTCCCCAGGCGCTGTACTCGGTATACTTCGACGCCAGCGTCGACGGCGGTCGCCGCACGCGGAACTGGGTCGAGAGCAGCGGGCATCCTATCAGCGTGGAGTACACCATCGAGTACCAGCCGAAGCGCTACCGGTTCACGCTCGAGACCATCACCGCCGTGTCAGCGCATCCCGTGCGCAACTCCAACGACAGCCTCGTCGTCGATAAGCACGTCCTCTGGGACAGCCACGTACCTGATAAGTACAAGGACGGTACCCATGGCTCGTATGCGCCGAACATCTTCGCGTATGACTTCAAATCGCGCGTCTCTGATGCTGGCCACCTTGACGTGACTGTCCGGCCCCTCGATATAGAGCTCTCTGGTGCGGAAGTCATCCTCTACGGCTCGGTCGACGGGAAGCGCGTCCTGCAGACCGACTATTTCGTCCTGAAGGCACTCGCGCCCATTACTGTGCAGGCGCACGTCGTCTCTCCCGCGACCAGTAGTAGGCCCTTCGCTTGGAACTCCGACGTCGATTGGCACATGGAGCTTCGCCTCTCCGCGCAGGTGGTGGAAGCCACCGGTCCGTCCACAACCCGGCTGGAGCTGTACTGGATCGCGCAGACAATCCACCGCGCATTCCAGAATGGCATACCAGTCGGCTTTCTGCGAGACGTGCTGAAGAAGGCATCACCGTCTTTGGCGGACAGCTGCGTCGAGGTTGGCCAGGTGGACGCTGTATCTTCCGAGTTCTACAAAGACATGACGCGCCAGTGCTTCTTTGACTGGCAGAAGATGTACGACACGGCTGGTGGTGAGTGTTTTTCCTCCTTTGTTCGCCCATGACTGACTCGTCGTTCCAGGAGCATCTGCGTGCGGCATGGGTTTCTGGGGCGGCATCTTCTACGAGTCGTACTATCGCGCCGCCGACGAGTCCGGTGTCCCGGGAACGCTCGCCAAGCGCATCAACTGTATGGATCAGGCCGCCATGCTGACGATGCAGTGCAGTCTGCTCGGCGGCTTCCCCTCGACTAGCTGGCTTGGACAGAACCCGTTCGGCTTCATCAAGCGCACTAATCTCGTCGGCATCCGCGACGAGGTCGGATACCTCGCCATCGTCAACAACCCCTTCTTCGGCACTGAGCTGCGCTATGCGAACGTCGTGGACAACTATCGCGATCGCACGTACTTTGGCTGTCACGTTTACGTCGGGCACTCCAAGCCGTTCAAGAAAGACACTGATGGTATTTACGACGCGTGCGGCGGCCCGCATCGGGGAGAGGAGACGGCGACAGAGTATGTTGCGGCTAGCATCGACACGGCCACCAACCTCTACCAGGTTCGCGGCATCCATCCTGGTACCGTGGACAACATCCAGATGGGTGACGGTGTGACTGGGATAAACGGGCAGCACTACGTCCACGCGGCGGCGTCCAACTCCCTCGTCCGTCCCATGGAGGTGTTCAACAAGCTCGTCACTACCTCTTCGTCGTCCGACGCATCCGGCATCAGCCATGTCAACTGGGCGCACCTCCCGGGCTGGCTTGCTTCAGTTCTTGGCGAAGACTGGAGCCTGCGCTTCAACAGCGTCAACGCCGCGGATGGGTGCGCGCGAGCCTTATTCCACCTCGTCGCTCCGACTCCCGGCGAGTCCATCCGGGTCAGCGTGTCCGTGCACACTGTCGCAGCCGATGGTGGAGTTGTTGACGTGAAGCGCTCTGCCGCCGCCGCCGTGGACCGCGTCATCGATATCCTCGGGAGCACCGACCGCGACCCGGAGACGCTGTGGGTACGGGGCGAGCTGGACGAGTTCGGCGATTGGTCCCTGCAGTATGGCGCAGACGTCGGCGCTGGGCGCATCCTTGTTGGTGCGGGGAACACGGTCGTAGACTTCGCTGGCATGGCGTCGACGACGGCGCTCGAGGAACACGTGCGACGCCTTCTGCACCACGTCGTACGACGCGATGCGCCTCCGCTCAGGATGCCGGTGTTGCGCAGGGGTCGCCTTGTATCCTCCGAACTCGTCCACGAGGCGGCGGACCTGCAGGAGGCTCAAGCGGTGTCGGTGCAAGTCGAAGGGGTGGGGACTAGCTTTGTGCTATACTTCGAGGTCGACGGCCTCCTTGCCACCGCTGGGGCGACATGCGAGTCCGGCGCGCTGCTCCTCGACAAGTACGCCATCGAGCAGGATCGCTTCGCGGGCGAGGACGCGGGCAAGCACGCGGCTCACTTCACGTTTGTCACGCGGGAGCTAGGCGTACATCATGTTCGCGTCCATGTCGCGGATGCGGAGACGATGGTGACGACCACCCACCGCGTCGAAGTCAATGTCGTCTGAGCTAGGATTGCCTGGGGTCGGAGACATGGGAGCGAATAGTAGGTCAGGCGATGATTCTGCCCACTTGCCATCTTCTGAACGCCTTCATTTGCTAGGTGAAAGTGTACTACTTGATGTCCTGTCCGCGAATGACGATAATTTTTATCACCTTTGAGATGTTTTCATCGTGTTCTGACATTGCCGCCGTGACTTCTCACACCTGTCTGTGCCTTCGCAGGACCGGCCCTGCGTCCTGGACGCGCCTCATTGCAATCGGAACCAATCCTGATGATATGGTCTCAATGGCGGTGCGCCTGACAGACGTAGCCCAACGTGAACGAATAAGCCATCCAGGAAGGCCGCCAAAGCGCAGCAGCGGCAAACGTTTTCGTAGTACCGGAGGCGATCCTGGCGCCACTCGTTGCAAGGCTAGGTCAGCATGCTGTGATGGCGACTCAAAATAAACGTGTAATGGTCTGGACGAGGGTCCAGCGGTTTGTGAGTATTCGTCGCCTACTCCCCATCGATCTTCCCAAGCCGCCTGCTTCTCGTGTGGTTCGGTGACAGCGAATCTTCACGAAGAGTGATTGTTCGCGGTGAGTGAAAACATTTGATCAATGTGCCTTCCCTCCATTGTCTATTCACAGCGCTGCCTTCTTAGATACCTTCGCAGATGCATTCCGTTCCTTCTGAGGCCTTTCCAGGATCTAGCTGAGGAGACTCATCTGGAGCATCGAATGACCACTTCACCATCCGGCTCATAGTCGCCGGCATGGTCTTGATGCGCAGCGTATCGCGTGTGATCTTCAACCTCATGAGCTTCTCGCACTTGTTGCAGTATTCGACCATGCGAATGAGACCGCTCGGCACTCACGAGTCCATTGACCGAACTCGCAGGCACGGAGAAGCCCACGGAAGGCGCGCAACGCTGATACATGAGAAGCAGAGGCTGATGAGCGCTCAATGGAAGGTACTTGGGTCCACCCCATATATAGCGGGACTATTGACCACGATCTGCACTTTGTCCGCCCCTCGAAGACACTCGTGTAGATGGCCGCAAATCTGACCAACCAAAGTTTGGCGGGGAAGGTGGCCATCGTCACCGGTTCCTCGCGAGGTATTGGTGAAGAAATCGCATTTGAGCTGGCGAAGAACGGAGCCAAGGTGCGTCTTTGACTTCTCGGGGCCCCGTCTAAGTGCTTACTCTTTTTGGCCGAGTCAGGTCATGATCACCTACACGTCCCAATCAAGTGCTCCACGCGCTGAGGCGCTCGTCGCCCGTATAGCAGAGTTGGACAATGGCGCTGCGGCGGCGACCGTGCGCGCCGATCTGCGCCTTCCCGAGTCCCCTGCTACCATCATCCGTGCTACTCTCGCCGCTTTCTCCGTCCCTGGGATTGACATCCTCGTCAACAACGCCGGAGTCGACATCGTCCGCCCCCTGCTTGGCTCAACCATCGCCGACTACGAGCATGTCATGGACGTCAACGTGCGCGCCGTGATCTTCATGACAGAGGCGGCAATCCCGTATCTTCGCGCCCCTGCGCGCATAATCAACATCTCGTCCGTGGCTGGTCGGCGCGGATATCCTGGCTACACGCTGTACAGCGCAAGCAAGGGCGCTCTCGAAGCCTTCACTCGCGCCTGCGCGGCGGAGCTGGGATCTGCGGGGCACTCCGTGAATGCTGTCGCACCGGGGCCCATCCTCAGCGACATGTTCGACTCGATCCCGAAGGAGTTCGTGGAGGCGCAGAAGCAGCGAACTGCGATGCAGAATCGTATAGGCACTACGGAAGATGTGGCGCCCATTGTGGCGTGGCTCGCTCAGGAGAACTCGAGGTGGGTAACGGGGCAGACGATATCTGCTACTGGCGGATGCGAGATGCTATGATGTGAGTATCTGTTTCTGCGTCGCTTTCTCCATCAGTGGATTGACTAGTACCAGTAGACGAACCGTTGTACTCGTAATCAACATCCGAATCTTCGCTCAAGCAGCTGGAGAGCAGGTCCGGGCTCTCGTTGTTGCGCTATCCACTCTTACTGGGCTGTATTCGTCTGTCGATGGGCATCGTCAAGTCGACCACAATCTCGCCCAAATTCAAGTGGGGGACATGCACTGCGCCATCAGATCTTTACGCCGTCTCCGGCATTCCTTACGTCGTTGCTCGCGCTCGAATGAATCCAAGCACTAGCTACTCTGAGTATAGCGCTTCTGGGTCCTGCGTGACGCGCGATGAACTCATCGCGAGGGCTGAAGTACGTATGCCTTTCGACCGAGCTATCACCACGCATCTCGTTATATATGCCTTTCTCCCCGAAGCCGCGCATTCTGCCTGCCCTCCGTCTTTTTCATCCACCATGGCATCGGAGCACGCGCCTCTCTCCGGCAAGATCGCTATCGTCACTGGCTCGTCAAGGGGTATCGGCGAGGAGATTGCGTACGAGCTAGCGAAGCAGGGCGCCCGAGTACGTTGCCATCCGTCTCCTCCAGAATTTGATCAGGCTAACTTTCGTGCCTCGTCAAGGTCATGATTACCTATACATCCGAGTCCGGAGGCCCTCGCGCGGAGACACTCGTCAAGTGCATTGAGCAACTTCAGAATGGATCCGCCGCCGCGACTGTACGCGCCGACCTTCGCCTACTCGAATCACCTGCGATCATCGTCAACGCCACCCTAACCGCGTTCTCCACGCGGACCATCGACATCCTCGTCAACAATGCCGCCGTGCAGCTCGTCCGTCCCCTCGTCGGCACGACCGCTGAAGATTATGCGAACATCTTCGACCTCAACATCCGCGGCGCCATCTTCATGACGGAGGCCGTCATCCCGCACCTCCGCGCGCCCGGACGCATCATCAACATCTCGTCCACCAGCGCGAGGAGCGGCTACATCGGGTACAGCCTGTACGGCGCGAGCAAGGGCGCGCTGGAGAGCTTCACAAGGATGTGCGCGGCGGAGCTCGCGCCGGCGGGGCATACCGTCAACGCGATCGCTCCGGGGGCGATCCTCACAGATATGTACGGCGATATACCGAAGGAGATGGTTGAGGCAGAGAAGCAGCGTACGATTGAGCGGAGGGCGGGGCGGACGGAAGACGTGGCGTCGATCGCTGCGTGGCTAGCAGGAGAGGGCTCGCGATGGGTGACGGGTCAGACGATCTCGGCGACGGGTGGTTTCGTGATGCTTTAAGACTCCTTCGTAATGAAAGTAGCGCAGGTGCAACTGTTAGGAAGTACTCGCAGTCGTAAAGACGACGAAATTGCTATTGGTGACAGATTCCGACGCAGACAGCACATGCATCATCTTTTCTACGATACGCTCTCGTCAAGCTAACTACAACCCTCGCTCTTTGATCATCCTCAGTACGTTGACTATTTCGCTAACAGCAAACCAGCGCGTGCCATGATCGTAGTACTCATTTGGCTCCTCCCTGAACGAAGTGGCAACCACCTCCAAGTTCGGAAATAGGTTGTATAGAAAGAGCGCAACTTCGCGCAGATCGTTGATATTTGCACCTTCGAGGACGTCGAGGGAGAGGAGGCTGAGATGCCGTAGCGACTGCGGGATGACAAGAGGGCTTTCGACGGCGTCCAGAGGAACCGTCAAATATTTCAGCTGAGGGCAATGCTCCGCAAAGGAAATGAGCACTTGCAAAGAGCATGGTTCACATAAGTCGCCACGAGTCACGTCGAGCTCGAACGTGCGCAACTCGGGCCACCATCGTGCACAGTCGTTGTAGTCCGCTTCCGTGAAGAGCGAGTCATATCCGGATATAGCCAGGTATCGCATATTCCGGAACGACGACAAAGGGAATACATATTCGGGGGATATGTCGCAATACCCGCTGGCGAGCCGGAATTCGACATGGGATAAAGTGGAGGACCCTTGGCTGCCAATATATCGCATCATCGCCAACATGTCTGCGTCGCGCGTATAACGCCCTTCGATGCGCAGAAGCCGCAGCAACCGCAAGTGGCGAATACCGAACCATCGCATAATCGCAAAGGCCAGAAGAGCATCCGTGTCCGTGACGATGAGCTCCTGCAGTAGCGAGGACGCATCATGTACGGGTGGATCCGTAATCTCTGCGCGCGCTCTCCAGAGATCGATCTCTAAAGAGAGGAGAGAAGGCAACCCGCGAAGGATCCCGAGGATGAGGCTGAGATCAAACTGCGCTGCGAGCTTGATCTGAACAAACGTTAGATGTGTCCAGTGTGCAAGCACGGTGCACAGCGACGATTGAAGTACGACAACATCCAAGGTGAGCCGTGACACCTTTGGACAAGCTCGTGATATCCCCTCGAGCAAAGGAGTATCCCAATCGAACCCATGGCCCCCAGAAGCATGCGAGATGCCGAATGCGCCAAGATGAGGCGACGACAATGTTGGATAGACAGCCTCTGCTTGTCGCAAATATGGCTCTCAGCGGATGAGACCTCGAATGCACCTATATGCTTTGATCACCTCGATCCGCTACCCCGCGGGTTATACGCTAAGCTAAACTTCGGTCGGGACCTATGACCCGCATAACTTGCATGCCCTCGGATCCGTCCGAATCCGACTGACGACGTCTGATCAGTGGTCATCCGACGGATCCGCTGCTCGCCTCCCCGGGCCAAAAAAATAGGCGGGGATTGGCCCAAGGGCCAATCCCCGCCGGTCACTCATCATGCGCGTAAATCATTAACATATGCATTGTCTTATGTATCTACTACATGTGCGCTACTACGCAGCCACCAGCAGCTATGGGAGACGCTACACAGCGCGACGTACGATGCTGGAAAGGGGGGTGACTTCGATGGGAAACGTGCACGATCTTAGGCGTTGTGGCGACTGCGAAGCATGTTAGGACGTGATTAAGCAGCGCATGATAAACCAGCGCTCACCTGAGTGCAGGATCACTCCCAGCCGTTCGAATGACATCTTGACTGGATGATCTGCATCTCTGTACAATGATAGATAGTTCAGTTGGATGATGTCAAGATCAGACAACGCACCTGCTTATGCAACTCCTCACGAGCGAGACGAGCGAAGGCAAGTATCAGGAACCTCGAAGATAAAACAGCAAGTGAGTATAGCGCAGTCAGCAAATGGACGTACCGCCGCATGCCCTATCATGTCCCACGAGGCGTTGAAGGAGGGGCTCGACGAAGACTCACACGGCTGGAGTCGTGAAGGCGAGAGACAAGGTCAACTTGACTGCTCTGCGTGTCACATATACGTCATCCGGCGGATGCCGCACATTGGTGGCGAATATGTGGCACCGCACCGCGTCGCCGCCCGAAGTCGGATTGCTTGTCGACCTTACGTCGCCACGCTGGCGCCGAGAGTATCAGAGGCAGGCCGCTCCTCCGCATCTTCTCGGAGTCAACGCGATTGCCGTCGAGGTCGAAGACAGTATTAAGCGACACCCACATGAGCCACCTCCCGCGCTCCCCATTGTCAACGCCCCCGAAGCCGAGCCCTTCCAGCCCCTCAGACGGATGCGCGACGGAAGATACCCTCAAATCGCCGATACTCCCAGCTGCACCGTATAGCGCTGCTCGACTTCGGCCATCCACGTTTTCGACCTCGACTACAACGCATATGCAATGCACACTCAACAATCATCTCGAACCTCTTGTCCGAGCTAGCGTAGATCTTGTCACTTAATGTTCGTTTTTGGGCGAAAATATAGGTGCTTCACACTTGAATAGACACTAAATGCATATTGAGACCGACATGAGCGAAAAACTGCGATAATTGCCGTCTCTGCGGGCCTATAGAGGGTTCCAACAAATCCGCTACGATGAGCCGACAGTGTTGGCGCCTAGACACACATGACCGCCTGTAGCAATTCATCACCCATCGCTCTGACTAGGTGACTACCCATACGCTATGATACGCCTTCGCCCACTGCTTATCCGAAAGCATAACCTCCCATCCGCTCGGATAACCCCGAATCACCTCCCCGCGTTCGGTCATCCCCACTGATCACCTGAGTCCGTGGGGATGCGCCAAAACGCAGATTTGCGACACTATGTCTTTGGCGGATGAGAAAATATTGTCAGGAAGGATGAGAGTCTTGAAAGCAGGAAGGAACGACGAAGGCGATGGGCAGGCAGCCAGTGCTTCAAGCGTGGTACGATCATAATGCATTTCTGCGTTTGGTAAGTCTGCATCAATCACCTTGACATGGCGAGAGCGCCTCAAGACTGGATCCCAGTCATGTTTGTCGAGGGCACGCCGAAACAGCTACGAGATGAGTCAGGTTTTCATCCTCATGGGCGGCAATTATCACGCACCACCGTGGGCACACGCCGAAAAGCCATGTCAATATCCCTCGAGTCTTCAGGAAACAATTTCAGCAGCGGGAAAAGGGAGGGAAGGCTGCTCCAGAGCTGTTTATCCGCTATGGCAAACCATGCTTTAGACACGAGGGACAACGAGTACAGCGCGCGTGTATCGGCTCTTTCGGCGATGTGGAGGCATATTTCGGCAGGTATCCCTCGCCCATAGACAAGGGTCGATGCAGACACCATCGCAGAGTGCTCTGCGGCGGTCAGAACACGCTACGGAAGAGGACTGTGATGGTCGGAACCAAACTACGGACCGTGCGTCTCGAGGCTTCAGACTCCGGTTCCGGAGCCGACGAGCACGTTTCTCTCACGTGCTCTTGGTTCGACTTTGGCTGAACCAAGTGGTTCGCATTTATCCTGAATGAGATGAGATGTGGCAGGACCGCGACAATATTGATAGGAAGCGTAAGAATATATGTTGCTTGCTGAGAACGATAGCTTGTACAAGGAAAGAGTGTCTGCAGCACGATCCGTCGCAGACACGCAAGATTCGACTAGAGACCGAGTAATCTTATGATGGAAGGTTCACAACATGATCGCAACAACCTGCGCATATAATAAAGCACGGACGGACGGACGGCACGCTTCAGTAACTGTATGATAATCTAGTCAACGCGACTACGCGCCATGCTCCTTGATTCTGAGTACGTTGACTATCTCATTGACCGTAAACCAGCACGTTCTGCTGTGAGCATGATATTCCTTTGGCCATTCCCTGTACGAGGTGAGAACTTCCTCCAAGTTCGGGAATAGGTTGTATAGAAAGAGCGCGACCTGGCGCAAATTGCTGATCCCTGCACCCTCCAGGACGTCGAGGGAGATAAGAGCGAGATGCTGCAGCGACTGAGGAATGGCAGGGGGGCTCTTGGTGGCATCCAGGGGAACCGTCAAGAATTCCAAGTGCGGGCAGTGCTCCGCGAAGGCGATGAGTACGTTTAGGGAGCACTCGACACACCCGGCGCCGGCGCGAGTCACGTCGAGCTCGAACGTGCGCAGATCGGGCCACCATCGCGCGCAGTCGCTGTATTCCGCTTCCGTGATGACAGTGTTGTCTCCGGATATGGCCAGGTATCGCAGATTGCGCAACGCTGACAAAGGCGAGAAATGTTTGAAGGATAGATCGCAATACGACTTGTCGAACCGAAGCTCGACATGAGATAGGGCAGACGACCCTTCGCTGCCGATGTATTGCATCATCTCCATCATCTCGGCGTCACGCTGATCATAATACTCCTCCACCCGCAGAAGTCGCAGGACCTTCAAGTGGCGTATACCAAGCCCTCGCATGATCGCAAGAGCCAAAGGGATATCCACGTTCATCACGGTGAGCTCCTTCAGTGGCGGATACGTGCCACATGTGGGTGGACTCGTGAGCTCGGTATATCCTGATCCGAAGTCGATCTCCACAGAATGCAGCGAAGGGAGCCAGCGAAGAACCCCAAAAATGCGGTCGAGATCGACCTGCCCCGCGAATGTCACCCGGACTACTTTCAAGCACGTCCAGCGTTCAAGCGCAGTGCACAGTGATGACGAGGGCATGTTCGCATTCAAGACGAGATTGGACACCTTCGGGCAGGCGCGCGCTATGCCTTCCAGCAGATGAGTGTCCCATTCGGTCTGCTCGCCGTGCTCGGTGTCTCGCGAGCGCAAAGACTGGGACTGGGAAACGCCGAAGGTGGTAAGATGGGACGATATCAAAGTCATATAGACGGCTTCGGCTAAGTCTTTGGAGGATGTGAAGGCATCGAAAGGAAGGACGAGACTTTCGAGATGAGGGAGGAACGACGAGGGCGCGGGGCACGCGATCAGCGCTTCGAGTACGCTCCGATCGTAATAGACCTTAGGCTGCGGAGTGCCGGAGAACAAGGCCATGTCGATCGCTCTGACCAAACGAGAGCGCTCCAGGACCGGTTCCCAGTCTTCTGCGGTGAGGGGGCGGCGAAACTTCTATACAGGCATTTGGATCAGTTGAACCCCCTACTGCCTGCAGATGACACGCACAACGGCGGCTGTCGAGCCATGTTGGATCTCTCGCGAGTCCTCCGGAAACAGTCTCAGCAGTGGTAACAGGGAGGGAAGACTCCTCCAGACGAGTTCATTCGTTATGGCCATCCATGCCTTGGACACGAGTGACAGCGAGCAGAGCGTGCGTCGGTCGGCATTTTCGCCGATGGCAAGTCGAATCTCGTCGGGCAGTGCGCGCCCGGGATTGAGGGTGGAGGCGGCGACCATCGTAGAGTGAACGAAGATGCTCAAACGATGCTACAGGAGGACTCAGCAGTCGTAACGATCAAAGTCAAGTTATTCCATCACGTCCGCGTTCCCGCGCTTGTCCGAGCCTCGGTTCCGAGGTACACGTTTACTTCACGTGATCCTAACTTCGACCGTCGTCGGACGGAGGATGCACGCTGCTCTTATACTTGCATACGTTGATAGGCGGAGATGTCAAGTGAATATACGGATTTCATAGAGCCAGAGTGAGATATATAACATAGTTTGTGGCAAGCCACGGGCTGCTCGCTTGGACCAAGCAAGCAACACTGTTCACACTCCCCTCTCTGGCGTCTCCTTTCTTGTACGAATATGATCATCAGACTGCGTACTATACAGAGTTTATACAGCGGCTTTGCAGTGAATATTTCTACCTCGTGCCCAAGGACCTCGGCACTGATGTGGAACATGGCGCGGGAAATGGACGCGCCAACGTCGAGGGCAACTGCATCGCTCCTGATGAAGCCGGCACGCTCGTTCCCGAAGACGGAATTTTGCGGTGTAAAAGAATCGTGAGAGGTCGGCACAGCTGAAGGCCATTGAGCGCCTAGGTTGTGGTAATTGATCCCAAATATATAAGTCCTTAGAGTCGCTGAGCGAAGGAAAAAACATTTTCTACGCTTGCGGCAAGGCAGGGGCCAGCAGCGAAGACTCAAGCCGCTGGCTCGCTGGAGAGTTCAACTTGTGACGCGCCGCAGGCGCGTCACGGGGCCAGTGACGGCAATTGCCGTCATTTTCCCATCCGCTTCCCGTGAAAACCACTTTTTGTACTTGTTTGTTCGGGGAAGCAGCCCTAATCTCGTGGGTTAGTCAGTGTTGCTCGCTCCGCCTTTCCCTCCCTCGTAAGCTCGGGGGGTCCCTTAGGCGTCGCTCGCAACAATCTATCGAGGGACTTGCGCAGACTAGCACATCACGGAAACCGCGGGCGGCTCATTCGAGAAAAGCCTAGGACTATACGAGGTAGGTAACTCCTTCATCCTTGTCCCTCATTACATTGATTGCCTCCTGAACGGCATACCAGTCCTTTTCCTGCCAACTGGTTTCGGCCTTCTCCTCGTCATCTGACTCTTCCTTTGATAGCCTGATCTCTTCCAGGTTTGGGAACAATTCATACAGAAAGAGCGCTACCTGGCGGTGATTCATAATCTCCGCGCCATGTAGAACATCGAGGCAGGTAAGGCTGCTATTTTCCAGGGGTTGACGGATAAGAGGGGGGCTCTTGGTGGCATTGATGGGCAGCGTCAGTGACTGCAGGTCAGGGCAATGCTCCGCAAAAGGGAGAAGCGCGTCTAGCGTGCAGCCAACACACTCATCAAATCTTCGGGAGGCCTTAAGATGGAAGATCCGCAATGAAGGCCACCAGCGCGCGAAGGTCTCGCAGTCAGCATCATTGATGTCCGAGGCACCCCCAGAGAGTGTCAAATGCTCCATCCCGGACAGTGGGGCAAGGGTAGACAGGAGCTCAAAAGCTAGCTCAGTCTCCTGGTTGTCGAGCTCGACCTCAACGTGGCTTAGGTTGGCTGAGCCGTTGCTGCCGATGTACTGCATGACCTGCTGGATTTCTTCAAACAAGGCTTCGTCTGTATGTTCGGGCCCCAAGTGCTCTACTCCCATGCACCAGAGTCTCAGAGACTTCATATGGCGGATGCCAAAGTATTGCATGATCGCGCAACACAAGGAGCTCGTCGCGGCTGTCAGAGTGAGCGCCTCTAATGGTGGCGACTCATTGGAGGCGGAGGGCATCTCTACGGCTTGCTTTACATTGTAAAGGTACAGTGCCACCGAACGCAGAGCGGGAAGGTTGTAAAGAGCCTCGAGGATGCGTCCGCAGTCGGAGTGCTCTGGCACTTTCACCTGAACTGCATTCAAGCAGGTCCACGAACCGAGAGCGGGACATAGCGCCTGCTCAGGAACAAGAACACCGAAAGAGAGACGAGACACCTTGGGACAGGCTCGCACGATCTTGTCTAGCGATGAAATGTCCCACTCAGTATTCTTGCCGCTCAGAAAGCGATTGGAGATCCCAAAAGTGCGAATTTGAGGCGATAGCAAGGTCAAGTAGGCAGCCTCCGACTTGTTGGTTGGTGCGAAGGCGTCGTAGGGGAGGACAAGCCAATTAAGACGCGGGAGAAAAGTCGAGGGTAACGGGCAAGCGCTTAGCGCCTCTGCGACGGAATCATTGTAACGTCTTTGAGAGAACCGGATTTCCGGAACCATGTTCGCATCAATCGCCTTGACCAGGCAAGATCTGGTCAGGACCAAATCCCAGTCTTGTGCGGTCAAAGTGCGAATGAATTTCTGCAAGCCGTGAAATGAGTCGGACATTCTGGACAGGCCACAAATGGCACGCACCACGTCGTCTGAAAAGAACCTTGTTCTCGCACGCGAGTCTTCCGGAAACAATTTCAGTAGTGGAGTAAGAGACGGCAGAGTTCTCCATAGAGGACCATTCGCCAGGTCCCTCCATGCCTTGCACAACACGGTCAGCGACGAAAGCGTGTGTTTATCGAGCATTTCGCAGAGCATAAGGCAGATCTCTGCCGGCAGCGAGCGCCCGTAAGTGAGGGTAGAGCTGAAGGCCATTTGAGAGAAAGGAAGAGATGTTATTCGTGGCGCAGATGATGGAGAGAGAAGAGAGCAACGTCGCGGTCAACAGCTTGACCGGCGCTTTAAGTACGGGCTTCGGCATGATCCGAATTGCGGTTCCGTGCACAGCCCCCTACATGACTCCAGTTGGACTCATGCAACGGCGATTCATTGAAGGCTTGTCGTCCTCGGGATATGTCTAGTTCAAGGCCATGACACACATCGCCAATGCACCGAACCCATACAATAGCGAGCCTGTGAGATAGATAGCTTGTATGTAAATATGTAAATGTGCGTGCAAACCATACGTACGGACCTACCAACGATGTACTATCTACTGTATGCGACAACGAACTTCCAGAGCACAGCGCGGACATTACACTACCGACAGTACCACCCCGACCACACTCCTGGAATCATACACCGACCCATCCGTACCAGACGCAGTCCCGTATTCCACACCTTTTTGAGGCGAAGTCCTTCAACGCGACTCGGGCTTGCCATCCGCCTCCGCGCTCCTTACTGGAGACGAGGACAGGCTGTGGGTGATCTCCTTCCCGTTCCTCGACTGCTCACTCTCGCGCGACTCGCCGGGCTGCTCCTCCCGCCCGAGCCCCGTCCCGCTCTTCATGATCTCGTCGTACACGCCCTGGCCGATCCCACCGGTGCTCGCGCCCGGCGTCCGGTCGCCCGCGTTGCTGTCCCGCCGCGAATAGTTCGGCCACGTCTGCTGCTGCGGCAGGACGTCGAAGTACCCTTTCGGCTCCTGGGATTGCTGCTGCTGCTGCTGAGGCGCCGGTTGCTGCTGAGGCTGCTGCTGCTGCTGTTGCGCGGGCATCATCATCGGCATCCAGTACCCTGGGCTCGCGGGCACAAAGCCTCCCGGACTCGGGACGTAGCCCATCGGCGACACTGGGTATGGGTACGCGCCAGGGCTGCCAGGCGGAGGTGCCGCGAATGGAGGAACAGGTGCGAAGAAGCCGCCGGGAGAGTGAGGAGGTACGAAGCCGCCAGGCGAGCGCGGCGGCAGGTGAACAGGCGCGCCAACCGCAGGGTTGATCCCGACGCCATACCCACCCGGACTGAGCGCGAGTCCAGGCGAGAAGGGTATCAGATGCGGCGGAAGAGGGTATGGATATTGCTGTGGGTGCTGCGCCTGCTGCTGTTGCTGCTGAGCTTGTTGCTGCTGCTGGGCTTGCGCTTGTTGCTGTTGCGCCTGCTGCTGCTGGGCTTGTTGTTGAGCCGCCTGCTGCTGTTGGGCTTGTTGCTGAGCCTGCTGGTGCGCGGGATGCTGCTGCGGCGTACGCGGGCTCCCGTCGTGGATGCCAGGTGACACGGGTGGAGTCAACAGCTGGCTCGCAGCATGATGATACTGCTGCATCGGGTGCCCTGCCGGACTGCCCATCGGCGGCAAGAACGTGAAAGGCGGCATACTGGGCGTGATCGGGGGCATCCCATGCGGCGTCATCGCAGGCATGGGCGACATGCCCACCATCGGCATGTAGGGCGTGTACATCGGCGAGAAGGGTGGGAGTGAGATGGGACCTGGGTGGTGCGGGTTCTGCTGCATCGGACGCCGCACGCCCTGCTGACCCTGCTGCTGCTGCTGGGGACCGCGACGAAGAGGGCCGCGCGGCTGGCGTTGCTGCTGCTGCTGCTGCTGTGACATGCCCGGCTTTTTCTCCTCCGACGTGGAACGGCTTGTCGGTGGTGTGCTCCGCGCGTCTTCCCCTTGGCTGGATGCGCGAGAGCTGCCAGCGGGGCTCGCGCTCCCGCTGCTCTTCTTTTCGCCTGAGCCACCGCCAGACGTGACCGGTACCGGACCAGGCCGCTTGCGCGACGACGACGGGTTGAGGCGCGTCCCAGCTAGCCCAGCCGCCAGAACCTGGTCCACAAAGTCGCTCGACGGGGCATCCGACGCTTCCTATATGACAATCAGTCATCACTTGGACAGAGACTTGACAAGACAGCTCACCCCAGCCCTCGGCACAGCACCCATGGATGCCGCACCCTTCGGCTGCCTCGACAGTGTCGGGAACACCGGCGCCGGCAGAGAATGCGCACCCGTCGGGCTCTCCGCGCGACTCGACGCCGCACTCTCCACCGCGCTATCCGCCCCGCCGCCGAACCCAGCACTCATCATCCCGCTCTTCATCCCCACGTCCGTAAAGCTCATCGACCGCCCCACAGGCTCGCCCGCACCTTCCGCGCTAAGGTTCCGTGCGACGACGGCCGGCGGCGCCCCGCGGCGATGCGCATCCGACGTGCTGCGCTTGAGCCCGGTGTTGGCCTCGGCCTTGCCCACGACGGCATCGGCGAAGCTCGGTAGGCGCGAGATCGGCTGGGATACTGGTAGGCGCGCGGCGGAAGCTGGCTGCGGCGACGCGGCCTGCGACCTCGACGAGGGTCGCGGCGAGGACAGTCTTGGAGACGCAGCTTGCGACGATAACCGCGGCGATGTAGCTTGTAAAGGAGACGCTGTCTGCCCCAGCGCACTCTCGAACACCGAGCGATTCGGCGAGACGGAAGTAGGGAAGCCATCGTACGAGTTTGCGCGATCCAGCAAGTCGGAGCTGAAGGGTGCGCTATCCAGACTGCCCAGTCTTGACGATAAGCCAACACCACCAAGCGAGCCTGGTCGAAGGGCGCTGTCGTAGCTGCCCGGTCGTAAGGCCTCCAATGATGCGCGGCCGTCGAACGCGCCAGAGGCGAGTCGGGGTGACGTCGAGTGGCTCAGCGTCCCGCCACCCAAGGTCGGCACGGAGCCCAGCGCTGGTGACGGACCAAGAGATGATGCTGGCGACGCACCGAGCGAAGCCGCATGCCCGAGGGAGGCTAAGCGTGACGCGCCCAGGCCGCCAACACCAACGCCGCTGGACGTCGGACGCGACACGCTCGCAGACGATGTGCCGCTTCCACCACTGATCCCATAGCGGAACGCATTCTCCTCGTCGAGCAAGCCGTTCAATGAGTCATAGGTTAGATCACCGAGACTCGACGCAGCCAACGGTGAGCCACCGAGCCGGCTGGGACCAATGCCACCTCCGAGTCCGCCTCCCAACCCAGCACCGCCCAAGCCGCCGAGACCACCGTATCCGTCTCCGAACCCACCAGTGCGTCCGTCTCCCAGGCCGATTCCGCGCCCTCGCCCAAGTGTCTCGCCATACGTCCCTTGCGCGCCAGGGATCGCAAGCATGCCCGCGCTCGCGGAGAACTTATCGTAGTGCACCTTGAGCTGCCGGCCATTGAACTCGTACCTAGCATACAATCAGCATAAAGGTCGCGCGAAGGGGAAGGCGCGCTCACCCGTCAAACAGCGCCCTCGCCCGCTCCGCGTCCGCCTCCGACGCGAAGGTTACCGTTCCGAAGCCGCGCGAGCGTCCGTCGGCGCCCAACGCAACGTCCGCGCGCAGGATGGTACCGCCAGACGAGCGGAACAAGTCCTTCAGGTCCTGCCATTGGACGTGGAAGGGCAGCTGGAAAGAAAGACGTCAGTTAACTGGGCTCACTGAACAGTACTTCCTACTCACATTCCCAACGAACAAACTCCTCCCCGGACCTGCACCCCCCTCACTACTTCCCGGCCTCACGTCGCCCAGCCCCGGATGCAACGCGCCGTACAGACTTCCACCTCCAAGTCCCCCAGCCAATCCACCAGCGCCCAATCCGCCAGCGCCCAACCCTCCAAGGGCTCCTGCTCCCAACGCCGCTCCTCCCGCGCCGAGCCCACCTCCAGGCGCTCCCAGTCCTCCCATCGCGGGCGCGCCCATCCCGCTTGGTGCGCCGTACCCGCCCATCGTTGGCTGCCCGGCGTATCCGCTCGAGGCACCGTCAACGCCGCCCATTCGGTCTAATCGAACCTCGAGGACGCGCGTCTGCCAGGAGTATCTGCAAAAGGCGCGTTGAGCCATGCGTCCTGCGTCAAGGGCTACGTCGTCCTGCCAGCGTCCAATAGGTATAATAGGCCCTTAGGTCCTCCAACACTCACCCATTAAACATATCAATCGCTCTGCCTGCGTCTTCTGCTGTCGCTAGCAGCGCTGTACCATAGCCGCGGCTGCGACCGTCGGGTCCCAAGCTGACGTCCGCGCGGAGCACCGTGCCTGCTTTCCGGAATAGATCTTTGAGGTCTTGCCATCGGACGCGGTAGGGCAGCTAGTGAAGGTAGGTAGCGCGTCGACGCGGTGTGACAGAAACATAGCGATAGACCAGAGACGACGAAAGCAGGACCAGTGATAGAGCACCGGAGGGTCAACGAACAAGGTTCAAACAGGCCAGGGGAGGGTGATTGAAAGGGTGAGAGAGACGGACGTAAGGTTGACGTCGGCAATCAGAGCAAACAAGGACGAACAAGCACCCGTCAGCTGCCTATCAGAACGCAAACAAAACCAAGCACTCACATTCCCCACAAACAGCTGCGTCCTCGTATCCCTCGGCGCGCGCATTCCATCCGTAAACGTCGACGAATTACTTCCAAATCCCGACTGCCCGCCGCCAGCACCAAAGCCTTGCGCTGCGCCGTTCACACCACCAAAGCCCGACGCACGCATGCCATCGGGAAAGTTGGGCCCGCGCGAGGGCGAGTAGCCTACATCGACGGAATCGGCGTTAGAGCTCCAGGAGCCTTGCGAGAGCGGCGAGGGCTGATACTGACCGCCGCCGGGTGGGTTGGGGGAGAAGGGTGCTGCGGAGGGGTTCGGGGAGAAGGATTGGCCTGGGAGGGGCGAGAAGGCGTTGCGTGGTTGAGGGGTGTAGGAGCTAGGAGAGGTGGGTTAGCGTGTGCTGAGATGGCAAGCGGGCGCGTAGCAGAAAGGTAGCTAGAATTTCGTAGAGGTGCCGAGGTGGAGGGTGAGAGTCATGAGATGTCTGGATGGGTGTGCGATGTATGGACGGAAGCGGCGGTCTGGGCTCTACGACACGCACAACGGCGCAGGAGACGACGCGGAGCACAGGGACATATGCGAGAGCCATACAGCGTACCGCAGGAAGACTTTCCGAGAGCCCAGACGGGTCGCGAAAGGAGCCCAACGTGTCGATGGCAGAAGGATGGCTGCCGCGCGCTAACATCGAGTAAATCGAAGGCTCACCTTAAACCCGGGTGGGGACTGGGGCTCTGCGTGGCCGCCTGAATCACCGCCTCGATAGTCGCGTTGGAGAGCGGGCCGCCCGCTGGACCGCCACCTGCCTGCGCATCAGCCGAGGCGCGGCGCGCGTCGTCCTCCTCTTTGATCGCAGTCAGTCCAAGTGATCAGCGTGCGACAGCTCCGCGACGCACCGTGCGAGGTAGTTATACCCGGTACCCCCTCATAGGCGTTCAGCTTGGGGACGGCGGGGGACGAGGAGGCATGTAAGAAGGATGGCTGGAGCTTGTTCTCCGTGGGGGGCTCGCCAGGGGGCGACGCTGGTTGCGGGAGGGGTTCCGTCATCGCGATGGGCATGGAGGAAGCCGATGGAGGGGCAACGCTAGGCTGCGCTGACCGGCCGCCATGGTGGTCGTCGGTGTTCTTGCCATGATCAATGACATGGGCGGATGCGTCCGCGGGAAGCATGGGCTGAGGAGCAACGAGCGGCGGCGAAGTCGCCATGATAGAATTCGCGTGCGTGCTTCCCAACCGTCAGCCCGACGGGCGCGGTGAAAAGGGGAGGGGACGCACCAACGTGTACTGCAACAAGGTGCGCGCTATTGGGTCGTGTTTTACTGCTCGGCGTCTGGCGCGTCGTATGTGGGTGCGGCCCTCCGCGGGCTCGGCGTGAAAGAATTACTTTGCGGTCGCCGTCGTGTGTGTCGTGTATGTATGCTCGCCGTCGTGCGCGGCGGCGTGCGGTAGGTGATCAAGAGGTATCGCCGGCGCAGGAGCCAGAAGAAAAATAAGGCCGCGGCTTCGCGGGCGTGTCAAAGTGATCTCCACAATCTCCATGCCGTTTCTTCTCACGCCACTTGTGACGTCAGGCATGGACCCTTGTTCTTGCCGCCGCGCATGGAGGGTTTACCAGCGTGGGGTTCGAGGTCGTTGTCGTTGCAGACAACGAGCAGGGCGCCGCTGCCGTTGCTCGCGACTGCGCGGTCGCCGGCCCCTCAACCGCCGCGTCGCTGCCGCCGGACTAACGCCTAGCGTCCCCTGCGTCATTCGCACATCACCCTAGCCCGCTGCGGCACAACGGCGCGAGCTGCCAGAGTCCGCTCCGGCCTGATCCCGTCAGGCAACCAAGCTTGGCGAGCGCTTCCATCCCGACCACTGACCTCTCCCCCGGCTACATACGTCTCCCAGCCGCTCCTCGCAACAGTCCCACTCCCCATCCTCTTGCGCGGCCTCTCACGTCCCCCTTCCAAACCCTGCTCGAACGGTCAAAACCTTGGCCTGCGCTCATCGGTGCTCATCGATCTGACGTCCTCGCCCTCCCTCCCCCAACGCACATGAACGGCCCAGAGCGTCGGCACATCAGACGACCATCAATCCCGCCAGCCGTCTCCCTCGGAAGCCTCTTTGCGCACCAAGGAACTGCAGTTTATTTCGACGCGCGAAGGCCTTCGACGCTCCCTCCGCACGCGCTTTCCCCGCCTTTCTGTCTCCCCGGCATGCGCTGGAACTGCTTGCCGGTGAACGTTTTACGTGTTCTTCAGGACGGTCCTGGGGGATTTTCTCAAGCATCGTCATACTTGCAGCCTCTATTTGATTGCTGTCGCCTCTTCTTCCCTCGTCATCGAGGCCGGCAATATCGTCGTCGTCATATTTGGCAATACCGCCCGTCCTTGGTCAATTCAATGTCGCTCTTTGCCGAACGCAATAGAGTCCGAAGCTGCTCCCTCGGTACCTCAACCCCTTCAAGTCGCCGTATCAGCCACTTCGACCGATACGCTCGCAATTGTCCTTCCCAGCCACTGTTTTGTCCTCATGCCGCGGCAAGCAGAAAGCGTCCTATCTAGCCTCGCGTCCCCGTCCTTTGACAGAAGAGCTTCTGTCAGGTACTCTGGCAAGGGGCCTCGTTTGCTGTGGCTGGCTTCTCGTCTTGAATCGTCAATATGAACTTCAGTTGTTAGAAGCTCGCATGGTCATATGTCATTCACGTGATGCGATGTTGATTTTCGAGGCTGTCGTTCACAACGTTCTTCTGGTAGCTGCGCGCTTGCATATCATGCTGCGCCGTCGGTGCATCACGGACTGCGGCGTCATCTCAGCGCAGGAAACTGCTCCCTACGCGCCTCGAGCTCTGAATAGCGTCGACAATAGTCTTGGGACAAAATCAGCGTAGCATTAATTAGTAGAACGCAAGCAATCCACGATACGTGATACAAGTACAAGTAACAGTCTGAAACCAGTCGAAGCACATTTATATTCTATGTTCTGTCTTTCCTTTCTTTTTCTTTGGATTTTCGCGCGCTCTTGTAGGCCACTTTGGTCCTCCCCGACTGCCCTTCGCCCACTCAGCAATGACCCAGACGAGTCTCGTACCGGTGGTTGACGGGTTCGTAGTAGGGCGTGGTAAGGTCCGGATGTGGCGGGATAGGCGCATCTGGGAAGGGAAGTGCCGACGCTTGCGAGTACGGGTCAAGCAGTGCGTCCGGGTCAAGTGAAGCGTTCGAGTATGGCTGCGTCGGCGCGCTCGGGTATGGCTGCGTCTGTGCGCTTGAGTATGGCTGCATCGCCGGGTCGGGGTATGATTGGGCAGACCCTTGCTCGTACGACGTCGACGGCTGCGTGTATGAGAGCCCTGGCGCGGGCGGGAATGCCGGCGCTTGCGAGGACGAGGTCGTTAGGGGTTCCACGTACGAGCGGGTCTGTGCGTCGGTGTAGGAGGCCGTCGTAGGCTGCTTATAGGAGCTCATGGGGGCCTGGATCCAGGAGGGTGCTGGTGCGTTCGCGTGAGAAGTCGGTAGCGCGCCCATGTACGGGCAGGTCTCCTGCGCGCCGTAGGCCGCGGGTTGCACATTTGCGTGTAGCGCGTCCGGCGCGGTCGGAGGGGTCCTCAAAGCTGCGAGAGACTCCAGCGGTGCATTCGCGAAAGCGTCCAGCTGAGGCCTCCACGTCAAATTAGGCTGAGCATTCGCGAGCCCGCTCGCTTGCCAGTCCGTCAGCCAGTCGCCAGTCCGCTGCACCGACGGCTGCGTGATGGGCGTGTCCGAGCAGAAGCGCTGGTGCTTTCGGAAATTCCTCATCATTGGCCAGCAAGATGATGACGAGACGGTGCGTCGGTGCGAGGACGCGGTGGCCTGAGGAAATGAGGGCGCATGAGAAGGCGCGTTCAGCTCGTTCGGCGATGAGGCGTTGTCATGCAGGTGATCTTGTTCGGTATACTCATGAGGAGCACGCAGATATCCTCGGGGCGGCGCCGCGTGCTCCTCTGGTGAGGGCTTCCTAGACGAAGGACCGTTCGCTACGGGTATGCTGGGGACGGTCTCCTGAGCGCCCTCCAGTCGGGGCTGAGACCATTTACTGCGTCGTAGAGGGATTATTGCGAGCTCCGGCGAGATGTACGCGACGTTCTGCGAGGCGGTGGAGGCATCTTGCGAGGTGGGTGGCACTTCCAAAGGGAGGATCGGGCGGGTCAGCAAGGAGATATCAGCCTGCGCCGAGTACGCCTGTGGCTGCGGTTGCTGGGAGCTAGGAGCCGCGGAAAACTCGGCCGCGTAGCCGAATCCATCGTGCGTGCCGTAATGTGGCGCCTCATTCGCCATGCCGGAGAGAGCAAAGCCAGACCCGCCAAAGAGCGTAGCATTATCGGACAGGCCCGTGAACGCCACATCATCGAGTGGGCCAGAGAACGCGATGTCGCCAGAGACATTGGAGATAGGGATCCCGTTGGACTCGAGGAACGCTGCATGGCTCGATGATTGGGAGGACAAGACATCGTCGTACGGGCCGGCGGGAGCAAACTGGGATGAATGACTTTGTCCTTGTGCGGGCATTGTATTCAAGGACGGAAAGTTTGCTTCCGCCCTTTTTGTCTGCAAAACATGCGCGCGATGAGCACAGAGAAATATATAAGAGAGGAGGGTCCACGCACCAGATCGTTATTTTGCGCACCATTCCGGTACTCAGAAAATTCCTGGCTGGTCGCGGCGGGCTGAGTGGATGGTTGCGGGGCGCCATTCTGGTGCAACTGATGCGCGTGTAGTTGCTGCTGGGCAGGGCGGTGACAGGCTTGCTGGAAGTCATTATGGATGGGGTACTCCTGTGCGCTGAACAACTGCTGGGAGGGGTGTCCCTGTGGTAGTTCGGAGGAGGAGGCACCAAGAGCGGTCCAGTATAAAGCCTCGGCGTGAGGAGGCATCTGAGCGGTGGCGGGGTTGATAGTCTGGCGGTGAATGGGAGACGGCGTCGCGGGACCCGGCGGCGTCGTGGAGGTGGTTCGCGAGCGGGAGGCCTCCGGCATGGAGTAGAGGAAGTTGTAGTCACAAGATGAGAGGCGCAATGATGAGGCATGAGTGGCTTGCAAAGTCGATGGAGTGGCATGGGACGAGGATGTCCGGGAAAACGATTGGTGGACTCCGACGACGCGCTTGCGCTTCGAGTCCATAACCGAGGCCTGTTTCAAGCGCACCCTCTTCTCCGTAGCCCGCCGTTGCGCCTCCATCGTCCGCTGTTTCTCTTGTCGCTTCGCCGTTTGTCGCGCTCGCTTCTTCGTCCTCGACTCGGAGGAAAAGTACTGGAAGTTGGGATTCTTGGCCCTATGTTCCGCATTTATTTGCTTCGCCTGTTCCACAAACGGCTGTCTCTCCGCGGGCGTCATGACACTCCACTTTTTAGCAGCTGTCTTCACAAACGCTCGTTGGTCGGATTCGGGCGCGAGTCCCTCCCTGATTTCTGCGGCGCATTCCTGCATGAAGCAAAAGAAGCTGTTGGGAGGTCGGGGGACATGTGTAGAGCTATCGTCGTCGGAGGAAGGCGTGGTACGATTGGCGAGCTGGAACGATGAGGTTTGCCCCTCCATGATAATGGGTCCAGTAAAAGAAGGATGCGATGCAGCGGTTGGCGACGACGGAGAGCAAAGCTGCCAGGGAGTGGAGAGGAGACAACAGAGAATGCAATGCGAAAGAGCCACCTTCAAATAGTCCCCCGCCACCGTGATCAAAACAATATTCTCACGACACACCCGGCACATAGACCTGCTTATGTCGCCGGCCGGAGCTATTGAGCTGCATCGGGGATGTCTTTGTTTGCCTTATGCGGAGCCAATATTGGGTATGATAGCACGAGGCACTGCCATGAAACATAAATGTAGAGGCGCGTCAAATGGAACAAAGTGAAGGTCATAGCGACCACGCACGGATTTAATGAACGACACGCCCACTCGACCGATGAGGGCGGGGACCATGGCCGCGAGGGACGACGCTCAGGGGGCGGCGTCGCTTGGCGCAGTGGCGCGGGGTCTGTATCGAAGTCCGCTCGGAGAGGGTGCGCGAGCGGTGGCGGTCGTCGGCTATTCCTTTGTGACCATGATGCCTGAGAATTGGGGTCTGGATTAGAGAAGACTCACCGCAGCTCTTTAAACAGGCGCTCGATAGGCGCCGAACATAAGCGCCTGGATCAGTGGCAACAATGCGCAGGTTCTGCGCTAAGCACATTAGTGCGAAAAAATGCGAAAAGCTCAGCGGAGTAGACGTCGGACTACGCGCCCTCAGCAGGAGCGCGAGATTTCCATGACACATCCGAGTTTTATTCGCACAAAGGGCTCGGCAGGTACGGATGCGAAAGCGGTCAGGTCTTGACTCAGCCCCAGCGCTGTGACCAGGCGATGCACGAATTTCCCAAGAGACTCAAGACCTGAGCGGCACTGGTGAGTCAATAGTTGGGCAAATATATGAACGTTGGACTGCACCTCGTACTCCACGTTCTGAGAGTGTGGCAATTGTGGCACGCCAGTCGCGGTTCTGGCGCGTTCCGAAGGAAAATCGAACCGCCCTTCATTGCTACCGTAAAAGCGGAACGGGTTGGGGTGCGCAGACCCCATCGTAAAGCGGAGTTCTGCTTGCACTCTTTCATGATAGTTACCTTGCCTTGCAAGGTCTCTCCCGTCCTTAATTGACCCCATCAATTTGTACGGTGCTCTTAGACAACAACCGTCAAGTCACGCGCGCCACACGCGCGCAACGGGAGTCCAGTGCGCAAGCCCAGCCCACGGTCTCAGCCTCAAGGCAAGGTTGAAGCCGGCGAAGCCGGAGCTTCCTCTAGTTTGATTACCAAGTATTTTCTGGGTTGTATAGTACTGCGCGGGTGAAGACGCACCCACGGTTGCCAGCGCGATGTCGTGCAGCTCCTCTGCAAACTAACTAGATCATCAGGCGACGTCTGCACTCATCTGAGCTTGAAAACGTAGTCTGTGACCTGGGTCAGACCGTCAGGCTCAGCGGAGGATATTCAGGTTAGAGAGGGATGGGGAGAAGGACAAGGAAGGATCGGCATTTGCCGGCGTCTCCTTCTTCCTGATGTGATCTTCGCCTGCATCCCGCCATGCCCATGAACATCGACTGACTGGATCCGGTCATCTTACTCGAGTACTTCTTGATAATGAGTGCACCTTGAGCATGTGCTGGATACGGTCGAACGGACCAGAGCCAGAGCGTTGCGCCGCGTCGAGGTCGACCTCCGATTCGGACCTCCGCTGCGAACATCCGACGCGGGGAAAGCTCAAGATATTCTGTTGCCTTCGACGCCGAACTCGACATCGGTCAATGAGCACACCAATGAGCTCCCCACATCCTGCCGAGACAATGTGGGCCCCAAGTGGGTCCAGCTTTTGACGACCTTCAAAAGGTTCCGCATATAAGGCCGGCGTCGCTGTCGATCAAGCTATCCACTGAACGCACATTGGCCTCTTTCACTGCAATGTCCTCAGCTACGCAACTTCCCCTCGCCGGCAGGGTCGCTATCGTGACTGGAGCCTCCCGCGGGATCGGCGAGCAGATCGCTTTTGAGTTGGCGAAGCGCGGGGCGAAGGTGCGTGTACTAGCTGCTCTCTCGCTGCAGGTCACTGACCGCACGCCATCAGGTCATGATCACTTTCACCTCAGATAGCAGCCAGAAGCGCGCCGACGACCTTGTTGCCCGCATAGCCGCGCTGAACAACGGTTCCGCCGCCGCCACCGTCAAGGCCGATCTCCGCCTCCTGCCATCCCCTCAACAGATCGTTGACGCCACCCTCGCCGCCTTCTCTACCTCGCACATTCATATCCTCGTCAACAACGCCGGCGTCGAGTTTCAAAAGCCCGCCATCGACGTCACCCCCGAGGAATACGCGTCCCTCTTCGACATCAACGTTCGCGGCGCGTACTTCATGACGCAGGCCGTCGCGCGGGTTCTGGGCGATCACGGGCGGATTGTCAACATATCGTCTGTCGGTGGGCGGGCTGGCTATCAGGGCTTCTCGCTCTACTGCGCGAGCAAGGCCGCGCTGGAGGGCATGACGCGCGTGTGGGCGGCCGAGCTTGGACCGCAGGGCCATACCGTCAACGCCGTTGCGCCCGGTCCAGTGCAGTCCGACATGCTGGACAAGATACCGGCAGAGTTGAAGGATTTCCAGAAAGCGCATACGCCGATGGAGCGCCGGTTCGGGACAGCGGATGATATCGCTCAGATTGTCGCATGGCTCGCGGAGGAGAGCTCGCGCTGGATAACGGGGCAGACGCTCTCGTCGACCGGAGGATTCGCAATGTATTAAACAATAAGGTAGTTCGTCTGAGAGCTGGGACGACAAATGTACATTGACTCTATTCTTTGCATCGACGTTTACAAGAATTCCACAAGAAACGAGGAAAACGCGCATCCCCTTCGCTACCTGCTCAAGCTCAACTTATAATCCCCCGCTCTCGCGCTTGAGGTCCTCCAGCTTTCCGTTCAAGTCGCGGAGCTCCTTGCGAAGCTTATGCTTCCTGAGTTGCTTCTCGGCCTGACGCGTGTCAGCGATATGACCAGGACTTGCAGCGGAAACGCACCTCATCGACCTGCCTCTTCAGGTCCTCCTCGGAGTCGGAAGACAGCTCGGGATCGCGCTCCAATCAAAAGTAAGTGCGAGACTAAACCTTGGGAATTCTGCTCTAACGCACCCGCTTCTTCCACCCAGCTCTTGTATTCATCGCAGGTGACTCATAGGACGTACGCTTGCGCTTCCGGGGCATCTGCGAGCTCGATGACTATGAAGAGGGTCATCAATCGTCTTCGTATATGCATGAAGGTACTGCATACGTACTGCTGTGCTCTTGGGCTTCTGCGTGTTCGCGGCGGCTGCTGCACGAGCACGAAGGAGATGCGCAGGTGGTCGGCCAATCCGCGGTCGCTGGGCCCCGACGTAAGCGGCGCTAGAGACTGTGGCATTGGACGCCGACGCGCGCGTGTTCGAGGTCGAGGCGCTGCCGCTATTGCGGGGGGCGAATTGCCCATTGCTCCTGCGCATGTGGCTGGCGGGACTGGGGCGGAGGGGCGGGCTGGACTCGAGACCGTCGCTAACGCTGATGACGCTGTTGTCGGCAGTAGACTGGTAATCTTCATCGTCAACTGTGGCGGAATGGTCGTCGATAGCCTCGTCGTCCTCATCTACGTCGTCCTCGCCGTCGCTATCAGGGCTGGGGCCGAGATCATCAGGGGATGGGTGATGTATGCGAGCACAGAGTGATCTGAGGCGGCGGCTGTGGCGGCGAGCGTGCTTCGGCGCTCCGCATGGGCAGTAGAAGAATCCCGTCTCGAGGTCGCGGAACACAGTGATTCTGTCGCCTAAAGATTGACATGTCAGCCTAGGGTGAGCAGGAGCGACAGAGGGCTGCTATGACCGACCCTGGTAGTCTACCGTTACGTGCACGCTGTGGTATCTCTGGCAATGCTCTTCGCGCTTGGCACGGTAGTTCGTGAAGCCGTCTTTCTTGTCAGGGTGGAGCGGGTTGGGACACCCTGGTCGAAAACACCTAAATAATCCATTGTGAGGTCAAGGAGAGTACGCGCAACACATTGCACGTACCGCCATGGGGTTTCAGTATCGCGCATATGTACGAGGAACGACTCTCAAGGGCGATAGCAGGAGGAATTAGGCAGTGGGCTCAGCTTTATTTGTATCGGTGCAGAATCGTACCCTGGTCGCGACGCTCAAAAGAAGCATTCGAGACTTTACGGCGAGCGCTTAAGTTGAGCGTGCATGACACGGACCCGCAGGCTCAAGTATGCACGGATCTATCCGCCTCGCTAACCCTGGCTGGCTTATCGAAAGAATGCCAGCGGTGAAGACCCCCATGAGGCGGCCGAGCACTCGAACCTCCTGCGGATCCAATTCAGCATGCAATGTTCTTGAGCTACAATGGCATACCGAATTGATTATGCCGGTTCGACTGGCCTGCATTATGTCGTGAAGGCTCGTATCCCAGATGTCGTCCGCTTTGTGCCCGGAAGTGAGCGCGTCAGTCTCGGGGTGGGTCACCGCAATTTACAGCACGCACTTAGACAGTCGATAGAGGTCGATGGTATACAGGGTAGGCGTACATACAAATTCTGATCTCAGTCTATACTCCCCTACTCTCGTGCTCGAGATCTTTGAGCTTCCTCGCCAGGTCGTGTAGCTCACCGCGGAGCTTTTGCTTCCTGATTTTTCTCTTCAGCTACCACGTTGTCAATTAACGCAGCAGCCAAAACCTTATACACGCACCTTCTCAATCTCAATTTTCAGACCCTCTTCGGAGTCGGACGACTCGGAGTCGCGCTGATGGTGATAGTCAGTCAGAACAAGGATCTACGACGCCATAAGTGGCCTTACCTGGTGCCTTTTAGCCCTTGTTGTCCTAGGCAATGACGAGGAGCGCTTGCGCTTGCCGGGGGTCTGGGTACCCAACGTCTGGAATAGTAGTCATCAATTTTCGATGCATGCACGAGCATTCGATGCAGACGTACCGCAGTGTGCTCGGGCGATGACACACTTGCGGAGGCAGTTGCAAGAGCGCGAATCAGGTGAGCGGGCGGACGACCGATTCTTGGTCGTTGTAGACCGACATGACTCATTTCCGTCGGTGTTGGAGCTTCGGTCGGAGGTGCGCGTGGACCAGCGGAAGAGACGAGGGTTGTGACCGATGAACACTGAGGAGAGAGGGGCAGCAACTGGTGGTTAGCTTGCCGTAGGCGACTGGCAGGAGCGGCGCGGAGGGGCTTCCTGGCTGGCTGTCTTGCCTTCGGGCTGTCGTGAACGCTGATGACGCTGATACTGGCGCTTCGCGACCGATCGTCCTCGTCGCTGCCCATGGTATACTCGCTGTTGTCGATGTCCTCCTCGTCCTCCTCATCCTCGTCACTGTCCGGGCTAGGACCGATTGCGTGGGGTGCGGGGTGCTCTTCGCGGGCGCAGAGTGTCTGTAGTCGGCGGCTATGACGGCGCGCGTGCTTGAACGATCCGCATGGGCAGAAGAAGAGGCTTGTCTTAGTATCGCGAAAGACAGTTATCCGTTCGCCTACGAACTTATGTTTCAGCATGTTTTACTGGCGAGCGTATAGATCCGCCATGACGTACCGTTGTACACAACTGTTACCTGAGTGCAATGGTACTTCTGACGATGCACCTCGCGCTTGGTTTTGTATGTTCTGCATTCCGCCTTCTTGTTGGGATAGGCCGGGTCGGGACATCCTTCGTGGCTGCATCTGATTGATAATGTGAGTTCAGCGACCATTTGTACAGAATGCACTGCCGACTCACCGCCACGGGCTTTCAGGGTCGCGCATGCGAAAGATTGAAAGGCTTGCAAGGGCGCCGGAGGCAAGAAGGCGTTCTCACTTTCTCATGTATATAGAGAAAAAACGTACCCCAGTCGCAACTTTCGGAAGAAGCGGCCATGACTGCGCCGATGACATCGGTGTTGACTTTCTACGAGGTGCCCCTTTAGATGAACTTGTCCCCCCGGACGAGCTTTCATGGGGTAGCCGAAAAGTCTAACCTCCTGAGGATCTGATTCAGCCCACAGTGTGGTCCCCGGCACGCTGTTGGGACTCACCAGAACCATAACCTCGTTCCAACCCCCATGAGGCAGAACTGTCGGCGATAGAACCGCATAGATGTTCGTGCTTTAGGGCGGCCTCGCCATCGCGCGGACTCTCCTGAAATTGATGATAGAGCAAGAAATACGACGACATAGTCCCTCACGCAATACTGGTACAAAGAAATAAGCGGCATCGTACAAACATGGGTCTTCGTCGCATGCCTTCAGCCCAACTTCGCGCGCTTCATGTCCTTCTTCAGTTCCTCCTTCTCCTTGTCGATCAAGCGTCGCCACATTGCCTCCCTTTTCTGGCGTAACTGCGCGGCGATCAACATAATGTCAACAGGAATTCACCGTCGTACCTTTTGGAACTCTTGCTTGAGAACAAGGATCTGCGAGTCCTCTTCGCCTTCAGAATTCTTCGAGGCGAGAGTAAAGTCAGTGTGAATGTTGCTGCAATGGCAGATATGAGGGATCTCACCTCACGGTACTGGTCAGACGACGACGACACGCTACGCGCTCGCTTTCGCCTGGACTGTCTACTAGCCGGCGCGTACGTAGAGAGCACGGTCTACAGTACGTTGTAGGATCGGTCATGCTAGGGCTCTGGTGCGAGGTGATAGCGCACCTTGGGTCTCGTCCTGGTCGCGCATCTCGCCCGCGAGGAGCTCGTTTCGGGATGAGCGCTGGCAGAAGAGCCGGCCTTCGATGTGCTCGAGGTGGGAGTGTCTGGTGACGGGCTGCTGGCAATCAGGATGCAAGGTTGGGATTCGTCTTCATCGTCATCGTCCTCTTCAGGACTTCCATTTTGTTCGTTGTCCGTCGGTTTGGTTACGTCGTCGTTCGTGCTCGGGTGCACCCTGCGTCTGCATAGCCTGAACATGCGCTGTCCGTCCTGGCAAGCATGGGATGGTGCGCCACAAGGGCAACAGAAAAGCCCAGTGACCTTGTCGCGCACAAGCGTCGTCCTCCCACCTAAAGCCATGAGTTCGCTGATGCGAGGAGAATGCCCAAGTACTCACCTTTCCACGGAACAGTCACTTGTTTGTAGTGATACTTCCAGCCGTGCCGCATGGACTTACACAAAGCGGGCCCTCGAGACGAGGTGCAGTGCTCTGCCTTGTAGTCCTTCGGAAAGTCGGGATCGGGGCACCCTACTTTGCTGCATCTGGACGCTTGATGAGCTCGGAGGCACGAGGGACGATGAATCAGAGAGCACATACCGCCAGACAAACGCGTTGTCCACCATGACGGACGATGATGTTGCGCTGTAAGATGAGTAAAATGCTCAGGTCGAGCACGCATCGGTATATGTACATGCGTTGGGGCGGGATACCCGGCTACATGGCGCCATAACCTCGCACTGGCAGAACGCATGCGCCCTGGCGCGATTCTGGGGCCCTTCTCCGAGTAACGAGTCATCCTCCTGCACATGTCGTCCGCCTCCGCAAGGCTATCTCCTGGCATGCGCTCGAGCCTAATAGGGTTCGGGGACTTTGGGCGTTCACGAGCAATGCACAAGCCCTGCGGATTCACGTCTCGACTCTCGAGGAGCGTCGTATGTACATTTTCATACCATCGCAAGATTCACGCCCAGGTCTGGCTCTTCTCTGACATTCCTTGAGGTGCCAGGATGTTAGGTAACCGATTCACGATGGACGTTGGGAGCAAGTTAGCGCTTCGGTCAAGTGGCCGAGATCGGCTTCAGACCCGGTACATATATCACGTGCTGTGACATGTTCAACTTGCTAGTGGTCACAACCTATGGTTGCCTGGTCTGAGGTATCCGTGAGTCCTTGGCTTGCCTCGAGGATGTAACTTACAGCGCCGGGGCTCAAGGATTTCTACATTACATTATGTGTGCGAGTCCAAAGAAATCGACTCAAGAGGTGATCCGCGCAATCCGACGTCGCAGCCTCCGCTTTTCGGCCTCCTTGAGCTGGGTAGCGTGGTGAGGCGAGGGCGTATAATAGCTGAGCTCCCTCACCTGCGCGTACGTGCTGCGAAGCACCATCAACTCCTCGTCGCTCGTCTCTCCATCCGAGACCTGTGAGGCCCCGTTAGCCCGCCGTTGGGACCTTGGGAACATGGTGCACCGACCTCTTCAGTCGCTTCAGACGCGCGCTTGCGGCTACCACCCACTCCAGTCGTAACCAGCGTCCTTGATTTCGATCTGCGACATGCCCTCCGGCTGGTCGAGGTAGTGGCCACGGCGGCGTTGGATGAGGCGCCATTGCTACGAGACGGCGGTCGTCGTTGGATGACAATCGTATCGTTGTCCTCCGGCGTTGGTGTATCTGCTCGGCCACCAACTACGCCAGGAGGTGGATGATTCTTCAGGTTACAGACGTATACGAGACGATCGCTGCGCCGGCGGGCGTGTGCGGGGTCGCCACATGGGCATTGGAAGAGGCCGTGCTGGTCTCGTTTGACGGTAATGCGCTGGCCTGGGAAAACATTATGTGAGAGGCCTCCAACCCATGCGATACGCGTGCAACGTACCCTTGTAATGGACGGTGACCTGCTTGTGGTGATACTTGTATCCGTGTAGGGTACTCTTGCGATGGGAGGTGGCCCTATTTGTCGCCGATGCAGAGAGTTCGCGAGGGTAGTCGGGATCGGGACACCCCTCGTACGAGCATCTGATGAAGAGAGTCAGACAAGGGATTGGGCTCACGCGGGTCCACGCACCTCCACTGCCCGACACTGCGAACGCCTTTGGGCATCGTTGATCGGCTTGAGTTCGAATGAGGGTAAGAGGGGAGGAGACGAAGACGCCATCGCCCGCCCTACGCGCGAGACACGGACCCCAGTACACACCCTACACGAGCCTACCCCAGAGAGGATTCGCCATACGCCCCTAAAACCGGATCAGTGCAACCATCGTATGTTGGCTTCGTTATTTAGACATGCACGATCGCACCAACTTATCCCGTACGTCGGATTCGGCACCGCGAGGTTGGCACCCCTGCGCGCCTATCGCGCCGCATCTGCAGTCATCAGACTTTGCATGGGAGGAACGGCGGGAGCTCAAACTTTGGGGGCAGCGCATGTTCTTGCCTGGGATCGGAGAAACCCAGTAAAAATCAACATGGCTAAGTACGACAGGGGGAGGAAGAATAGAATTACAACGAAGGTCGAACCTAGACCTTGGGGACGGACAAGAATACCAAGATAGTAGCAAGATTGCACAAAATCAGCGCCAGAGTCGGACTCAGTGCTTGCGACCCGTCTTGTCGTAGCGGGCGAGTTTGCGGCGAAGGCGCCTTCGGCGTGCCTCACGTCGCTGGATTGGAATTTGTCAGACTGGCGAAGCCGGGCGCGGTTGAACAGAGACGCACCTCCTCCAGCTCTGCCTCCAACGCAATGATCTCAGGATCGTCCTCGTCGGTGTCCGAGGTCTGAGAGACGCAAGGGCGTTAGCGCGGATAATTGGCCAAAATATTAGTTCAAAGGCGTACGTCTTCGGGTATACCACGCGCTGGAGAGCGCTTGCGCTTTTGTATGGTAACCGTGGACGTCTACATTGCATGCACAGGTCAGCGGCATATTACGCTGCAGAAGGGAAGGGCGCGCACCGAGCGTGAACCCTGCGCGTGGCCCGTCTTCGTCAACGCGGAGCCTGAAGGTCCGGCAGAGGCGTCAACGCGCGTGGATGTGGAAGAGACTGAGCGCGCAGAACGCCTTGTGCGACGCGATGCGCGCACGGGGCTGCTGGATATCTCAATGATGCCATTGCCTGACGCGTTGTTGTCGTCCAATCCCCCAAAGCCGTCTTCGCTGTCGTCGTCGCTGTCGCTTTGGTCGTCCTCAGTATCGGTGTCACGACTGATGCCGACATCGTTCGGGTGAGGGTGTGGGTTGCGCTCGCAGAGTGCACGCATGTGCTGGCTGTGCCGCCGGGCGTGCGGCTTTGCGCCGCATGGGCAGTCGAAGTATCCGTTGCTGTTGCGCAGGAGGGTGCGCGTGCCGCCTGAATACCATTGAGCGCGGTGAGTGGTCAAGAGAGAGAGGAGCGTACCTTTCCAGGGTACGGTGACCTTCTTGTAATGGTACTTGTAACCATGCCTCATGCATTTTATCGCCGCAGGGCCCTTGGCCGACCGGCAGTTCGATGGCTTGAAGCGCTTTGGGTAGTTGGGGTTGGGACATCCTGGCTGAGAGCACCTGAGCGTCGGGTTAAATGCGTAGAGAGAGGCAAGCTCGAAAGAAAACGCACCGCCAGACAAACTTCGAGCGGGCCATGATGAGAGCAGTACGATGGCGGCGGGAACGTGCACGACCGTCGAGGTCATAGGATATATACAGGAATATGTCCGTGCGGCGAGGAAGAATAGAGACCTCTCTTTAGGTATTCACATCGCCGTAAATTTCGGACCCAGCCAAATCTCGCCTGCGCTAATTCTGGAGAGCGGATCGTGCAAGACAGCGGTCTATTGCATGCATTACCCTTCCCAGCTGACCTTCGCGCCCTAGCAACGGATAAGTCGACTCCGAAGGTCCCCGTCCTCATCGAGTATGTCCACTTCCTGTAAGTCAATAGCCGTGAATCACGCAGGTTTCGTGTCGCCGACATGAAAGTTCGAAGACGGACACAATACGGAGATTGCCATCGACGTTGAACGGACGGGCATCCGGCCCGGAATTGGTTCCGCTTCTCAGCAACAAGACCTGACGTCACTGAATCATTGCTACTTGCACCGCCGTTGCGACTGGGCTGGGCCGCTGTTCGCGGGGACGAATGGCGGGCGTTCGGACGTTTCTCTTGACCATATAGTCTTTGGTGACCTTATAATCTCTTGCTCGGATACACTACTCGTGTTGTACTCGCCATATCGCAATCCATCGGTCACAACTCGCTGTCGCTCGGCCAGAACTTCCTCGGCACGATGACCACGGCGCGGATGATTTACGGGACGGCGTGGAAGAAGGATCGGACGGCGCAGCTTGTAGTCACGGCGGTCCTGCAGGGGTTTAGGGCGATAGATACTGGTCCGCATTCATGCAAGCGCGAGCCAGTCGATCATACCTAATGAAGCCCAGCGTGCCAGCTCAAGCATTATCGGTGCGTATCGACATAGTAGGCGCTCAGTACATCGCTCACGCTACACTTTCCAGCGAGGACCTCGTAGGACAGGCGCTACAGACGTTGTACAAGGAGCATGGTCTGCAGCGGGAGGATATATTCCTTCAGACGAAGTGCGTGTCGGCCACCTGTCCCTCCCCCGTTCCGGGCTTACCTCTCCCTAGGTTCACCTGCATCGCTGGCCAAGACCCTACCAAATTCATCCCCTACTCCCCCAAAGACCCCGTCCCCAAGCAAGTTCGCGCCTCCTTCCAACAGTCCCTCAAGAACCTCCACACCACCTACCTCGATAGCTACATCCTCCACTCGCCCTTGCCGACCATGCGCGCCACCCTCGAGGCGTGGGCGACGCTGATGGCGCTGCAGGATGCGGGGCACGTCGGGTGCATCGGAGTCAGCAATGTGTACAACGTCGCGGTGCTGCAGGCGCTCGAGGACGCCGGGCGGCGGACGCAGGTGGTGCAGAATCGGTGGCATGAGGGGATTGGGTTCGATCGGGAGGTGGTGCGGTACTGTCAGGAGAGAGGCATCCAATATCAGTAAGTGGGTTCGTTGTGGAAGGAGGACGGAAATAAGCTGACTGAATCGCAGGTCCTTCTGGACGCTCACTGGGTCGCCGTCGCTGCTCGCGCATCCGTATCTGCAAGAGATCGCCGAATTGGTGGGATGTACGCCAGCGCAGGTGTTGTTCAAGATCGCGCAGTCGAACGGCATAACGCCTCTGACCGGAACAACAAACGAGCAGCATATGCGCGAGGATCTTGAGGTGGAGAGGTTGGACTTTTCGTCCGACGAAGTGAAGGAACGCGTCGCCGCCGTGGAGGAGGCCCTCTTCTCGTGAATATACCGTATTTAAGTTCTGTTTCAACGTCGTGGATTATGCATAACATTATTCGCCGTACAGCCATAAGCAAAGCTGGTTGAGAGACGACCATGGCGAGACTACCATGATCTAGAAGACAAGGACCACTTCGGTCCCGAAAGTCGGCATGTTATCGTACGCACGTGGCGAGTGTGATAACCCTCCGCATGTCGCGTCGTCGACTTCTGTTCCTGACCTTTACGGCCACCGTCGCGAATAATTGAATCGATCTCACGAACACACGCACTCCCTGTCATACCTTCCGCCTCTTAGGTTCCTCAAAGACCATATGCAAAGCGCAAGAAACCTCACCAAACGCTGGCTATCTCTCGAGGAGTATCATGCCCACAGGCCCGACCCCCCATAAGCGAATACAATGGGACGCCAAGCTTCTGCGAGCCAGCCATCTTGCGGTCGCCCACACGACGGCCCATGATGTGACGCGATCCCCCGCACTGATCACCCGAAGCAGCCCACATGCGGCGCGCCAGGCGCGCGACGGGTTATAAAGCGCGGCCCTTGCGCGCCCGTGCTCCCCCGTCCGCGCGGCAGCCAGCACGCCCTCACTCGTGCTCGTATACCTGTCTCCGGGCAGATTTCCCAGGTGCGTGTCCCGCCCCGCTCCCGCGCCGCACGGCTCACGCTGCACGAAGCTCGCGCCGGACTTTCCTCGCCCTTGGGCCTTCTGGGTGCCTTCCTTCCCTCGTTTTTATACCTTCCGCTCCTTGCGATATCCTACAATGCGCTCCCTCAGTGCTTCCATTGTGGCCCTTGCCGTCGCCTCGGCGGCGGTCGCCCAGGACCCCTGCGCGACGATCGCAGGTGAGTGCGACTGCGTTCCTTGAGATTGAATGCAGCCTGATCACTTCGCGTGGTAGGGAGGAAATGGGTTGCGCCGGCCGACGTCCGCGCTTGCTACTCCTCGTTCGCTCTCAACACGACGCATAAGGATAACGTGAGGTACTCTCTATCTGCGTTCTGATTCAGTACTCAATCAACTACACAGATCATTGAGGTCGTGAACAAGACCCTCTCCACCTTCCGTGCGCGCCAAGATCACCTCGGAGGGGCATTATGCTGAACCTTCATCAGACGCCTCCACGAACTACCAGATTCAAGCCCCGGAGCCGTACGCGGAGGATGTGCACGAGGATGTCCTTGCGGACCTTGCTAAGATTCAGGGAACCGACTATGCGTCGGACTACGATCTGCACATCGCGGTGCAGCAAGCCGTAGCACGCCTACAGGACGGACACTGCGTCTGGCGCAACTACTGCTTCGTGCGTCTCCGAGTTGTGCATATCCCTCACAGACTGTACTAATCTTCGTCCCACAGGATTGTAAGTAACTTCGGTCGACAGAAGAACGCGATCTCAATGACACTCCTTCCTGCAGCCGCCTTCGTCAACTACCTCCCTACCCCGCTTGTGCTCTTGACGGACAGCGAGGGCGAGCAGAACGTCCACATCGCCCCCGAGGCCTTCTCCGTCGCTTCCCTGGAGTTCGCCGATCAGGTTGACGCCTGGCAAGAGGCTGTCAACGGCACCCTCGAGGAGGTGAGCAGTACGCTTGCTTCCCTCCATCACTTTATCTTACATTCCATAGCTCTCTGGTGCTCAAGTCGTCGCCATTGATGGGAAGGATCCGTGGGACGCTGTTGAGGCGAACGCAGCTATCGCCGGCAGCTACCAAGCCCACGCGACCCGCCAGAACGCTTTCTTCGCCAGCTACCAGCGCAACGCGAGCGCCTGGACGTACATCTTCGGCCAGTTCGCGCAACAGTCGCTGCCACTGTCCGATGAAGTCACCCTAACGGTCCTGAAGGAGAACGCGACTGACCCAGTGGATGTTACTGTGCGTTCATCTACTGCTTGGTCGTGAACCTCTCTGATGGTCTTGCAGATCCCTTACCGCTCCCGCATCGGCTCCACCACTGCCGCCTTCACCGACGGCGCGTCCTACTTCTCCGGCAACTGCCTCGCGCAGAGCGATACCAACGGCGTCGACTACTACGCCGACATCGCGCCCAGCGCGGCGACCAAGAAGAAGCAGACCGGCCCCAAGCACATGATCAATGCCATCGTCGACGAGGTGCGCGCGGTCGACGCGGTGCTGCCCGAAGAGCTGCAGCCCACGGGCAGCCCGTTGGACGGTAGCTATAGCGTGGCGCAGTATTATATGCTGGATGAGGAGACGGGGGTGATGGCGCTGGGGAGCTTCTCGGCGGGGAGCTATGATCAGTTTTTGGGGAGCATGTTGACGGGGCTGACGGGGTTGAAGGCGGCGGGGGCGACGAAGTTGATTGTGGATGTGGTGAGTGGGATTCGGTAGCACTAGTTTGGGAGTCTGCTGACGTTCGTGACGCAGTACAACAACGGCGGGGGATACGTCTGTGCTGCTCATTGGCTTCATCGTATTGTAAGGTGCGCGCCCATAGTTGAGAATATTTCTCTGACGCTCCGCAGATTGCCGGGCCCAAGAGCACGACCGAGCCGCAGGCTGGTCTGAACACGACTACCCGCGCTCAACCTCTCGCGCAGGCCATCGTCGACTGGATCGTCACCAACGGTTCCGACCCCAACCTCAACCTGCTTTACAACCCGCTCAACGTGCGTCGTCGGCCTCCTCTTAACTCTATCGCAGGCACTTGACTGACGAGCATCTAGTGGCGCGGCCTCGACAACGAGTTCTTCGATGCGAAGGAGGACTGGCTCGAGCCGCCTGTTGAAAAGAAAATCAATGGGCACGACGACTTGTTCAGCCAGACGCTCGGAAACGAGTGCCAGCCCGAGGGTTTCTTGGACACCGTGCCCGAGGAGGCGCTCTTCGACCCAACGAAGGTCGCCATCGTGTCCAACGGGCGCTGTGCGAGCTCGTGCTCGTTGTTCTCGGTGAGTCGTCATCCCTCAACGACTCATCGGAATCTGATGCTGACACACTCGCGCAGGTCACCATGGCCAAGCTCGAGGGCGCGAAGACGGTCGTCGTGGGCGGGAAGGCGGACACGCAGCAGCAGTACTGCGGCGTCGTCGGCGGGCAGTCGACCTCGTTTGCGTCTGTCGACTCCGAGGTCAAGACCGCGCACCTGAAGGACCACCCGGCCGCTCCGCCTGATTTGTACGTCTTGCCAAGCTGCGAAGGAAGCTCTCTGCGAACAGGGACTGACATGTTCGACAGGCTCGTCAACGGCTACCAGGGTGTAACTTGGCGCCTTGGCTATGGCATCGACAACCCCAATGAGCCCGAGGGTGCGTCTTGTCCCGGTAAGAGTACCTCGAGCATCGTTGCTGATTTCCTGCATAGAGTGGCAAGATCGTCCGGCGGACGTGAACTTGCTGCTGACGAAGGACATGTGAGTGCTTCTGCATGGCGTAGAGCATCAGAGCAGCGAGCTGATTGTCTGTTTCAAGTGTGAACAAGCCGGAGGCCATTTGGGCCGCGGTGGCGGCATCGGTGTTCTGAGCTCTCAAGAGTGGGGGTGTTGTATCTTGGGTCACTATCGGGGAAGCATGTTGTAGATGTCTTGTGTACACTCATGGCCTGTAATGGCTTACCTGTAGTATGGATTCAGGGCTGCATAACAAGGAGGTCGTATATACCATATCATGAGGAGCTTCTCGATAGTCATCTCAGCCATCAAGAGAGGAGCAATCTGTTCAACGCTCAGAGGCGCAGGACGCGAGGGGCCCGTCGGATATAGCCGAGTCCTCCATGTGGCGGCCCGCCGTCCGCACAACACGTTTCTTGTTGACCACCATCATGATTTCAGTCCCCCTTCGCAAGCCAATTACCATTGCCTCTTCAGACCGAGGTCAACTCAGCCGCTGCTCGCTAGATTGGGATAGGCGCTTGCGCTTCATAGCGCCCAAAGGCCCAAGGACGCCACCATGAGGCTCGAGTATGCCATTGCCGACCCATCTACCCGTTGTCTACTCGTATCTCAGCCTAGTCCTCCTGCAATGAATGCCTCAAACAGTGTACGCATCGCCTGCAAGCTGGAGAACTGCTGCAGTAGGAGATCCTTAACCGCTGTATGCGCGTGCAGACAGCCCTCCCAGGGTTTTGAGATCGAGGTGCGTCCTTGAGCTCCCGACTTCACCGACCTTCCCGCGGGCGGGGCCAGCAAGAAAACTCCGGGTCGAGTGCGCCTCGGGGCGCCTACAGCTGCGCGCCCTCCTCGACGAAGTCGCTATGGGCAACGGTACGGGCGCAGGAAGGCCGCTAGGATACCCAAGAGATATGCTGGCTGCCTCCGAAATTGGTGGCCGCCAAGTCTGGCTTTGCGATGGACCGAGCCCCAGGCCTTCCAAGAACTCCGTCAACCCTGATACACGCTGCATCTCCGCTCCACCATCACCGCCGCACGCGAGCCTAGAATGCCTGCCGCCGTCGCCGGAAGGTCGAGGCGCCAAATTAAATGGGGCGTTTCGGGCGCGTAATATTTGGCACTGCCACGGGCGCTACAAGACACGACCCTGCCCGTGCTTCTCGACTTCATCTTCCCTCTCACTCTTAATCCACGACCAGGAGCCAACTCCCGCCATTCTCTCACCCGTTTTCCCGTTCACGACTCGTTACGTGGACGACTCCCACTAAGCAGCTATGAGGCTGTCACTCCTTCCCTTACTGTCCATTTCTTCCCTCGGTCTTGCGCGCCATTCGAGGCGCGCGACCTTCTATCATGCGGAACAAGCATCGCGCCGCGGTCTCCTAGACCTCGACTTGGACGTGTCTGCCAGCATTGACCTCTTTGGGTCAAATCATGCTGAGGGCAACCCTGTCCCCACCGACACTGGCAAGACCGTCTACTACGATGTTGTCGTCTCCGAGGGCATCGCCAACCCCGATGGTGGCAAGGACCGGTGAGTGATTGACGCGCGCTTCCGGCAGTCGAGTTTCTGACGCGACTGTAGCATGGTCTACCTCATCAACGGCGAGTTCCCCGCCAAGACTCTTTACCTCGACCAAGGCGACGACGTTGAGGTGCGTAGACTGTAACTCGGAGCGTGCAGCATTGTAGTGACACCCGACAGATGAACGTCTTCGCGAACACGACCGAAGGCATCACTATTCACTTCCACGGCATCGACCAGCAGGGCACTCCCTGGTCCGACGGTGTACGTCCCTTTCATGCTTTTGCGGCACTGCGTCTTACGTCGTCGTATAGGTCCCTGGTGTCTCCCAGAAGCTCATTCATCCCGGTGGAAACTTCACCTACCGCTGGAACGCCCACCAGTACGGTCTCTTCCAGGGCCACGCACACCAGAGTATGCTGCCATGATCCTCCCCTGTCCTGCCGATCTAATCCTTCGCAGAGCAGCAGCAGGACGATGGTCTCGTATTCCCGATCTTCATCCGGTGTGTAACTTCCATTGAGGCACTTCCGCGGTCTGCTAACTCCCTTCGTAGCCCTAAGGCGGAAGTTGAGCGCCCGTTTTCGCAACTGGCCGCGCTCGCTGGCGGGAATGACGAGGATGTTAACGCAATGATCGCCGCCGAGGCGAATACCCATGTCTTCACTGTCATGGATTGGCGTCACCGCACTTCCGAGGAGGTCAACGAGATCTGGGAGACCGCCAACGTTGAGCCCCTGTACGTCGCGATGGCATGCGCATTACCATTGAGGCATCTTACCTCTCGATAGCTGCGTCGACTCTGTCCTCATCAACGGTCGCGGCTCCATGGTCTGCCCTCCTATGGAGGAGTTGAAGAAGATTGGCGACGCCCGCGGCTTTGGCAACATTACGGCGAAGGGGTTCGTGCCCGTTTCTTCCTGCGTCCTGAGAGCTTCACTGAGCCGTTCTTTCAGCTGCCTGGCTGTCACCAACCCTATCGTTAACCCGCCGGCCAAGGGCTTCGCGCAGGATGCCGACATGAGCGTCATCCCCGAGGATACCTGGAACACTTGCAACGCGACCAGTCAGTCCAACTTGCATGTCTACTGAATAATCGTCTGACTTCTTGTAGGCGCCGATCGTCAGCTCTACACCCTCGAGGTTGACCCGACCAACGGCACCTGGGCCTCCTTCGGTATCGTCAACACTGGCGGTCTCTGGGAGATGAAGTTCTCGATTGACGAGCACCCTCTATACGTCTACGCTATCGACGGCCAGTACGTCAACACGACCAGACCCTTCGACATGGTCAGTGTCCCATCCGGTGTCCGCTACCAGGTCTTGGTCAAGCTCGACAAGGATGCTGGCGCTGCGTACACCATTCGCGCCGCCGCGAACGTCGTTCCCCAGGTCATCACCGGCTACGGCGTCCTCCAGTACTCTGGCAACTCTACGATCAACACCTCGACCAAGAACACCTTCGTCGCTCCCGCCACGGGCTACCCCGCGCTCCCGACGTCCTCTGCCTCCATGGACTACACCGGCGCCCCTCTCGGCCGCAACGACACTGCCAAGACCCCCGCCTCTGAGCTCGACCCCTGGGTCGACGCGCCGCCGTTCCCGGCCAATCCGCCCCTAACTGAGGCCGACGGCAACATTACCATGGTCGTCCTCGGCATGTCGCGCCCCAACTCGACGACTTGGGCTGCGAACAACACCGGTCTTCAAGGCCCATTGTACGAGGAGGGCGACCCGCTCATCTGGCCGTCTGTCTGGAAGCCGGCCGCCGAGGCAATGCAGAACAACTCTGGTCCTCTCGCGGGGAGCGCGCTCATCAACGCGAAGAGCGTTACGATTCTGCCGAACGACACGATCGTGGATGTTATTATGACCGTTACTGGCGAGCAGTACGTCTGCGTCTTGTTCTAGCGGGCATCATACTGACTGTCATTCCTAGCCCGCTGCATCCGATGCACAAGCACTACAACCAGTTCTGGGTCATCGGTCAGGGCCAGGGCGAGTGGAACTACAGCAGCGTTGCAGAGGCTGCCGCCGCCATGCCTGAGAACTTCAACTTCGTGAACCCACCCGTCCGCGGTAGGTCTCGTCAGTCTCGATGCCAGGCTTCCGTCGCTGATGTCCTATATAGACAGCTACAACACCCCCGCATCCACCGACTTTGCATGGCTCGCCATTCGCTGTACGTATCTAGTCACCCATTCCCAACGCCCGTCTGACTTCTTCTCCAGACCGTACCGTCAACCCCGGCCCCGATCTCATTCACTGCCATCTCTCGCAACACGCGACGGGCGGTATGGTCGAGGTTCTGCTTGAGGGCATCGAGCTCGTCGACCTGCCCGAAGAATATGCTCAGCCACAATCGCAGCAGCAGTAAGCGTATATACCTACCTACATGACTCGGACTCGGACTGCCTTGTCTTCCCCCCCTGGGCCCACGCGCCCGTCCATTCGCTTTCCTCATCCCATCTCTTTCCGCGCTGCATCTCTCTGCGCCGGTCTCTTCCGCGCTGGTACGCACGTCGTACCCCCACGCCACCCCTCCTGTATGATATCCCCGCTATCGACCTTTGTTCATAACTTATCCTATCCTCTTGCATCGGACACTGCTCACGCTCATGCCCCCCGCTCGGAATACTGTCTTACTAGATCGCATTCGAGCCCGGTGCTCTGCTAGTTATTGTATAGTCTTTCACCTATTTCTTCTCGGGCTATTGGACTGCTTCCTTGGCGCGCTTCGATGGAGAAGCGAGGATCCAATGATGTTCGCCAGCGTCGCGATAATAGCAGCTTTACAATGATGTGCTCGAAACAGTTTGCAAACTCGATTGGGATTCAAATGCTGAGTATGGTAAGCAACATGTTAGGCAGCAGAACGTCCTTTCTGCTTCGTGTTCTTCGACTGCTCCAGCTTCACGGCGAGCGGATCGCGTGTGTTCCACTGGACAGTGTCGAGAAACACGGGTCTGAACCGCCTGCGAACCTGCGGCTGCTTCTCGTCCTCGCTCGTGTCGGAGTCCACGTCCATGGGCACCTCGACGGCCTTCCGGGTCTTCCGCGGGCTCGTCTGGATAACGACAGTGTCCTCCATCTCCTGCACCCTCGTCGACCGCCGAGGACTGACATGCGCGTCCATGGGCTCGGCAGCCGCCTTTACGGGACTCGAGCGGGCTGCGCGAGAACGAGCAGGCGAAGGCGACTCATCGCGCGCGATCTGCTTGTCCGCCGGCGCGACCTTCCTGCGCTTCTTCGGAGACAGGAAATCAACCTCGTCATCGCTCCCGCTCTCGGCGGCGGACGACGGCTGCGGTAGATTAGGAAAGAGCGCAGGAATCGGCGGAGGCGCCTTTCGGGGCGACGCCTGAGGCTTGTGCGACGATGCCTGAGGCTTATGCGGCGAGCCGCCGTGCGGAAGCTCGCGAACCGGGGCAGCTTTCTTGTGCGGGGACCCTCCGTGAGGCAACTCGCGGACAGGTGCGGCCTTTTTGTGAGGGGAGCCGCCGTGCGGGAGTTCGCGCTTGATGGGCGATTTGGTCGGCGAAGTCGGGCGAGTTGGCGCTGGCTGAGCGTTCAGAATCTTCTCAGCCTCCTTTGCTAGCGGCGCTGCGCGCTTGTCGAGTAACTCTACAATCTTCCCTAACATGTCTGGAGCGACGCCGTGCATCCTGCAGAAGCCCGAGCGCTTGAACATGTCCTCGCCCTGTTGTTCGCATTAGCAAATGTTCAGTATGTACTTCCGAAGGAGGATTTCACCGTTTTCTGCCTGCAAACCCAAAACAAGATGCTCGCCATCTTCTCGTTTTCCTTGACTTTCTTCGCCTTACCGGTAGCGTCCAACGCTTCCTCCGTCTTCCCCAGCAGCGACAACAGCGCACTAGACGACCGAATCTTATCCGAATGCTTCCGTACGAGTTCTGGATACGACCACACTGTCATGCTGCGACGCGTATCGCACAGGGCGGCCTCTACTTTGTGCAGCGCAATGTCGAAGTCTTTCGGCGCTATGCATGACACGGCTTGTGCGGCGACACGACTGACATCGTCGTTGTTGAGACTGGGTAATATTGGGCTTCAGATACAACAGTCTTAGATATGGTTGGCTGACAATACCTTTGCGACGCCTTGTAAGCACAGATGGCGGGTAAGGCAGCAACGCTGGTGCCCAAATCAAAGCCAGAGCCGGGACCCGTTCGAGCTTTGGCACGCCTATAGAACGCATGCGCGGACTGTATGGTATCTTCGTTCCTGCAGAGCTTGGCGAAAGTGTCCTCAACGGACATGGTGGCTTGTCTCAAGCCGCAAACACGCGTGTGTACGCGAGCTGTCACATTTCACGTGACTGTTAATGCGACGTTCAGCGCCGTGAGGGTGCCCAATACATGCGGAATGCCACTGACATTGCCTACGCTAACAATCTACATCACTAGCACAGTACAAGTGCGATCGCCGTCCTGTGGGAGGCGAGCAAGAAACTCGATGTCTCGAGTATATACAACACGTGTGGCCAACGTGTGCGATTTACCATGAATTTGCAAGGAAGAGGCCAAAGCAGGCCGAAGCCCTACTTGGTGCGCGGCTAGTTCTCCGTTAGCGATGTTCGCACGAGCATGATAGACACACACCTTGACTTCGTCACCGACTTTGCGGACGCCAACCCAAGGCGCGGGGTATTTGTTCAGAGCGTCCGGACCCTCATCCCAAGTGTAGGAAACACCAGCAGCAAGTCTTTAGTCAATCAGCAAGGGATATTCCATCGCAAGATAGCGTCCTTACCTTGTGCCGTCGCAGCTGAACGCGATGCTCGCGACCGGCGCGTCGAACTTGGGGTACTGACGCAGCCGCTTCTTGACCTTGTGGTCCCAGATCGAGATTGTTCCGTCTGAGCCGGCGGATGCGAAGGTGTTATGGCTAGAGGATACGAAGAGCATCGATCAAAAGGACGTCCGGCACAAAGGACAAAGGCGCAGACGCACATGGGGTGAAAGGCGAGAGAGTTGACGGGCCAGACGCAGTCTACGTCGCCGATCGTAGAGCGATGGCACTTGAACGCGTACTTCTTTTCTTGTGCCGCGGGCGACGGATCGAAGTACTCGACAGCGATGCGGCCCTCAACGGATGCGGTCGCGTACCCTTTATATACCCGTCAGCTATCAGCCTCATGTTGGCAACGTGGGTAACGCACCCGTGCCATCCGGCATGCACGCGAGGCTGCGCGTCATGAACTTTAGACTACTCTCGCGCTGCTGCATCGGCTGGTCCATCTTGCGGAGGTCGTAGATTGCGAAAAGGCGGCTGGCGAGCGCGGCGACGAGGTAGTTGCCGACGGTATCGATGTAGTACACGCGCTCTGGCGTTTGGTGAGACGAGGTCTGGCAGGAGGCGGATGAGGAACGGGGATCCCACAGGCGCACGGTGCGGTCCCAAGAGCCGGTGGCGAGGATATCTAAGGGGGTGTCAACGGAAAAGTTGATGGAGAGAGCGTAGGGACGCACTTGGCTGGCGGGCGAAAGACATGGTGGAGATGGTCTTGTCGTGCGAGCCCAGTTGGGTGATCTTCTCCGTCTCGAGGTCCAGTCTATGCACAGTTAGTTCAAGTTTCATAGCAAGGGTGAAGAACGCACTGTCTGACATATGTATCCAGCCCTCCACTGAACCCATGAGCCGACTCATTGTCGAACGCGCACGACAAAACAGGCGCCCGATGCTCGAACTTCCCCTTCATCTCCGTGTCCTTCTCGGACTCCCCGACTTTGTACAGCCGCACTGTCTACTTCATGTTAGCATTCATGCACGCATATTCATAGCTGGAGACGCACCGTATCCCATGCCGACACCAAGAGCTGATCGGGGTTCTTGGGGGAAAAGACGACTTGGGAGACGCCGTCATATGGAGGGCTGGGCAGGGTCACATAGTCCGGTTCTATCTAACGCGTCAGACAAAGTCCCCTCTCATGAGCAGTGTACTCACGAGACATGGTCAAACGAGGGGAACGCGACTTTCGATAGCGTTATTGACCGTGCGTGCGGGACAAGTGCGTCCTGTTATGGCATATTTGCAGGCACCGAGGAGTCCGCGGCATTGTCGCGTGGCAAAGGAACAGGGTCACGTGCGCTGGCGCCACGCAATGCACCTTGGCCTCGTAGCCTTCGTTCCTCATCATCTCTTCTCGAATCCCCCCTGTCGTGCTTTCTCATAGCTCTATCTGAGCTGAACAGCGCTCACTGCAGCCACTTTCGATGATGCAGAAGGTTCATGATGGTCCATCGTCCATCAGCACTGCGTACAGGGATTATCTTGAGGGAAGCCATCGTACATGTGTGCATAAGACTTCCTCTCCTTCGAAGACGATGAACACGAAAGCTCAGCTCCACATCTATACCTGTGTGTACTAAGGGCTGCACGGGCGAAGCCTTCCCGATACAATCAGCTTAGATCTCGTATCGGTGTACATCTAGGCGCGAGCCAGCAGATCCTACAGAGATCGGACTCGTAGATGTTGTGAAAGAGTAGATCAGGTCCCCAGTCAACGTAGCAATGATACTGCACTAGGCAAGCAACACCCTGTTGTCCAAGAGCTTGGTACCTATACAGTAAACAATGCAATCATGCTTCATCAGCTGCCCCGGGCACGAGTCTGACCGGAAGAGGGAAGTGACGGCCCACGCACACCGGGAAGCGCCCGTCGCGGCTCTCCCTTTGTCCATCATCATCGCCACTCTCCGTCCCCCGCCGCCACGCAGCACACTGCCACACACTCAAGCTGCACGCACCTCCCTGCACACCCCACTGCACGATGACAAGGAACCAGACGCCGACGAGGCCGCGCCGGGCCCCCGCGCCACACAAGCCCAGCGCGCCTAACAAAGACACGGGCCCGCGCGCTGGCGACGATGACGCCGAGATCATTCAGTGGGAACTTGAGACGCTCCGCCCGCCCACGCAGCGCCGCGTGCACAGCAGCGGGGAGCGGCGCGTTACGGTCACCAAGCCTGCGCCGACGTACGCGCCCGCGGACACGTCTGGCGTGAGCGAGACGGACGACGGGAACGCGCGCTTCCGCCGCGAATTGCACCTGCTGGCTGTGCGGAAGAAGAGCAGCAGCAGGCTCAACAGCAGCAGCAAGCTCGGCGGCAGCGGCACTCGGACCTCTGCCAGCGTCGGGCGCGCGGGAGGTAAGGCCCATGGATATGCGGCGTACCGCGAGCGCACGGAGCCGCCGCCGTTGCTTCCGCCTTTGCTTCCGCCCTCGTCTAACTCGCTGACTCCCACGCCACCGCGCGCGCAGCCGACCACGCTGTCCGCGTCGGTCACGCGCCGCCCGACGCGGCTGAAGCAGACCGCAAGCGACAGCTACTCGTCCGGCCAGGCGAGTCGGACGATACCCATCCTCAGCCGCCCGGGCTCGGCGCCACCGAGCCTGACCGAGGACGCGGACTCGTGCACGCAGGAGATGGGGTCCTTGCATGAAGTGGGATACTTGCGTGAGGTTGACTCCTTGCAGCCGACGCCTACGCCGGAGCGCACGTCCGACGAGCGGACCTCGCGCTCGCCACCGCCACCGCGCCCACAAGCGCCCACGCCAGGCAGCGAAGCGTCTACCTTGACCAGTCGCGCGAGCCGGGATCTTCGTTGGCGAGGACCAGGGCCGAAGAGGGAAGGCGTGAACGTTGTGCGTCGTGCAGTGTCGCCAGCACGCTCGCGGGCGGAAATCCTTCGAAAGAAGAGCACCGTCGAGTTGTCTCGTAAACGGAGCGCGGCCGAGCTGCCCTCGAAGCAGAGCACGGACTGGACACGCACTGAGCTGAGCCGCAAGCGGAGCACTGGGACTGGCCTGGCTAGGACACGCGCCAGCGGCCTGACGCGCTCGCGCAGCGCGGACATGCGCAAAGTGGCTGCCGTCTCGGCCGGAGGACTGCCCAGCATCCCGGATGAGACCAACTTTGGGGGACGGACGGTGAGCCCGGCAAACAGGACGGAGACGATCCCTGTCTACCACTCAGAGACAGCGCCCCCGAGTCGTTGGGAGGCCAACCGCTCGGAGACGGTCCCGCTCAGTCGCTGGGAGGCAGTCAGTCGCTCGGTTACCCCTGTTTCGCGCCCCTGCACGCCCCCGACGCGCCCTACGACACCCTCTGCACGGTCGCGGACCATGCGTGGTCCGGACGACGTGCGTACGATGCGAGGCTCGGAAGGTAGTTGTAAGCTCGAGCGCAGCGCTAGCTTCGTCGAGTTGGGCGACGTTTCGGACGACGGGAGGAGGAAGTTGACATGTCAGGAGAGCAAGGATCTATTCCGGAGGATGTGGGCAGACAAGCATACAGAATTGGAGAGAGGTAGGAGGGTTGGGACGTTAGTACATGGATCCAGGTAACTGGGGGAGGAGTTTGTGGCGAGTTACTGAGACATACTACGAGGCTGTACAGTATTGTGTACTATCACGACCAGTGTACTATAACGCTTTCATATCGAGGATCATGCTTTGCTACTATTGTTATTGTACTTATGCAGCCTTACAACGCCATGGAAGACATCATTTCGCGAAGGGCTGATCGACGCGCAGCGAAGACATGTTGACGGACAGCAGAACAGCATCCACTGCGACACGACATGAGGCGACTAGCATCTTGATTAAGGAGGTGCTCAGATCGGAAGGGACGTGCTGGGCATGCTGCATAGGTGCATAGAACAGAACGTACAAGGATACATGGGTAGACGACATAGACGCTACATCCTCCAAACCACCACCTGCAAGTGACTGGCTTACGCGACGAGGGTCGACGCGGTAGCCGAGTCGTACTTGAACGTCGGCGGGATCTGCTGCTTCGTCTTGTAGTAGCGAGCAAGACGGTGGATACGCGACTCGATCAAGATAAGGCGGAACTTGGAGTCCTTGTCCTTGCGGTTGGTCTCCAGGTGCTTGCGGACGGCGACCGCCTTTTTGATGAGGTACCAGAGGTCCTCAGGGATGGATGGGCCAAGTCCTATCCCCAAACAAAAGGCATTTTACGTGCGCGAAGCAGGCGTAAAGGGAGAGGGAGAAGCGCAAGGAGCCGGTGCATGAGATACGGTCATACGGGAGGGCGAGGGGACACACCTTGGGACTTGAGGATACGGAGGATCTTGTTGCCCGTGACGAAGCGGACCTGGGGGATGCCGTGCGCGTCGCGGAGGGTGACACCGATCTGGGAGGGGGTCATGCCCTTGCGCGCGAGTTTGGTGATGTGGTCGACGACGTCCTCCGGGGTCGTCTTCAACCACGCCGGGGGAGCGCGGCGGTAAGGAAGGGCAGAGCCAGCTGATCGGAGTTCAGCGATGGCGCCGATGAAAACTTGACAAGAGACGTACAAATGCCCTTGCCGGGAGCGTGCATGCGACCCATGGTGGATTCTGACGCGAATTGTCAGCGTCCTGGACAATCTATGGGCGTCACTTTCACTCACATTTGGAGGGGGAAGGCGTAACCGGCTTGATGATCTTGAGGACGCGCGACGGCGAGCAGCACTGGGGCGTAATCTCGTGGTTCTGCTGATCGAACAGCGAGAGTCGGCATTTGCCGAGCAGCTGTATAGTTTGTCCCAATGCGGTGGCTAGAGGTATTGTTTACTCGTGTTAGTGCCCCGAAAGTCAAGACTCATCGCCCGCTGCCCGCCGTCGCCGACGCCGCTCGAGGTCAAGACCATCTCCTCAAGGTGTGTTATGCCGCACCTGTGTCTCGGATGTGCTGACTGACCGTGAACAGCAGCCATGAAGTTCAACATCGCGAGTAAGTCGCGATCGGCGCGATACTTGACCTCGTACTCATGATGTTCAGACCCCGCGACGGGGCAGCAAAAGCTCATTGACCTTGATGAGGAGCGCAAGTAGTGCGTGTGCTACAGCCTCCTCCCTTTGCTGCGTCCTGATCGATCGTTAGCCGCATCTTCTACGACAAGAAAATGTCCCAGGAAGTCCCCGGCGACTCCCTCGGCGACGAATTCAAGGGCTACGTTTTCCGCATCACTGGCGGTAACGACAAGCAGGGCTTCCCCATGAAGCAGGGCGTCCTCCTCCCCCACCGTGTGCGCCTCCTCCTCAGCGAGGGCCACAGCTGCTACCGTCCCCGCCGCGAGGGTGAGCGCAAGCGCAAGTCTGTCCGCGGGTGCATCGTCGGCCCCGACATCGCTGTCCTCTCCCTCGTCATCGTCAAGCAGGGCGATGCTGAGATCCCGGGCCTCACCGACCAGGTGCTCCCCAAGCGCCTCGGCCCCAAGCGTGCGACGAAGATTCGCCGCATGTTCAACCTGACCAAGGACGACGACGTCCGCAAGTACGTCGTGCGCCGCGAGGTCAAGAGCGGGAAGAAGGAGAACGCGAAGCCGTACACCAAGGCGTGAGTACGCGTACGTCAGGGATCGAGCGACGTCTGACAGTCTGCAGCCCGAAAATTCAGCGCCTCGTCACCCCCATGCGCCTCCAGCGCCGCCGTCACCTCCGCTCCGTCAAGCGCCGGCGCTTGGAGCGCCAAAAGGAGCAGAAGACCGAGTTCGACGCCCTCCTCGCCAAGCGCGTCGCGGAGAAGAAGGCCAAGGTCGCTGCCATCAAGGCCCACCACAAGGAGCAGCTCCAGGCCGCCCACGCCGCGTAAGGGCCTTACGCCGACGCCGGGGATCTCTTCCACGCTGCGGAAGGACTTCGTCCATGCCGCGCTGGGTCTTGTACACGGTCTGATGTCTATGTACTTTTGCATGCTTTTGTTACCCTCTATGCACACATGCCGTTATGATGTCAGTCATGTTGCCGGACGAGTCCATCCTCGTTTCTTTACTGCACAGTCGATCATTTCGATCCAACCTTTAACGGCGCGCTGCACACGAGCATCACCAAGTTAAGTCTGATGACTAGTGGATGATGCTAGGTCATCATGGCTCGCCGCTCTCGAGCTCAGGGCTTGGATCCCCACTTCGCCAGCCACTCCAAAGTCGCCTGAATCTCCACCCTGCTCTCCTCCAGCCCATCCAAACTATGGTTCATCCCGGGGAACATCAGCAGCCTGACGCGACTCCCCTTCTCCGCGTCTTCCAAACCTCCGTCCTTGTAGGCATGCGCACGAAGGGAGTGGTAGTATCCCAAACCGTTCGTGGGCGACACCCGGAGATCTGAGTCACCCAGGGCGAGCAAGACAGGCGTACGTACTTTCTCAACGTGCGAGATGGGAGACGCAGCGTGGAGGCGCGCGTAAGTCTCGGGAGTCATGAGAGGCTCTGCAGAGGCAAGTGTCAACATACTTATGAAGAACAAGGGGAACCACTTACGCCCTGCTCCTTGACTTTCAATGACGGGATAATCGACACCGAACTCGGCGAAATACCAGTCCGGGATGTCTGACGTCGAGATCTCGCCCGCGGAGATGACAGGGTTGCGCAGGATGCTCGCGGCGAAGAGGTCCGGGTATTGACCGACGACTGTAACGTGCTGTCAGCGCAGGTCGCCTACAGTACAGGACCGTTCATGAACTCGCCGTGCCCGCCGATAAAGCCGCCATGGCTGCCGCCAGTGTAGAACAGCCTGCGCCGGTCGTCGGACGCCTTTCCCTGCTTGATCAGCTCGCGGAGAGTGGCGATGCTGTTCTCGACGTCGAGCTTGCCGCAGTTTCCGGGCAGCGCGCGGACGGCTGCTTCACCAAAGCCCAGTGAGCCGGTGTAGTTGGGCTGCAGGACCGTATCTGGAGGCAACGTGGGCGTTTATTCAGACCGAGAAGGAAGGGCGACAGAAGACGTACATCCAGACGCCACTAGAACTGCCGTGCGAGGAATGAAGGCCGGTACAGCGGTCGCATGAGGCCCACCGTGAGGCTCAAGGATGGCCGGAGGGGGAGCGCTGCTTCCAGCAGAGGAGGCACAGTGAACTAGGCCCTCAAGCGTCTTATGCCCGGGCATGCGCAATACGGAGGTAGTGATCCGACCAAGGACGTCCTTGACTGGGGGAACCTGAATAAGCACCGGTTCACGCGTACATCAATCAACATACCAGCTGGTTTGAGCGCTGGCCGCTCGATGACGTTCCAGGATACCTTTCCCGTGTCGTTCAAGGTGCCCACTGCGAGTTCATACGGGATCGACAGTGCACTGCGTACGCCAATAATCTTCCTGTCACCATCGGTCGCGAGCACGGCCCAGCTAGCAACACTCTCTTCAGCACACAGGTCCTTAACCGTGCCATCTTCCGCGGAGATCAGGACGATGGTGTTACGGGATCGCCAGGCCGTTGTCGAGACGATGTAGAGCTTGTCGCTGATCGTGACGAAAGGGGACCTGGGAAGAGTAATATCGGGATAGAGGCCTGGGAAAGGTGCGTCGAGGTCGTCCAGTGAGCTGTTAGCGTAGGGGTCATGGACGACGTCGAGAACGAGTTCAGGAGTGACCTTGTCGGCTGTTGACGAGGGTACAGACAGCTTCCAAACGGATGTCGTGGACGCGTGCGGTCCACCCACGGCGCAAGCGATATAGTAGAGCTGTCTGGACCCCTCGTCTATGCGAGGCGAACGACATGCCAGATTGGCAGGCGTCAGACGCGAGGCAGACTCAACGGTGACAGCCGCAGGTTTCTTGTCCTCTGTGCTTACACTTGACTTCTCCAAACCAGGGATGATGAGCTGCCAGAGCCCACTGGGACGATTGGTGCAAAAGACGATCCCGAGGAGGCGCCCGTCGGGCGTCAGGTCGTACCCGGTGGCGTAGAGCTGACGCTCGTCGGCATCATATGGCGAGAAGAGCACCTGGCCGAAGCGGGTAGGCGCTTCCTTGGGTAGTTTACTCAACTCAAGAGAACGTAGCGCCGGAGTCTCCCAGTGATTCCCCACGGCGGCCTGCGGGGCCGCCCAGCGGAGAATGAAGACTGCAGGCTGCTTACGTCCCGGATACCGCTCGCCGAGAGGAGGTGTATATCTGCGAAATGCTGAGGAGAAAGGTTGACCAGTGGCAAATGAATGCTCACTCGAACTTGCTGTACACCGGATCCGTCTGGTTGGGAGTCTTTGCTTCGGCTACATAAACCACTGCAGTCTCGGACGGAGAGAATTGCAGCGTGCCGTATTGCGCTGAACGTGGTATTAGTGCACATCAAAATACATTCCTAGGTATCCGGCTTGCCGTCATTGTAGAACGCATCGTGAGCGTCGGTCACGTCATGGGAGACTTCCAACTGCCCCTCACGCCAGATCTCGACTACGCGCTTCTTGTCAGCAGTTTCGCGCAGAACAGCTTCCAGCTCTCCAGAGGGAGATGCGGCACTCAGACGAACGTCCGAAACATCCTGTACCGGCACGCTGCGAGCCTGAAGACCGTCTAGCCATATCGTCTTGCTCGTCGACCGCTTGACCTTCCGCGCATAGTCAGCTACCGAATAGGTAATTTGCACAGCTTCGAAAATGGTCAGTAGCGAGCGAGGTTCCTCATGATGAATGACGACGAACTGGAATCGTCGACGAAACGTCCTGCAACTGGCACAGGGATGGAGCCGAGCTCTACGAAGAGCGCAGAGGGCTTGAGATCTGTCATGCCTAAGCTCACCGAAAGGCAGCTGCTCGAGTAAAAGCTCCTTCGAGATGAAGGTAGCCGTACGCCGGGAGTAACGAAGCTTGTGTGGGACGAAGTGCGCCTTCTTATCGTGACCAAGGAAACGTTGGGTCTCGAAAAGGCGCAGAATGCGGAGCGCTTTGCGGTGGTGAAGGCTCTGGTCAAGGAGCTTGACCTCTGTAGATGCATTAGGTGAGCATACGGATCGATGGGCCGAGGTGTTGAAATCCGGGAGTTGGCGAAGGAGGGAAGGAAAGGCGTGATCCACGTTACGCGCAATCGCAACGAATACATGTTACATGTTCGAACCTCGATGTCGCTGGTGATCAACGTCTACTAGCAAGCGCCTTTCGCACGAAGTGTACGCTGCCACGAGATTGTCCGTACTGACTAAACTGCAATATACCTCAAGGCCTGTCTCCCCACTTTCCCAACCAAGCCAAGGTCGACAGTATCACCGCTTTACTCTCCTCCAGCCCATCTAAACCGTGGTTCATTCCCGGAAACACGAGTAAGTTCGTTCGACTGCTTTTCTCCGTGTCCTCCAGGCCATCTTCTTTGTATGCATACGCGCGAAGGGCGTGGTAGTAGCCCAAGCCATTTGTCGGTGCGATACGCAAATCCGAGTCGCCGACCTGTAGCAAGACAGGCGTGCGCACCCGCTCGACGTGCGCGATGGGTGAAGCGCTATGCAGACGCGCGTAGTTTTCGGGTGTCATGAGCGGTGCTGCAGAAGCAAGAGTCAAGTTCTGATGACTGAGGAAAAGCAAGGCTTGACCCTGCTTACGCTTCGCGCCGTCGCTGTCGATGACTGGATACTCAATACCAAACTCGTTGAAGAACCAGTCCGGCATATCCGAAGTCGATACTTCTCCCACAGAAATAACTGGATTGCGCAGGACGCAGGCACCGAAGAGGTCTGGATATTGGCCTACGACTACGCGAAAGCGTTAGAACAACTCAAGTAGGTCAGGTGGGATTGCTGCACTCACTATGTCCACCAATGAAGCCGCCATGACTCCCACCCGTGTAAAACAACTTGCGTGGGTCGTCCGATGCCTTCCCCTGCCGGATCAGCTCGCGGAGGACCGCAAGGGAGTCCTCGACGTCAAGTCTGCCGCAGTTGCCAGGAAGTGCGCGGACGGCAGCTTCGCCGAAGCCCAGAGAGCCTGTATAGTTAGGTTGAAGAACAGTATCTATGAAGGGAGTCGAAAGGGAGATATGACGGCGACGATAGAACGAAGCTTACATCCAGCTGCCACAAAGACTGCCGTGCGAAGGAAAAACTCCGGTACAGCAGCCATATGAGGGCCGCCGTGAGGCTCAAGGATAGTCGGAGGTGGTGTTCCATTTGTGCTGCCTCCGGACAAACTAAGCACAAGTCCCTCTAGCGTCTTGTGCCCCGGCACTTGCAAGACGGAGGTCGTCATACGACTGAGGACGTCGCGAACTGATGAAGCAGGGTAAGCGAGCAACGCCACAAGTTTGCTAAGCAACGTACCAGCTGGCTTTAGCGCAGGTTTCTCGACGACGCTCCACGTCACCTTCCCTGCCTCATCCAAATTGCCCACAGCAAGTTCATACGGGATCGACAGCGAGCTGCGCACTGCGAGGATCTTGTTGCCGCGTACGTCTAGCACCGCCCAGCTGACAACCTCGTCGCCGGGACACAAGTCCCTCACCTTGTTCGCGGAGATCATTACGACGGTATCGCGAGAACGCCAGGTCGTGACTGAGACGATATAAAGCTTGTCGCTGATCGTGACGAAGGGGGACTTCGGGAGGACACTGCCGGGATAGAAGCCTGGAAAAGGCGCATCCAGGTCATCGAGCGCACTATCAGCGTAGGGGTCTTGCACGACATCGAGGACGAGCTGCGGCGCGGCCTTCTCGATGGTGGAAGAGGTTATCGGGAATCTCCAGATGGTCGTCGTAGATGCATGCGGTCCGCCTACAGGGCAAGCGATGAAGTAGAGATCGCCAGATGCGTGGTCTATGCGAGGCGAGCGGCAGGCCAAGTTGGCGGGAGTCAAGCGTGTCGCTGAGTCTACAGCGAGGCGGACGGGCTTCGCTTCGGCGGCCTCATCCTTCCGCTCAACCGAAGGGATCGTCAGGTGCCAGATCCCACTGGGGCGATTGGCGCAGTAGACGATGCCAAGAAGGCGTCCGTCTGGTGCCAAGTCGTAACCAGTCGCGTACAGCTGACGCTCCTCCTTGTCGTATGGTGAGAAAAGAACCTGGCCGAAGCGAGTCGGTACACCCTTCGAGGCACTGATGAGGTCCAGCGATGCAAGAACTGGGGACTCCCAGTGCTCTCCAACAGACGCCTGCGGGGCTGCCCAGCGAAGAATGAACACCGTGGGCCGCTTGCGACCTGGGTATCCTTCTCCCAGAGGCGGAGTATACCTGCGAGACGTCAGTGATTTCCTGCTACATGGCAAGCGGAAACGTACTCGAACTTCTTGTACGCAGGATCTGCATTCTGAGGTGGTTTTGCCTCGGCCACGTAGATCACTGCTGTCTCCGACGGCGAGAAATGCAGCGTCCCATACGCCGCTTGAAGGAAAGGTTAGTACTAAAGATGAATCCAAGAACATCACACTAACCGTCACTGTAGAACCCGTCGTGCGCCTCCGTCACGTCGTGTGATACGTCAAGTTGTCCCGCGCGCCAGACCTCGACGACGCGTTTCCTGTCCGCGGTCTCGCGCAGAACGGCTTCCATCTCACCCGAGGGTGACAGTGCACTCAGAACAACATCGGAGATGTCCTGCGTCGGCGCTCTACGAAACCGAGGACCGTCAAGCCATATCGTTCTACTGGTAGCTCGTCTGGTGCTCCGTGCGTAGTCAGCAACCGAGTAAGTGACCTGGATAGCTGACTAAAAGTAAGCAGGAGCGAGGTGATCTCAGAATGATTGACGAACTGGACTCATCGACGAAACGTCCGGCGACTGGCAGAGGTATTGAACCGAGTTCGACGAGCAGAGCAGGGATATTGAGGCTCGACATGTTCGAACGCAGAGTAAGGCATCTAAGTGCGAAGTCGTCCTGGAGGCACGAGTTTGTCTGGGAAGGGATTCGGCTTCAAACGAGAGCACCGTAGGTCGTGCTGTAGTCACTGGGAATAAATTGCTGGGTGTTGGAGGGGTCTTCTGACACTGTTATGGCCTTTGGTCAAGTGAATTGGCCTTATAAAGGAAGCAGGTAAGCATACGGATCGATAGACCGAGGTGATTGGAGAGACATGATGGCTGATGTTAAGAGGGAAGGCGTGATCCACGTCACACCCAGCGCAAAATTCGCACAGGCTCTATGATTATCAATCGTGGCGAGGAGCTTACCTCTGTGGCTTTGGATACAGCGGGCTCGTGTGCAGCCACAACCCGTTAGAGCGTTCGAGCCATCCGCTCATAGGATGTGATCTGTATTGGCAATCTAACCAACTGCGTACGGCGAGATGGCCGAGCGGTCTAAGGCGCTAGAATCAGGAGAGTGGGTTTCGAACCCACGCTTCAGGGTAATCTAGTTCTTCGGAGCGTGGGTTCGAATCCCACTCTCGTCATTGTTTTTGATGTCATTCTGTGATCGAAAGCGAGGAGTTCTGACGGCTGTGGAGCACAAATTTTTGCGGAAGAAGGGGGAGCAGGAGAAGGACTTGTCAAGACCTGCCTGATTGGGATTAGCCTCTAAGCCTTTCCCACGATTTTCGGCACTTTGCTGTGAATGTTGCAGTGTAAGTCTTCGCTGCCCTCTAGTCTATACATTCTTTTGCGGAAGGTGTACTAGCAGTCTATGTTGAGACATCTAAGTAGTCAAGCCGCTCACTTCATTGAGGTGCCCACCCCTTCTCCTTGATCACCTCCTGCACCGTCTTCTTACCCTCGACGATCGCTTGCACGAGCGGCATCGCCTCCGCAAAGCTCCCAATCAGCACATGCGGGATCTGTTCGCGCTTGCAGTACTCGTGCAGGTCGTTCTCGCCGTAGTACTTTGTCTTCACAAACAGCAGGTCTGCGTGCGCGGCTGCGGACATGTCGGACACGCCGTCACCGAAGAAGAAGAGGGTGGGCGGGTTGGGGAGCGCGCGGTAGGGGAGGATGGCTTGCGACTTGTCGTGGCCGAAGCCGCTGTGAGGGGCGTGAGTGTGGAGGGCTAAAGGCATTGAGGGGATGGGGGTATGAACCTGCTCGGATGCCTGAACTTGATCTCCCAGGTGCCGTCCTCTTTGATGTCAACGTCGTTCGAGATGATCTCGATCTCTTCTGCGGCTTGCTCGCCGAGGAGGTTGGAGAGGACAGCGCGGATGGTAGGGGTCATGCCGCTGGTAAGCAGGTAAGGGAGATATTGATTGGGGAGCGTCGAGCGAGCGTACCTTGAGACGATAATGACCGGAACGCCGTGCTCCTTGCACCAAGAGTAGAAAGGCTTGAAGCCCTCATCAAGCTTGATGTCTGAATGGACCGTCAGAGACGTTGCAGCCGAGGGATGGGAAATGACGAGGGCAAAGAAGACGGAGCAGTCGCGAACCTCAACTCACTGTCACGGAGGACTTGCTTGCACTCTTCGAAGGAGTGCCCATTCGCGACTACGCTGCCGAGCATCTTCCTGAACTCGTCGCTAAAGGATCATTCGCCAGTCAGAGTCGATCCCCGCCGCACACTACTGCTACGCACCGGAAGGTAACTTCGCCAGCGAGAACACTTAGGTTGCCATTGCGGCGCTTCTCAAGCCCATAGCCAAGGTTGTCCGTCATATCTGGCGAAGGGAGAACAAAAGGGAATGAGTTCGTGCACTCGTCGCAACACGGCTGGCCGCTCACAATCGTTTGAGTCGTGCGTGGTGATCGTGCCATCCCAGTCAGACAGGACGACGAACTTCGCGTCCTTGTGGATAGGGGGGTATGGCAGAGTGCTCTGAGGCGCAGCGCTGTAACTCATTCTTGGCGAAGGGGGAATGGACGGTGGTGGTCAGTGGTCGAGGACGATGGTGACAGCGCGACATCGATCGCGCCGCCGCCGGAGGTCCGCGGACATAGTGCCGTCGCGCCCGTCACGTCCCGTGACAGGTTCCACTCTGTCACAGACCCTCATTCATCCGTCCAGTTCTCGATGTCTCTCGCAGCAGTGTATGGTCCGCAGAAGAAACATCTCTGTCTCTCTACTCTATGGCTTTGAACTGGTAGTTAAGAACAGTCCACGCTGTGTCAATATTTCGTGATCGTGGGATACAAGGACCCCTAACGGTGCTTTCTTCGCGTCGGATTCGGGATATCTCTGCGCTGACTGACTTATCACGTCTAGAAATAGAAGGGGCAAATGGAGCGCTTGGGATATTGCATTTGATAGTTGCTCTTGAGACGGCTGTGGCGACCAGCAAGGGATCATGGATGCTTGCTTGTGTTTCTGCAGCGCGACCAATGTCCTCCTGTAGTTCAGCAAACGCCTCTAGATGCCAGCTTCCGCACAGAAATGCGAAAGGCTTCCACGAACTGTCAAGCAACGTTGGCGTCCTCTATGCTTCGCATTGCCTTCTCGAGTCATCTCATGCGCTTGGTTCAGCTACTTACTCTGTTTTGCCGCTATCTCAGCACCAGAAGACCTTGGTGTTTAGCTTCTCACCTCTTGTTCTAGCTTATCAACTCACAGATCAGCTTTTTTCCATTCCGGACTCTGACTTGCACCGAAGCTTGCGTGGCCAGACAAGTCCGAGAGGTCACGCGCTAATGCGATACACCCAAAAGTCTCCAGCGTCTCTTCACTGATGCGTCCACTACTGCGAAATGCTCCACCCATATTCACAAAAACCCGAGTACATCCACTACATCATCGCAAAACTTGACTATCTCGTGATGTTCTCACCGCGCCATGATAGTTTCATTTTCCTCCTCGTCCGGTGGAATCGGTCGGATATTCCTCCTTGCAGCTAGGACATTGGCGACGCTGGAGACCTGCTATAAAAGACGAACAAGCGAGTCGAGTCTGGACATCCTCAAGCTCGTCAGCCCTCAGCCTATTCGCAGCTGAACACCTAAGTTGTCTATCGCACTGTAAGCAGACATTCACCTCGGCCGCTGGATCGCTAACCGATTCATAGTCAGACTCAAGCAATGAAGCTCACCCTCTCTATCCTTGCCCTTGCGCTCGCCGCCTCGTCGGCGGTGGCCATCCCCTTCGAGTCCCGCGACATCGAGATTCCCGACGACCGCGAGAACTGCGGCCTGAAGGACGCTCAGACCGCTGAGGCCGGGTCGTGCAACGCTCAGTGAGGCGCCTGTCTCCCCTTTACGTTTTCTCCGTGTTCCTCCTCTTTTTCGTCTACCTTTCCTTCCTTTCGCACTGGCTATTCTCTCTCTGTCATCGGTTCATCCTTCTCTGTCTATTTTCTTCTTTTCGCTGTATACCGTCTTCCCCTCGCTAGCGAAAGGCGCGCCAGCGACGATCTCGTTGTTATCACTTCCCTGTCTATCTATCTATCTTTTTCACCGGAAGCGATCATATCCTCCTCTTTCCTCGCCCCGCCTTTTCATCGTCCTTCGACGACACTGACCCCACCCCGTGCAGGACCGCCCAGCACTGCTTCTCCGGAGGAGGAGACTGCACCTACAACCCGCAGACAAAGCGGTGCAGCAACGGTACCCTGATGCGTGGTAAAGACGCTCCGGTCGCTTGCCTGCTCTGCCAGTGCACGGCGCGTTAAGCTGGCTCAGGCTTGATGGACTTCCTCCTCGCCTCTGCGATGCAGGAAAAGAGCGCTGTCTCTGGCCTTTATACACCTCTCTCCCCCTTTCCGTATTTATTCTTTCCGTATTTATTCATTTGTTATTATGTACACCCTCTCTGCGTGAAAGCAGCCGGATCTACCTATTTATTGCATTACGCGTCTTGCTTCGTGACTCCCTGTGCGCATTCCATCGTCGCTCACTGCACGTCTTGCATTGCGGCTAGATACTAGTGCGTCCATGGGTGCAGAGATTGATTATTTCCTCATTATAGAAGTGTACACTACGTTCGTTACTCTTCGTCAACGCCGCCGCCAGACCTGCCGACCGCGCGTCGTGTGCGTTAGCGTGTGCTCACATCAGTCCGCTATGTCGCTGAGCGTCGAGATACACATCAACCCACTGGGCTTGCTTCACATCAGCCCAGTCAGCTTGCGCTCCGCGTATAGCCTCCTGAAATACGGAGTGTCCAGCTTGATCTCGCCCTTCTGCGGCGAGAACTCGCGCCGGAACTTGCGGTCGTAGATCACGGAGTAGAACCAACTAGCCTTTGGCGGTGCCGTGCGCTAGCGCGTGCTACGTCAGCAAGAAAGCGAATGACTGGACCGAAGGTCAATACTTACTGTGCGCGTTCGCCGAGTGGCGCGCTGCGCCGGGCTGGCCGCCTTCATGCGTGGGGCCGTCGGTCTGACGTAGCCGAGGCGCCAGTGGCCCTTGGAATCACGAACCCATACTTGTTGGCGGGGCTGGGAGGAGGTTAGAGGGATGCATACGAGATCAAGAAAGATCACCGAGCGCGGATCGTCATCGCATAAGCGCCCATAGAGACGCCACGAAAGACACCCCTCAGGCGAGCGCCACGCGAACAAGACGAGCATTGTATGTATCCTCACCTTGAATTGGTACGCTATCTCGTCATCCAGCTCATCGTACAGCTCGTCCTCACCCGCGGAGGCCGCCTGCGCGATCCATCCCTCCCACTCCGCGAGCGAGGAGTCGGGCATGGACGTGGGGGTTACAGATGCAGACGTGCTAGGGAGAGAACTGCTGCTGCTGCTCATCGTGGCCATCATGGTGTGTATACGGTAAGTCAGGAGGTATGCGGGATCAGCAAAAATCAAGTGAGCGCAGGCAGGCGCGAGACGGGGAGATTTGATGGCGCGAGGCCCGCACAGGCGCCCTTTATATATGTTCCGTGCCAGGCGCCTCGTGCTCGGCACCGCACCCCGGGAACTGCCTGATTTGGCAGGTCCGGAGCCGGCCACGCGCCGATGGCCATTGTCACCCGCACGTGTTTCCTTTTCGATTGTTCCCTTTGTCTCGTTTGGGCAGCCGGGCGGAGGAGGCCCTCATCATGCATGCAAGTCGATATTCCCGGATGAATGCTGTCGTGAGGCAGCCCCCTCGCTCGACGCATACGCCCGTTCTGTACAGCCCGCGGGCGACGGCGGTACGCCACCTGCGCTGTGCTTGGTGTTTACCACGCATCTGGCATGTGTTCCGCGTGCGGTAGAAAGGTGTAAGAGTGTGTTTGAAGGCCGCTATGCCTGTACATCGATGCATGACTGACGTCTACCGGCATCCCTGATGTGTAAGGCTATACTAGGACTGTGTACAGGCTGGCGCTCGTAAGCGTGTTAGACGCCCGAGTGTGATACACCGTAAGAGTGAAGCGGGATCCGCGCCATCACCTCATCACACTGCTTCGCGGCCTGCCATTCAGCGGCCCCGCCGTGCCTGCATGCGATCAGACAGAGGGTATGACCTGTTGATTGTAAGCGATGGTCAGATCGCGCGCCCATCAGCCTTCGATGCCGTGCATGCAACATCAGATGTAGGCGGCGCTTGCGCATTCCCGAGGATGGACGCAGGTATACTTAGAAGCACCGTGGTGTATTGAAACGCAGCACCTCAATGACTGGTACCCTGAACAAAAAGCGAAAGGCCCAGGCACATGCAAGAATCCTTCCTCGTCATAAGCAGTCCGCTGAGTTTCAAGCAGGAGAAGGGCGCCACTGAGCCAACAAGGTATACGAAGTCCGTAACAGTCATAAACAGTCCAAGGCGAAGTAGGAAGCCGGTATCAACAGTCGAAGAGATCCGAGGTGAGCACAGAAAGGCGGAAGTAATGAGCGGTGAGGGGTATCGACGGGCGATCCGAGAGTCAGCAGAATGATCCAACAACATGAGAGGGATATAGCAAACAAAAATAAGTACGCAGGGACCACGGAGATCAAGAACACACAACATACACAATGAGAGCTAGGTTCGCACCGCGCACGCCTTACCACAGGAGGCAGGCATCGTCGGAGATCCTGGCAGACGATCAAGCCCCAGTCCTCCCCCGCAGGATCCCCATCGCCACATTCCACCGCGCACTGACCCTCCGCCACCACCGCTTATTTGCTACTCCGCGATGCGAGATCGACGAATGCGAGCGGCGGAGGCTGCGGTCCTTGTTGGGCGACGGAGTGCCCTTCGACGAGCGATGGGCGGAGGAATGGCGGCTGGAGGACTTGCGCGAGCGGCGGGCAGGGGACTTATGCGATGACCCGCGCGAGCGGCTCTGTGGCGTCTGGCCCAGCTCCCGGATATCGCGACGCTGACTAGAACCGGATTTATGGGATGAGGGACTCGACGACGAGCTCGACCTGGAGCCCGACCTCCGTGCGTTGAGAGGCGCCGTGGACGAATGCCGGCTGAGATGCGCGGAGGAGTGCGGACTCGGCTGCCACGCATCGCGGTCCAGATTCGCCGGTGTAGGGGCATGCGAGAGCGCCGAGGTGTACATCGAGGTCGCCGTAGAGCGCGCGGAGTGCGCCCGGGAGGGGGCTTTAAGCGGGCGTGGGGGTGGGCCGGGATTGGTAGTGTTGGGCGGAGTGACAGTGGTGAGTGCGTTCGTGGGGATGCTCGCGTTGAATGCGATCGGCGGGGTGCTCGTGCCGGATGAGGCTGGAGAGGCTTTCTTGGTCGTGGGGGGCTCGACGTTCGCGGCGGCTGGAGCGTCTTGCGGATCCACTTCCTTCTTCGCGTCGCCCTGAATTGCAGCTGACCGCGCTTCATTCGACTTCGCCGCCTCAGGTGCAACCGTGAATGGCGCTAGTGCAACATTTTGAGCCCCACTAAGCGCCCCGACCTGAGCAGCAGCAGATGCTGCAGTCGTCGAGGGCGACGCGCCGATCGTCGAGAGCGCCGCGTCAGTTGTCGAAGTCGGTGCTGTAATCGTCGAAGGCGGCACTCCGGTTGTCGACACCGCCCCTCCAGCGGGCGCTCCAGTCGTCCAAGGCACTACAACCCGCTCGTCTGCAGGCGGCACCCAATCCGGCTCAGAGTACTTGGAAAGCGAGGACACCGACGCGCACGCGGGCCAGGGAACCAGCCCGTCGGGGGCCGCTGCGATACCGTTAGGTGAGGACGCGATGCCGTGCGGAGAGCCAGTGCCGTTTGACGAGGAGCCGATGCCACTGGGCGACGATACCGACGGCACGGTTCCATTGGGCGCATCCACATATCCAGACACAAACCCGTTGGTGAAGGGTATTGTTGGATGGCTCGAGGTGGACGCGCGGTGTGCGGGGCTGGGTCTAATCACGGGTATCTCGAGTGGTGGTGAGGGAGATTGGGCCGATGCAGGAGGCGAGAGAGGTCTAGCTGGTGCAAGAGACGCTGAAGACGGTCGAGGCGGCGCAGAAAAGACTGGCGCAGCCGGAGCAGAAGGCAGCGCAGCTGCCGTCACTGCAGAGAAAACCGGTGCCGCCGTCTTCGGTGGTGTCGGCGCTGCGCTGCGTCCAGGCGAGGTAGCCTTGTCGACCGCCGACCCAGACGGTGGGTCCTCCTTCTCCACGAGAGGGAACCTCGTCGCGAGCTTATCCGTAGCAGCCGGCGTCGGCGGATACGCGCCCGGCATGCGACCAACCAACTGCGACTTGCCAGCGGACGAAGCATAGACGGCGTACCCAGGCGAAGTCAAGACACGCGGGCGGGCGAAGAGCTCGGAGGGGCGGGGCGGTGTCGCGCTGGGGGAGAGCACGGTAGGCGCTGGAGCTGGATCTGCGACAGGCGTTGACGTTGAAGCTGTTGCAGGCGCTGGATGAGAAGCAGGCTTCGGCACAGGCGCAAGGACAGTCTGAGAGCTCGCTCCCGATTTGGTAGCCACCAGCCCGACTCCGAGACCCAGATCGAGCGCGCGATCGATACCGAGAGCAGCGTCCAGCGCAGCTGCAGCTTTCTCCGCAGCGTCGTCCTCGGCTTCCTTTGCCTCGTGGTCCTCGTTGACAACGACGTTCTCTATATCAGGAGCGGGTTCTTCCTCAGATGGCTCCTCCTTCACAAACGCTTCCGGGGGCAGCTCGCCCTCCCCATCGACTTCCATGACCGCGCGCAGCACGTCATTCCAGTCGTTCCCCTCTGCCGTAGGCGCCAGTGTCGGCGCCGGCAGCGGCACAAACGGGATCTCGACCTCCGGGAGCCCCTCCAAAAACGCAGAACCCCCAACCCGACGCCCCCGCGAGCTCGTGCTCGGCCGCGAGACGGCGGAGTCGTCCGACCTGATGAGCTCCTCCGACTCCGCGCGGTCCTCAGAGACACGCCCGAGCGGCCCGCAGTGCCCATCGACAGACTCGGCTGCATTGCGGGCATCCTCGGTGATGGGGAACCCGTCCGTGCGCGCGCGACCGTGGTCGACCTGCACCCCATGCTCGTTCGTCTGCCGCTCGTTGATGACCATAGCCGACGACCTCCGGCCACTCAACCTCGGCCACGACGCGCGCAGCACCGCCGACATCGAGCGCGGCGAGAGCGAGCCCGGCCTGCTCAGCACGCTGCTCGTGTCCGTCTGCGTGGGGCTCCACACGGCGGGCCCGTCCGTCGGCGACTGCGTCGCGCGCCGATCGGAGAGCTTGAGCGTCGACGATAGGCGCCATGCCGAGCTCGGCCGCACTAATGGCGAAATGGACCGTGGGAGGGGCGATTTCGCGCGTCCTCGAGGCGCGGTCGTGGGCGACTGCGGCGTCGGGGACTCCAGAGGCGCCGCTGGCAGCGCAGGGGACGCAGGAGGCGTCTCCAGCTTCTGCGAGGCCACTAGGACTGGCGACCTGGGCCCAAGGGCTGGCGACAGAGGCGGTGAGAGGGAAAACTGAGGCGACGGCGTCCTCGAGAGCACGGACAGATCCAGCGTAAAGTCCGGGAACTCGAAACCTGGTGACGGGCTGTGCGTAGACAATCAGCAAGACCCTCATCCATATCATAGTCCCAATATTCACCTCTCGACGGCGCTCATGGTGCTGCGCTCGACACGTTGGACGTGGTGGAGGGGGACAAGAAGGAGACGCCCCTCGAGAGCTTAGAGGACGCAACGTGCAGACGAAGCCAAACAGAACTTTTCCAGCATACAGCGGACCGCGGGAGCTTACGTCGGGGGGCGCGGCAATCACAGATAGTGGCGGGGGCTCGCGAATACGAGCCGGTCTACAGACGGATAGCCAGGAATATATGGGGCGCGGGCCAGCTGAGCGGTGCTCCATGGCTCGTGCACCATCTTCGTCGACGTTGGGGGCTGCAGGAGGTTACCTTGCGAAGCCGATATGGACGTGAGGGTCCCCTATACGCACCGAGACGGACGTCCTGGTTTCAACGAGGCAACGGTTTGTATAGGGCGAGAGGGGAACGCGCCTTCAAGGTCGGATCCGAGGAGATAGAAACGAACTAAGAGCGCACCTAGCGTATCCTTGGCACCGGGAAGACCTTTGGTCGGGTGAGTATCGTGATGTTCTCCCACTGCGCTTACGCACCTTCACCGTCATCGTCGCCCTTTCGAGCTGAGTTCAGAGGTCGGCATGGGCACAACCGGGGAGGATTGCTTCCCCTGTTCATAGTACAAGCTGCACAAGGTCATCCAGAAGCACGACGAGGTCAGCTGGATAGCCAAAGGCGGTCCCCCGATAGACTTGCACGGAAAGCATACCCCAACCCTTATAACGTTATTCGACCAATCCAGAGCTCGCTAGCTTCAACACGGCGTGTAACATTCATCAGGTTACTATAGACTGATAGAAGAAAGGTACAGATGTACGACCTCTGGTAAGGAATCCGCCCCACGCCGGATGCCTCCGACCGCCGTCAGGCAGTTGCGGACTCCAGCTGAGGCCGCCAATCGCTCTGGAGCCCACGGTAGACTCCTGCGAGACGAGCGCCTGACGATACGCCAGGTCGCATCATCGCAGGGGGACAATAGTGCGGGCCCGGAATGAGTTGGAAGAAACCCGTGATGGAAATTTTCGCGCGGCTTGGGTGGTATTTGTTTGGCTGGGGCGTGCGGGGAAAGCAAGGCACGCTGCTCGTGTGCGCCACGTGGAGTGCAAGCTAGCGCCTACACGTCGCACAGAGGTTCAACGGACGCAGCCTTTTGACATAGACAAGGGGGACTAGGTAGACCGTCATTAGAAGCATACACGCATAGTGGCATGGGCATAGGATCGTAGAGTACTTGGATAGAGAAGGGTATAGCAATAATGTTACGTATGCTACACTTTTGGAGTCCGTCGTTACAAGGCATATAGACATGGTACAAGGGAATGTTGAATCCGAAAGAAGATTAGGGTGAAAGAAGGAGGGGCGAGTACAAGGGTGCAGCGGAGGGGAGACGCGGGAAGAGGCGACCGAAGCGAAGCCGAAGGAAAAACCATGAGAAAGGAGGATACGCTGAGTGAAGAGGAGAGCAAGGATGCATCGGACGCGGTAACTGAACTTCAAGCGTCCGCTGCCATCTGCCGCTCGACGACCTGCATCGCCTCGTCGAGCGACATATCGAAGTCGGCGGGCTCGAAGGCGCACGAGAACGAGCCGCGCTTGACCTGCTCGGGAGCGGTCGTGCGGTCGAGGCCACCGGTGAGGGAGCCCGCTCCCTGGAGGCCGCTACCCGCGAGACCGCAGTCCTGCTCATCGTCATCGCCCTCGCCCTCGCCCTCGCTCTCCGTAGTACTCTCCCCGTCCTCGCTGTCCAACGCGCTCAGGTCGTACCCAGAGTTGTAGAAGCGCATCACCCGGTCGGCCTCCTCCTCGGAGAAGTCGCCCATCGGGTCCTCCTCGTCGAATGAGTCATAAGTGGAAGACATGGGGTGAGACGCGGCGTTGCTTGCGCCATCCAGATCGTCGAACGCCAGCGCCATCGGGTTCTCCGCGCCGCCCAGACCCGGCGCCTCCCACCCCAAATCGTACTCGTCGTACGCCTCGCGGAGGTCCGCCGCGAGCAGCGCGTCTGCGCGCAGCCGGCGCCACGCGTCCTTCTCCTCCTCGGTCAACCCCTCTTCGCGGTATATGCCATCTTCCCCCGCGTTGGGGTCTACGGCCCGCGCGAGCGCACTAGCCCCCTCCGCGCGCGCCTCCCGCCCCAGCTCCCACCGCACCTTACTCTGCACGACCCACTCGTCCAGACGACGCCAGGGTTCCGCTTGCGAATGGGTTTGGATCTTGGGCGGGTCGGTGGGCAGGGTCGGCGCGTGCAGCAGTGCGAAGGAGTGCGCGACGTCAGAGGTGCCGAGGCCCTGGTACCAGTGCTCGACGGTAGCGCGCATTTCGCGGATGAATTTGATGGCTGGGAGGAAGGGTGTCGTCAGTTCTCATCCTCAGCACGGTCGAACCCTAACGTAACACGCAAAACGTAACGTTGCGAGTTGAAGGACCGAAACTCACCCTCCCTGACAATATCCCTCATACTCTCTGGATCCGCGCCCGCGCCATATCCCTCCGGGAGCTCCTTCCACAGCAAGCGGAAGAACGCATTCTGCCGGAGGTACTGCTCGATGCTTGGCGCGACGATGATGGGCGGGATTTCGTCCTGGACGGCGTATCGCATGAGGGGCGCGACGCCCATGACGGCCTCGAGCATCGCGAGCTCGTTCTTGAGGTGGCGCGCGTAGCGGATGGCTAGGTGGTGGTTGAGTGAGTAGGAATGAATAAGGATGAGTGAATAAACGGGGGCATGGATGGGATGACAGGGCGGACGACAGGGGTAGAACGGCGAAGAGGAAGACGGAAGAGGGGAAGATGGTGAAGAGGAAGACGGTAGACGGAAAGACAGCAAATACATACCACGATCGAGTAGATACATCCAGCCGCCCTGGAAGGCGTTTCCGCGTGGGTATCCGGTCCCAGGATTGAGCGCCGGGCGCATCTCGAGCGGGAGGACGTCAAAGAGATCCCAGAGCTGGAGCACCGTCTTGCGGTACTCCTGGGGGTCCTCGATGGGGCGGATGATATGGGGGACGACGGGGAAGACAGCCATGGCCGTGATATGATAGATCGAATGAAATAATCGAGATAGATGACTTGGCGAGGTCGGGGCACGCGCGTCAAAGGTAGGCGTGGTTCGTCGCAGTGGTCGGGTCGTAGTGAAAGAGAACGTTGCACTTATTATCGGATCCGTAAGCCGGCGGAGGGAACAAGACGCTCGATCAACGAGGCGGGAGCGAGGCGTGTGGGATTGGTGGCATGACTCGCATTCACGCCGGGGCTTATAAGAAACGCGCCTTATTGTCTTTTGTCCGCCATGCGAGGCGCCGATAACGGCCGGAGAAGTATGCGGATGGACCAAAGCAGTATGCGATGCGCCAAAAGAGCGGCGGGAAGCATGGTGATGGTGATGCGGAGGGCGTCAATTATGGACGATCTATTGTGATGGCGGGCGCGAGAACAATAGCAGGACAATAATGCGGGACCGATGTGCCTGCACGAGGCCGTACGTCTTGTTGAGACACGTCAGTCATATATCAACGATGATGTGGGAGTCAGATATATGTTGTCGCGTCCGAAGCAAGAGAATAGCAATGGCCAATGTTGGTCGAGCTCGAGTCAATATGGTTGAAGACAAGAATGGTTCCGGAGGCATAGCCCGTCAATTGACCGGCTCCGGTGATCAATCGTTCGCTCGCGTGGAGTGCACGTGGAGCACAGCAATCGCTGCCAGGTCACAGACGTCACAACTGAAGTTAGACTTTGCTGGGCAACAGAAGGGTCATTCACTCATGCCTTCGCCTGAATGTCATCTTAGGGCAGTTTCATACATTGTCCTGTACTTAAAAGTAAAGTAGCAGGCGCCAGAGGCCCCTAGCATCGCGGTTATGGATGGTATCTGGTGATGTGCAGTAAACCGACGGGTAGTCCGGGATGAGTAGAAGCAGCTCTTCAAAGCACGACGTTGAGTATTGCTTCTGCACGCAACATTGATACAGTAGTAGGAGGGATAACATATCTGCATGGTTCACTCGTCATTCATCCTAGGCTCGTTAGCGGCCTTCACCGAGTCTCTGTCTGTACTGCACGCATTTCGAGAGGATACATTTAGGTACTTACGCCACTTAAGCACTTGGTAATAAACTTGAACGAAAGTTCAACGAAATAGCATGCCCACTGTGCGCCACGTGCATAGCACGCGAGCGAATGAATGTGCAGGATCGCGCGCTCTTGCGCTTCGCAATGACCGTCATCTCGATTGCTTGAAACTCCTACTGCCATTCAATGGCATTCCTCTGTCCCTCCGCCATGTTCGCGACATCCAACACCGCGATGTCATCGATCAGTTCCGGGGTACTCGCGTGGGCGAACATGTCTCGCGGGGTCAGCTGAACGGACGGACCTAGGCGCGCACATCTTACGTCTCCGACGCACACTCGTCCCCGCTTCTCCTGAACGACGACGGCCTTCAGAATGCTCCGCCAGTCACCCATCTTCCTTCGGGGTCAGCGCCTGCGCCTCCCCGCCGCGTGGCGCGCGTACCACGATGAGTCTTTCGGATATCGTGCGGCCAGAGTGCATGAAGTGCCCGATTGTGCGTAGCTGGCCCCTCTAGAACGAGTTTCATCAACTCACAATGGTACATCGCGCTAGATACACCGGAGCAGCTGGCGAACCGCGCAGCGAATGGGTCCCTGCAGCGCTACGCCGACATGCTGCGCTCGCACGGGCATCGGGCCGCGAACATCGACCCGCTTGGCCTTGTCGCGCGCGATCCAGTCGCCGCGCTCGATCCGTCGCGCTACCACCTCAGCGGCGCCTACGACGTCGACGGCATCATCTTCGCGGGCGAGGGGCAGCAGGGACCATGGGAGCTAAAGGACATCGTAGAGCACCTGAACGCGGTATACGTGGGCCGCGTCGCGTATGAGGTGCGTGGTCATGCTCTTCTGACCATTGCACAATGTACTGAACTGCTCGGCAGTACATGCACTCCCCACACAAGGCCGAACGTCTCTGGTTCATGCGCCACCTCGAAGCGCGCGAGCAACGTCTCGCGCCAAACCGCAAACGCATCCATTCCCTCCTCGCTAAGAGCGAGGCCCTGGACAAGTTTCTACAGCTCAAGTTCCCCAACTTGAAGCGGGTACGTCCTGTTGTATACCCTCCGTCAGCTTCCTCATTGATAGGGGCCACCGACTTCAGTACGGCCTCGAAGGTGGCGAATCCATGATCCCGGCGCTTGACTCGTTATTCCGCGTAGCAGCGCAAGGTATGCGTGATCCCTTTGGCGTCCTGGCATGGCGCTTAGACTGTCATAGCTGGCGTTGAGCACACGGTGCTCGCTATGCCCCATCGCGGACGCCTCAACGTCCTTCTCGGACTGCTAGGCTACCCTCCCGCAGGCCTGTTCCGCAAGATCAAAGGCGGCAGCGAGATCCCGGAGGAGTTTACCGAAGGAGAGGTGAGTAGCTGCTCCGCATATTCATTCATGTACAGCAGCCGTGCCCCCGTAGTCCTCGATTTTGCCGCTGTCCATCGCGCCTGCATTCCTTTCCTCTATACATTAGACGTCGAACTGACCTCACTCCAGGAAGACGTTCTCGACTACCGTGCGGCTGAAGGCGACGTGCTCAGCCATCTCACCGCAGTCAAGGATCTGGAGTACGACGGACGTCACATCGAGGTCGAGCTCCTGCCGAATCCATCTCATCTGGGTGCGTTCGAGCTTATCCCTTGCCCTCTTCAGTCCTTCCTTCCATTTCCTCCTACTTACCTTTTACCCTCACACTCATCACTGCTTCATACGTGCAATGCCTGATCAACTAACCCCGCAGAGGCCATAAACCCCGTCGCCCTCGGCAAGGCGCGCGCCAAGCAATACTCCCTCCTCAAATCCTCCCCTGCCGACTGCGCTCTCGGCGACCGCGTGCTATGCGTCCAGGTGCACGGCGACGCGAGTTTCACGGGGCAGGGTGTGGTCATGGAGGGTATTGGGCTGAGTAATCTGCCGCACTATACGACGGGGGGCAGTGTGCATTTGGTGGTGAAGTGAGTTTCCATCCCAGTGCCCACGAGCAATACTGCGATGCACCCGGGCTATGAGGCTGACAGCAGTGTCTCTGTTCTGCAGTAATAAGTGAGTTATGCTCCCATTGTGGGGGACACAGGAGTAAGAACTGATGCGATGACTAGTATCGGCTACACCACACCGGCTCATGGCGCGCGCTCGTCGATGTACTGTTCGGATATTGGGAAGATGGTCGGCGCGCCGGTTCTGCATGTGAACGGGGATTATCCCGAAGGTATGTTGTCTTTTCTGCGAGAGGGAAGAAGGTTAAGTGGACTATTGTCAGATGTTGAGCGCGCGATGGAGGTCGCTTTTGCGTACCGCGATCGCTTCCGGAAGGTATGCTAGGTGACATGTGACTCAGAAGCTGAGAAGTAACAACGCACCGCAGGACGTGATCGTGGACTTGCTCGTCTACCGGCGATGGGGGTGAGGCCGTTCTCTCCATCCATTTTCCTCCTTTTGACGCTCTTTCTGGACAGACATAACGAGCTTGACGTCCCCGACCTCACCAGCCCGAAGATGTACGAGAAGATCCGCGCACGGCAGTCCGTTCCGCAGCTATACGCCTCGAGACTAGTGGTGAGCTCACCTCCCCCCACTATAGAACCCAGGCTAACAATTTTATATCTTAGGCCGACGGCACCCTCACCGCCAAAGAAGCTGAACGCGAGCGCACCGAGTACAGGGCCCAGCTCGAAGCCGAACTCGCCCGCGAGGCGGCGACGGACCCCACCACCGGCAAGCCCGCCTACCAGCCCGAGTGGAAAGCCTCGCCCGGGTGGGAGCAGATCGTGTGGCCGGCGTCGGCGGCGGCGGTCCGCGAACCTAGCACGGGTGTCGAGGAGAGCACGCTGGCGCAGATCGGCCGCGCGAGCGTGGCGGTTCCGGAGGGCTTTGTGAGTGTCTTTGAAAGTGGTTTGGGATGCGTATGGGCAGCCTGGAGAGGGATGCTCACGAAGGACGTTGCAGGCCCTTCATGACAAGCTCCGGCGGCACATCAAGCACCGTCTGCAGGCTATCGACGCCGGGAAGGGCCTGGACTGGGCGACGGCTGAGGTATGCATGCATATTCCTGCTATATAGTCATCCTCGTCACAACCTGACTTCACCCTCGCAGGCAATGGCCTTCGGCGCTCTTCTCCTCGAGGGTAACGACGTCCGCATCTCCGGGCAGGACGTCGGACGCGGGACGTTCAGCCAGCGGCATGCAATGCTCGTGGACCAGCAGACGGAGCGGACGGTCGTCCCGCTGAATGACTGGGCAGAGAAGGGCGACACGGGAAAGAAGGGCAGTGGGAGGTTGGAGTTGGCCAACAGTGAGTCTCGGGTAATTGTCTTGGGACGATAGCGCTGATGCGGCCTCCGAATAGGTTCACTGAGCGAAATGGCCGTGCTTGGGGTATGTGATATCTGCCATGTCAATACGCGCGGGTACTGATCTCGTCATCAAGTTTGAGTACGGTGCTAGCTGGGAGCGGCCGACGCTGTTGCCCATATGGGAGGCACAGGTCCTTCACTCGTTCTGCGACCCGCTCTCGAGTCTTGCTGAGTGCCTTGGTATAGTTCGGCGACTTCTTCAACGGGGCGCAAGTCATCATCGACACCTTCATCTCGTCGGCGGAGAGTAAGCGCATTATGACTCTACTGTCTTACTCGCCCTAACCTTGACCTCAGCTAAGTGGCTCCGGCAAAGCGGGATAGTGCTCCTCCTGCCCCACGGCCTCGATGGCGCGGGTCCTGAGCACTCCTCTTCGCGTATTGAGCGGATGCTGCAGGTGCGCCTTCTCCGTCATCCGTCGCCATCTCGCAGCGCTCAAGCTGTCCGTGTAGCTCACCAACGACCCCTTCGCCTCCCAATCCACGGAGCCGAACGTAAACATGCATGTCACGTTCCCGACGACGCCGGCGCAGTACTTCCACCTCTTGAGGCGGCAGATGGCGCGCAACTTCAGGAAGCCGCTAATTGTCGCTGGGCCGAAGGGCTTGTTGCGTCTACCGGTAAGGTTCCAATACCGTGCATAAAGCATCGGCATGCTCAACTAGTTCGCAGGCTGCCGGTTCCTCCCTCGCCGACATGGCGCCGGGCACCACATTCCAGCCAGTGCTCGACGATCCTGCGATCTCCGACCCCTCGAAGGTCGACCGCGTCCTCCTTGTCTCTGGCAAACTCTACTACGAGCTCGCGAAGGCCCGCGACGCGTCCTCGCCGACCACCGCCATCGTCCGCCTAGAAGAGCTTGCGCCCTTCCCCTTCGCCCGCCTGCGCTCCGTGCTCGAGCGATATGCAAACGCGTCCCGGTTTGTGTATGTACAAGAGGAGCCGCGGAATCAGGGCGCGTGGGGGCATGTGGCGGCGCGCGCGAGTTCGGGTGTACTTCCGGAGGGGAAGGAGCTGGAGTATGTGGGGCGGGGTCCGAGTGCGCTGCCTGCTCCAGGTCTCGGGACGCTGTATAAGGCGCAACAGGCGGAGATTATCAGGCGAGCGCTGGCGTAGGTAGGAAGATGAAAGCATTGCAGCGGGAGCTTTGACTGTATCCAGATAGATATACTGAGAAGCAAAGGATATGCAAGGATTTGAACATGTACAGACAGCACCTCGAGTAGGAAGCGCGGTTTTTGGAGCGGCGGTACGCTGACTTCCGTGTTGCGAGCTGCGTATGCGTCGATGCGTGAGGCAGGTGAGCAATCGTTTTGACCGGTGTTGCGGGGGCGTCTGACGAGGACTGATCAGAAGGTGCTCAAGAAGCAGCGAACTGGAAATTACTCACCCTGAAGTACCTCTGCAAGGACGACAACACGCGTCATGCCACTGAAAATGATGTAGTCGACGCGCTCGTGCCCATTCTTCGTGCGAGCGCACGCGTGATAGCGGAAAGCGTGGCCCCTCCCCTGTCCGATGGCGCTGCAGCAATCGTCAGCTTGACTGAAGAAATTTGGCACGACACAGTACACTTCGACATCTGTTCGCAGGAGCTGGACCTTACCTTACCCAGAACCAATGATCCATATCTTAGCGCGGAGATGCCTGTGGAGGAAGAGAAAGTGGTCGAAGGGGAGAAAGTCGCAGCAGTAGCGCTGAGGGTGACCAGACGTGCCGGCCATGCTCACTCGCACGCTCTGATGAGCGCAAAGGTTCTCGTCGGAGACACAGCCAGGCGACTTCGGGGGGCTAGCGGTTGATACTCCCTAAAATGGTCCTTGGAGGTGAGCAATGAGACGCGAGTCGATGTGCAACCACTGACCTCAGTCTCAGACCGCTCGCGAGCTTCTCGTTGTACACACATTCGCCGATCTGTCATTCTTATACGGCAGTGATGTGGATTCATGTAGACGTACTATATACGCAGTCGTAGAGTGTCCGAACAGACGACATATGCACCATGATACGAGCCGCAAATTGTCCACCCTTTATCTTCGTCAGAGAACATGAATGCATGAATAGGAAGCACGGGTAAGACAGGGCGACAGACCTCCCCGATGAGCGACCGCCCTTCGTAAACATCCCCGGGGTATGCCCCACCACTCGTACGTACAGAGACCAATGAATATCCAACTCGCCATTGATCGCCACTGTTCCAATCGCGCGCATACTGTCATCCTAGAACGCCGCCTCGGTGATCTCCCCCCTCGACGAGAAGCGGGGCAACAGCCGATGTAGCTCGTCCACAAAGCGATTGTCCAGCCGACGGAAGAGGAAGAACCGGAGTGCCTTGAGCTGCTCAAATTGCGGCGAGGCGAGGAGGTCGTCCAGTTCCGCCCAGTAGGTTTGCCTGAATCTGTGATGAGTTCACGTGAATATAGCGGTGACAAGAGTGGTCTCACTTGTCTGGGCTGATGATCCCGCAGTCGAGCGTGAAGACGAGGTCCTGGACGGTGTCCATCGTCAGGCCCTTGACGAATGGGAGGATGAGCCACTCGGCGACGATGTCGAGGATGATGTGCCGCAGGTTCGGGTTGTGGGGTAGGCGGAGCATGTCGAGGAAAGCCTCTGCGACGTAAGTGAGTGTTGAGTGCGCCTACGGGATATGGAATACGCACGTTCTTCCGCCTCCGAATAGAAGGTCCCGTTCGCGGTAATCTCCACCTTCAGCTCGTCCAGCGACGGCCCCGCGGTCTTGAGCAGCTCCTGCGACTCCCAGATAACATCGATCGGCACGCGGTAGTTGATGAAGGCAAGGTGGAGCGCGCGCAGTCCTTTCCTATAGCGGATCCCGTTGGCAAAGACGGTAAGGACGTCCCGGCTAGCGTCCTTCAGCACGAGGGCCTTAAGGCGCTCATGTGTGGGGGTAAACGTTGGGCCGCGAGTGACGGTGCCCACACGGCACCCACGAAGGGTGGCAAGCTCGAGTGACTTGAGGGCGATGATGGGAAGGAGGAGAGTGTGGGAGTACGGGAAGGTGACCCAGTCAAGCTCAAGGGCGGTGACGCGCTCGAAGTTGGTGAGGGTATGGAGCCCGGCGGACGTGAGCTCGCCGACGCGTACGGAGTCGAAGGTGAGCTTCGTGATGGAGGTGAGGACAGCGGAGAGGGGGAGCCCGTCACTGGTGCGCCAGTGTAAAAAGTTGTCCATCACGTCGAAGTCGGCCTTCGACTCCTTCGAGCGGATGGTGAGCGACTCGATCGGGAGCACGCGCAGGCCGGAGTAGGGGGGCTTAAGCAGTTCGAAGAACTCGTCGAGCTGGTCCTGGTAGCGGACAAGCTCCTTCTTGGACATGCGCAGGCGGCTCGCTTCGATGTGCCAGACGCGGCATACGAGCGCGCAGATGGAGATCGTGGCCTTGTCCTCGCTGTGATAGCGCAGGATCTGCCCGATCAGCTCCGAGGGAAGCTCGCCGAGCGCAGGGGCATGGTCCCTAGGGTTGGCGATCCGGTTGTAGGACTGCGACTGTGGTCGCAAAAAGTCAACTTCCCGGATCCGGGTAGGCAAAATTGCGAGCACGCACCGGCCGGTGCACCAGCTGCGAAGATTTGCTCGACATCGTGTTTGAAGGCGATGGGGAGTTGAATTGTGGTCAACGACAGCACGTCCTTCACGGGTCAAGGACGTTGCTGATGATGGTCAGAGACAAGCGGCGAGAGCGCGCGCAATCAACCTCGTGGCTGCCCCGGAATTACCCCGCCGCATCTGGTGACCCTCAGGCTTTCCGTCTTCCAACGGACGAGATCTTAGCGCTGTATCCTATCTTGACATTCGATAGGCGGAGATAGGTACTTTGGATACAAGAATAGGAAGTATGTCTGTAGACAGCGCGTCGCGATAGTCCCTCGGGCCTCGTCTGAGGTCTCACCACATTTCGATCTCCGACGCGTCCTGCAGTCCCCTCGCCCGCGTACTAGCAGATAGATTGTCCCCTCTTGCCAGCTGCTGCGACTTGAGCAGGTTCAACTTCCCCCACCCCAACTCGATCCCAAACAGACCTGGCAGCGCGTCCCACACCTTCCGTTTGTAGTCGCCGTAGTCTGCATGCGCCCGCCAGAAGCACGACTCGCAGAGCACTCCGCGAAGGGCCTCCCATCGCGAGTCGAAGCCATGAGCGTCGAGTGGGTCATCGCACCAAGCGCGCTGGGCGATATGCCGCGTACGCGCCGCGGGGCATGCCAACGGGTCCTCCTGCGCACAACCAGGCGGGACGACGAGCGTAACAAGACAAGCGTATGCCTTGTACTGCCAGCCTAGGTCGTGCGTGAGTGTCAACGCGGGCCGGCGCCACTGCTCCGGTAAGATGCGCAGCTTTCCGCGCCACTCCATGCCGTCGAGCAGTTCGTCTCGCGAGCAAGCAGTCGCGGCGAGGTATAGGGCTGTCGGCAGGATCCAGGTGGCGCCGGCTTCTCCAGCTGCAATGGCCACGGCGGTGTGCAGCGCGCCATTGTTGATGAAGGCCGGTCCAGCGGGCTCAACGTGAGGAGGGAAGTCGACGAGGCGTGTCGGGTAGAAGGGTGCGAGATGCCCGAGGGCGCGTCGACGAAGATACGCGACCTGATACCGGTGGCTCATTCGCAGTACGGTCTCGATGACCCCAAAGTCCGCCGCAGGGGGGAAGCGTTCGAAGTACCTTGGAGATCGGTTAGGTCGCAAGGCGCGTAGCAACGACATAGTCAACGCACTCTGGGATGAACATCGCACTGAGGAGTTCCTTCATATCCTCCGGCGCGTCCTGGACCACGATGTAGTGGCACCCTTCTCGATATCCATAGTAGGCGCTCCGCGCCGCCAAGCTTCCATCGTCCTCGTTTGCCATGATCGACTGGAATACGGCGGAGTGCCGTGCGAGAATGTCTCGCTCGACACGGAAGCCGAGGTTCCCTGCCTGTACGACGATCTTCCCGTCGCCAGGAAGCCAGAGCTCCGGGCACCGCTTAACGTAGAGGTGCGGCGGCGGGAAGACGCGATCGAAATTATCCACGTCGTGCTGCATCGGGCGCGATGAGGGGCGCGCTGACGAGAGGTTGAAGGGCACGCACCATTCTTATGTGGTATCGGAAGCTAAGAGTGGCCGTCTGGGACAGCGACTCAAAGAATCACCATGGTCCAGGCGCGCCATGATGGTTGCTTTCGAGCTGTTCAGTCACCCTTTCGGAGAAAGATGTGATCGCTGTTGTGATGTGATGTTCCCATTCATGACCGTCAACCACCATGGGCTCCCGACTTTTGTTCATTTTTGTCTATTCTCCTACGTCTTGACTGACATTTTCGACAGCATATAAATTTCTTTGAACTGTCAGGATTAACACAAGTCCCCCGTATAGAACGGACGCCATCTGCGCGGCGCGTGAACGACGGTCCCATCCTTGTCGTTGGTGCTACTAGCTGCAGCGAAGACACTATACTCTGAGCCCTCTTGCTCCTTGTTGGCGCTATATATATGTGAGTTATCTTCAAAGATGACCGCTTTGTGATGTTATTCATATGGCCTGTGACGGTGTGCCTTCGAACACAGCAAAACTCGAATACGCGTTCGTCAGCTCAACCGTGACTGCTATCATCATCCTCGGGGAAAACCATCTACTACGTATGCACAATGGAGATAGCTTTCAGCATCCCGAGCCCTTAAGTTTGTCATTTCCGCTGAGGTCAGAACTTGCAATTGCCCTACTCTGTACAACTCCTCTCGGGTTAGAATTTATCCCATCTGGCGAGTTTGTTGCTTCCTCCGCAACTTAGCGATCTTTGCCCCTCCTTTGCTTGATGCCCATCGATGCATTGACGATGGGGCCCTCATCCCCGGCGCTTTTGGCGCGCAATCGCAGGTCCCGGTATGTCTTCTTGAATAGCATGTATCTTGCGGGCATACGCCAACCATCTGACTCTCCTCGCAATCATGACTCTTTCCCAGAATTTTCGCTCCGACGCACTGACAATTTTCGAACATGCAGGTTTCAAAGCTGCCACGCGTACATCACGTGACTGTGGAAGGTGATTGCTTTACTCCCGCTGTGATCCGTGCGGGACGGTCTCTGGGACGCGACTTCGACGCGGTCCACGATGAGTGAGCTATAACATTCGTCCCCTCCCTCTTCGATGCCTCTGATATCTGCCCCAGCCAAGTTGCTCCAGGATTCTCGCGCCTCCCTAAAACGACTCGCGGCCCGCGCAAGCCGCGAGTTTCAGCAAATCAAGTTTTGCCCGTCTTCTAGGGACTTACAGGTCAGTGGCGAGTACATGCGTACGCTAGTGCCACTAGGGCTCGTATCGAGATATATGAACGCTGACTTTGCTATGCAGCGGCTGATTCAGTCGAAGATTGCACGGATACGTATCAACAAGTCTCGTGCGAGTCCCATCGACCGCCTCCCGCCGGAAATCCTCACTGAAGTCTTCATTTTTGCGGTCGAGTCTCTTCCTGACGGTGAGAGAATGCGAATGGCTATGACCATTGCGCGCGTAGACACGTTCTGGCGACTCGTCGCACGCTCCATCCCACATCTGTGGACCTCTCTCTTCGTCGAGTCAGCTCACGACATGAACCGATACCGCAGCCACTACATCAATCTAGCTGGCGACCTCTCACTGCGTGTGCATTGCGCCACTTCCGCCACGACTCTGCTGTTTCTGCGCGACTTTCCGTCGGATACCCTTCATAGATTCACTTCCATGCAGCTGGCGAGTCCTGTGGACATCCGCCGCCCTTGGCCATATACGCAACGCCTGATACACCTAGAGGAACTTACCATCAACATCGATTACCCCAAGCCCCCGCTAATCTTCGACGAGGGGCGAGATATCATGTCCTTCCTTGCTGCGCCCCAATTGAGGTCCTTGACCATCAACATAAGGGAACTTGGCTTCAACCGGGACTTGTGTTTCAGACACCTTTTCATAACGCTCACCTCACTGACCATCGTAACGGACGGTGATGAGGGGCTGCTCTCCATGTTCACTGTGCAGAAGCTCTTGCCGCAATGCAGCCGGTCGCTGGAGAAGATTGACATCGACGTCGGGTTCGTGTTTGATGGGGATTACCAAGGACAGATGGACATCATGCCCCACTTGGCGTTCATCCGGATGGGTCGCAGCGGCTGCGAGCTTCTCCGATGCATCGAGGCGCCCAACGTGACGGCCATGTCCTTCTCATCTCCCCATCCCAGCTTCGCGCGCGACCTCCTATCCTTCTCGTCGAAGGCCCTTCTTCTTTCGCATCTCCGGCGACTGGAGATCAAGCATTGGCGGGGTAACAGCGAGGACGGAGAGCTACTCGCGCAAAGCATGGGGGCGATGGGAAATCTCCACCAGTTGTGTATCGCGGGTTCCTTCGTACCGCTGGAGCTCGTGCGAGCCTTGACTCTCCTTGAGGATGCGCCGCCGTTGCTCCCCGAGCTGCGTACCTTAGAGGTTGTGGATCTGACAAACGAGCACGAGCTACGTGATGCGCTCCGAGAGTTGTATGCGTCTCGGAGGGGCATCGACATGGTTTTGGGAACGATGGGCGCGGCACTGTAGGGGAATTGGCGTCCGGGACCTAACTCAATAGGGAGATCTTCAGAAGAGGTGATTGGCTGCTACTCCTCGAACGTCCCTTCCCATTCTGACGTCGATCATGGCAGACTTGTGCGCAACCAGTAAGCGCGGGATGTTATTCCTCGACGACGAAGATCATCTTGGTTCCGCTTGCACCTCGATTGTGCTCCCGATGCTGCGATGGAGATGACGGACTTACTGGCAACGTGTGCTTGAGAAAATCGTGACACCTCGGACGTGGCTTATAGTTGAATAAAGACCGTCATATTGGCGGTATGGAGTACATGATAAAGCGCTACAAAGAGCCTAGTATGTATTCGCAATGTCGAATACCTGATCGCACGAGAACCACAGCGTCGTATGCTTGAGCGCTGAAAAGATTGCTGGACAGCTTGCGAGCAGGGTCAGCACTGAGTCGAACAGTTGTTGGTCTTCAAGTTGGCCCGCTCATGCATGAATGCGTGACCGGCTGGACTTGCGAGCGAAGGAAGGCCTGACAAGCCGGGGCTTGCAAGAATAATTGAGAATGCTTAGTGATGTGAGAAGAGAAAGGCGTGCGCGCATCAAGCAGCGGACAAAGGTGACCGTTATTACAGTCATGGATCGACGCCCTGATATCTGCATTCGCCGCGACGTCGTGTAGAACTTGGCTGTCGGGCGAGGAACCATTAGTGCGGCGCGACCACGCCCGCCATTGTGCCAACTTTCGAAGATAAGTCCAGTTCGACCTACTCGCGTGCATGCACTGAGGTCGACGCGCTCACGCGAGTTATGCGAAGCGTACGATCATGGGGCTCGGCGAGCGACACGATGGAAGGAGTCTATCGCCTCGCAAGGCGATCTCGCGGAGTATGCGAGAGCATTGTAGATCCTGAAGAAACTAGCCACCCGCGTGCCCGATCTGTCCGAGCATGTGACGACCAGTTGAGGTCGGTGTAGCGCATCGTAGGCGAAGGCCGTCGTTGCAAGCGATGCTGGCGAGCATTGATGCCTATACGGGCTGCAAATGCATTGGTCCGCTAATGAGAGACGACTCGGATGGCAGCGTGGACGTTGGCGTGAGGAACTCGAAGAGCTTGAAAGATGGGAACGGGCGCATCGCTTCTTGTTGATCTGGGTGCTATGGATGGGGCGCTTCGCTGAAGAGAACAAGACGCCGATGACCCGAGTGCCGAAGGAAGGGCGGGCGTGACCAATTGCGGTCTAAACCATGGATGGGACTGCAAGTTCCTCGACCCGTAGTTTTGATGGGTACTCAATCATCCTTGCGAAGAGTCAGAGGGATGAGTGCCGGAGAAGATGTGGACACGCACCTCGTCGTATAACGCCCAAGGGTGGATCATCGAGGCTCTCGCGCTTAACGCTGGACTCTAGGAAGCACAATCATGAACGCGTACGGGAGCGTTGAACCTGGAGGTCAAGTCATAAGCGACGTGTATACAGATACGAGCGTCCGATGTCGTACATGAATAGTATGGTGCGTAAGCGAGCGGCATGATACCGGGGCCAACTCATGGGTAGCGAGGTTCATTATGGGTATCGTTCGTGACGCGCGATTGCGAATATCGTTTGTGAGGAGAACAATCGAGTGGGTCGTGAGCAGTCGGTGCGTGTCGCGGTCGGCGTCTGTCAAGGAAGTCCTTCGTCGCATCAGCATCGGGGGAGGAGGAGGGGAAGTATGTAACGGCGCACCGCAAAGCATGTCCGAATCAACCGCGCCCGTCGATGGGCCGATTTTTGAGGCGGTGATGGCCTGCGAGAAAGAAAGCAACCAACCATCTGCGAGGGATCTCGCATAGTGGAGTATCTTGCTGACTTGAGGATGAGTGTGTGATGAGGACAGAGTGCAGCCACGGCTTGTGGGACTCGGTCGCTGGGTAAGGAGGTAATGGTTAGCAGGCGAGAGTTGCTCATGGTAGCACACCTGATGCATTGCATGGGACCTTCTGTACCAATTACGAGCATCGCCCAGCGCGGACTACCCAGCTCACGAGCAACGCCTCGAACCAGTATGGGTAGCCTGCTGTAAAAGCAGCAAAGGAGGCGCGATGTGAGGCCATGCAAGAGGAGGACTCGAGGGACGAGCATGATATCGATATTTTGTAGTCTTTCTCGGTCTGCAGTTCGTCGTTCGGCGAGGGAACGACAGCGAAGTGCGAAGGCAAGCGCGCCGTTCGGCGAAGTCGGCCCGGGATACTCGGCTAATGCCGGCCAAGCGTCGACGAGCAACTTGCCTCCCACCATCAAGTATAGGATGGGTTATATCCAGGTGTGTAGAGTCGCACTCCTTTCAATATACTGGTATGCTTTAACATGAGCTCAGATTAGGATATCTGACTATGGTGGGGTGCATCCGGAATCCCGCCGGACCGACTCCCAGGAAGACGCACTCAGCTTAGACGGTGACACTGTGCTCGCGGACGCGTCTGCTCTGCTCGAATATGCGCAGTCTCTAGTCGAGCCTGGGCTGCAGCGGCGCCGACTCGTTCTCTCGTCTACCGAAATCAAAAACATCCGGAAATTTGCGCCCGTGCTCGTCGCTCAAATCGAGCGCATTAGCACTGTCAAGAAAAGGATCGTCGCTTCCGGCGAACAGAATTTCGCCACCCAAAACTACGACCTTTCTGCAGCTCGAAAGAGGCTGCTCCGCCAACTAGGGCTACACAGGTCCCTCATCGCTCCGATATGGCGTCTTCCGCCCGAGCTGCTGTCGGACATCTTCCTTCATTACAAGGCACAGCACGAGGATCGGGCTGCCTGCGATGCGCACTTCATGATGCGACTAGCGCAGGTTTGCTATGTTTGGCGCGAGGTGGCGCGAGATACTCCATTTCTATGGACGCGCTTCACGGCCATGCGCTGCTCGCGGATGCCCGAGGTCGTCAACGCCGAACTGGTCGCGCTGTCCAGGACCGCGCCTCTGACCATACATCATGACGGCGATGACCCAGAGGACAGGATACTGCTGCGTCTACTGGATCAGCTACAACCTCACGCAGCGCACTGGGGGTCGATCAAGTTGAGCGGCCGTGTCCGCACCTTTGCACAACTACCTCTCGTCGCTCTTCCCGCTCTCCGCGAAGCAAGCCTGACATTCTATGACACTTGGCCGCGAGTCGTGGAGTTTGATGAAGTTCTCTTGTTTCTCGAGCATGCCCCGTGGCTCGAGCGGCTCAATGTCTCGTCGGACTCTATCACATGGGACGAGGACGAGGAAGAGGACGAGTTCATAACATTCCAAATCCCGCAATTCTTTCACCTCACGCACCTGTCGGTCAGTCTGCCTCGCGCGCGTCTGTCGAAAGACGATTTGATGCTCGGCCTTTCCCCATTCACCGATTCGTTGGTTTCCATGACGCTTCATACGGACCTCTTCGTGCCTCCTGCTCATTTGGACCATACCGCGGAGCCGACACCTTTCCCCGCGCTTCGTATCCTCCACCTCAGTCAATCCGCCGGCGAGATCCTCCCGTTCATCATCGCCCCCTCATTAGACGAGCTCACGTTATCGGAGACCGGGGAGACCCCGTTCGTCTCGCTCGCCGCCTCCGCCGCCCGGCCAGAGAACGCGATCGCATCCCTGCGCAAGGCGACTCTAACCGCGGTGCGTCCTCTGGATCATCATGCGGTGCTTGAGTGTCTGGAACAGATGGAGGGACTGAAGGAGCTTCATCTCCGCGGTGATCTATCGCCAGCGCGCATCTCTACGTTCTCGCTCGACCTATCACGGAGGATGACATGTCTCGGCGCGCGGGTGAGCGCGTCGCGTGCTGCGAGTTTCCTCGAAACCAGGCACGGGCTAGCGGGACACGGCGAAGGAGCGTTGAGTAGAGCGGCTTCTATTGAAGGAACGGCGGAGGGCAGATATGGGCCTGACGAGCCGTGCAGCAAGTGCGCGCCGCCTGGCGACATGGATGCGCCGAAACCGTTGTTGCCTTCTTTGGTGGAGCTCAAGGTCGACAGCATGCCTCCGGACTATGGGATTCACTGGCGTGCGATGCTTCGATCGAGGCAGGTCCCGCGCGTGTGCGGGGGCTGGCTGGTACCGGAGCTGAAGGTCGTGTCGGCATGGACGTAGAAGGGGTGGAGGGGTGGAGGGGCGGAGGGGATTGAGCATGGTGGATGTACATTAGATATTACGATCGCACTGTTCCGTACTCTATATGATTGCGTATATCTTGGTATACTCAGACACGGATTCCCTCGGAATCCTTCTCGCTGCGCTTGGTCGCTTGGAGCGGGCTGACTTTGAACTTAAACAAGTTAACCATTGATTCACGTGAGGATCACGACTGATAGCGGGCCGATTGCCGCCGACGGACCGGTCGCCCTATGCAGCGTGTTCTGCACGAGGAACCTTCATCCTCTTCGCCGCCGAACTAAGCGTGAGTGCTCTCCAGGAGGCTTCCTGCTCCATGAACTAACTTTGACCGTCCGCGCAGACATGCAGGAACGTATAGAGACCGCGCTCAAGCGCGCTGCCGAAGTCGCGAACTTGGAAATGCAGCGCGAGAGCGTGGAGCTATCCCTGGACCGCCTGCAGGAGATACATGATCATACGGCGCTTCTTGAGGACGAGCTTGAGTTCTTGGACTTGGAGATTGCCGGCGTGGTCGACGTACCACGCAAACTGAACGATCTGATTGCCGTGCGGGGGAAGATCACCGCTCAGATGGACATCCACCGCTCTCTCTGCGCACCAGTACATCGCCTCTTCCCGGAACTGCTCTCGGAGATATTTGTCTACGCGACGAAGTCGGCGTCGAAAACATGGGCATCGAAAACATCGCAGCTCGCGGTGGCATGCAAGCTTGCGAGCATCATCGCTGTCTGGCGTCGCGTGGCTCACGGAACGCCCTTGCTCTGGCCCTGCCTTCTCGCTGATGACGAGCATCAATGGAACACATATTTAGAAAGGATCATCACCCTCACTGGCTCTCTACCGCTTGTCGCGCACTGCCTCAGTACGAGAACGACAGAGCTGTTCGTGACCCAGCCCGCTATGCATGCGCGCAGATGGCGGGTAGCGACATTGTGTTCTCCCATCTGCGCTATAGTTCCTGCCGCAGCGCGTGTGGAGGCACCGACCCTCGAAGACCTGACAGTACATGGTATGATCTGTGATGATCCGGAGGCGCGCGAGGTCACAGACTATCTTGTACTGCCGCGCCTCCGCTGCTTGCGAGTCTTCCTCACAAACCGACTTGGCGTTGGCCAGGCCCTCATATTTCGCATGCCGCCCACGCTCACCTCGTTCACTCTCACTTTCAGGGCAACGGAGGCGGTCCTCCTCCACGTTGTGAACTTGCTGCATCAATGCGCGAGCACTCTCGAAAACCTGTTCGTCAATTTTGGAACTCGGATTGATGAACGCGGATGGTCGATACCTGTCTTCATGCCAGCCTTGAAGACTCTCACCCTGTACCAGGACGGCTGTCTACTGCTCGAATGCATCAACGCACCTGCAATTGAGCAGCTGACCATTGAGATTGCGCCGATGTTCTTCGTAGAGTCACTCACGATCTTTCTCGAACGTAACGATTCTTCTGTGTCCCATCTCATCTACGTCTGCATCGCCATCGTACCAGAGCTCGACGAGGACGATACAGAGATGCTTGTGCGATGCTTGGGAAGACTGGAGCGCCTCGAAGAGCTGCACTTCACTGATACGACAATCCCTCTCGATCTCGTGCGTTCTCTGATTTGCTACGAGAGTGTGCAGCCAGCCCTACCGAAGTTGCGCGTCCTCTCTCTGGACAGCCTGCCGACGCCGGAGCATGAGGCGGCACTGCGCGACGTGTACGCCTCGAGGAGGTGGAACAGGTGTATTTGTGGGATGGATATCGCCATACTTGAGGATCCGGATGAGGTCATCGCAGCCAATGCCTAGTATGCGGCAATGACGGAACTTCAGAATGGTGCGTATGTATCCGCTTTGAGTGCTCATCTTCACGCGCTCATTCGTGGCAGATTATGACTTTACAAGCCCGATTGATGTTTACCAGAGAATGTAAAGATGCCGTACTAGTGTAGCATCTTTCAGCGATTGATTTGACAGAGTTACAGCGCGAGATTGACCATATATTCCCGTCTCCCTTTCAGCAGATCGAATGGATTGGGAGAGCACGACAGTCGGCGCTCAAGCACGGAAGGGTCGGCCCGGATGAGAGCACTTGAGGGCCGGCTGCGCTGGTCTCAACAGGTTGTCTCGCGCTTTCATGTCGACACATACGTCCCATGCTTTGCTGCACATTCGCCTCGGCAATGAGCCCAGCCTCGTCTTGTGAGTACTAGTGTACTTGTCTGTTTCGTCCATGGTCCACTGCCTTCTCCCCCACCTCGCATGATGGAGACGTTTTGAACACAATGAAGTGAGCCCTCTGGTGTTTGTGCCCGAGGGAGCTCCTTGTGACTGGTTCTACAACGGTATCTGACCTCGCTCAATCCATGCTGTTTCTGTCCGTCATGGTGGCATAGACTCTGACCGGCTCGGACAGAAGTTTGGGCGATGCGCGCACGTCGCCCATCTCGTAAGGCATGTCCTCCCGTCTTCTGGAGTACGAGGTTCAACTGGGTTGGCGTATGCTTCCCGCCGCCTTGCGGAGGTGCGTCGTCATGAGCATCCCGCTCGCTATATATCTAACTAGACACCTTCAGGGCGAACGTTCGACGGGATAGCGGCCGAACATGACCTATCCAGCACGCACACTTCGATCGCGCGGCGGACGCCTCCCCTTGACTCTGCGCCATTTCCTGATCACGTTATATTGGGGTATCTTTCGCCGCTCCGAGTTCGAAGTAGCTCGATCGTCGACCCATACGGCGTTGACAAAGAAGATCGGACGAGAAATGCGGCCGACATCGCGCACGGCGTTCGCAGTCAACCGCACCCTGGCGGTCCTGTACTATCCTTCCACATCGACAGTGGCGATCATCAGCTCCCTGAGCATTGGACCGTCGCCCTTGCCGCGGTCGACCCTCAACATCATTGTCGGCTTGTTGACGACGCACTCCTCAGCGTCAAGGATACGATTCTCATTGTCGGCCGCCAAGAACTCGCCTTACGCGGATGCTCACGTTGTGCGACGTTCTCGTATGGAGGCCAGCTGTGCTCCCCTTCTATCACGGCAATCACGACTTCGACGGGCGGTCCTGCGCTCATCATCTGCGCCTATGAAGTCGTCGTTTACAGGCCCGGCTCGTCGACGCTCGATAGTTCTGCACCTGCATCCACCCCCGTACTTTATTGTTCACCAGCTTGGTCTGCTCCGACTTCCTCGATGTCGTCGTACAACCGGAAGACCCAATGGCGATCGCCTCGCGCGCGAAGCGTGCACGCCTCTGTCCCTCCACGCCGGCGCAGCCAAGCGCGATGAAGCGAGCAGCACCAGAATCGCGACGTTGAGTTGCGGACAATCACGTCTGCCGCGCTCGATGGTCACTCGAGCCCTTCGCGGGGCTGCGCACTTACGTCGTCCGCGCTCATGCGGGCAGACGCTGCTGTCGGATGCTGACTCGCGCGGCTTGCAGCCGTCGCAGGTCTGTCCCAGTCACGCTCGTGCTCATCCTCGTCGCGCACGGCCGCTCTTGCTGGGGCCGTCGCTCGCGGGGACTTGCCACGCGCGGTAGCTCGTGCGGGGTCTTCCGTCACCGCTTGTCGCAGAAGGATGATAGTCTCGCTGCCGCATCCATACACCGCCGCGCACGGACGATGCTTGAGCTCTCGATGCTGGTTGCGCGCCAAGAGGCGCGAGCTCAGCAAATACGCAGTCACGCAGGAAACGCCGTCGATTCGCGGAATGGGCGGCCTAGTACCCGAGATGCCTCGGCTCGGGCGCGTGCTGATATCGTCCGCTGTCGATACCCGTGCCTTCTCGTCGCTGAGCGTGCCTATCGGCTCACTTTCGCTTACGTCGCTGGTGGGTGCTTGAAATGTAAGCGCAGCGGTCACTAGATCGTGCGCCCTGCGGCCACGCCGGTTGCGGAGGGGGCGCTAGACGGAAAAGTGCGCGGAACTTCGGCGTCGTCGGAGCGGAGGGCGCGCTCGATGGCGGTTCCGCGTGCAAGAGATACGCGTACGCCGGTGCGTTTGCAGCGGTACGCGGAGGGAAGGTTGTGTGATCATGGTCGGCGGTGTATATTTTGGTAGGACCTGTATATGCTCATCGCCAGGGTTACGCACTTGTACTTCGAGCGGGTTTGGTTATACGGATATGCAATTCTCGTAAGAAAGGCACTTTTAGCGATTGGCAGTGATATAGGATAAGATCCTCTCGATGAGTCGAATAAACAAGTCGCGAACTCGGCCGTTCGCACGTCCTTGGCCTCGCATGATCTTCGCTGTCGTTCGCCCCGCTCGGCGTCAAACTGACATAAGATATGCCATGAAAGCAAGGGGTTTGGCGGATGGATCTGTGGTGGACATTCCTTCAGCATATCCAGATGAGCTTAATGATTCTGATCGGCGCGTCAATACGGGAGCATTTCCTTTGAGCTCCATCACGCTTCCGCGGACGTTCGTCTGCTGCGTGCATCTGAGCGTACCAACGATGCATACTCGGAAATGACATGATGAGACACTACGCGTCACTCACGAGCCTTAGATTGCTCCAAGATATGTATTTCGAAAGTAGTACAACAAATACACCGCATAAGACCTGTACGACAGTGCGACAACAACAGAAGACAGAAGGTAGGTGGCGACGCGGTGCGCCACGTTTGAATCGGTTCGATACACCATTAGATGATTTGGGTCATGCACCCAATGCACGTGAAGCGACGGAAGCGGTCCTCGCCGCGCAGCTTCCTCAGGTCCTTCGCAACAAGATACTTCGTGGCACGGATCCCAGCCTGCGGACCCCCGACCTCCGGATCGCGCACCCACTGTGCGGGATCGGGAACAATCTCCTCGCCACGACCATCCTTCACCATCTTGATCGCGTGCAGGATGACCGTCTCGAGCGTCTGCGGCGCCTCGCCCGGGTTCGTGCGCCGGCGGATCGGGAAGCAGGCGAGCTCTGCCCAGGTCGTCTCGTACCAGGCGAGCGCGCTCGCGGTGTCATCGATGTCCTTGTCGACGTCGGCGTCGACGCCGAAGCCGATGTAGGGCGCAGGAGGGCGCTCCGCTGGGCGATCAGGGCGTAGGACGTGGTGGAGGTGGCCTTGGTTCCAGTCGTCCAGGTGGTCCTTCATGTCAGCGACGGTGACCTGACTCCCATGCTCCTCGAGGCATCCCGCATGGAAGAACTTGGCGCAGGGGATGCAGTATCGGATTTGGCCTGTGATCATGGTGTTCCAAACCTGTCCAAGAGTGCACATGTCGGCCATGCACATCATCTCGCGAGCCACGGGCTGTGGATGGGATGAATACGAAAGTACAAGCTCATATCTGGAGAGGGGAACTCACCACGTCGTCTTGAGCTGTTGGAACATGGTACCTGCAGGTCAGATCGTTGTTGTCGACGGGTGGATGACATGGAACAGGTCTGCCATCGCGTATCTTCATCACCAATTCCCCGTATATAGCCAAGTCGATGATACCGCACAGTACACCTACAAACAGAGCCCATCAGACTGGGCATACTTATAGTTGGCTCAACATACTATGAAATTTATTGGCCCAGACCAGGACATGTGTATCGACGGCGATGAGCTCCGGGTAACGCACTCTCCTAGGCGAGGCTCAGCTGTGGGCGGCAGCACATCAGATAACAAGCGACTACTCACTCGCGCATCCGAGCCCCGTTGACCTCCCCCGGACAGCGCAAGTACTTGACAACGACCGCGCCGTCGGCCAGCAGCATGCCCCCCGATGACGAGGCTCCAGCCCCGCCTTCGATGGCAGGCGCAACGAGCCTCACGTAGCTATAGGCCCAGTCGTGGAGGGCGGGGTCGCTGATCGCCTTCTCTGCCAGACGCCTGCTGCTGCGTGTGACGGGCTCATCTGGGTCGCTATCCGAGTCGTCGTTGTCGGGGTTGAAGGGCAACAGGCGGAGGTCAACGCGCTTGCGCTCCTTGAGAACGAGGCTGGTGGGAGGATCAGAGTGAAGGACAGCGTCAGGGATAGACCACACACCATTTGCCGGGGACCAGTGGGATCATCGCCCCATTTATCTCGTCTGAGGGGCAGCGTGAGGACCCGACATCCAATAGCGCAGTCGAGGCTAGGGAAAACTCACAAAGAGCCTTCTTGGGCGCAGCAGCCACAAGGTCGCCGGAAGGTTTGACACGAGAGGCACGAGGCATGACGAGGATGTGGAGGCAGCGGACAATGGTGGTGGTGGTTGAGAAGAAGGAGGAAAAGGACGGCTGATGGGAAATTTTCAGTATATATACGCCGTAACGCATTCACGTGATGCCCTTTGCATATGTTATGCAGGACCGATAGAGATACTGTTCTGAACGCATCTGTACATGGGAGGAAATGAGGCTCGCAAATTTGAAGAGCGCACCTTCTCGCGAGTGATTTTGGGAGCCAACGACAATACGTGAGATGGAATTGACAGACAGACTTTCAAGGACGTTCAAGAGCCTTCCAAAGGATGTATAGACTTCGCTAGATGCTGAGAGGGAGTGCAAAACAGCCTTGGTCCTGCGTAGAATGACGATGAGCTGCCTTGAAAATCTGTGTATCTTGAACCGAAGAGAGAAGGCCAATTTGCGGGACCCTGCAATAGATAGCCTCATGTTGACGGCAAGGATGCATAAGTAATCGTCCAAAGTCCAGTTTCCAGGCATGTGCACGTCCAATGGCAGAAGAGATGGCGGTCGGTGACAAGGGTGGCCCAAAGCGCGTCGGTGATCCCCGCTTGATCCCACAACACGTGGTTGAGGAGAAGTAGCATCCGTAGGTTTCCCTGGCGGTGTTATTTTATTGAGATAATGCAAGTAACACGAGGGGACTTAACTCAGAGCGACTCATACGTTGAGACTTATACTGTGCGACAGACAGTGCAAGGGTACGATGAGAGCATACTCGGAAATTGCCGATCCATCACCAACCGTGGGAAGCCCGACATCTTTACCCGACACCTTTACCCAACACCTTTACCCGACATGTTTACCCAGCATGTCACCCTGACCTTTTACCCCGTGATATCATCCATAGGAGTTATGAATGATATGCTCCTCACTCTCGCTTCTAATTATATACGGTTTTGAGCTCGTCAACTTGCTTGTATTCCCAAGTCTTTCCGAAGACGCGACAAAAGTACAATTGCTCTATGCCATGGACTCGAGCAAAGGAGATCGCCGAAAGGGTGCGCAACGGATGGCGAGGTAAGTGAAGTGACTTGTAGCGATCGACGCTCAGTGTTAAAGGGCGTGACGCCCATGGGGCATATGGATCTGCTTCAATTTAATCTGTGAAGAGCATTCCCCGCTGAGGAAGAATGCCCTGCGGCCAAAAAGTACTCGAGTCAAGCGAGTAGTTACACAAGTCAAGTGGGTAGTGACATTGCATAAAACCTACACAATAGCGCGACAACACCAGAAGGCAGAAGGTAGGTGGCGACGCGGTGCAGGGACTAATCAACTTGCGAGGACAAGACATGACTACCTTGATCAAGGCTTGCGCTGCTCAGGCAGGAAAATATCCATGGCAACGACGAAAGGGAGGACATGCTGCACGCGCCGCCTGCCGAGGTTCATAACGACCTCGACGGCCACAACGTGGGGGGAGAAGAGTGGGTGGGCGCCTTCGCCTTCGCCAGCGCCGCGGATGTACACCTTCTCGCGCAGATTCGGGATGGCGTCCGTCAGGTCGCAGAGGACGACGAACTGCTCGCGCGGCGCGGGCTCGCCCTGTTGCGTGCTCCGCTCGGGCCTCGGGCTGCTGCGTCCCTTGAGAAGTCGAGCCATCTCCGCCGCGATGCGCCGCCTTGCGCTTCTCGTGACGTGCTCGCGCGCGAGGGAGCAGATGAATATGAGGTCCACAACCGAGAGGGCGCCTGCGGAGTCATGAACCATGAGGTGTGTTGTGCGGGATGTGTATCGGAAAGACAGGAGTGTAGAGTACGGCGAATGGGCGATCATTGAGTGCGGTGGAAGCAGAATTCTTGCGATAAAAGGGAGAAGAACGATATCGATCGGAATTCGCCAGAGCAACATATCTTTGCGGTATACATTGGACAGTATGCGGTAGACGGACGTACCGTTGAGGCCCCAGACTCCATTTCTCGCGCAGCACGTTTCGCGGTGTCGCTCCTCCCAGTGCATCCGTTGGCAGCTCCCAGAGCAGAACATGGCGTCGCCGCAGGGACAAACCTTCGCCGAACGGTTATGAGGGCCCTGCGGGCCGTCAGCACCCCTAAACCACACTCTGCACAGTCGCGCCTACCCGCAAATTATAGCAAGCGAGGCAGCCTCTCCACTCCTCACTCTTGCGGTGTATATTGTAACGACGCGTGTAGGCCTGGTACGCCTGCACGACATCGCGCCAGAAGAGCTCTTGCCGCGGCGGGATGTTGTGGATCGCGGGCGGGCGCGGGTGCCGCCGACGGAACGCGCGCAGGACCCGCGCGTGCGCCATGCCCGCAGCCAGCCGCCGCGCGAGGGCGCGGCAGTCGTACAGCACATCCGCCACCCGGTCCAGCGCGCACAGGACGTCGAAGACCCCGCCCGCGATGGCGCGCACAAGCGTGTGGTTGCTCCTGGCCACCGCGCACATGTTTTCGACGAGCTGGGCCGCCCAGAAGGCGCCGGCGTGCGTGTCCGGGGTGCGGAGGCAGGTCTGCGCGCCGGCGAGGACGAAGGGGATGACCGCAGGCGGTATTTTGGACGGCTGCAGGTCCGCGTGCTTGACGAGTGTCGCGAGCAGCGCGAAGTGCTTCGTCCACGTCTGCGGCCCGGCGATGGGGCTCATGTTGAGGGTGCTGAGAAAGTCTGTCTGCACGGGAATTTGCCTGTAAAGAACCCTCTCTGTCACGCCGGCCTTCTGGAGGCTGCGGCGGAAGAGCGCGCGGTCCGCTGCGGTAGGCTCGTTCCCCTCGTACGCGAGCATGCTCTGGATGTAGAAGAGGATCCCGACGAGCCCGAACGCGAGGTTGAAGAAGTCGGAGCTGCCCTTGGGGCGCGGCGGCCCGCGCGCCTCCTCGGCCTGCGCGCGCGCGATGTAGCGCGGGAAGCCGAGCCAGAGCTCGAGCGCCTGCACGACGATGTCCGGGTGCGCGTGCAGAAGCGGCTTCGCGTGCGCCATGTCCGACTCCAGGAGGGTGAGGTACACCTGGATGATGCCCGCGAGCTCGCGCCCCGTCTCGCGCGTGCCGGTGGGATCGACGATCTGGCCGCGCTCCGGGTGGAAGAGCGTGGCCCACGCAATCATGCGCGGGGTAATCCGGCGTAGGAGGGGAGCCAGGCTTTGTCCCTCGGGGCGTTCGGCGACTGCCCAACCGCGCTCGAAGGCGCCAAATGTCTGGCAGACGATGTTGATGTGGTTTGAGTTGTATATGTTGGTCCCAGGGGGTGGGTCGCGGGCGACGGCGCGAAACGCATGATCAAATCCGAGTTTTACTTTTTCGAGTACAGAGGCATAGTTTTCGCCAGGTTCAAAGGGTTGGTCGCCGGAGAGCTGCTCGATGAGATGGCGCATCGCCCGTACGTCGTCGTAGTTTCGATGATGGTGCGGGTCGGAACAATGCTTGTGGTGATGGTCTGAGCAGCCCATTGGTGTCATTCAGGAGGTCTATCAAGCGTCAAAGCAAGATTATGGTCAAAGGGTGCCGTCAAGCCGTGCTATCTCAAGCAGAGTCAGTTCGGGAATGGGACGATCGCTATTTGTCCATGATTGGTTCGGATCACTTCTTGATCTTCCCCGTTTGGCGTTGCCTTGTTGCTTCTCAATGCCCGCAGCCGTCTAAGCAGCTCATGCCGCAGGGTATTATCTGGTTGGAGGCTCGGGTAATGTGCTGAGTGTCTTCCTGCCATCTCCACCCTCTGACCTCATCCTGAAAGTCACGACTTTGCTCGTTGGGCTCCCCTAATCTGACGCCCTCTTATCCTGTACGGGCATACATCTTTGAATCCAGGATACAGATGGATACCTCAGACGCCGCCGCCGCTGACGGCGCGGCTGAAATAGGACTTCCCTGTAGAACAACTGCCTATCCAAGCTCGAGATCTCCTCGCTTGCTTCTAGGTCAGTGACGCTTCGACGAAGAATATCCGATTCTCAAGTGACTCCCGACAAAGTGGCGTTGACAAACACACTGATCCGCCGGATGACGCGAAGACGGTCATAATTGAGGACGAGAGGATTGTTGTCGAAGGCTCAAGGAGAAAATTTACTGAATACGTCCCCTTTTTCGCTCGTACTTGTGCTGGCTTCTGACGAAGCATTTCAAAGAAGAAATCTGTACAAATCGGACTCGCCTCATGTACAGCTCGGCGAAGAAAGGAAGCGATGGCTGACCGCGGCGCGGAACTCTTGAAAGCTCGCTGCGAGAGTTGCAAAAGATCACACTACGAGCACCGGAGAGTTGTTCATCCTGCAAGACCAACCTGGGGAAGCTCTCGGCTCAAATTAGCCCGTCCCACTCGTTGCAGCAGCTCGACAGAGGAACTTCACCTCGCGGATCGGCCTCACCATAGTCATTATCTCGCCGTCTTAACTCGACGCCGCGTCTTCGTCCCCGAAAACTCGTCTACCCTCATCCCGGATGAGGAAGCGCTTATTCTCGTTCCCGATAAGACAGCATTCCTTGCCGCCAAGATAAGTCCACGCCGCGCGCGCCCACCGCTCTGCTAACCGACTAAGCCCGCCGTCCTCATCCTCGCACCATCCATTGGTACTGGCGACCCCTTCAGCCATCCATCGTGTATGGTCTACCGTCCCCCATGCGCACTAGCTTGATCCCCATGTGCACGTCGAGCGGCGTTCACATTACCGGCTTCGCCTCGTGCGACACGTGATATAAGCTCGCTGCAGACCGGAGCAAAGCCGGTCGAGCGCGGAGTCGACCGCCAGCCGAGCGCAGACTCGCCCGCCACTGGAGCGCTGACTCGACCGCCGACCCGGCGCGTGCGCACGCGCAGATCGATACGCGTGGCAACGACTGCAGCGACGCGCTCGAGGCGAAGACGCTGCTCGCGCTTGTCGTTGCGCTACGAATGGCAGGGCCTCGATCCAACGACGCCGCTCTCCGCTGACGTACTCGTTCAGACCTCGCCTCTACGCCCGCTTTCATGATACGCAATCTCGTTACGCTAGGCCATGGTTCTTACCCTGCATTGAACTCGAATCGTGTGCTCATAATGTGGTGCTGCGCGTTGTCTTTCACTGAAATGATGCTGTTCCTCTCTCGTCTCACCCGTGCTGTATTGCTACTGAGCCACGTCTTCGGTATCGCCGACATGTATCTTACGCATCATGGTACCAGAGACTACAGCGTTGTGATAGACAGCACTATGCATCCCACAGAAGAAGCCAAACTTCCCCTCAGGGTTCCTGGATCCAGCCGAGGACCTGCCACGTCGGTCGCCCGTCCAGGGGAGCTATCCGCTTTCGCCTCGACCGGGTCACCTCATGGATGGCAGGACGCAGCTCCTCGTGGTCCATATATATTCTGGCGATGTTGACCCATGCCAATGCGGGAAGAAGCGAGGGCCCGTCGGTGTGCAGGACGATCTGCTTCAAGAACTCGGCATTCGACAGCATGGCGTCAAAGTGCAGGTCCCGGAGGCTGTCCATCAGCCGGATGCAGGGGAGCCAGGCGGAGGGCTCGCGCTCCGCGGGGATGAAGACCCTGAGGTCGAGGAGAGTACGTGACTGCTGGCTGCGGGTCAGGAATCCGAGGAGGGAGCGCGTACCATAGGCCGGTACGTTGCTGAGGATCAGCACTGTGATGCACGGGGCGATGATGTGATCGAGCAGCGCGCAGGCGGGGTCGACGAGTCTGAGGTCGGTGAGGGCGTTTAGCTCGAACGTGTCCTGCTCGGACGCGCTCGAGGGGTATGAGCCTTCGAGTCCGTCTAGCGGGTGGCGGACTTTGAGGGCGAGCGACTGGAGCGTGCCTGCGCACGCCCGGAGCAGGGGGAGAGTATAGGTGACGGGAAAGGGGGCCATCGCGTCGATTTCTAAAGACGTGGGCGCCCACATGACGGGAACGTGCAGCTGCCTTTCGCTCTGCAGAGCGTCCAACGTTAGCGCGAGGTGGCGAAGACGGGGTGCGACAACGAAGTCGAGCACACTGAGCTCTGGCGAGTTGGGCGTACCGTAGGCGTCGAGAACCAGCCGCTCAAGGTTCTCCATGTAAAGAACTTGGAGATCGGGCAACATACTGAGTTGGCCCATCAGCGTGAGGGAGCTCCAGCAAGATGCGTACGGCTCGATGCGGCCCCACAAAAGACTAAGGTCCTCAGTTGTTATTGGAAGGAATAGCTCGCAGTATTGGTCGAAATTGCGCATGGACTTGACGACCAGTTTGGTCCACAGCTTCGAGAGCCCGTGCGCGACTGCTCGCCAGACGGCGCACACCTGCGAGATGGTGACTGCAACATGCAGAGTCTGCAGGGGCGACTCGTTTGCTACCTGGTAAAAGATCTCAATCAAGAGTTCTTTGGGGAGGCGGCGGATGGGAGCAAGGGTTGACCAGTGTATATCAAGCTGAGCTAGGATCCCGTCGCGGGTAGATGGGTCGCTGGGCAGAAGGGATCTGAGCTCAGATTCCAGAAGGGAACTATACTCGTTGATCGCCGCGATCTGTATGGAGGATGGTCCCACGTATGTGCGCAGCATCGCGAGGTTTGCGACAGACGCCGCGCGCTCGAGAAGCTCGTCCACGGACAGGCTGTGCATCGGATGCTGTCACATTTGCCATCAGCGCCAAAAGTGCACGTATGTAGATTTGCACTTACTGGAGGACTCATTTACGGGATTCAAAAGAGCTGGCTGCTTCCGACAAGGGAGGGATGGCAGTGCGACCTCATCATTCGGCAATCACCGCTCACACGGTCAGCACGTCACGTCCACTGTGCCACACCTCTACTCTCTGTCGGCATTTGCTCAGGCTGCATGCAAGATATACCCACTGAGTTCTAGTATCGCGCGCGTAGAGAGACGTTCTCCCGCTAGCAATGGGATTCGGCTTTACTTCATGACTAAGAGGGAGAAGCAAAAAAAGGTCAGACGACAGGAAATAAACCTGAGTGTGAGCGAGGAGCGCGTCTGCCGGTGGAGCGTCGTGCGCGTCTGCCAGAAGAGAGATGAGAAGCGCGTCTGCAAGTCGACCGGGCGACGTGTGCGTCAGCCTGCCGAGCGAACGATGCAGCGCGTCCGGCGGTCGAGCGATGAGCGCGTCTGCCAATCGATCGAGCGAGCGACGGGCGCGTCCGTCAATCGAGGCGACGAGGAGCGCGTCCGACCAGTCGTTCGAGCGACGATGTAGCGCGTCCGGGAATCGAGCGACGATGAGCGCGGCGGCCTGGTCGAACGAGCGACGATGTAGCGCGTCTGCTAGCCGATCGAGCGACGAGGGCGTCCGCCGAGCGCGACTGCCGATTGAGCGAGCGATGTAGCGCGTCCGCCAATCGAGCGACGTGCGCGTCTGTCAGTCGAGGCGAGCGTCGTGCGCGTCAGCACGTCGAGCGAGCGACGATAAGCGCGTCCGCCGGGAGAGCGACGACGTGCGCGACTGCCCAGTCGAGTGACGATGTAGCGCGTTTAGCCTGCCTGTCGATACGAGCGACGAGCGCGTCCGGCAATCGATCGATCGAGCGACGTGCGTGTCCGTCTGTCCTAGTCGATCGAGCGACGTGCGCGTCCGCCAGTCGAGCAACGTGCGCGTGCTGCCGGTCGAGCGAGCGACGGGGGCGTCCGGCCCAGTCGGTTGAGCGAGTGAGCAACGGGGAGCTCGTGCGGCGGCCTGGAGAGAGATGAGGGGCTCGTCCGCCCAGCGAGCGAGCGCGACGATGTAGCGCGTCAGTCGGGAGACGGGGAGCGCGTCTGCCAGTCGATCGTTCGAGCGAGCGACGAGGAGCGCGTCCGCCCTAGTCGAGGCGACGTGCGCGGCCGCCGAGCGAGCGAGAGATGGGTGCGTACGCCAGTCGAGCGAGGCGACGATGAGCGCGTCTGTCAGTCGGGCAGCGAGGCGCGGCTGTTAGTCAGTCGAGCGAGCGAGCGACGCATGCGTTTGCCGAGCGAGCGACGAAGGACGCGTCCGCCGGTCGACCGGGCGACGAAGGGCGTCTGCTAGTCGAACGATGAGCGCGTCTGCCAGTCGAACGACGAGCGACGACGCGCGCGTCCGCCTATCGACCGGGCGACGAGCGCGTCCGCCAGTCGAGCGAGGCGACGACGATGAGCGCATCCGGTCGATCGAGCGAGGCGATGAGTTCGTCCATCAATCACGCGAAGAGCGCGTCTGCTAGTCGAACGAGCGACGACGGGTGCAACTGCCAATCGAGCGAGCGACTAGCCGCATACGCCTAGAGAGCGACGTGCGCGTCTGCCAGTCGATCGGGTGACGCCGACGAGGGCGTCTGCCAACCGGTCGAGGCGACAACGTGCGCGTCTGCCCTAGTCGAGTCGGGCGAGCAAGCGCGTCCGCCTGCCGAGCGATCGACGTGCGTGTCCGTCTGTCGAGGCGATGAGCGCGTCCGGGAGTCGAGCGAGCGAGCTCGTTCGCCGATCGAGAGCGACGTGCGCGACTGCTAGTCGATCGAGGCGACAATGGGCGCGTCCGCCAACTGAGCGAGGTGACAAGGAGCGCGTCCACCAGTCGAGCGAGCGACGTGCGCGACTGCCAGTCGAGGCGACGACGAGCGCGACTGCTAGTCGATCGAGCGATCAGCGCGACTGCTAGTCGAACGAGCGACGTGCGTTTGCCGAGCGAGCGAGCGATGAGCGCGACCGCCAATTAAGCGAACGACGTGCGCGTCCAGCGTGAGAGCGAGCGACGTGCGCGTCGCTCCAGTCGAGCGACGTGCGCGTCCGTTAATCGAGGCGACGATGAGCGCGTCCGCTGGAGGAGAGAGATGAGCGTCCGCCTGTCGAGCGACGAAGGCGTCCAGCCAGTCAGTCGATGAGCGCGGCCGCCGGTCAATCAGGCGATGAGCTCGTCTGTCGAGCGAGCGACCATGTAGCGCGTCCGTCAATCGAGCGACGAGCGCGTCCGTCCGCCGAGCGAGCGACTAGCGCGTACGCCTATCGATCGGGCGAGGAGCGCGCACGCCTATCGAGGCGACGAGGGCTACATGCGCGTCTGCCGGTCTATCGAGCGAGCGACGTGCGCCTACGCCAGTCGAGCGAGCGACGGGGGCGTCTGCCCTAGTCGGTCGAGCGACGTTGAGCGTCTGCTGGTCGAGCGACGTGCGCGTCTGCCTGTCGATCGAGCGAGCGACGTGCGCGTCCGGCCATCGAGCGAGCGGAAAGCGCGTCCGCCGATCGATCGATGAGGAGCGCGTCCACCAGCCTGTCGAGGCGACGTGCGCGTCCGCCCTAGTCGAGCGAGCGATGTGCGCGTCTGCCGGTCGAGGCGACGAGCGCGTCTGCCATGAGGGCAATGGGCGCGACTGCTAGTCGATCGCGCGAGCGAAAAGCGTGTCCGCCGGTCGATCGGGCGAGCGACGATGGGCGCGTCCGCCAATCACGCGATGAGCTGCGCGTCCGTCAATCGACCGGGCGACGACTAGCCGCGTCCGGCCAGTGAGGCGACGAGGAGCGCGTCTGCCCCAGTCGATCGAGCGACGTGCGCGTCCGGCCAGCCGAGCGAGCGCGTCCGTCTGCCAATCGAGCGACGTGTACGTCTGCCAATCAAGCGAGGCGACGTGCGCGTCCGGCCGAGCGAGCGAGCGAGCGATGAGTTCGTCAATAGAGCGATGAGCGCGGCCGCCTGTTGATCGAGCGAGTGATGGCCGCACCCGCCAGTCGAGCGAGGCGACGAGCGAACGCGTCCGCCGGTCGATCGGGCGACGTGCGCGTCCGGCAGTCGATCGAGGCGACGCGCGCGTCTGCCGGTTGAGGCGACGAGGCACCATTGGCCGGGGGGATATCTGGATATCCCCTACCATGGCAGGGGGTCGTGTTTCGATATTGCACTGCCGCGGCAGCACTGTCACCACAGGGCCATATCTCGATGCGCCCCCCTGTATATATAGAAACTGAATCAATTACCGTAAACCTCGGTTTCCGGTGTCTTTCGGTGCATTTGTTAGTATAGACCGGTATTTCGACGATATCCCCAAAAGGTAGAGGCGGGATTGATGGCGTCGGGTGGCGGGTCGGTCGGTGCGCCGCCCATCGCTGGCGATGCAGCCATCGGCGGATCCTGTGGTCAGCCTCGATGTCAGACATGCACGATATATATATACGGGTGCCAGCCGCGCACATAACAATGAGCACGGCCGGTAGGGTCGGTGCTGGCACAATAAACGAGACCAATGGCTACATAGCATCTACAGGGTCCGTACCGACACGACGAGGGGGTAAAACAAGAAAAAGAGTGGCAGCGGCAGTAGCCTGGGTTGCAGCGACCGGCGGTTCTCTGGGACGGCAAAGGCCGGGACGATGGCAAAACCGTATCTAGCGACGGGAGCACCTGTAGCGATGACGGCGCTGGTGGCGGCGGCGGAGGCAATGATGGTGGCAGTGGCGACAATGACGAAGGATATGATTCAGGACGAGCGAGGGAGATAGCATAAGAGGTGACAACGGAGATGCAGCCGGAATCGACTCGAGAGGGGTCAGACGAAGACCCCCGGTGTGATAGCGAGCTTGCCCTTGCTGTGAACCGCAAGTCCTATATGGTGTCATCGTCGTCCATTTCGTCGGCAGTGGGAGTCTCGACGAGTTCTTGTAGCTCGCGGATTGTGTCCGCATCGGGTAGCGCATGTATACCGTCGAAATCGTGTACCAATGCCTTCTGCCCTTGCGCCCGTACTGCCTCCCATTTCAAGCGATATCGCGCTGCGCGAGAGCGGGCGATGGACGCCTGCTCCATCGCGTATGACACCAGGCCCTCGGCGAGCTCGTCGTCGACGGTGGTGTGTCTCGACGCCCGTTGCTCCCACTCCAGGGCGTCGGTAGTAAACGCCGCAAGCGTGCGACGCATCTCCTCCTCAAGCAAGCGAATCTCTTCACGATGCCTGTCACGACGCGCCCGAGACTTCAGGTATTCGACACGTAGAGCTGTGACAACATGAGCATCGCGAATATAGTCATGTCGGGCCTGCAACGCACCTTCATTCTGCACCGGATCCCTAAGGCTGGGGTTCTGCGGCACCGAGTACCATATCCAGGACAATGTTCGGGACGTCTCGCCTCGAGCTATCGTCCCTGCTATGTACACGCCTCCTTCGGATGAGAAATCAACGGCGGACATCTCATGCGTGCGCTCGCCCTCCGCCTTCTCCTCTGCCGTCAGAGCGCGCTCGTTAAGAGCACGAACATCGCCGTCATCGAGATATCGAAGGGTCGACTCCCAGTCGCCATGTCCTCGAAGACGTAGAAGCGCATTGCGCGAGTCGCGGTACCGTATCTTGGCGCTATGGACGCGCTTGGAGATCTTGTCGAAAGTCGACCGTGCACGCGTACTCATGGGCTGGCCGCGAACCTGGGTGTTTCGGAACGTATTCGTGACGGTGCGTGCTCGCAGGGCATGGCGAACTTCCTCGAGACTCTCGTGAGCCTCGCCGTCTCGCAGGCGCTCCTCGATGCGAGCCAGCCCGGGGGCGCAGACGGCTGCACGCACGGCGATATTCGGCAGATCGGAGGGTAAGAACAGTCGGATGCTTTCTGCGTCTTCGCCGTCGTCAGCTAAGACGCGTCCAATGCCCTCGAGATACGACACGAGCCCAGGCATGTATATGTGCTGTTTCCGTCGGAAGGCCGCAATTCGTTTCTTCAAGTTCCGCGAGCGCTTCAACAAGTCGACCTCCTGCGCAGGCGTCGGGTTCTTCTGAGCGACCTTATCGATTGATAGAAGACGTCTTCGAGGATCAGCAAAACAACATTCTGCGGGAAGAGCAAGACTTACTGTGTACCCTGGATGTCGAGCCCGAGCTTGACCATGGAGCTCGGTGTGCACTCGAATACTACGGCCGTGCCATCTGCCGTAGACTCATTCTCCTCGCGCTCGAGCTCGAGCTCGACCTCCTTCAGCTTCTTGTCTGTGAAGTGGGGTAATCAATAAGCAGACAACGCGCATGGTGAAAGCGCAACATACGATGGGTGTTGTACTCATAGGGACATGGCTTGGACCTGTCTTCTTGCCAAACGCGCTCGTCTGCAAGCCACTTCTCGACCGTCTCGGCGCTGACGGACATGAGGCCGGCGTGAAGCTGCTCGTGCTCGGGTTGAGCAATAGCATAGCCCTTGATCGCTTTGCGCATGCGCGACGGCATGACAGTTTCTGAAAGGGATGTCAAGGCGACGCCGAGATAGACTGAATGAGAAACCATACCTAAGCCATCGATACAGGACTTATTGAGGCATCCAATCATGTCTTCGAGGGTGCCTTGTCGAGTACCGGGACCCATCGGTTTCGTCTGAGCTGCCGCCTTATTCATAATGGACCAGTTCTGCTCCACCGTCTCGCCGTGCGTGAGGCCTGCGCCGTCCGTGAAATTGAGCGCTTGACGTGCATGGCAATCGGGCTTGTGTGCAGGGAGGTGGAATTTTGGCACGCGTGAGGTGAAGTTGCTGGGGGCGATTGTGATCTGCATCGAGGGCGGCAACGTCGCGTTGCGAGCCCAGAGGTTTGCCGAGAATATGCACGCAACATCATACGTATGTAGAACATCCGTGACGCCTGCGCCCTTGATAGCGGCAGCCAGTACATAAGTCATGTTAGCAAATCTGTATATGGCGTGAGCCAGACGCGAGGATAGAACATAATGTTGGTGTACCTTTCCCCCTTTTGCAGGTCACCAACACCGTTAGCGCGGATGAGATTGTGGCGCGAGCAGCAGATCGAGGCGACACCTGTCGTCCGGAGGCCTGCGACCCGCTTGAGATTGGCGAGAAAGATAGCGGCAAAGCCGGAGCAGGTTGATATCTAAAGGGACGAGATCAGCGTTAAGGGAACAAGCACCGTAGTCAAGTTGATCACTTACGTCGGACTCGTGAATATACTGCTTGATGTACGCCATATAGTCGGGATGAGCAACAAAGTACCCCCATCCGTCACCGAGGAAGGGATCCTTGGCAAAGCTGGACGCATTCGCGTTGACGAGGCGGAAGTTGGCGTCCTCTGCGATGAATAGCCTGTAGAGAAATCTAGACGGGGGGCAGTCAGAACTGATCTCGCGGTACAAAACTTGAACTCACTTATCCGCGGCAGGGGCCGATTGCCAGTCGTCGGGAAGGTTGCGGCCAGGTTGGGGACATGCGGGACATCGAAGAGCAAGTTGACCGTCTTGCGTTGTTGCAACGCCATCCGCAAAATGCCCTCGCCCAGCGCGCTTCAGCAGTAGGATGTGCCGAAACTGCCGAATGATGAACATGAATACACGCCGTTTGTCCTGTATCTGGTTAGCGCGCGTTAGGGGAAGTATATCATGAGACACGCACGATGACCGTGTTTGCACCCGTGTTATCCGTCAACTGCTGCAGCGCCCGGTAGTATTCATAGACGGCGACCTTGCTGAGGTTGTTGATCTTGTGGAATTGACGAAGGCAGTCGATCGTCGCGCACGTCTGTGGATTCGCTACGCTTGCGGGCCACCAGCCATTCCGCATTAGTTGTTGACGGTGGTGCACGCCTTGTCCGCGCCCACAGTGGCAGAAGTCGACGGAGACGCGGTGGATTCCATTGTGATGAATGACCGTAAAGTCCTTGTCGGCACTAGCGGGAGCGATGCAGTGGTCGCCGGGAGGGTGCATGAGTTGGACACGCAGACCCATGTCCTGCAAAGTCGTACGGCGGAAGTATGAGCGATCAACAAGCCATTCCTGTCAAGCGATTAGGACGCGCGCAAGGGAGCGAGAGTAACCACGCACTTCGATCCAATGCAGCGGGCAGTGGGCATGTCGGGTGACTATACACGCCTTGCAGAACATCCATCGCCCCATACACCCATCGCGACAGCGGAAAAGGGCCTCTTCCCCTCCACATCCTGCGGGCACTGTGTATAGCCCGCGCGGGATCTCCCGCGGCGTGTACTCAGGGGACGCGAAGTGGTCGCCTCTGGCGAGAGGCGAGTACTCGTCAGGTGTAACACCTGGCCAATACCCAAACCCGTCTGCAGCAACTGCAGGCAGGTCTACTCTCGTCTTGCGCGAGACTCTTCGGTCGAGCGCGGGACGATTAGGGTAGAAAGCAAGTGATAATAATATTCGTAATCGCAGTACGCGAGTCGTGAGGCGAGTAAGCGAGTCGTAATACATAAATGGTGGGACGCGCGCCCCGCGAGGCGCGCGCGGTCCACGTGACCGAGATCCCGTCGAGGGTGTCGTAGGTACGTCAAGCTATCACGGAAGTAGTAGTACAAAGGCCGTGAAGAAACGAAAAAAAGAGGTATCTGACCTACTCGGAGCGCGAAGAGTAGCCTTCTGCCCAGGTCTCCCACAAAGCCCCCCACTCTGAGAGCTCAGAGTCTCAATCAACGCGGAAGAAGCGCGGCTCGAGGGTGTTGAGGAGAGTGTCGACGCGGCGGACGGAGCTCATGTTAAGGCCGTGCATGTCGTTGAGATAGGACGCCCAGCGCGAGGCGTCGCGCTCGCGCAAGCGGTTGCGGTACTCGTAGTCGCGGCCGGCGGTCTGAGCAGCGCGATGGCGATCCTTGAAGACGCGCTTCCAGTCGCCCTCCGTCTTGAGGCTGACACGGCCATTCTTGATGTTCTCCGCTATGAAGTCGCAGAGGTCCTCGTCCTCCTCGGTCCACTCACCCCATCCGTAGCCACGTCCGTCTCGTTCGTGGTATGCGTCCTGAGTCGGGAAGAAGTACTGAATCATCTCGGGACGTGTTCCATCAGCCGGGATGCGCACTCGCCCGTTGAAGGCGTGGATCTCAGGCGTGCTGGCTTCGTCGTAGTACGCGATTGCGCCGTCGCCAGCATACATGCGATTGCCGGTCTGGTGAACGCGGGTGTCCTCGCATGGGCCCTGGCCTATCTTCTTGACCACAAGGTGCCAGACGAATCGCCGAACAGCGTAGCCCGCCGGCCCCCCAAGGAAGGCGAAGCAGCCGGCGTGAGCGCGCTTCGCGAGATCTTCTATCTGAGTCATGTACGCTTCCGTCAAGTCGCGGCCGCCTAGCCCGTACTCCAGGGTTCCTACCGACTGACCTGACTGCCGCTGGAACGAGGCTTCCACCGCTTCGGTGTTGAAGAGCCTTGTAGACAGGCCCAAGCGCGCCTCGACACCGGAGCACAGCACGCGTCCGAGGATGTCGATGACTGGATCGCGCGCCGACTCGCTCGCCCCCCACGCGTAGAGACGCACCTGGTCGGCGGGCGAGCCGACATCGATGTAGCCGTGACGGGCTACCTCCCGAGACCAAGGAATGGTGTCGACGAGCTTCTTAACGGCGGCGACGCAAGGACGAGGGGACATCTTCGAATCCAGGGCGGCGAGATCGGAGCGGACTAGCTGCCGGGACGCCCTCCATTGGCGCGAGTTCGCACGCGTGACGACTGCCGCTCGAGACGATGGGTCCGGAAGGGAGATGATGTCGGGGTCGCTCAGTCGCGCCGGGAGACCCGAAGGACGCCCGCGAGGAGGAGAGGCGCTGCGCTGGCGTGACGAGAGGGAAGAGCTAGAGCTCGTTCTGGCGCCTCTTCCTCCCGACGGCGCGAGATTCCTTGCCGATGCCAGGTTCCTCGCTGGCGCTGAGCTGCTCGACGGCGCGGGATTCCTTGCTGGCTCGGGAGTGCTGACCGTGGGTTCCCAATCCATACCTCCTTCAGCAGGCTCGTCGGCGACGGAAGAGACAGGAGGGCCGATGCGCTCGAGTAGAGATCCGGGGTTTCGCCTGGCTGGAGGCCCCGCTGTAGGGGAAGAGAGCCGTTCCGCTAGCGAGGGGCGCCTCGACTCGTCGCGCTCTCTAGCCTTGCGTGGCGCACGAGGGCGTATTTTGAGCTCGCGAGAAGGAGCCGGGGACGTAGGACGCGTTGGCGAAGCCGTTCGAGGGGCGAGCCCAAACCACGAGCTCGTGACGTCGGTCCAGTGGCGTTCGACGACCAGAATCTGCGGCTCGCGCAGCGCCAAGCGGTCTTTCTCCTCGGGAACGCGCATCTCCGCCGAGGACGGTGCGCACGAGAGTTGCTTGAGCTCGCGAAGGTCGACCTCGCCGCACTCCATCAACGTTAAGGGGAGTCGGAAGAACTCAAGCCGTTCCTTCGTGCTCGTCGCGCGGTAGAGCGAGTCACCCGTCCACCCGTAGATACACACCGGTACGTGCTCCTTCTCAACGCAAAAGTTCGCGAGGCTCGACAAGCAGCGCGAGAGTGCCTGTTGCAACACGTCTACGCCACGAAGCTCGTAGGGGAACCAGTTCTCGAACAGTTGGACCTGATAAGTACGCGGCTCAAGCGCCCCCGCTAGCGGCTGCGGATGCTGATCGTCAAGCTCTTGGAAGTGCTCGTCAAAGCTTGTCAGCGCTCCGCCTCCGGGATACTGGTTGGCAACCTCTTCCTTTGATGGGCAGCGGCCCAGCTCCCGCTTCGATCGACGCACAAAGAGGATGAAGGAAGGGTCCAGCATCTTGAGGCGAGGGATGCCGGCTGCCTCGGGCGACCAGAGGTAGTGGAAGGGGACGTGAGCCTTGAGGAGGAAGCGTAAGTTCATGTTGACCCAGTCAATCTTGGGGTCGAACAGATAGCCCCGCTTCGCCCGGTCGTGGAGGCGGAGGCTCTTGATGAACTCGGCGGTGCTGCCCAGGACCAGCGGTTCCCACCGAGGGATGCAGGACGTCGCCCAGGCTAGGAAGGCGAGATTGGCGAAGACTTCATCGCCCACTGTGGTCAGGAAGCTGAGCGCTTCCGCTCGGGTGTCGAAGTCGGTCGCGTAAGTAACATCCTCGTCGTACTCGAACGGCTGATAGGGAACGTCGCGTCCGCCGATCCTCCGCACGAAGACCGAGGGAAGACTCTTAATGATTTCGAAGCACGCGCCTGTCGCGCACGTACCCAGCTGGTCTATGCGGGTCTTCCATTCGGTCGTGGCGCAGTGCCGATCGCCGCTTATGGTGACAGCGTCCTGGGGAACCTCTGGGACGACGCACCACAGAGGGTCATCTATGCCTTCGAGGAGCGAGCGAGGTCCATGTCCCAGCCACGGGAGATCGGCATTCGGCCAGCCGGTGAGGACATCGGAGAGGCGAGTAATAGCCGCAGAGAGACGTTTGCCTGGGTCGACTCGCTCCAGATCGACCGTTGCTGAGCCGCGGGATATCCACTGAGAGTCGGTCGCGGTGGTGATAACACGTGCATCGGCTGCAACGTCGTAGATGAGAGCGAGAGAGCCCATTCTGAAAAGATCGCCCGGACGGTAACCGTGCCGCGCAACCTTACTCCTAACGCACTCGGACGGTATCCGTGCCTCCTGCGCTGGAGCCAGAGAGTGGGGGGAGGAAGGAAGAAGAGGTAGGAGCGAAGCGAGAGGGTCATAAATAAGCGAGAAGTCATGTACTACACGAGGGAGGCAGACGTCCAGGCCGCCTGACCTTGATAAGATAGAGTTATCTACTCGGCCTCCGCCGCGCGTGATGCAGTCACCGTTCGTCACAGACCATGCTTGAGCTTGTATTCCGCGACGCGCTCGGGCGAATTCCGTAGGTCGCGCTCCGATTGCCAGGTGTCGTGCTCCCATCCGTATCCGACCCATCTAACCTTGAGCTTTAGCTGGGTCCCCTTGCGAAGCCACTTGTGATCAACAATCTTCTCGACGTGGTATTCCTCGGATGGAATTTTCTCGGACCGCGTGCGCGGCAGCTTGGCTCGCCGATCTTCGACGTCCGTTTTCCCTTGATGGTAAGCCTTGAGGTGCTCTATGTTGAATATCGGCAGCCCCGGATAGATGTCGTCCATCTTGAGGCGGTAAACGTTGGGATTGAGTCTTTGCACGATCTCGAAGGGTCCTATCCAGCGTTGGGTGAGCTTCGCCTTGCCTTTCGATTCCACCCACTCCATGGAGTGTGGATTGACGAGCACCATGTCCCCTTGCTTGAATTCGGGGACTGGTTTGCGCCCGCGATTATAGAGGCGCGCTTGTTCCTCCTGTGCCGCAGCGATGGCGTCTCGCGCCGCATCCCTTCGTATGCGTAGGTCGTCGTAGAACGCCTTGGCTTCGGGAAGGCGGGCTGTACCCTTCCCCGACCCGTTGTCATTGGCGCGGTCAAGCATTGACTGCGGCTGGTATCCCATGAGCAGCATGAAGGGGGACTCGCCTGTCGAGCGATGCACGGCGGAGTTGTAGACGAACTCCATCATGAAGAGGTATGAAGACCATGCGCTCGGGTCCTGCGCGACGTACGACCTCAGCATCGTCTCGAGAAACCGATTGACCACCTCTGTTTGCCCATCCGTCTGCGCGTGGTGAGCTGACGACATCAGCAGCGCCGACTTCATTTCCGCCGCAACATCCTTCCAGAAGTCGGATGTCCAACGCGGGTCCTTATCGGACACGATGCTCGCCGGCACTCCGTGCTGCGATACTACCTTCTCCACGAAGAGTCTGGCCGTCTGCTTCCTGTCGATGGTCGTCTTCGTCGGGATGAAGTGTGCGTGTTTCGTAAGTCGGTCAACCACGACGTAGATCGCATTGAACCCCGCCGATAGAGGCAAGTCCATGATGAAGTCCATCGATATGGACTCGTACGGCGCTTGCGGAATGGGATTAGGTATGAGAGTGCCGTACTTCTTGAAGGTCAGGTGCCTATTCTTCTGACATGGGTCGCAGGATCTGCAAAAGTGGAAGACACTGCGCTTCATGCGCTTCCAGTAGAATTTCGGGTGTAGCCGTGCCCAGAGCTTCGCCATGCAGGTGTGTCCGCCTTCCATCGGCTCCTCGTGCGCTGAGATGAGGATCTCGCCTACCAACTTGTCCGGGACGCATAAGCGCGGCAGGTAGTCTGCGTCAAGGAAGAAGAGAAGGCCATCGTCCGACTTGTAGTAGCGCCTTCCGGGAGTCCAAGTGTCGCTCGCGAGTCCCGAATCCTCGTACCGGCGCTTCCAGTACGGCTCCTCTAGGTATGCCGCCCTAAAGCGTTCCTTCATCTCTTCGCTCAGATGGGACAACAGGGCTGGAGGTCGTGCGAACGTCGCCGCGTACAACGGATTGACCGGCGCTTCTAGTAAGTCCCTCTCCTCGCTGTCCCTTGAGGCCGTGGACTGGTTGTCTGGCTGATCGTCTGCAGTGCTCGGCTCGGCGTCGGCTTGCGCGTCCTGACTGGAAGTTGCTTCCTGCTCGCGCTGAGTGCTGACCATCTCCGCCCCCCGGCGCGCAAGTCGCGCTGAGCGTCGTGTCGCTATGAATGCTCCGGGAGAGCCTTCCGCAAGCTCACTCCAGGCGCATCCAGCGAAGGCGCGAGGCGCAGCGGCTCGTGCAGCTGCTTCCTCGCGCAAAGCAGCGGTTGCGGAATCAGTTCGAATAGCTTCCGACTCGGGAGCTCGCGGCGATAGGCAACTTGGCGGGTCGCGCGGGATTCGGCTGAGAGGGTCAACGTTCGAGTGAGTGCGTCCGGCTCTGTGCACGATCTCCAAACCCGGCTCATAGGCAGAGAATATAGCGCCCCAGGAAGCGAGACGGCGGTTGCTGTTCTCGTATGTTCGCGCCCACTGCAAGGCGCTGTGGTCCGTGATCAACAGCACTCGCGCACCTTCGACGTACGGCTGAAATTTGACTAGAGCTTCCTTTGCCGCCAAAGCCTCCCTTTCCGTTGTGCTGTAGCGCGCTTCGGCCCCCCGGAAGGTTCGCGACCAATACGCCACAACGCGCTCGACCTCCACTACCGTGTCGTCCAGAGTCGCCCCCCAGGTTCCCGCCTTCGGTACGTCATTGACTTTGTTCGAGACCTTCACCACCAACGACGGCACTGGTCGTCCTAGCTCGTAGGCCTCCTTGAGCTTGCTGTACGCCTTCGTACCCCTCAAGTCGCGCACCGCTATTGGCTGTACTTGCTGTAAAGCGCAGCCTAGAGCGTGGCCCGAAGCGTCCGTATACAGTCGATAGGGTCGTCCCTCTATAGGATGCCCAAGGACGGGCGCTCTCTGGAGTGCGGTCTTTGCTTGGACGAAGGCGTACTCCTCGTCCTCTTCCCACTTCCAAGGGGTGCCCTTGCGCAGGAGCGCATGGAGAGGGGCGCAGACGTCGGCGTAGTATGGAATGAAGGAGTTGAAGTAGACGATCATGCCGAGGAAGGTCTGCAGCTCCGATATGCAGGTGGGTCTCGCCATTTCGAGGACCGCCTTTACCTTCTCGTAATGCGTTGACAGACCGAGCCGCGAAACTTTGTGGCCCAGCAAGATAATGGAGTCATAAAAGAGATGGCATTTGCTGGGCGACAGCGTGATGTTGGCGTCTTCAATCGCGGCTAGAACCTTGTCAAGATGGTCGATGTGCTCCTCGAAGGTCTTGGAGTAGACGACAATGTCATCAATGTAGACGAGGGAAAAAAGCCATAGATACGGCGCGAGGACCGACTGCATCACCCGCTGGAAAATCGAAGGACCGTTATGAAGCCCGAAGGGCATCCGCTTGAACTGGAATAATCCTCGGTGCGTCCGAAAGGCAGTCTTTTCCACGTCTTTCGGATCGAGGTGGAGTTGTGTAAATCCTGACAGAGCATCCAGGGAGGAGAGGACCTGCGCGCCTGACAACGAGGCTAGAATCTCCTGCTGGCGCGGGATCGGGAACTCGTCGGGCACTGTCATGGCGTTGAGTCGGCGGTAGTCCACACAAAACCGCGGTTTTCCATTTCGGTAAGCGATGACCACCGGCGCGCTCCAGGGGCTGCGCGATTCCTCGATCACCTCCTGCTCGAACCACTTGTCGAGTTGCTCATCGATAACCGCCTTTTTTGCAGGGGATGTGCCGTACATGGGAACTGCTACTGGTCGCGCATCGTCCTTCACTCGGATTTGCGCCATGGCCGGGTGGTTGCCCAGTCGACCGTCAAGGGCAAATGCGCCTCAGCGGCGTTCGAGCATCGCCCAAGCTCGGTCCTTCAAATGTACGGGGAGTGCACCCACATCGAGAACGCGCCTGAAGTCGGACGAGCTCACGCCTTCAGCGTCTGGAACCTCCGCCGTTTTGGGGCCGCACTGCTCAACGTCTGCTGCCGGCTCGTTCTCCTTCTCCACTTGGCTCTGGAAGGACTCCTTCCACGCAGTATAGGTCTCCGCGTCCGGCATCGGGAACGAGCGTCTACGCTCCTTCCAGGCTTCGTAATTGACCGCTTCAGGCATTCGAAATCGGTGCGGTACTGGCGATGCGCGTCCCGCGCCCGGCTGCGCCGGTGGTGGTACAGTAGATGGCACAGGTGCGTCCTCCTCCTCGCCAGGAGAAGGAGGATGCTGACAATGATTAGACATAAATGCAGCCCGGTTTGCCAGCTCCGCGAGATGCTCTGCGGAGGCGGGCTTGTCGAAGAACTCCTCGGCCGGCATTACCTTCGCTACGATCTCGCCACGCCTGATTTTGCGAGGAGTGGTGGCGAGGTTTGCGATGGGGACAACCGGTTTGTCGGACGAGATGAGCGTGTTAGGGATTGCGAACGGCTTTTGCTCGCCGGCAGCGAGTAGCTCGCGCTCCACAATCCATTCGCGTCGCTTGTCGAATGGGCCCGAGACGGGAATGTTGACGACAGTCTCCGGCTTGAGACGAATGTCCTGTTGGGCGCGAAGAACCGAGTCCTGATCCTGCGTGTGGCGGCGACGCTCCCTCCTTGCGCTCTTTAAGTGCTGGCGATGAGCCTTCTTAAGCCAGCCATGAACCGGCTTCTCGCCCACGTATGCGCGTTCAACCTTGTCGTAGTCGGTGGAGCGCGGAGCTCCCTCAGCAGAGATGGGAGCCGGGTGTTCGCCAAAGGTGAGTGTCGTGCCTTGCTCCAGGTCGCGCTCAACAGAGATTTCATAGGCTTGCTGAAAATCCTCGCCAAGCAAGATGGGAACGGTCATGCCATCGACGACGTAGAGCTCGGCCTCCGCCTCGATCAGGGTCCCGTCGTCGGCGCGGATGAGGACAGGCAAGCACACATAGCCGCGGATATTGACAGATTTATCCGTCAGCTGCCATAGCTTCATCTTGGCGCCCTGCCGCAGCGGAGGGGGATTCTTGAGCGAGTCGTATAGCCACCCCGCTAGAAGCGACAGACTCGCGCAAGAGTCCATCCGCAGCAGCAGCTCCTTTTCGATCTCCGAGCACAGGCGCCCACGCACGCAGAGGACGGTCATTCCTCGCTCTCGCAGTTCCTGTCGCACGCGCTTCTTGGCTAACAACTTGATCTTCGGAGGCTCGTATGGCTTGGGCTGAGGATGCTCGTCGGGTGGTCGGTCAGTAGGCCGTGGCGCTTCCTCTGCGACCAGCACCTCTGGCTCCGGAGGGGCTTGACGCTCGGCCACGGCACCCATCCGAGGCGCTTCGTCTTCTTCCTGCTCCTTCGCATCCACATGCTCGAGGATATGTGGGTAGTCGGCGGGGAGCATTTCCCCTCGATACCAGTACTCCTCTCCTATCTCCTCAACTGTCAGAGCAAATTGAGGCTGACGAACTTCATAGGTGACGGGTCCGTCCGCCTCCTCCTTCTGGGTCTTACGCTCGGAGCTCTCGTGTTCCTGATCGAGCTGCGAAGCCGCCCCGTCAAAACCCTGCTTCATCACCGCATACGCAGCGTTATACGCTCTCTCCGTATCTGGGTCGCCCTCGGCCAGCAGACTCTCGCGATAGCGGCTGAGGTACTGCTGCCAGAAGGGGCAGTCCTTGTTCCAATGCTTCTTGCTCCCGCAAGCGCGGCACGGAGAAGGAGGAGGCTTGCGGCTGACTATTGAGTCGCGCGTAGGGAACGGGTAGGAAGCGGACGACTTGTTCTTTTCCTTAGAAGCCACTACATTGAAGGCAACGTCGTAGAGCTCGTTTGCAGGATCATCCGAGTTAGCTTCAGCACCCCCGTTGTGCCGTTCGCCATCCTCGAGCTCTTCGGGGTCGATGCCTGCCTCTGCCTCGTACGCGACCGGTCCGCGCATCAGGTTCGTTCTCCGACGAGAGTCTCCCGAAAAGCGCCCATACTCCTTGAGGGCGGACAGCACCTGCGCCCGGACCTCCTGGTTGACGGATGCCGACGTCATTGAGAGCGAGCGCTCGTGCTGAATGACGCGAGCCTTTAGCTCGTCCGTTGAGCCCAAGGTTGAGGGGATGAGTTTGGCGTCCCAGTCGGCGGGGGCAACACTCAACACGAGCTTCACCTCTTCGACCGAATTCCTTTCAGCAAAACCAAGGGATCTCGCGTCCAGAATGCGCCGGTTAACGAAGTCGGACGGCGTCTCGTGGCGATGCTTGGGCTCGCGGAAGGATTGGAGCTGGAACCCTACCGCCATGTCCTTCATCCACTGCGCCCCCAAGTACTGCTGCTTGATGACGTCCATGAAGTTGTACGCATCCTTCTTCATATACTCCTTCGTATCCTCTGATAAGGTCAAGTACCAGTTATAGATCGAGGAGCCGGCGGGGAAACGCATCCAGGCCCAGTGCGCTACCGCGGCGCGCATGCTACCACCGCTGTTCGCGAGCTCGAAGAATGCCCACAAGTACGGGGAAATGGTATCTCGATTTCCGTCCCACGAAGGTATGCAGTCCATCTTCAGGTTCGCTTGTATAGTGGGAGTAGCTGAGGCGTAGGGAGGACGAGGACCTCCTGAAGCGTCTGGGTAGCTAGCTGAGGGTCCCCCACCCCCACCGGGAGGGCCTCCACCCCCACCTCCTGCGCGTGCAGGCTTGCGCGGGGGAGGTACAGGCGGCGGCACCGGCAGTCGGCGCGGAAAGCCAGGTGGAGGATTAGGTGGAGGAGGTCCTCCATCGTCCGGGTCCGGAGGATCGCCATCGCCTCCTCCCCCGCCTCCAGTGGCCGTCCAAGCGTAGCCACCGTGATTTGGACGAGGAGGGTCGACCCGAGCAACACTGGGATGCTGAACTTGAAGATGCGGGTGAGCCGAGATAGACGTAGCTGCTCCAAGGTAAGCTTCACTTGAGGAGTTGGGAGCGTCCTGACGGTCGACCGGCTCCGGGTAGTTGTAGTGCCTAGGCGTACCCGCGTTCGAGGCAGAGTCGCCCGGATAGGCCGAGTAGTAGGCCGAGCTAGGTTGGAGTCGTGTGCCAGTCGAAAGCATGCCGAACGCAGAGATGGGCGGAGCGGGAGCGACTAACCGAGGGTCAACTCCCTCGCGAATGTCCGGTAACCTCGTGTCGAGACCGCGCCCTACGGGGGCGGTAGGATCCTCCTCTGGCTGCGGCGGTTGCTTGAAGCCTGCCCGCTTCTTCTTCTTCTCGAGTTGAACGTATTGAGCTTGCTCCTCCGGCGTCAAAGGATCTGGATTGTTGAACGTCGTGCTAGGAGCGCGCTCCTTGCGCAGGCCATTCTCGTAGTACACGAGCCTAGGCATATCCTCGGCCTCGCGCTCCGGGAATGCACGAATAAGGGGAGAAGGAGGAGGAGCAACAAAGCGGAGATCTTGGCCGACGAAACGAAGCCGCTCCTCGCGCGGAGGGCGAGGAACACGACCGGCCGTCCGATGCTGCGCGTCTGAGGGACGCAACACGTCGGTGGCCGAAGGAGCGGAGCCCAGTAAGTACTTCAACTTCGTTTCGTTGTCCTCGAGATGGTTCATGTCGCTATAGACAGAGCGGGGCGTAGTCAGCGGCGAGAGCATCGCATTCGGGGCGCGCTTCTCGATATGCGCCTCCACAAGGGCCTTGTACTTCCGATGCTTGCGGGCCGCGGTGACGCAGCGCGAGTTGAACAAACTCCAGGCCACATTCAGAGCAGCCAGCGACTTGGAGCCCTTCAGCGCTTCCAGCAGCACGCCGCCGGGATCTACCTCGTAGCACTCCGTTCCCGCGCCGTAGGCCTCCGTAGTAGCGGGGTACAGCGTGCTGAGAACGTTGTCGACATCGCCCACAACATCTTCGATGAAGGCGAGGAACTCCGCGTGAAGGGTGAAGCGCGTCTTGGTCGAGTTGCGTGCAATGCCGCGGTCCACCACTCGTTCGGGGGTCAGGCGAGTCTCCTTGATCAAGCTGTCCAGGCGTTTGCGCACGCTCCTGAGGTGCTCTGGCTTAGAGCGGTCGATATTGTACATCAAGTCGCCAGCCGCTGTCAGCGCCAGTCTCCGGCTGTTGGTCTCGTTGCTGGCGGTGTTTTCCTCATCGGATTCGGATCGCCTTCCCTCGTCGGCTTCCTCGTCAGGAGGGTTCGGGCCCTGTGAGGGACCCGGGGTGCTGCCTCCCTCCAGAGCGGTACGCGTCATCGAGGGTCGCTCGGCGCGCGAAGGAGAGAGTGAAATCGAGCGAGGAGAAACGGCTAGGGGTTCAGGCGAGTAGAGTGAAAGGGAGTGCACCGACTCGTCCGAACGGAGAAGATGGCCTTGTACCTCGAAAGCAGAGGAATCAGAGGACGGCACTGGCGACGTGGCAGAGCGACTAGAGTTTTCGTCGGCGCGTCGTTGGCGCGATTGCTCGGATGGCGCAGCTCCGAGCAGAGAGCTAGCTATGCTGCGTCCCGGGGAGCTACCGCGAGATCCCACAGTGTCCACTTTGCGGGCACTGTGTATAGCCCGCGCGGGATCTCCCGCGGCGTGTACTCAGGGGACGCGAAGTGGTCGCCTCTGGCGAGAGGCGAGTACTCGTCAGGTGTAACACCTGGCCAATACCCAAACCCGTCTGCAGCAACTGCAGGCAGGTCTACTCTCGTCTTGCGCGAGACTCTTCGGTCGAGCGCGGGACGATTAGGGTAGAAAGCAAGTGATAATAATATTCGTAATCGCAGTACGCGAGTCGTGAGGCGAGTAAGCGAGTCGTAATACATAAATGGTGGGACGCGCGCCCCGCGAGGCGCGCGCGGTCCACGTGACCGAGATCCCGTCGAGGGTGTCGTAGGTACGTCAAGCTATCACGGAAGTAGTAGTACAAAGGCCGTGAAGAAACGAAAAAAAGAGGTATCTGACCTACTCGGAGCGCGAAGAGTAGCCTTCTGCCCAGGTCTCCCACACATCCCCGGCACTGCTGTGAAAACTGGCGAGGGCCGCGCGACTCCCATCGGAGCACCTCTTCGAGATATTCTTGTCGGAGGGGACTGAAGTGACCGATCGGGTCATCCTAGGGCGCTTTTAGTCCAGTCTTGTATGGAACAGAAGGATGCTCTCAAACCTGATATCGAGTTCCCTGTGCCGGTACGTCGCACATGATGACGTTCTCGCCCTCGTTCTCATTGTATGCTTGAAAGAAGGGGTCGTCCTGAGCATTGCTGGGGCGCTCGTCCGGCTCCACTAGTCGGGGAGGTGGCAAGGGGGGTTCATGAGGGACGAAAGTTGATGAGGTGGAGAAGCGGTGGGAGGTCTTGAGAATGCGTCGTTTATCCGCAGATATTTCAATGTGGGTCCCTTGATGTGGCTGGGATCGATGAAGGGATGGACGCGGTGGAGCTTTGCGCTTGTGACTGGAACGAGTGGAATCCGACATGTTGACTGCTGGTAGCTGGCTATGGACGCGTCGCGCGTCAGCGTGAATGATCACGTGTAGAATATCATACCCAAACAAGCACCCATACTTTGTTGATCGCACCTGGTTACAATCATTTTTGGCTCTTCTGCGCATGCCAATACACCATGAGTGCAGTATAAAAGAGATGAATGCACTCTTATTCACCCTATCAATCAGAGAAAATTATTTTCGGAGCGAGACGTGGTTCGTTATGTGACGAGTGGCTGGGGCCCTGGCTAAGCATTGAGGAGCGAGTCAAGTGTTTGGTGAACTCAATGACAGAGCTCAAGGAATAAGTACAGGCTGGTGTGGAACAAGATATAGGCTTTATTGGTATACGTTACATGTGGGAACATCAAAATAGCCTAACTAAGGAGCACAAGATGATACATAGGCTAGCACGACGACGGACTACTTGTACACGAAGGGCGAGCCCAGGCGGGGCCCATGCGACATCAGTGAATCGGAGTCAGAGTCCCCGTCGACATCATCCATCGTGACCGAGCCCTCTGAGTCCGAGTAGGATCCGTCGCTGGACGACTCCGAGCCACTTGATATGTAGATAGGATCATCCTTGTCATCACCTACACCTGCGAATGAAGACAACAACCCCACCCCGAGCCTCAGCGAAGATGGCCCCGCACCCGTAGATGTCGATGGACCCGCGGCAGACGACGAGGAAGGGGCACCCGACGACCCGCCGCCCCAAGCAGGAGAGGCCGCGCGTGATGCAGCAGCCTCCACGCGCTTCTTAGGCCGCGTGCGAGCCGCCGACTTCACTACAGCCTTCAACGCGGGGCGCGGCACCGGCACGGTCGACCTTTTGAGACCGATGTAGTGCGTGATGCTACCGCGCGCCAGCCTCAGCTCGCGCTGAACCTGTCTGTAGTGACCGCCGCAGCACTCGCCAATTTTGCTGAAGGGGTAGGCCGCGGCATCGAAAAGGTCATCGAAGCCGTACTCCCTTCAAAGGTCGTCAGAACGCAACAGAGAAGAAGGTATAGAAATGTAACGCACCTGCCGGGTTCCATCCGAACAGTCGTCTGGGCGGCGCACCGGAAGATGTTGACCTTGTCGGCGGCCAAGGCATCAGTGAAGGCCTTGAGGATGGGCGAAACGCCAACGGTGATCTGACGCGAGCAGGAGCCGTTCATAGGAGGGTGGCCTTTGGCCCGAGGGGCGACCCCGCCGCCGTGGGGAGTACCACGCGGCGCGAGAGGAGCGTCCTTGGGAAGGGGAAGTAGGAGGTCCGCATTGTTGACGGAGAGCGCCCAGCGAAAGGGACGGTTGTCCCAGATGTATTCCTGGATGAACCGGATGTCGACGTAGTTCGGGACACTGCGGCTGATCGAGTACGCGCTGTGCATAGGTCAGCTCAACAGCCACAGCACGCGCGAGCATTCCCATACCGGGCGTCGTCCTCGCTGAGACTCTTCTCGAACGCGTCCGGAGGGGGCTTGGCGGCGATATTGACCCTTGCGAGAGCGTCCGTGTGCGACTGCGCCTCCAACTTGGCCCTGGTCCAAGGTCAGCTTCGTTGGCAATACGGGAGAGGAGCTCGACGCACTTGAAGTCCGACTTCAAGGTAGTAGAGAGAGCGGCCATTAGGGAGAGGTTATGCTCGTAGAGCGCTTGGGACGGGCGTGGGCGCTCCATCGTGTGCGGAAGGCGATGGATGAGTTCGACCTACGGAAAGGGCGATGAAGGGAAGGAAATTTTCAACGCGCCTTTTGAGTCGTTGAGGCAAGGGATACATGGCCAAACAATCCTCATGCAGGGCAAAAAGGGCGGATAAGAACCCCGAGACGATGGTATGGGGATGCGCGCGAAGGCGACGAGAAGGTCGGAGGCGGAGACAAGACGCGATTTGCGAGATTGCATCCAAATAAGGCAAGTTGAACTTGCACGTGAGGGCTTGGGCGGACAATGCCTGTCTGCACTATAGCAGTACGCCAACGACTCTGGCGAGATTTTTGAGCATTAGAGTAGCTAGTAGACTACTTCCCCAAACCACATCTGAAATATGGTGAAGGTGGGACTCTTGTGGCGTACAGTTTTTGCAGATGTTTGCTACCTGAAATCGTATGCTGTTCCGTCCTGCTATATGGTTTGAGAGGTATGCGACACATTCTAGCTGAAAGACACTGGTATACTCACACAGGATTGCCTATTTTATTAGCGTCATAGGCCGCCAAGCTTTATGGAGTGCGTGTACAACATAGCAAGAATCTCGTTTCTTATTGTTCCCTGGGCTGACAGTTACTGTCGTCCTACAAGATATGCTGTCAGAAGGGACCGTCCATACTCCCCCTACAGTTCTAGCCTACTCCGAGCCCGATCTGAGCACTTTTTTTTTTTCCTAACATACGGAGTAGCCACTCGCCTGCTATATACCATGCGCTCTCATGAGCAGCAGCGCTCAGAATTATTTTTCCTATATACCTTGACCCCAGATGCTTGTGTTCACAAAGACAGCGACCTTCCCTGAGCCAATGTCCCGCGATATGCGCACGCCCAACCCCCGAACGCCTTCGAATTGACACTATGAATGCTTGCAAAGGCCCGGTAGACCATGCACGTCGAGGGCTATATGTGTATGTCCTCCCGGCGCTCGTGAGCCTCAAATCATGTGTAAACCCAATCAGAGTGCTGATATATGCTGAAGAAAGACACTCCTCTTGCTATCTACGCCTTCAGTAACCAAATTCCATGTGCAAATGACCGCTTTGACCTCAGAGGGACTTAGACGTTTGGGCGCTCATGTTTGTGCATGCTTGGTAAAAGCCCCAACAGAACAGCCACGACCCCTTCCTTCTTACCGTTCGCCGCTATCGCGCTCTCTCTATCATCAGCCATGACGAATGCTCGCAGGACGGACGAAATCTACAAGGCCCTTACCGCGGTGCATCCTTCGCATGCTCGAACTAGCGCTGCTGCTGAAGATGAATATTCCGACGTCGACCCCGAATGCAACGAGGCTATCATGAGCTTCAGCCTGGATACTCCTCCGGGACCGGGATACTGCGCAGTTCCCTTCCACCCCAGCCCTCTTCATAGCGCCAATGGCCGCGACGTCCGCTGGGAGCCTTCCTTCAAGTCGTTCATCTTCGTCCGGTCGAGTAAGGATCGAGCTGGCGGCGTGTACACCGACGAGTTCGTTTTCCAGGTATACTCTGAAGCCGTACACTAATCAACTTCGCAGGAACGATATGAGATTCGCTATACAAGGCCTCCACCCCCAGCCAGAGTTCGAGCCGATGACGAGCTTCCTCGACTGCCTTGAGCTGTGGAAAGCCGACTGCCGCAGCGGTGTTCATGGTCAGGTTGGCCCGCCAACCCCGAAGGCGCCGGAGTCTCCTCTCAAAGTACGTCCTTGCTCTCCACATCCTGTTGCTCATGCCTGACCTCTAGACCATTCAGTCCCGCAGCTCGAGCGCGCTCCCCTTCACCCCACCGAACTCGCCCTGTACATTGCCCTCAATCTTCCGATCCCCCCGTCGGACTGCAGGCCCATCCCCAGGCATGGCTCCGATGGCTTATGGTGGTGCACGCTCTTCGGACATCATCTCTCCTGCGCCTGTCACACCGTCCAGAGTCCGGGGACCCTCCAGTCCTCTCAATCCCGCTGTGGCTGGCCTGCGAGCACGGCCTGCGGTTTTACCAGGTACTCCCGCTGCGGTAGTCATGCCGCCCCGCACATCGCGCAATCAAAACGGCCTGGATGTCGTGCAGCGCGGTCCTCCTCCACCGTACCCTTCCTCGCTTCGTGGACCATCCAGTGTCCCGAGCGTGCCGTCGGTGTTCACACTGCCTTCCTCTGCGGCGACAACTTCCGTATCTCCATCCGCGGCAACGTCCCTTACACCGCCCACAGCCACGGCTGTGATGCAGCCCTCCTCGGCTTCGACTCCTACGTCTGCTCCGGCTTTCAGCCGCTTAGGGCCTGCGGGACCGCATCCTCCTTCCACCTTCATTCAGCCGGTCTGGCTCTCTCAAGATTCTCAGGGTCTTGGGCTGATCCTGACGCGCAATTGGTACGTTCCGCTGTCATCCACATGCCCCTGATCTGACCTGTATCAGTGCGTACGCGAGGGACCTCCATGCGACCCATGGCAACATCGACGTCGTCACCGACTCCGACAAGCTCAACCGTGCGGTGAAGCAGTTCTTCATGGACTGACCGTCGATGTATGGGTAACATGTTGGCCGTATACTTGTCACTTCTTGTGTGTACGTTGTTGTTTCTTGTTCTCACTCAATATTCAATGTACAATATCGTGGCTATCGTGCATGCTGTATTTACTCGCTTTTGATGTATCTGTCAATCTTCCGTGCTTCGCTGTCCAATCCTATCGTTTATTAGTCATCTTAGTGCTCACGAAGTCTTACAGGCATGCGAAGGATGTGGTCTAATGACCATTACTGCCTATCTGCCCCCACCATTCCCCGTGTTTTAGCGAAGGATGTCAACGGAGGGCAACAGATTCCGCGATTCCAAGGTGCGCCCACATTCTTCTCATCCAATGTGGTGTCAATATTGACTCTTGCGTGCAGGTACGCCGTGTATCCGCGCTCGCCTTCGCGCTAAGATCCACGCCGTGCGTTGCAACGTCCAGATTCAGGGAGTCGAGAAGGTACGAAGGCTTCTGGCCGACGATCTACGTCCTCCGCTTCCTGAATCTCACTGACATGCTTGCAGTCCTACAACCTTACTTTTGTGTATTCAAGCGCGACTGCTTGGTCTCACCACCAACGGTGTTTCCCGGCGTGCACGCACCCACTCACTCGCTCATAGTAAGTTCTTACCATTGTTCATATATATCCTCTATCCTGTGCCCGAGCTGGTCGTGTTGCTATCCCAGCATTTTCTGACAGTTTCCAGAGCCTAGAAGCGCACGATCAATATTTGCCACCGACGTTTGAGGAACACGGTTCGATCCACGGGAAGCCGTAGTCAGGCCACCCGGAAAGAAGTCATTGACGGTGGATTGTTGTAAGTTGTTTGTCTGTCAGCCCCATACCAAGTAACTGACAACATTGGCGGCAGCCAGGCGCACTCGTATCTACATGCCAGGCCCCTGTTCGTCAACTCACCACCTCAATCGCTGTACTTCACGATATCTGCAATGGGCAAGCGAGCGAAGGCGAAGGACGATCCGACTAGGCGTGCTCCGGGGCCCACCCACTGGGTTGTCGGCGTCAAGCGTGCGTTCCTCAAGCGCCACCAGGCGGAGTTCGAGGCATCGAAGAATCGCGGCCAGTTCTACGACAGAATCACCACCAAATTCATGATGAAGTTCGGCCCCGGCTTCGACCTCTCGACCGACCTTGAAGAAGACCTCCCCGATCCTGACGCCGACGATATGACTGAGGACTACTCGGACCTCACTCCAGACGAGGTGAAGGCCGCGAAGGAGTACCGCAAGCGCCTGCGTTCGGTGAGTTACCGTCCTACACTCGCACGAGTTCGTCTCACGTCTTTACAGAAAATCGGCTCGTATTACCGTGGCGAGGTGAACAAGATCAAGCCTACAGACACCCAGGAACACATCAACGAGCTCTTCACAGACCATACTCAGGCGCAGGTTCCGAGGCGGTCCGTCCCCACGCACATTGTCCAGTACTACTCGAAGTTATACTACTCAGCTCGAGTGAAGTCCGTCTTTGAGGCGGTGTTCGTAAAGGAGAGGGAGAAGGCGGACGCGGACCTCGCTAGATGGGATGAGATGGGTGTGGATCCGCCGGAGGGGTGGAAGCACCCGGTCGCGCTGTCTGTCCGCAACAGGGTCACCGCAGAGTGCTGGGAGCGGGAGACGGAGTCTTTCAAGGACTCGGTCGTGCGCGCTCACCAGGAGGAGGTGGAGCGCCAGAAGGCGGCCTTCGAGACTGCCATGCGCACGCCGAAGGTCCTTACAACGCCTGAGGATTTCCAGCAGTACGTTGTTGGTGTGTTTTGGTGCATACCCAATCTCACTGTTCTGCAGCGCAATTTCGACGGCGGGGCTCTACCTCCAGCCGCTCATGGACGCCGTCAACACCAACGCCAGTCTCTGTGCGTCGATCTTTCTCTTTGGTCCTATGCCGGATGACGGGGGTAAATTGGGTGTCTTGAGGTGAGTCAGCTACGCCGCCCAATTGTCCGCTACTGACACGTACCTACCTGGTAGTGCGCATGCCGGAGTGACTCGTGGTCTCAACTCTCAGATTCTCCCCTACTTCGACCCTGACGGCCTCTCCGATATCGAAACAATCTTGATTGACTTCGCAAAAAATTGCTACAGTACGTTCATGCTCAATATACCGTGCGCGTACACCCTCTGACCTCTTCGTAGGCGACCCTGAGTGTCTCAGGCGCTCACTTTCCGATGCTAGGTCCCGCCGTGCGATCTCTGGGATGACGCCCAGAGAGTCTATTCTACCTGTGTCGACTCCAGCTTCACCTTCTGCTCGCGAGTCTTCACCGCCTCGGCAGCCGCTTGCGCGTCTCCGCCGTGCAGGCGAGACCGCTCCCACCACTGCTAGTGATTCAGCGCACTCCCCGGCTCCGGCACATCAACATCAGCTCATTCCCGAAGCTTCGCCCACCAAGACCTCTGCCGACCCATCGTCGCTGTTTGATGATGATGATGTCGAGATGGTCGACGTCTATCCAGCGACAGACACATCACGTCCTGATGTGTCGATGGACGCGGACTTCGACGCGACGCCTGCGGCAGCACCCATGAGGACGGGTGGAACACCTGATGTGGAGGTGGATGGCTTGCTTGACGCGGAGATGGTGGTGGAGACTGGCGCAAGCGTGGAGGTGATGCCTGACGCGACGAATGGCGCGAAGGCAGACGCGATGCCTGACGCGACGATTGGCGCGAAGGCAGACGCGACGCCCGACGCGACGAATGGCGCGAAGGCAGACGCGACGCTCAACTTCAACGAGGAGACGGATGCGGAGGCTGGCACGATGCCCGACGCGACGATTGGCGCGATGCCCGACGCGACGCCCGACGCGATGCCCGGCGCGACGATTGGCGCGACGCCCGACGCGATGCCCGACGCGACCGCAGCCTCGCCGGCCTTGGATGCGACTCATGACATGGCAGATGCATTGTCGAAGGATCCCAGCGCTACGCCTGCTGGAGTATCTCCGTCAGACCTTGCCGACATCGCCAAGGGACGGGAGGAGGATGTGTGGAAATGTAAGATGCCAGTGGGATGCCCTCCTCATATCGCTGGCATCTTCTTGGCCTGCTCTCGTGGTCAGGAATGGGGCTTTGAGTTTGCGCGTGCGGTCACCGCTTATCTGGCGCTCGAGCGCTCGTTGGCTTTCCCGATTCTCAACCATGGCCGTCTTGTCCTCGCTGGAAGCATCAGGCCCTCCATCTACCGTGATTGGGTTGTTGGAAAGAGGGACTTCGGCCACGTCGTCGACATCGGTGATCCACAGGTGTTCGGTACCAAGTGGTGGACATGGTGGGAGGCGATGCAGCCACCCCTGCGGGTCTCGCCCGCCGGCGATCTTCTGGCTGTCGACGTTGTTGCAGCTGAGGCGACTCATTTGGCTCAGTGGGGTCATCTGGAGAAGTGCTGCGGGCGCGACGGACTGGTTCAGTTTCTCCTCACCCTAGTCTGGTGGGGCGATGTTGTCAACGATCCGGACCAGCGTGTTGCGCACGTAGCTCGTCGCCTTGAGTGGGAACTTGCCGTGCAAGACTTCCGCGAGGTTTTGGAGGCGTTGATGTCGGCGCCCGACTTCAAGAGGATTGCTGCGAAGCGAGCCGCGTAAGTCGTCTTCTTCCACGTTTGTGAGTCGTGTCTGACCGCATCTCAGAGGCATCGACTACACAATCAACATGTCTTCGAAGCACGGTCTCAACGACAACGACAAGAACAAGCCGCCTTCGAAGAGGGCAAGGACCGCCCTGTTGGATCGGGCCGTTGGACCTGCGCCTGCGAAAGCTCGCCCTCGTACGCAAGTCTCAAACGAGAACAAGGCACCTCAACCGCAACTACCAAGTGCAACTGTCGCCGCCGCAACTCGCCAGTCGAGCAGGAAGCGCTATGTCTCGGTCTCCGTCCTTCGCACGCGCGAATAGTTGCGCCTCATACGTATCTTGCATCTTGTGGGTCCATGCGTACCACGTCGGCTTGGTCGTGTCGTGTCATGTATGTTTTTGTACTTTGCTGCTCTGTCTTGTTGGACTTCGTCGTATCGCCGTCTGTAATATTTACTCATCCATCTTTGTCAAATCTATGTCAGTATTGTATCTATCTAATGTATGTCTAGTACCTATACTGTAGTCTTGTGGGCCTTGAGAATAATATCATTCTCTACTCCCAACGTTGTGTCAAGACATGTCGACGGCGAGACGCCATGAACTGCAGTGATGATAATGACTCACAAGACAATGGAACTCATGCTGAATAAGTAAGCAACTCAGGGACGAGCTCAAGGGTATACTTGCTGATGGAAATTCAGACCCTATGCAGAAGGCTACGAGTTAGTATTGATTCATCTCTGCAGAATGCGGAGAACACAAGCGATACGACGAAAGCGGTCGTGCCGCCGATAGTGACACATGTCACAAACGTGACAACATCGCCACGGCCAGATTTTTTCCATGCGCATTGCTCTCCTACTCGCCCCTGGCTATGTGCACGACATAGTCATGGACCATATGATAGAGGACATTGGAGGCAGGATGGAGGATAACGAAGGTCATTATGGGCAACAATGATCAGCATATGGATGAATGGAGGGGCACGTCCTAGCAGTAGCGAAGGCTGGATAAGGTCAGCGCCTGATAGTACCTTCTGTAATGGTGGAAGCGCGGGGAGAGGAGGGGTGATACTTGTATGTATGAAGGAGGTACAGTATACAGTATACGAAACTCGGCAGCGGCAACAGCGATGGTGGTAGCGGCGGCGGCAAAAACGCCAGTGGACAGCAGCCAGGTAGCAATGCACGTGAGGGCGCATCAATGGCGGGCGCATCAATGGCGGACGCGTCAATGTCGGGCGCATGATCGATCCATTAATCGGAGGAAATGGGCGCGGGAATCGAGGAAACCAATTATCAGCGGGAAAACCCGCGAATAACGGAGTTGGTGCGTAACGAGATAAAGTCCAGCCGGACAGGGACAGCGCGGCAGGGGCGTATCGAAACACGACCCCCTGTGGGCATAGTACGGTATCCGGATATTGATAGGGACTATCCTCCGGACGAGGAGCGACTGCCCAGTCGAGCGAGCTTGTCTGTCGATCGAGGCGACTAGCGCGTCCGCCGAGCGATGCAGCGCGGCCGTCTGTCGGGCGAGCGACGAGCGCGTCCGCTGGTCGAGGCGACGAGCGCGTCTGCCAATCGATCGAGCGAGCGGTGAGCGCGACTGCCTGTCGATCGAGGCGACAACGTGCGCGTCTGCCAGTCGATCTGGCGACGAGCGCATCTGTCGATCGATCGAGGCGACGAGGGCGTCCGTCAATCGAGCGACGAGATCGTTTGGCCAGTCGAGCGAGAGAGGAGCGCGACTGCCAGTCGAGGCGACGATGTAGCGCGTCCGTCCCAGTCAAGCGGGCGAGCGAGCGATGCAGCTCGTCCGCATGTCGATCGAGCGAGCGACGGGTGCGTACGCCAACTGAGGCGATGAGCGCGTCCGTCAGTAGAGCGATGAGCGCGTGCTGCCTGTAGCGCGTCCGGCAATCGAACGAGTGATGGCCGCGTCCGCCTGTCGAGCAAGAGATGAGCGTGTACGGCTGTCGAACGAGGGACGATAGCGCGGCCGTCCGCCGAGCGATCGAGCGATGAGCGCGTCTGCCATGCGAGCGACGAGCTTGTCCGCCCGTCGATCGGCGACCATGCAGCGCGTTCGCCCCGGTCGAGGCGACGATGACGTGCGCGTCTGCTAGTCGAGCGAGGCGACGTGCGGGCGCGTCCGTCGAGCTAGCGCCAAGGCGCGGCCGCCGGTCGAGCGAGCGTGCGTGCGCGTCTGCCGATCGATTGAGCGAGCGAGGAGCGCGTCCGTCCGCCGAGCGATCGAGCGACGTGCGCGATTGCTAGTCGAACGACGAGCGACGAGCGCGTCTGCCAAGCGAGGCGACGTGCGCGTCTGCTAGTCGAGCGAGCGACGTGCGCGTACGCCGAGCGAGCGAGCGACAAGGCGCGTCTGCCAATCGAGCGACGAGGACACCGAATGACGACGAGCGCGACGAGCTCGTCCGTCGATCGAGCGAGCGGGCGATGAGCACGAACGCCTGTCAAGAGGTGAGCGCGGCTGCCGGAGGAGAGAGATGAGATCGTCCTAGAGAGCGACAACTATGAGCGCGTCCGCCGGTCGAGCGAGCGACGAGCGCATCTGCCGGTCGATCGGGCGAGCGAGGCGACGTGTGCGTGTACGCTGGTCGAGGCGACGTGTGCGTCTGCCGGTCGAGCGAGCGATGAGCGCGTCCGCCTGTCGATCAAGCGCCAAGGCGCGTACGCCGGTCGAGGCGACGAGCTCGTCCGCCCTAGTCGAGGCGAGCGATGGGCGCGTCTGCTAGTCGAACGATGAGGTCGTTTGCAAGTCAGTCGAGCGACGAGCGATGAGCGCGTACGGCAGTCGAGCGAGCGACGGGTGCGTCTGTCAATCGACGATGCAGCGCGTCCGTCTACCAGTCGGGCGAGCGATGCGGAACGTCTGCCGGTCGATCGAGCGAGCGACGAGCGAGCGAGCTGGTACGCCGGTTGAGCGACGTGCGCGTCCGCCTGCCAGTCGAGGCGACTCGGAGCTCGTCTGCTAGTCGAGCGAGCGACGATGTAGCGTGTCCGTCAATCGAGGCCACGAGGAGCGTCTGCTAGTCATTCGATCGGGCGACGTGCGCGTCCGGCCCAGTCGAGCGAGTGACGTGCGCGGCTGCCAATCGAGCGACGATGAGCTTGTCTGCCTATCGAGCGATGAGCGCGTCCGCTGGTCGATCGAACGACGATGTAGCGCATCCGTCAATCGAGCGATGAGCGCGTCTGCTAGTCGAGCGATGGGCGCGTCTGCTAGTCGAGCGAGCGTCGGCGGGCGCGTCTGCTAGTCGCGCGAGCGATGAGGGCGTCTGCTAGTCGAGCGAGTGACGGCGGACGCGGCCGCCTGTTGAGCGAACGGGCGACGAGGGAGCGCGTCCGACCAGTCGAGCGAGCGAGCGATGAGCGCGTGCTGCCTGTAGCGCGAGCGACATGCGCCCCAGTCGATCGAGCGAGGCGACGATGAGCTCGTATGCCAATCGAGCGAGCGATGAGCGCGTCTGCCCAGTCGAGCGAGCGACGGGCGCGTCCGCCGATGGATCGAGCGATGAGCGCGTCCGTCGAGCGGGCGACGTGCGCGTCCGGCAATCAAGGCGACTAGAAGCGCGTCTGCCAAACGAGCGATGTAGCGCGTCCGCCCAGGCGAGCGAGCGACGACGTGCGCGTCTGCCAATCGAGCGAGCGATGAGGAGCGCGTCTGTCGAGCGAGCGAGAGAGACGAGCGCGGCCGCCAGTCGAGCGATGATGAGCGCGTCTGTCGAGCGAGGCGATCAAGCGATGAGCGCGTCCGTCCATCGAGCGAGCGACGATGAGCGCGGCTGCCATGAGGGCGAGCGATGAGCGCGTCTGCCAAATGAGCGAGGCGACGAGCTTGTCTGCCGGGAGAAAGACGAGGAGCGCGTCCGTCAGTCGAGCGAGCGACGACTAGCCGCATACGCCGAGCGAGCGACCAGCGCGTCCGCCATGAGGGCGAGCGAGGAGCGCGTCCGTCGAGCGAGCGACGGTGTAGCGCGTCCGCCCGTCGAAGCGAGCGACGAGCTCGTCCGCCTGTCGATCGAGCGAGCGAGCGATAAGACGCGACTGCCGGTCGAGCGAGCGACGATGAGCGCGTCTGCTGCGACGACGTGCTCGTCTGCCAATCGATCGAGCGACGAGCTCGTCTGCCATGAGGGCGATGGGCGCATCTGCTGATCGAGGCGACGATGTACGTGTCTGCCAGTCGAGCGAGCGACGGTGAGCAACTGCTAGTCGAGCGAGCGACGACGTGCGCGACTGCCCCGGTCGAGCGACGTGCGTGTCCGCCTTGAGGGCGAGGCGACGAGCACGTCGGGCCCGGTCGAGCGACGACGTGTGTACGGCAATCATGCGAGCGCCAAGGCGCGTCTGTCTGTCGAGCGACCGACGAGGGCGTCTGCTAGTCGGGCGAGCGACGATGAGCGCGTCCGCCAAGCGAGGCGACGTGCGCGTCTGCTAGTCGAGCGAGCGACGAGCCGCGTCCGCCGAGCGAGCGAGTGACGACTAGCCGCATCCAGCCAGTCGAGCGAGCGATGAGCGCGTCCGCCAATCGAGGCGACGACAAGGGCGTCTGCCAGTCAGTCGAGCTATCGACGATGGGCGGCTGCCGGTCGAAGGACGACGACGAGAGCGTCTGCCGGTCGAGCGTTGGAGACCGAGCGGGAGAGCAAGCGATGAGCGCGGCCAGCGGGAGATCGAGCGGGAGATCGAGCGAGCAAGCGGGAGAGCAAGCGACATTGAGCGACGAGGAGCGCGTCTGCCTATCGAGGCGATGAGCGCGTCCGCCTGTGGAGCGAGCGACGTGCGCGTCTGCCTATCGGGCGACAAGGCGCGTCCGCCTGTCGATCGAGCCAGCGCGGCCGCCGACCAGTCGAGCGCCAAGGTGCGTACCGCAGTCGATCGAGCGATGAGGGCGTCCGCCAACCAGTCGCGCGATGGGCGCGTCTGCTAGTCGATCCAGCGATGGGCGCCTACGCCTGTCGAGGCGACGAGTGCGACTGCTAGTCGAGCGATGAGCGCGTCTGCCTATCGGTCGATCGACGTGCGCGTCCGCCTGTCGAGCGAGCGACGTGCGCGTCCGCCAATCGAGGCGAGCGAAGCGACGTGCACCTACGCCGGGAGAGGCGAGCGATGAGCGCCGTATGCGTCTGCTAGTCCAGGCGACGACGGGCGCGTCTGTCGATCGGGCGAGCTCGTACGCCAGTCGAGCGAGAGATGCGGACTGTCTGCCCTAGTCGAGCGAGCGACTAGCTCGTACGCCAGCCGAGCGAGCGATCAAGGGCGCGTCCGGCAGTCAAGCGAGCGACGGCTAGCCGCGGCCGCCCGTCGAGCGACGGGCTCGTCTGCCGGCCGAGGCGACGACGAGGGTGTCTGCCAATCTAGCGAGCGATGAGAAGCGCGTCCGTCAGTCGAGGCGACGAGCGTTGAGCGCGTCTGCCAACCGGTCAATCGAGGCGACGATGTAGCGCGTCCGCCAATCGATCGAGCGACGGGTGCGTCTGCCTGTCGAACGACGAGCGATGAGCGCGTCCGCCCCAGTCGATCGGGCGACGAGCTCGTACCGCAAGTCGAGGCGACGAGGGCGCGTCCCACAGTCGATCGAGCGATGAGCGCGACTGCCAGTCGAGCGAGTAAGCGGCAGCCCAGTCGAGCAAGTGACTAACGAGTCTGCCCCAATCGATCGCGCGACCAGGAGCGCGTCCGGGCCTAGTCGCGCGACGTGCGCGACTGCTAATCGAGGCGAGCGACGTGCGCGCCAGTCTGCTAGTCGAGCGACGTGCGCGACTGCTGGCGACGAGCGACGTGCGCGTCTGCTAGTTGAGCGAGCGACAAGGAACGCGTCCGGCCCAGTCGAGCGAGCGATGAGCGCGTCTGCTAGTTGAGCGGCTAGAGCGTCTGCTAGTCGAGCGAGCGAGGCGACGTGCGCGTCTGCTAGTCGAGTTACGAGCGTCCGTCAGTCGATCGAGCGACGCGCGCGTCTGCCAATCTAGCGAGCGATGAGCGCGTCCGCCCTAGTCGAGCGAGGCGACGTGCGCGTCCGCCAGTCAGTCGAGCGAGCGACGAGCGCGTCCGCCACAGTCGAGCGACGAGCGCGGCAGTCGATCGAGCGACGGGTGCCGCGTCCGTCAACCGGTCGAGCGAGGCGACGATGAGCGCCCAGCCAGTCGAGCGACGAGCGAACGCGTCCAACCATTCTGTCGAGCGACGACGGCCTGGAGAGAGACGGGGAGAGGGATACGCGCACCCGCGCGGAAGCGCTCGACCGGGGCCTGTGCGCGAGGACGCACTCGACCGGGGTCTGCGGATGTAGTGCGGCGTCGGGGTCGTGGACGTGTAGCGCTGTGTCGGGGTCGTGGACGTGTAGCGCGGCGTCGGGGTCGTGGACGTGCAGCGTGCCCTCGGGGTCGTAGACGTGTAGCGCGGCGCCAGAGTTGTGGTCGTGCAGAGTGCCGTCAGCCCGTGCGAAGGGGCGGAAGGAGGGAACACTGAACGCGTAGCGCGCCCTCCCGGAACCTGGACGTGTAGGGTGCCCTTTGAAGTCCTGCACGTGTAGCACGGCGTCGGCGTGTGGGAAGAGACAGGAAAGAAGTGAGGAGGACAGGAGAAGGAGAGGGGGAGAAGAAGAAGAGGAGGGAGAGAGGGGGGGAAGGGGGAAGGGGGAGTAGGGAGGAGGAGAGGAGGGAGGAGAAGTAGGGAGGAGGAGAGGAGGGAGGAGAAGGAGAGGGGACGGAGGAGAGAAGCGAGCGAGGAGGGGGAAGGAAGGGAAGGGTGGGGCAGCGAGGAGGAGAAGGAGAGGGGACGGAGGAGAGAAGCGAGCGAGGAGGGGGAAGGGAGGGAAGGTGGGGGACAAAGGAGAGAAGCCAGAAGGGGAAGGGAGGAGAGAGGAGGGAGAGGGGAGAGGGAAGGACACGGAGAGGTAGGAAAGGAGCTGGGGAGGGGGAGGGAGGAGAGAAGGATGGCGGAGGGAGGACGGTGTCGGCGCGTGGAAAGGGGAGGTGAGGAGTGAGGAGGAAAGGAGAAGGAGAGGGGGAGCGAACTGGAACATGGGCGGAGAGAGCGAGCTGGAACGTGGGCGGAGAGAGAGAGAAGGATGAGGAGGAGAGGGGGGTGGTGAAGCAGGGGAGAGGGGGTGGTGAAGCAGGGGAGAAAAAAAGGTGGTCGCCAAGGCAACTATATGGCACAGTGCCCCACAGCCGACTTGAACGACTGACCTTCGCATCATAGGCAGTTTGACAAGACACGTACAAGCGAGTTTGACAAGAAACATACGAGTGCGACGCTCTACCACTGAGCTAGCAGGGCGGTGATGGGTGGGTGGGAGAGATGTGTGGTGGTGGATGGGAGGGGAGGGGAGGAGAGAGTGGGGGGGAGGAGAGAGTGGAGGGGAGGAGAGAGTGGAGGGGAGGAGAGAGTGGAGGGGCAGAGTGGGGGAGGGTATATGGCAGGGCACGGGGTGGGAGGGCAGGGGTGTGGACGAGGGAAGGATGCGCGGAGATGAACGGTAACGGCGGGGGAAGTGCGAGATAGAAGAGAGGGAGGAGGGACGCATGGGTGCACGCTGGAGGAGACGTGGCTGGCGGAAGACGTATGCGAGGTATCAAAGGCTGCGAGGGCGACGGAGTGAGTAGGTGAGAAGAGGAGGATGGAGGTAATTGAGCAAGGTAGCGGCGACGCGGCTCGTTGACAAGGAGGCGTGCGCGACGCCCGCGATCGACGGCTGCGCGTCATCGGAGGTCGGGCCGGGGCGTCGATCGCGGACGCGTATTGCCTTCGCGATCCTTGGCGGCTGGCGAGCGCTTGTCATACGAGTAATCGTCGAGACTGGAGCTGGATGGCGACGCGCGTACTCGCCAATCGTGGACCCACCTCGCTATCTGTATGCTCTTAGTCCGGCTCCGAGCAATGCATCTCCACTCTTTCTCTGCCCTCCCGCTGCTCACAGTCCTTCCTCCCTGCTGGCCATCATGCTGGCGCCACCGACGCAACGCTGCAACCCAGATCGCGCTTTACGCGCCCTTCCCCTTCCTCACTCTCCTCAAGGCCCTTCCCGATTGCACTCCGCATGCCCTTCTTCGTGACATACCCCGCTGCAGCATTGGCCTCCGACAGCGCCGCTCTCCAGCCACTGCGACGTCAGTTTCTTCAATTTTATTCTGGTCCCCTTCTCTTTCGCGCCTTTATCAATGCTCCTTCGCGTCCTTGATCCTCCTCACGTCCTCCCTCCCCTCCCCGGCCCCTCTACCTCACTATCCTCCCTACTTCCCTACCTCCCCTCCCGCCCATCTCCCCTCTCTCCCCTCTCCTGCTCTGCACCTGACACCCAACTTCGATCCTCCCTCCCCTCCCCAGCTCCTCTCCCCCTCCTACCTCTCGTCTATGACACACTCCCTTCCACCTCTCGTCTATGCTTTTCCTCCCACCTCTCGTCTATGCCCCCTCCCCGGTGGACGACTGCGGTCGGCGTGCGGCGATCCCTCTTCGGCGAGGGTGGATGACTAGGGGGGCGAGTGGATGACTAGGAGGACGGTCTGTGACGCGGCGAGGGGGCAGACGGGACCCTTCTCTCGTCTTCGACGGTGCGCACCCTTCTCGCGTCTTTGACGGTGCGCACCCTTCTCTCGTCTTCGACGGTGCGCACATCTCTCGTCTTCGACGGTGCGCACCCTTCTCTCGTCTTTGACGGTGCGCACCCTTCTCTCGTCTTCGACTCCGGGGTGGGGGTCGACGGGGTGAGGGGGGAAAGGAGAAGACGAGTGGGGGGAGGCGGGAGGTGGGGATGTGAGATGAGGGAGGTGGGGATGGGAGAGGGCGCGAGAGGCGGATGCGAGGAAGAGTGGTGAAAGAGGGTGGACGAGGTGGGATGCGAGGAAGGGGGTGTGTTGGGTGAGGCGGGGATGGGTGAGTGGGGCGAGAGGGAGATTCCGAGGAAGGGGTGGGTCGGGTGAGGCGGGGTTGAATGAGTAGAGGAGAGGGGAGGCGAAGGAGGGTGGGGAGGGGGCGGGGTGGGGCGAGGCGATCCCTCCACAACTTGGCTCGACTCTCCTTCGCCTTCGACTGAAAACGCGACTCGACTGCACGCGAGGGCGGTCAGGTCGGGCGATCCCTTTTCGACGCGAGACCAGGCGAGGCGAGAGTGCGAGTCGGAGAGACTCGAGGGAAGGTGGGAGGCGAAGTGGCACATATGAAGGCGTCGACTTGTCGCGGTGCGGTGCGGTATGGGGCGATCCCTCTTCTACTCGACTCGACGTGGCGCGGTGGGTCGGACCCTCGTCGTAGTGAGGCGGGGCGATCCCTCCTCGTCGGCGTGGTGTGACGATCCCTCTTCGACTCGACTCGTCGGGCGATGCAAGCGTCAGACGCTCTTTGACTCGACTCGGCGCGGCGGTGGGCTGATCCTTCTTCTACTCGTCGAGGTGGGGGTGCGGTCTTCGACGCGGCGATCCCTCGTCGGCAAGGAGGGGTGGGGGGTGGATGACTAGGGAGACGGTCTTTGACTAGGGAGATGGTCTTTGACGCGGCGAGGGGGACGGTCTTTGACGCGGCGAGGGGGACGGTCTTCGACGCGGCGAGGGGGTGCCAGTGGACCCATCTCTCGTGTGGGGCTGCGAGAGAGTGGTCGACGCGACGCGAGGTGGGGGTGGGGACGCGAGAGGGCGGAAAGAAGAGGGCGGGGGGTGAGGGCGAGGGGTGAGGGCCAGGTGAGGGCGCGAGAGAGGGCAAACGAAAAGACGAGAGGGGGGGTGGATGGGGGAGATGAGTGAGGTGAGGAGGTGAGGCGAGATGGAGTGAGGCGGGAGAGGTGGATGGGTAAGCGAATGCGAGGCGCGGTGCGGTGGGGGCGGGGTCGGGCCCTTTTCGTCGGCGCATCGCGGCGCGACGCGAGGTGAGGGCGCGGGAGGGCGGAGGAAAGGTGGGCCGGGAGCAAAGGGGTGGACCCTTCTCTCGTCTTCGAAGCGGTGGGGGGTCGGGTGGGGGTCAAAGGAAGGGGTGGGGGTCAACGCGACGGGAGGAAGGGGTAGGTAGGGGGGGTGAGGGGGTAAAGGAAAAGACGAGAGGGAGGAGGCGGGGAAGGGAAAGACGAGAGGGCGGGTGGTCGACGCGACGAGGCGCGACGCGAGAGGGCGGAGGAAAGGTGGGGGAGGGCGGGAGAGGGGTGCGGTGAGACGCTCCCTTTTCGTCGCGGTCGGTGTGACGATCCCTGCTCTACTCGACTTGGCGCGGTGGGCTGAGGTGATTCCTCTTCTACTCTACTCGGCGGGGCGATGCGTGGTGAGGCGAGGTGGGGGAGGGTGATCCCTTTTTCGACTCGTCGAAGCGCGGCCGGGGCGATTCCTCTTCCACGAGGCGAGGTCGGGCCATCCCTCTTCTACTCGGCGCAGGGGGCGATCCCTCTTCGTCGCGACTCGTCGCGGTATGAGGCGCTCCCTCTTCTCCTCGTCGACACCCGGCGATCCCTTTTCGACTCGTCGCGGTCTGGCGATCCCTTTTCGACTCGTCGCGGTCTGGCGCTCTCTCTTCTACGCGTCGCGGTCGGGCCCTCTTCGTCGACGCGGCGCGGTGGGGTGAGGAAGGGGAGAGGCGCGGGGCGGGCCCTCTTCGTCGAGGTGCGGGGCGGGCCCTCTTCGTCGAGGCGCGGGTCGGGCCCTCTTCGTCGAGGCGCGACGCGAGGCGATGGCGGGAGTGATGGATGGGTAAGCGAAGGCGAGGTGCGATGCGGGGTGAGGCGGGGTGAGGTGAGGCGAGCCCCTTGCACTCGTCTTGGTGTGACGATCCTTCAAGGACTCGGGGCGGTGAGGCGCGAGGACGCTCCTCTTCTGCTCGACCGGCGCGGTCGGGCGCTCCCTCTTCGACTCGGCGCAGCGCGGTGAGGCGCTCCCTCTTCGACTCGGCGAGGCGTGGTGGGTTGGGGTGGGGGCGGGGTGAGTGGGGTGAGGAGGGGGATGAGTGGGGTGAGGAGGGGGAAGGGGAAGGGGAAGGGGGCTCGGTGGTGGATGAGTGGGGAGAGGTGCGGTCGGGGCGGGAGGGGGAGGGAGAGACGGGGTGTGACGCGGCGAGTGGGGGCGGGGTGTGAGGTGAGGTGAGCGAGGCAAGGTGGCGAGCGAGGGATTGGGGGGATGGAAGAGGGGTGAAAGAGGGGGGAGGGGGGGAGGCGAGGAAGGGAGAAGGGTCGGATGCCCTCCGATCCTCCTCGGCGAGGCGGGAGAAGGGGCGGTGTGAGGGCAGGTCGCTCTTCGACCGATGACGCAAGGGAAGAGAGGGGTGTCCACACGTCTCACCCTTCCGTGCTTCCCTGCGCACATCTTTCCCCCCGCGCCTTGACCGCATCTTCGCACCTCCCCACCACACCACTTGTCGCCAAGCTTCCCATTTCCCGCATACATGATGCCCCCCCCCCCCCTCTCTCGTCCCTCCCACTCTCTCTCTCGTCCGTACCCCCCATCACCACTCCATACCACCCCCCACCCCACCCCTACCCCCCTCCAAGCCTGACACGCGCGCGCCTCCGACGCGAAACGGTGCGAGCAGCCGAGGAGTGTGGTCAGACGAGGAGCGTGGACAGCCAGGAAGAGGAATGTGGTCAGCCGAGCCGAAGGCAGGAGGGAGGAAAAGGGGAGGTGAAGGAGGGAGGGAGAGGCGGGTAGCCAGGAAAAGGAGAGGTGAAGGAGGGGGAGAGTGAGCGCCGGAGGGTGAGTTTCTGCCACGATCCGTCTGTTTTTCCCCGATCTGTCCGTACTCCCCCGAGAGAGAGGTAGAGACTCGACGCGGGGTGGGGGTCGACGCGACGCGAGGGGGGGTGGGGGGGCGAGGGAGTGGGGGAAGAAGAGGCCGCGAGAGGTGACGGCGAGGTGGAGCGATCCGACTCGACTCGTCGAGGTGGGGGGATCCCTCCTCCGCGTCGTAGCGGGGTGCGGTGGACGACTCGGTGGGGTGCCTGTGCCGATCCCTCTTCTATTCGCGGCTCGACGCGAGCATCGTTTCGGACGTCTCTTCGACCCCTCTTTGACTCGGTTCGAGCGTCGTGCGCTCTCTTCTTCGCGTCCGACTCGACTCGAGGCGAGGCGCGGCAAGGCGGGGCGCGGTGAGGAGATCCCTCTTCGTCGCGACTCGTCGCGATATGAGGCGGGGAGGGGATCGACGGGGTGGGCGGGTCGACGCGACGCGAGGGCGCGGCGCTGGGGGAAGGGAGTATGAGTGGAGCGAGGAAGAGGGTGGTGGAGGCGGGGAAGGGGGGAGAGTGGAGCGAGGAAGGGAGTATGAGTGGAACGAGGAAGAGGGTGGTGGTGGATGAGGGGGTGGGGAGCGAGCGAGGGAGTGGATGAGAGGGCGAATAAGTGGATGAGAGCGCGGGAGAGCGAGGTGGTGGAAGAGTGGTGAAAGAGGGTGGTGGTGGAAGAGTGATGAAAGAGGGTGAGGGGTGGGAGAGGGGGGTGCTCACGCGTATCGCTCTATACATGTCGGGTAACGCTCTATACATCGCGCGTATCGCTCCATACAATTCGCGTATCGCTTTATACATCGGGCGCGTAATGCTCTGTGCATCTCGTGTATCGCTCCGTACATCTCGTGTATTGTTCTGTACATCGCGTGTATGTTTCTATCCATCTCGTGTATCGCTTTATACATCTCGCGCATCGCTCTGGGTATCGCACGCGCGTCCGAGGTCGGGGTCGACTCGATCCTCCCGCGATCGGAGTCGACTCGATTCTACTCCGGCGCGCATCCGACTCCGTTCTCCTCCGGTGCGCATCCGACTCGATTCTCCTCAGGCGCGCATCCGCCTATTCTTCTCCGGCGCGCATCCGACTCGATTCTCCTGCGGCTCGCGTCCTCGATCCCCTTCTCGCGTATCCTCGATCCCCTTCTCGCCGTGTCTTCAATCACCCGACTCGCGCGTCCTCGAATCCCCCGCCTCGCGCGTCCTCGATCCCTCGACTCGTCTCTAACTGAAGGGGGAAAGGCCAGACGCTCTCCGAAGAGGGGGGAGGGGAAGATGAGGCGAGGAGGCGGGGAAGGCCAGACGCGTCGAGGAGCGAGGGAAAGGCCAGACGCGTTGAGGAGGGCCGGTCGCTTTTCAGCGAGAGGGGGGGCGGATGAGTGGGCGGACTAGGTGGAGGCGGGTGGGCTAGGTGGAGGTGGATGAGTGGGGCGATGAGAGGGAAGGGGGCGAGGCGGGCGCTCTTCGGTGGTGGGGACTGAAGTTGAGCGGGCCCCACGTGTCTCACCCTTCGCGCTTCCCTTCGCACATCTTTCGCCCTGCGCCTTGACCACGTCTTCGCGCCTCCCCTTAACCGCGTCCTCGAACATCCTTTTGTCGCGTCCTCGCCCATCCCCTTGACCGTGTCTTCGCCCCACCACTTGTCGCCGACTGTTTCCCGTTTCCCTCCCACCTGCCTTCCCTCCCTCCCTCTCTCCCATCCATACCACCCCCCACCCCCCTACCCCCCTCCATGCCTGACACACGCGCGCGCCTCCGACGCGGAACAGTGCGGGCAGCCGAGGAGTGTGGGTAGCCGAGGAGTGCGGAAAGCCGAGGAGTGCGGACAACCGAGGGAGCCAGGTAAAGGAGAGGGGAAGGAGGGGGAGGGCAGGAGGGCGGACAGTCAGGAAGAGGAGGGTGGGTAGCCAGGAAAAGGAGAGGTGAAGGAGGGCAGGAGGGAGAGGGTGAGTGCAGGAGGGGGTGGGGCGTGCGGTTCGAGTGAGGTTCTGCCACGATCCGTCTGTTCTCCCCCGATTCGTCCGTACTCCCTCGATGCGATTGTTCTACCCCGATCCGTCCGTTCTCCCGATGCGATTGTTCCCTCCTTGCCGTCTTCTTCCTCACCCCGCCCTCTGCCTTACCTTCCTCGTCCGCCCTCGCTATCCTCCTCATCTTCCTCGCCTCCATCTTCCTCACCCCGCCCTCGCGGCCTTCTCCGTATCCCGCCCTCGCCATGTAAATCACCTTCCGCCCTCGCCAAAAAAAGAGTCCTAAATTTCCAAGCCATGCCCCACAGCCGACTTGAACGACTGACCTTCGCATCATATATAGCAACTCATCAATGCAGGATACGAGTGCGACGCTCTACCACTGAGCTAGCAGGGCTTGGGGTTAGGGTGAGGGAGGGAAAATTGACACTGAAAGAGGAGGGAGGGAGAGCGGGAGAGGTGACAATGGCGGAGAGGGGGAGGGAGAGAGGAGAGTAGTATGGAGAGAGCGGGAGAGCGGGAGAGCGGGAGAGCGGAAAGGGAAGGAGGGGAGAGGATGGAGACTGGGAGAGGATGGAGGGAGCGGAGGGGAAGAGCGCGTTGATTTGCTGCGAGAGGGGCAGGAAGAAAGAACACCAAGAAATCGAGAGTGCGCTCGTCGAAGGATGGGCGATGAGCATGTCGTGTAGAGTAAGGTCAGCCTTTCGCAGGAGGCGTGGACCAGGGTGGTCGGCCTTTGGCGAGAGGCGTGGTCTGCCAGGACAGTGGCGGCGGATCGAAGGAAGTTAGCCGACTCGGCATGATTCGTTCGAGTCGACTCGGCATGCGGTATGGGAACTGGCATACCCGTCCGTACCGACGCATCAGCATCGATGACAAGCTGGTGAGGGGTCGATGATAGGGGCTGGCGAGCGGTCGATGACAATCTGTCGAGCGGATGATGAAAATTTGGCGAGCGAGGGTGCGCACAAGACCTCGGGCGCGGTCAACGGGAGGACGAGAAGTTCGGGGGGAGGACTAGGAGTCCTGCAGAGGGGCGAGGAGTTCGGCGGGAGGACGAGCAGTTCTACGAGAAGCCGAGTAGAACGTGGATGAGGAAGCGGTTTGACGAACGCGAGGGCATCCAAAGAGATTCTTTGCGAGTAAAGGAGATTATGTGCCAGTGCTCGAGCAGCCGAAAGGGGGTCGGTGGCTGTCTGATTAGCCGACGATGGCCCACCGCGGGGACTTCCTCGGTCATATCGTCCAGAGGTCTTTCGTCCCGGTGGTTTTCACGGGTCTTTGGTCTTAGCGTTGCGTCTCACAGGTCTTTTGTCCCGGCGTTATTCGCGGGCTTTTTGTCCCAGCGAGCGGTACTATACATGGCGGTGTGCAAGCTTGACGCCGCCTGGGAGCTGTGAGGTAGTATGCGTGAGCGCTAGGATTGAAGGGAGAAGAGGCACTTACTCCTTCCTCGAGGTTCAGGTAAGGACGCTGTCTACGTCGACGACACGGGGGTAGGATGCAGGTCGTGCAAGAGGCGGAGGTCGCGGTGCGCTGCGCATGTTTCGACAAGCAGAACGAGTCGCAAGCCAGACGCAGCAATGTGGTTTGAGAGATGGCATGTATCAAGAGCGAACGCGAGCCGTCGTGATGCATTTGCGCGACCAGGATCCGCGGCCGTGGTTGAGGACGAGAAATTGGTATTCCACGAACGAGATGCTGGAATTGCGTCAGATAAATGACGGCTTTGTCTGCCTCGTCCGTTGACCCATTCTTCTCTCTCTTTTCATAGCGCGTCAGTCGCGGGTGGAAATTGAACAAGCGTGAGCTTGAGAGACTCACGTTTTCCGTCCGTATCCGCCTTGACCCTCGATGTTCCATCTATTCGACAAAGGCAGATAGACGAGTACGCGCCGATCATGCGTACCACACTCCTAATAAATCTAGCCTGCGCTCCTACTCAGCGCGGAACATTGGCTAGCGCAGTCTCTCATGTTCGCGGGCATTGAAGCGATCCGAGGCTCTTCCGCTGTGTCGACCGAATCGATGCTGGAAGCCAATGAAGTGAAGCAGAGGTTCATTTCATGGAGACAGAAGTCAAATTACTCGAGGCATCCTGATTTCTATGAGCGCGGACATGACCGTCGGGAGCAAGGTGCATGGGAATGATGCGGAGCTAGGCCCGAAAGCCGTTGTCCCACGCTTCCGGGCGATGACGCAGCGTTCGTTTGTGCAGTTCCCCTTCACGCGTGCTCAACCTCATCTTCCTAGCTAGATTGCCCGACAGCGTCTATGGATCACCGCTTCTCTCCCCGCGCGACCCGTGAGAGACTCGTCTCCTTCGCCCGACGCGCGCAGGAGGGCTCGATCAGTGACTCGCACGCCGTGCACTGTAAGGCGCACCATGCGCAGATGTCCCAACCGGCACGACGAGAGGTAGGGGGAAGGACGTGGACAAGCGCGATGCGACTGTCCGTGCCGCCAAGCTACGCGTCGAGGGCGTGTCTCGTGCGAGAGCTGAATTAAGGCGTCGCCGCCTTCATCGCGGACAAGTAACTTAGGTGCGTGGGGCAACAACCGTATGCGTAGCGTAGTTGAGCTGATCCCGCTGTAGGGCGCACCCGTCGGCACCAAGACCTACGCCCTCCCGCCTGCTTCGTCTCGTACGGTGACTTCTCCGTACTCCTCCCACGCACCTCGGCGCTCTCCTCCCGCGCGCGTATATGGTCGTCTTCCACGCACCTCGACACCTCAATCCCCGCGCGCTTTACGGTCTCATCAACTCGCGCCCAATGCTGCCCTCTCTCGCGTTCAGCGCTCTCCTCCCCGCGCGTTCAGCGCCCTCCTGACCACCCACCCACGCTCGCCCTATCGCCCGCTACCGAAACTCCCCCCTCCCCCCCCCCCCGACGCCGACCGCGTGCAGCTCAAGTGGAACGCGCGCGGGTGCAGGTGCAGGTGCTCACGCCAGACGCGGGTGCTGGTGCGCATGCCGGACGCGGATGCTGGTGCTCATGCCAGACGCGGGTGCTGGTGCGCATGCCGGACGCGGATGCTGGTGCGCATGCCGGACGCGGATGAGTGTGCGAGTGCGCACGCGCTCGGACGTGCATTGGACGAGCTTTCGCGGAAATTGAGGATCGCGGGCGAAGGACGATGGCGCGCTGGAAGCGCTTCGCAAGGAGGAGGCACTCGGCAAGGCGGCGCTGCGAGTTCTCGACGGGGAGACCCCGAGGGAGGACGACGCGGGCCCCTTCGGCAATCTCATCTGCCCTGTTGAACCTCGTCTCCCCCGTCGAATCTCGTTTGTCACACTGAGCCTCGTCTGTCACACTGAACCTCGTTTGTCATACTGAGCCTCGTCTGTCATACTGAGCCTCGTCTGCCGCACTGAGTCTCGTCTGCCCCTTTGAACCTCGTCTCGTCTACCCCGCTACCTCGACAGGGCGGGGTCCGTTGCCGACTTTGCGCTGGGTCCAGGCTGGAGTTAGTAGTGCATGAATGTGAGTCATTTTGTTGTTTGTCTGCTTTCTCTCATTGCCCGTCGTCCCGCTTTCTCTCGCTGTCCATCGCCCCCCCCGTGTTGTCGGTCCTCATACTGGATGTCGCATCTCGGCGTTCTCTTGATCGTCGTTTCCCTCTCCATCCTTCGCTCCCCATTGCACCGTTCTTTGCTCCCCGAAGCACCGTCCTATATCCTCGTCGAATGATCTGCTATCCTACCCTGTAACTCACCCGCATGCAGACACGGCGCTCGTCGACAGATGATTTCATGTCGCCCGACATCGATGGTGCGCTTTCATGGGATCCGGCCGCACTAACGCGCTCTTCTGTTGCCCAAATTCGGCGGCGCGCTCTGGCTTCAACGGCGCGCTGTCATGTCGCCCGATCCCGGCGGCGCGCCGCGAGCCGTCGTCGCTGACCTGAAGGACTTCGCGGGCAGTTTTGCGCGTAGTCTCGGCGCGCAGGCTTGCGCGTAACGTATCCGCAGGTGGGCAGTCATGCGCGCCATCAACCCGCGGGCAGCGCAGCCAGACTTCCGCGTACTTCATCGCGGGCGGTCTGCCGCGCAGCTCATCGCATACTGCCCGCAGTCGAGCGGGCGCTTGGTGTCGAGGCACAGGTGACGCCCGAAGCACGCGACATGATCTCGAGGTTCGGGCGTTTAGAGGCAGGAGGCGGGTCGTATTCGGGCAGAAGGTTGTCGCTCTGGAGGATGACGGGGCGTCTGGTGTGAAGGGAGACCGTAAGTGGGCGTCTGGTGTGAAGGGAGGCCGTAAGTGGGCGTGGAGGGAGACCATGAGTGGTCGAGAAATGAGGGAACATGAGCGAGGCGGTTGAGTGCCGCACCTTACCACTTGCAAGCGGCGATGCGCTGACAACGGATGTGTAACTATCCTCACATCCCTTCGGGCCAGCGCGTGGACATGTCGCCGCTACCAGGTTGATCTCTGATTCGGACTCGAAAACGATTGGGCGGCGACCGGGCTCGCCGCTCGGCCATGGTTTCTGATACCAGATAGAAACTCTAGCTACCTTCTTTGATATATAGTTACAATATACGTTATAGGTATACTGCACCTCCATAGTTCATTATTGCGGCACAGCACGGCCTGGACCGGTCTCAACGTCATTTAGCCAAACAAGGGCAAGCAACTAGCGCATCTTTCCACCCTACCCCCAAGATGTCGGCGCTTCCGTATGTTACTATACAATGCTCGCCTGATGGTCAGCACTCCACCTTTGCGGTCATGACCGGCTGCTTCTGACACAGTATCTAGACATCCGGGAAAGCGCAGAGGAGCTCGAGCGCGCGGGTGCTATCGCGAATCTCGAGCTACATCGCGACGGCTTCAGACCAACGATCGAGCAAGCGGAACAAATACGCTCTCAGGCGCTCGCTCGTGAGCTCCAACTAAGCCGCATCGATGCAGACATCGCTGTGTTGATCGCCCTCCGGGAAAGGATGGCGAAGCAGGTCGAGATTGACCGGTCACTCGCATCGCCCATCCATCGCCTCATTCCCGATGTTCTTTCGGAGATCTTCTTATGGGCTACTCTGTCTGTGCCGATTGAGCGTCGTGTATTCAGGGCTCTTGCTATTGCCGGCGTCTCGTCCTACTGGAGGCGGTTGGCGCGAGATCTCCCCCGTCTTTGGACCGACATATCCATCGTATCTGAACGACAACTGGGCGCCTTTCTGGATCATCTTCTCTACCTTTCTCGCGACCTCCCACTGCGCATCAATAATCGGCTTCTTAACCTCTTACCGTCCGTCATAACCCGAATTCGCCCCTTTGCTCATAGGTGCAGTTCTGCCTTTTTGAGCGGTGTCACGCGAGACTTCTTGTCTACGACCCATCCCCTCGTGGCTCCGAACCTTGTAGATGTGGATATATACATGACGGAAGCCCCCGATGCAGACGCAAGTTGCTTTCGCTTTCTTCAAGCGCCGCGTCTCCGCACGTTGCTCCTCGAGATAGACGGCCTTTCCAGTATTCATTCCCTCGCTCTCGACCCTCCAGTAGCTTTGACTAACTTGCGCATCACTATCCTGGACTCAGTACCGGCTGTATATCTTTTTCCCATTCTTCGACAGTGCCATATCACGCTAGAGGTGCTCAACGTTCAACTCCCGCATCTCAACGCATCACTCCCTTCATCCGGGCACGTCGATATCATCTGCCTACCCTCTCTCTTGGAATTGTATGTTCTCGACGACAGCCCCGCACTTCTACAGTTCATTTCAGCACCCAGAGTTGCGAAGTTCATCTTGCAGGATGTGCCACATGACTTCCTGATCTCGGTCCTCAGCTTTCTACGCAGGGCCCCGGCTATGCCCTCGAGTATCATCTGGCTCCAGATCATGTACCCTAGATGCAAATTCGACGTAGAGAATGTGCAGAAGCTTCTGCAGTGCTTCGAGGCGCTGGAAGCGCTCGAGGACCTGCGCATCATACCCTCACGCTTCCGACATCCCGTCGAGCTTGTACGCGCTTTGATTTGCCGCCAAGACGCGCAGCCGCTTCTACCCAACTTGCGACGCGTAGACTTCGGCAATGGTCTGCGTATGAAGCACGGAGTCCCGCAAGCAATCCGAGATGTCTACGCCTCCAGAAAGGAGAGAAGGGTGATCTGCGGGAGGACAGTGGTTGCGTTGGAGGGTCCTGACATGACATACGACGAGAAGGGAGAAATGTTGTCCGATTCGGATTGCGACGAAGAGTGAAGTCGTTGGTGGTATGTAAGCTCCCGTTCGCTCCTTCTTCTCCGCCATCGAACACTTGTTGACCAGTACCGCAGTGATTGGACCTCGCGCCCCCCGTGGTACAGATGGCTATGATGGATGACGCTGCCCCTCCTCGGCGAATGCTTATTCCCGTATTATTGAATCGCTGTGCTTTTAACCTCCGCTAAACAGCCGCTAGTTAAATTTCCTGCGTGATAGACGTGGTTCATGACGTTTACTGAATCCCTTCGCACCGATTTTGCGGCCGCCTCATTTCCAACCTTCGCCCTGAATTCTCACCCACCATCACAATCGCCTTCGCCTCCCCTCCCCCCACCCACTCACGGTGCCGCCCTCCAACGGCGGAAACGTGAGGACATGAAGTAAAACGTGGAGGCCGAAAGCAATGCACAGGTAAACGCTGAGAGCGATAAAGTCAGTCGAGGTCAGCAGGGGGGCATGCGAAGGAAGCGGGTGAATGAAGGTGAGTGGGGAGCGAGGGGTGAGAATTAAGAGGGAGGTGAGAACTGAGAGCGTAGGAGGGAAAAGAAGTCGTGGAGATGGGACGTCGCGGCGGGGCGTGTGTAGAGAACGAAATCTTGAGCCGCAGTCTCGGCGCAAACGAAAGGGCAGTGTCCAAGCGTACCAACCACCCCATCACGCATTCGCATCTGTCCAGGTTTTCTCCACGCACTGACCACGCCTTTTGCCGCCGCGGATACCGCCTCTCCTCCCAACGTCCCTTCCTCTTCCCTCCAATCACCTCATCTACTTTGCTCCAGCGTTGCGGCTCGTTCACCACCTCGCGCGCATTACTCGTTCCCTACCTCGTGCTCATTACTCACTCCCCACCGCACCCCACCGCACCCTCTGCCCTGCCCTCCCGACCGGCTTCTCACCCCTTCCACGCTCGCATCAAAGACATAGCCGAGCGCTTCCTTCCTCCTCCACTCCACGCTCGCCTACAACACCCCTCGGCCCTCTTCGACGTCTCGCTTCTCACTCCGTCCGTCCACTCCCGCGCCTCCCCACTTCCCCCTCTCTCCCTCTCCCACTCCTTTGCTTCCCACCCCTCCTTCCGCCATCGTCTCGCCCCCTCTTCCCTTCCGCCGCCTTATTGCTCCTTCGCCCTCGCCCTCGCCCTCGCCCCCACCCCCTCTCCCAACCGGCCGACGGCGTTCCACTGATGCCATGGTTCTCGTCGCGAAGGATATGGTCAGCAAACGGGGAGCGGGCGTCGGGAGGGGAGCGTGGGACGGAAGGGTGAGAGGGTGTGGAGGGGTGGTAGGGGGGAGAGTCGAGGCGCGCAGGATCGAGCGCGCTCACACGCGGGAGGATCGTACGCGCTCACGCGCCTGAGCGGAGCGACTGACGAATCGTCAACCGAGGAAAGCGCGCGAATACCAGAGATAACTCACCCCTCACTCCTCCTCGCCGCGCTTGTATCTCCTCTCCCTCCCTCCTCCCTTCAATGTGTTCTCAACTCGCCTTTCCTCCTCCCTGCCACCGTCGTCCCCCCTTCCTCCCCCTACCATATCGCCCTCCCCCTTCCACCTACCCCGCCGCTCCACCCTCATCCTCCCCACTGCTCCACCCTCGTCCTCCACTTCGCTCTTCTCGCCCTCCATCGCACCCCGAACCCTCATCCTCCCCATCGCAGCCCGAACCCTCCCCATCGCACCCCGAACCCTCCCCTTCGCCCCAGACACACGCAAGCGCCCGCCTGACGACGGGCAAGGTGGCAACGGCGAGCGAGGTGGCAACAGCGAGCGATGGCGGACGAGGTAGGGGGCGAGCGATGGCGGAAGAGGTGGGGGACGAGCGATGGCGGAAGAGGTGGGGGGGGACGGACGAGGCAGGGGCGGCGACCACGACGCACAGAGAAAGGCACGAAGGAATAGTGGGGGGGGGGGGGGGTGTGACGCGAAGAGAGAGGCCGGAGGGCGAAGACAAAGAGAGACGCTAGGGAGTGACGTGAAGAGAGAGGCGGAGGAAATGACGGGCGGGGAGGGAGGTGAGGAGGACGCAGGGGGGGAGATCCGCGCAGAGAGGGCTCGATCAGGGACGCGCGCGCGTGCTGGTGAGGCTGAAGACGCATCAGTAGGGGAGGCAGTGAAGATTGTCTCACAGGTGTACTCGACATTCCCGAGCGAAACCTTACGTATTAGACCTGCCCCCCTCCTCGCCCATCTAACCCCCCCCCTCCGCCTACAACTCCCCTGCGGCCACCCCCTCCGCCCTCCCCCTCACACTGCCCTCGCCCCCTCCTCTCACCACTTCTCCGTCCACTCTCGCCCTCCTCCCCCTCTCCCGTCGCGATTTTGAATCTCTCGCCCTATCCCCACCCCCTTCCCCATCCTCCTCGCCTCTTCCCCCCGCTCTTGCCTCGCTTCCTCCGCTTTCACTTTCGCTCGCGGTCCCTCGGCTTTCTAGCCCCGCGACCAGCGACGCGCGCCCTGCGTGACCAACAGCGCGTGCCCTGCGTGACCAACAGCGCGTGCCCGGCGCAACCAATAACGCGCGCCCCGCGCGACCAACAACGCGCGCACGCCCTGCTGCGACTGAAGGACGCATCAGCTGGGGAAGAAGAGACGCGCTAAAGGGAAACCGACCGACCTAGCTGAATAGAAGCCGGCCGACCTAGCAGGAGAGAAACTGGCCGACGTAGCTGAAGAGAAATTGACCGACCCAGCTGAAGGGAAAGCGACCGACGTAGCTGAAGAGAAACTGACCGACCCAACTGAAAAGAAAGCGACTGACGTAGCTGAAGAGAAACTGACCCGTTTCTCCTTGCCCCGCACCCCCTTAGTGCTGCTTTCCTCATCCCCCACTCTTCGCATCCCCCCCTCATTTTCCATGCCCCGCGCGCGCGTCTGCTCCTCGTCGTCATCTTCCAGAGATAGGATTCGTGAGTTTCCAGCGCCGTCCTGGGTTGCGGATACGCGACGGTCCCGATGATACTCGCAAGGGTGACCTTGTCGGCGGTGGCGATGCACTTGAGATGGTCGTACGACTCCCTGATCTCGATAATTCGGAGGAGATTGTCGCTCGATTCTTGCGCGAGGGCGTCCCTATGGCGTCGGGATTCCGCTTCCCCTGGCCGTAGCTCGTTCTCCCTTCTATGAGTTGCGGTGGCGAGATGGCGGACCATCTAATTCTCGAGGAGGACGCCACGAAGTCGCATGTCGCCATCGATATCATCCGCTTGGCGAGCGATTGTGGCAGGGATAGCGGATGGTGCGGATAGCAAGGATGGAAAGGATGTGCACGCTACGGATGGTAAATGCGACGAAGACGAGCTCAGTGGCAGAGCGCACAGATTGGCACCGAGTCACTGTCCGCAATCTCTGCCGCGAAGCGCTTGGCGAAAGCTCTCCGTCTGTCGAGATGTACTTTCTGGGGGTAGGATCGGGGCAGCGTAGAAGGCGGCGAATGAGGGTCCATGATGAACGTCGATGAGGATGGACAGGTCGAAGAGAAGCGGAAGGCGGTCGTCATCCGCAAGCCAGGGCGCAAGCTGTGAGGTAGACGAGGACCGTCGGGAACAAGGTGCGTGGGAACGATCCGGAGCTCGGCCCGCTCGGTGCCGTTCCACGCTTCCGCGCAGCTTGCGTCTTGCCATCGACTTGCCATGGCTTCGAGTCTTCGGCTGCCTCCAGCGCGCCAGCGAATTCATCCTGGGTCTGCTCTGAGCGGAAATGTGATTGCTCTTATAAGCTCCGGACACATCGCGCGTGACTATCGCAGACTTCAGCGCCGTCGGATACGCAACCAACTAACAAACGAAGGGCTTCCCGGACCCCTCGATGCAACTGCATATGACTGCAACGCTTGTCACGTACGATCCCTGTCTCCTCCACCGCGCTCAGTCTCGCCTTCTTTGGTGTCATCGTCGAATTCGGCGGACTTCAACGCCTCCCGGCCACAAACCAGGCGTACAACGCAGGACCGCCGCTCGAATCAAACCGGAAAAGGCTCATCTGCGGTACTGTAATAGCACACAGCGCACGGGTCGCTACCCATGGCTGTCTTCGTGCATCTTTGCACTTGATCATTCTTCTGAAGCCCATCGTCTGCGGCCTGAGAGGTGTGCACGGTCTGCTCTTCGACTTTTGCGACCATATCTACTGACTTTGTGCAGGAGAAGCTCGCCGAGCAGTTACTCTACGTTGAGGATGCCCTCAGTAGGGTACTCCTCACCTACGCCGTCTCGGTACCTGCAGCGCGTACCGCAGATCTGTCGGTGCTCGCGCTCGCGCGAGAAAGTCTGGGAAGGGGCAGCCCGCAACCGCACGGATCCCATCCGTTGCGTCCTCGCGTAAGTGCCATCTCTCTGTGACAAGCTGCGCGCCCTCACTTCGAGCGAACTCGCATGCTTTTGATCGCAAACCAGCGCCCATCCGAAGAGCTCGTCTCATATCTCAGCGCGACGCGTACCTTCGACGGATTCCGAACGCAGTCTGGACCCTTGCGTGCATGCTCCTTCCATGCGCTGAATTCCCCGCGACATGACCTCCGAGCCGTCGATCGTGTATCCTGCTCAACTTCGTCTACCCTTCGCGATCTGGTCCAAATCATCGAAATCGCCTGCCTCCTGCGCGCACGTCAAGCTACCAAGTCACCCGATAACACCTGCGCTCGGCATATCAAGTGTCTTCGACCCGGTGCGGCGAAGTACAGAAGACAGTCGGGCGCTCCTGGCGGAGGTGCTGCAGGATTGGGTGTCACCGTTCGCTGTGATGCTCTGCCGCGGGAAGAGCGAGATCAAAAAACAGAATGACGAGGATGGCGAGCAGGAGAGGTCTTACCGCCCAAAAAGTGGACCGCGCTGCGTGACCAGGGGAGCGCGCTGCATTGTGAGAGAGGCACGCAAAGCTCAGGTATGCGTTCGAGCCAGTATCATCTCTAATAACGACCATTGCCGTGTTCAACGCGCTAACGAGCTCTCGCAAACCTACGAAGACGTTGGGGCTCGTGTGTTATCGGCGCGTGAATGCGTCGTTGCGCGGAGGCTGCGTCGCCAGTCGTGCGTACTGAAAGGTATGCGAAGCTTCTGGTTCGAGATGAAGCGGTAAACTCACGGTAGATACTGCGAGATCAGGCGTTCAAGCCTTCTGTCGCCGAAACTGTTCCTCAGTCCTGAATTGCTCAAACCCCCGCCGAAACCCCCACCGGTCCTCTCGTCGGGCGGCGCACCACACGGACGAAGACTTACGCGGGCACGGCCTTTGTCGTGGGTCATCTTCATTCGCCAGTCTCATGTACGTCCTTCCTCGTCTCCTTTCTCTTTATCCCAAGGTTATTCTGCGCCTGCCTCGGCGTCTATCTCGCCGTTGGTATGCTGTCCAGCTGACGTCTCCATTGCCAGCCGTATTCTCGGCGACGCATGAATCGATTCCAACGGTTCGGTAGTCGTCGTCGGCTGTCATCCGGGGGCTTCGGCAATGAGATGGATCTAGGGCTGTCGAGGTGAGATAAGGAGCGTTGGCCTCGCGACGGTGGCCGAGCTCGTGGAGCGCGTGCGACTGCAGGAGCGGGGGAGACTGCAGAGTTAAGCTCAGATTGGGGGGGGTCTGAGCTCGAGCGTCGTGTTGCTCTTGAAGACAGGTGAGCGCATCCGTCACGATGATGCTCATGATTTCGTCCCGGAGGCTCAATATCGCTTGCAGGTATGCGATCAAGCGTCCTTTGTCCAACAAGAGTTTATATGCCCGCTCCTCGGTTCACGCCCGTTTTCGGTCAACAGCGGTCAGGTTCGTTGTATCGTACACAATGCGACAGTTAGATCAGTCGATACCTTTCCGCTCCCCGAGTTTTGTCCCGCACTTCCCCATCCCACCCTTCAAGCAAAAATCTTTGGTCCCGCCAACGACCAACAGCCTTCACCCGCACAGCTTGTGACTTCTCTGAACCAGCTCTCAATAGCATGTTGTAGGCTAGGGTATTGGAATCGGCGACGTCGATCGGTGTCTTGCCTCCCGACAAGCGTCCATTCACATTCGCGCCCTTTTGGAGAAGCAGTTTGACGACGGCTGTGTTTCCATGGCAGGCCGCGATGTGTAGCGGCGTCCAGCCATCCACCATACAAGCCCCGATTTCAGCCCCTCTACTCAAGAGCAGGCGTATGGGCTCGACATAGCTCTTGCATGAAGCGATGCAGAGAGGTGTCCAGCCGGCCGTATTTCGCGCCTCTACGTCCGCGCCCGCGTCCAGAAGTGCTTGGATGATTTCGCTGCACCAGCCCACCTCAAGTGCCATATGCAAGGGAGTGCTTCCGTACTGCGTAGAAGCATTGACGTTAGCGCCCCGAGAAAGCAGCATCCGAACGAGTTCCAGGTTGTATGATTTAGCCGAGAGAATCAGAGGCGTTTCCCCAACATTCTGACGAGCGTCCACCTCTGCGCCGGCATCCAGAAGCATTACTGAAAGTTCTTGGTTACCACGAGTCACCGCCAGATGCAGTGGGGTCCGGCCATGGACGTCGCGAGCGTGGACTTCGGTGGGATTCATCTCGAGAACGACCAGCGCGAGATCATGAAAATTATGATTCACAGCTACGTGCAACGATGATGGTCCCGAAGGATCGCCGGGCGTGCTGACTGTCCCCCCGGATTTCAGGATGGTTCTGCAGATACGCTTTCGCTGAGAGGGGAATGTGCTGCGCCTCACATCGTGGAGTGCACATCGCAGTGGAGTCATGCCTCGTATATTGCGCGCATCCCCGACGGCTCCCGCGCGCAATAGCAGGTCAATCAGATCTTCTTGTCCGCAATAGACCGCTGTATGCAGTAGGGTGAATCCCTGGTTGTCACGAGTGTTGGGATCAGCGCCATGTTCAATGAGCATACGAATGACCTCTCGAAGTTTCTCTAAGGCAACGAAATGGGAAGGAGTAGCTCTTCCACTCCCTCGAGCGTCTGCGCGAAGCTTGTGTACGAGCTCCATATCGCCATAATCGGCCAGTGAGAGCACAGCAGTGTGAAGAGCCGTGTGGCTTGAATGATCCCTGATATTTGGATCCGAGCCCGCATCAAGTAGCAACTGGACAACGGAGGGTTCGGCTACGGCCAGATGAAGAGGGATGGAGCCGTCCTTGATACGGCGAGCATGTACATCTGCTCCGCGATTGATGAGCTCTCGGACGACGTCCAAGTGCCTTCCTTGTGCGGCGTAGTGCAACGGAGTTGAGCCTGAATTCGTGCGTGAATCGATGTTGGCTCCTGCATCGAGCAGTACTCGGGCCAATCGAAGGTGGCTGCCCATGTCTCGCATAGTCATATGCAACGGGGTTACACCGCTGTCGCTGCAGGCATTGACGTGGGCGCCTCCATCGAGAAGAACTTTGGCAGAGTCTACTCCACCGTGCAGCGCAACGTCATGAAGAGCGGTGAAATCATGGATGACCCTGCAGTTTGGGTCTACTTTCGATGCGAGGAGGAGATCGATTATGGCCGCACGGCAGTACCGAGCAGCCATATGTAATGGAGGCAGAAGGAAGCGTGGCTCCTTGTTATTCAAATCTGCGCCCTTGTCGATCAGCAGGCGTGTAGCCCGCAAGTGGCCGTGCTCGATTGCCCGATGGATGGGTGCAATGCCAGTCGGAGTGGGCGAGTTGACATCTGCGCCGAGTTTGTCAACGAACAGATGCATGAGCCCGATTTGGTCGAAGTCAGCAGCGAGGCCCAGGAAGAAAGCTGCTGTCCTGTGTATATCGCATATGATTGTGTTTTGCCGCAACGCGAGCACAATTTCCTGCTCAAGCGTGGGATACCGAGCAAAGTCCACCATTGGGGTACAATAGATCCAGGCATAAACAATAAGGGGTACCCTGGACAGCGTATCATAGCTCAGGTAAGGCAGCTGCTCGGCCATAGGAGACGTGAGGTAGGCTAGGGACGTTTTGACCATTGTCAGATGAGCAAGATGGCTGTCGACGTAGAAGAGAGATCCAGGAGGTAGACTGAGAAGGTAATCTCTGACAGAGGCGTGAGCGAAGTGAACTTCGCCATCGCGGAGAGTTATAAATGTGGTGCCAATCAAGAGCATCATGTCATTCACAGATGTTGCGAGCAAAGACGAGTCATAGACAGGTGTGCCATTCACGAAGTGGAAGGACAACAATTGCGCGAAGTCATGCGTAAAGAGCGCTTCCCGCTTGAAGATCAGCCATATGAGTAACCGGTGAACATCGGCCCGGTCGTTCGCGTCTATCGCGTCTAAGCACCTCTCGTAGTGCTCCGAAAGTGTCTTTGGAAGAGACTTCAGACGCTGGAGAACTTTGATAGGAATACCGGAGATACGAGAGATCTCCTTGATCTGAAGTACGAGCCAGCGGAAACTTGAGGATATAATTAGTTATAGTTGATACGACGCACTATAAGGTAGACTTACTTTCCAGCCGCACCTGCACTGAGCGCCTGCCGAGCAGTCCCAGCATCCACAACTCTAGAAAGAGCACCGCCTGGTGCGAAAGTCTGGTCCAGCAGTCTCTCCATGTCACGAGAAACGACGTAGTCATTCACGGAGATAGGCGCATCGCATCGCCTTTCCAGGTACTCGCGACCGAGAAGTTCACTGCGACTTGAAAGGAGAAGGGAGACGTTGGGCAGATCCAAAAGGCTCATGAGGAACGGTATGATATCCCGGTCGTCAGCCTCGTCCAGCGCATCTACTACTAGGAAGACGCGCGAGGGAGCCATCTCGAGGGCCTGCCGGAGGTGACGCTGCATGGTCTCGATCGACGGCTGTGTATGCCCGGACATATGCTCCTTCCAGAGATTCAGGAGCGGCGCGAGAGCGCCCTCTAGATGATGCGCGAGTTGACAGAGATACGAAGATAGAAGAGCGCGCAGATTTCGAGGGAGCGAGCCTCGTGTCGTGTCGAAGAAATGCATGAGAGTCAACGCTCCCCGGTCGGCTGAGGCGCAGGAGGCCTGCAAGTCGCGCACCGCCGTGGCGCTAGACAGAAACGCCTGAGGGACCACGACAGAAAAAAGATCGAAGGAACTTACATCAGAGTGCTTTTTCCGCAGCCAGCTGGATCCCGCGTTCAGAACAACGGCCAGGAGGACAACGAGTGAGGTACTCACCTGGTCCATAGATCCAAAGAGACCTTCTGTCGCCGGACTTCAGAGACGCGAAGGCTTGACCGTCAATGAGCCAAAGTCCAGTCGAGCTCGCACGATCGTAAAGTAGGTCATTCATCTTGGCGGAAAAGTCGGGGTACTGCAGCCAACCGAAGATCTTGTCGATATCGGAAGACCCTACGAGCAGTCCTCGTCAGGATCGCTTCTCTACGCAGATCACGCGAACTTACTGCGGGCTCTTGCCGAATCGGCGACCATGTTGAGAAGAGTACTCTGGATGTTGTCGAGGATCGTCCGATCTGCGGCGATCTCGTCTCGGGTTGTATCGGGGATTCGACGAATGAGGTCTGAGAGTCGTTCAGTCGAGCGCGATCGGCACTCTCAACAAGCGTACCATAGGTGTTTCGTGCGGTTTCCGCGATCTCCGCCAGGCACTTGCGAGTTACGTCGAGTTCCTGCTCATCCCCTGCGTCATGTTTAGCGATAGCGCAATGATAGGTGAAGCCTCGAGCCCACTCACAAGCGACGCTTTTCGTCAGCATTCCCATCGTCTGCTGCGCCGTATACAGCGTCACGGCGGATACTGCCTGATGGTGGCCCGTTGCGAGCCTGCGAAGGTCTTCGAAGGCCGAGGACAGCTCCTTAGATCGTCCGAGCTTCTTCAACCACGTCACTGTCGATAATCAAGCGGTCAGCATCAAGGCCTCAGCGTCGAGCCGTACTTGCCTATCCGTTTCTCCTTTTGTAGCTGCCTCACCATGCCGAGCACGACAAGGATTTGCGCGAGCAGCTTCACGGATGGTTCGCGCAGAGCATGATCGATATCGGTCGGCGCTATGGGCTGCATGATGCGCAGGTGGCTCTCCATGGTGTCGAACACCGAGCTGACCGCTTCGTACTCCTCGTGGACAGCCATGGCCGCCTTCTCGTTGGTAAGGACGTGCAGGGTCGACTGTAGTCCGCACACACCTTCAAGAGCTCACTCACTCCGGCAAATATTGCTTTCCCGTACGGAATTGCCTGCGAATGCGTTAGATCCAAGTCGCGATCGCCGAGACGTGCGTACGCACCACTCCGGCGCCTTCCCCCGCAGTCGTACAGAGTGTCCTGAGGATGGTGGCGAGAGGTCCAAAACGATGGAGCATGCTGAGGCTACCGTCCTTGCGGAACTTTGTAAAGCGTTCCTCGTGCTGCTTGATGTAATCGACGATCGCGTCTGCTGAGTCGAACGACTGCGTGGATCGTGCAGAGAGCGAAGAGCCCGTGGCCTTTTCGTATCTCGCGACAGCGTCTTTCCATAATGATATCAGTGAATCAGAAGGCGCTGAATCTGCTGTTGGCGATGTTGTCAATGCTGCAGACCGGAGAGGTGGCGATTGCAGCACCTGTAACGTCGGGCGGAGTCGTGTAAGGTAGTGCGGGGCTACCAGGAGAGCAAGGCATGGTCGCTGAGATAGCAGAGGATGATGGCGAAGAGCAACCGTGCGCCTTGAACTTGCCGGCTGTGGTCGATGTCGATTGAAAACAGCAGTTATCGACATCAACAGGTGACTTCCGCACGCCTTCGGCGATTTCATCGCGCCGCAGAATGGCGCTGGAGTCTAGACATGTCACGGACACGGCCACAACCATATCGAATCCGAAGAACTTTAAGAAGCACTCGCATTCGTGGCAGTGTTGATACGAGATTGTATTGTAGTGTAGGCGCATGAGTACGCTGACTACATCGTCAGCAAGTCGATTCCTACAAGGTCTACCGCGATTTCGCCAGTGAGCGCGCAATGGTATCTCGTCGGTGTTCGAAAGAAGGGCAGACATCAACGAAAAAGGCAGTTTCGCAGGTCGCGGCCAAATACGAACAAATAGGGATTACTTTATTCCCATCACCTTTCTGCGCACCCACCGAGTCCGTCATCATGCCTGGTAGCGCGTGCCCTCATTCCGTCTCTTGGACATCCAGATCATGCATATTCCCTCCCCTCGGATGCACCCAACTCGAGGCATCGGCTTGTCTCGATCCCTCTCGTCGCGAAGCCCTAGGACCCTAATGTCTCTGACTCCGGGCAACCTAAGTAATGCCCCAGCGGTGCATTGTACTCTATACACCGTCCCGATTTGCGCGAACGCGTCGCAGCTTGTCCCTCCCAAGTTCCCGCTCAAGACGCATGCTTGCCGATCGCGAGCTTCATCGGCCTTAGCGAACCAGCGCGAGCGTGTACCAGGACACGTTATAGTGCGTGGATAGGAGGCTCTCTGCGTAGCCTCTTCTCCACCGGTGCGTTATCAAGCTCTGTCTTCCGATCGCCCGTCTGACTAGCGCGCCAGTGTACGCGTTGTTCGCGCAGTGCTGGAACCACTCATCCCGACGCCCCATCAAGCTCGCTTTCTCTTTACGCGCGACGTACTGCCCTATATTGAAGCGTCTGGGTGCGCTTGACCACCTTCCTTCCACGCCTCGCGTGCTCAACTTTACCCTGAGAGTCAATCCTCCCGCGGCGCGCAGCACACGGACCAGCGAGTCTTCTCCCCTCGACCCCTCGATCGACGAGGCACTCATCTCCTGCGCCCAACGCGTACAGAAGGGCTAGGACGTGCAGTATCCGACTGATGAGTCGTAGGTCGTCCGCCTTACATCGTCTGAGGTGCAGGCCTTCTAGCCGGCGAAGTGGAGGCACGACGCGAAGTTGAGGAAGGGCGTGAAGTGGAAGAAGGACGCGAAGCGGGGGAAGGATGCGATTGAGCGCGACATCAACGACCTCGTCGCCGAGCTGCGCGTTGAGGGCGTGTCGAGCATCAGCCTTCGACCAAATCCGAGTACTAGTCCCGGGCCGCGTCGCCAAGAAGGTGCGGGGGGTGAACCACCGCATCCTCCCAGTCGAGCTAACACCCTTGTAGGGCGCGACCGTCGGCATCAAGGTGTACTCCTTGCTCGCGCCGTAGGGTCACCCCACACATCTCGCACGCTCTCCTCTACCTCGCATTCAACGCTGTTCTTCCCACCTTTCTCCATCTCCTCCGCCATACCTATCACGCCGAAGAGGATCCTCAACGCCAATACACCGCACTGCAGGACTCCATCGCGTTCAATTTGCTTGAATGTTATCACGGGTGTCGGGGACTGCGGGCAGTCTTCGGATGTTTGACTGCATGGTCCCCGGCGTCGGGCGGAACGTACGCGATAGCGCCTGCAATGCGACTGCTGTCGAGCGGAGTGCGTCTACCGTTGACCGTGGCGGTCCGCCTCGATCAAGCGACAAGGACATCTCCGCCAGCCAAATCACTACCGTCGATGTCCCGAAAACGAACGTCTGCCAGTGGTCGCCCGATGGTCGGGCCTCAACACCACGACGCTCTGCGGGCATGCTCGTCGGCAACGGCGTGCTGTCCTGTCACTAGCTCGTGTGCTCGTGCACGCGCAGCGGGAGGACGAACCGTTTCTTAAGCGGGCGGAGGATGCGATGTCCTCGCGCGGGTAGGGGATGCACTTTGGCTTCCCGCGGACAGCTCGAGGACGTTGTTTCTGCCGTGGTCGGAGGTCGTTCCCTCATTGCCCGCCAGCTACTGCGCTTAGCGCGTCCGTGCTGCAGGTGGCGGATCAGTTGAAGTTGTCAACGACGGGGAACAAACCCGGGGCGCGTATCCGCCACCGCGCGCGAGGGGTGTGGCGGCGTAGAGCGTGTTCAAAACGCGGGGATGATGAAGGCGTAGCGGCGCGCGAGGGTATGGATGGTACGAGATTAGGGCTTGTGCGCGGAAGGAGTCCGGTCAAATCGGGCGCTGTCTACGAAGGGCGCAGTCAGATCCGGCTCAGCCGGGTTCTGTTCTTTCCGTACCATACCCTCAGCGAGGATTTCATCGCACATTGTTTCTCAGCGCGCATCACTATGTCGATGTCAATCTATCACTACAATTTTAGTGACAATGCAGTGAGCCTTCCTTATCCCCCGCGGCCGGCGACCCCCGTGGCTTTGGCAAACAAGCTCAAGCATCCTTAGCCTCCTACGCTCATGTCACCGCCAACCTCGTATACTTCGTTGCAGTACTCGCAGCCAGGTGAGCACGAGCATTGCCTTGTGTGCCTCACTACTGGCGCCTTGGCTTGCGGGTGACGATAATTTTCGGCTTCGCTCCCCCCTTCGCCATTTTTTTCGACGTCCATCATGCACCTAGAGTCGCCGTTCTTTGCGCCGACTCGGTCATAATCCAAGGAACATCTCGACGAGGTCGCAGCCTAGGATCCCTCGCCAAGCCTTCGTGGGCTACTTCGTGGCGTTCCTCGATGAATGAGGTCCTCCGTCGTTTCGCCTCCGCGAACCATAGAAGGGAGAGAAAGCTGCGGCGACGGGCGGCGGCATTCCGACGCCAGAGGGACGCCCTGGCGCCCGAGTTGAGTGATCATCTCCTTCGGAATATCAAGAGCAGGGAGTCGTACAAGTATCTCAGGCGCATCGCCACCGCCGACAACATCATCCTTTCGACTATCATAGGGATCGTCGAGCATTCCTCGCTCAGGACGGCACTGGGAAGCTTGCGGATTCTGTCGCTTGAAGACGACGACTAACACGTGCAGGCGCGAGGGTGGTCCTCGTCCACTCCTCGTGCTGCCTTGCCTCACATAGACCCCAGCCCGATTGAGCGCACATTTTCGAATGCGGTCGCCGCTTCTCGCATGACATTCTCGACTCCCGATGCACACACGTCCGACCTCCCTATGAGCGCTGGATTGCGTGCTTCTCTTATCTCGCCAGTAACGTTGGTTGTCGTGCCGCCTGAAAATATTCTGCGAAGGCTCGAGCGCGGGCTTGCGCAGAAGAGACGCGGTCCGCCACCAATCGTACAGTACGGCCCTTCGACATGCGTCCGTACGAGGTTCAGGATCAGCCAGGTATGCATTAGTCTGGAATTTGATCCCGCTCTCAAGATACACAGGGAGCGAGGTTCGGTCATACGCGCCCATTGCGCTCATCCGTTGAGCGGCGTCGTCCTTTGCCGCTCAACGATCGCTCTTACGAGGATGTCTGTCGGGTCTTCTGATTTCATGAAGCCATGCGTGAACAAGCTCACGCATTCGGCGTTAACATGAGCGGGGGTGTATGAATGGAGAGCGCGAGCCGAGCACGGATGAGAGCTGTGAACGTTGATGCAGTGAGTCTACTGCATTGCCACTCCTCTGCCGCAGACTGACACTGTTCTTTCTCTTCTTGCAGCGTTCGATTTCTTTTCGCTGGTCTGATCTGACGCAACCCTTCCCCAGATTTGCCCTCGCCTTCGTGGCGAATGCGGTCGTCGAACTGCTGAGGTACGGTCCTGAGCTTCGAGTCTACCGTTCCAAGGGCTTGATGTCATTCATTCAACCGCTCGCCGAGTACACATAGGACATCCTGATGAGACGGCAATCTCTCTAGAGAGATGTAATCGTTGTGGCTAGTCTCCTCACCGCTGGTTTATCGTACTCAACTTCAAGTAGAGGAGCGAAAGCAGCGCGAAGGGTCGGCACCGAATGGGAATGCTCCGAGGCAGCACGCGCGACGTCTTCCCCATCAACAAGCGAACAGCCTGACTATCGCTTTGCCGACCACTGATGTTTCAGCCAGGGATTATTCTGCTGCGAGGGGCATTGACAATAGTAGCGGTAGTCGTCGGCCCTCAGGTGTGTACCCTCCAATTTCGAGCCATTCACCTTCTTTCTTTTGACGCAATGGAGCGTTGTTTGCCTTGAATGGGTATGTCTCGAACTCACTTGACTCTCCTAGACTATATTTCTGTGTTTCCTGCTCGCGGTGAAGGCTCTATGGTGTCTGTACTGGTCGAAGGAAGCTGCCCTTTGAACCGGACCGACTTCCGGTGATTACAAAATGTGTTGATCCTGCTTGCCTCCCGCCACCATGTTCGCATGCAACTTCAACGAGGGAACAGATATTGGAATGGACTGAACGCCCTCAAATTTCCTTCGTCTAACGCTAATATCATAGTAAAGATCTATCGTTGTTTTGGCTTTGCGCAAGAAATCTCACGCCGGGATTGGCGCCGCGGTCGGCCGCCAGCGGGAAAGAGGCTTTGAGCAGATATGACCTGAGCGACTGACGCAACCCATGCATAGTCTCGTGACCTTACTTCTCAGGTCGCCTCGTGCCCCGCGAGAAGGTTATCGGCGAACAGCCCGCCGCCCACGCCCTGCGAGTAACACTCATCATTGGCCGTGACCTTCATCGCCTTCGCATCTCTGAATGATGCACCGCCATCCTCGACAAGCTACGTCTACCCCTGACTCAGGAGGACATGGTCGCTCACGAAGGGAGGCTCCTCGACGGAGAGACTTGGCTGCGAGCGCCGCAGCGGCAGCAGAGCTGACTCTGATCCCCATACGTGCGTCCCACGCTGCTTTCCTGGTATTCCTTCTCACTGACACGCCAGCACCATCGCCTACGACCGCATCTGAGGCATCTACGCCGTCGACCGGTACATCAGCCGTACCTGCGGACATCGACGCTGCGATCGCGCAGCGTCGAGTCACCTTCATCGAGGATCAACTGGCTTCCGGTTTGACGCCGGAATCCCTGTTCCTCGAGTTCAGCCACGGCGAAACTCAGCGCCGCGCCGAAGAGCCAGCATGCGACTCCACTCAGATCGAGGATAGACTCGAAGACCTCCAGCAGTGCTACGAGCAGCTCATCAGCATGGTCGCAGCTGATAGCGTTACTATCTTCGCTCTGATTCCTCGCGTCGGCGATCCGCAGCTCAGAGAAACACTGCAAGGCTTGAATATTCTGTCGCTCGGGAGGGTACGACGCGAGGGTTGGAGGCAGCCTTCACAACCTATCCAACGCAATCATGGGGAGCAAACAAACTCTGTTTCATCTGCTCCTACGAGGACGAACGATCTCAACTTCCCGGCTCCCTCGGCCCCCTCAACGCGTTCTTCCTCCACAAATTCTCCTGCGTCGAACGGTCACTCGTCCACTTCGCGCGCAGGCGTTCGACATTCCCCTTCCCCTTCTCCCACCAGCATCCTCTTAAGGCTTGGACGCAACCTAGAAAATGGGGATTTGCGTCCTGCGCAGTACGGGATTCCGTCCGCGACATCCGGTACATCCCTTTACTCACCATCATCGTCCTTTGGCGCTACAGTCTAATGAAATCCACCAGGTGGTCTCCCGCGAACCTTCACGCCGTTGCGCCATACATCGCGTGATGAATACGTCTGCCGCTCTCGATATGGCCTCGGCGCAGGGGCTGCGCCTGGCACACTCCAAAGAGAAACCGGAACTCTCGTTGTTGTGAAAGGGATATCCTGGCGTAGAAATGCGACTTCATGGAGGGAGTTCAGCTCGGAAGAACACCAGATCCTAGGGTCTTTGATGGTGCGTGTCGTCCTCGCGCATTGCAAGCACCTCCACTGATGAATGTCTACATCAGGTGCAGTCATACGTCCCGATTCACGAGAACATCCAGTTTCTACGCGACGTATTCTGCGACGAGGAGGACAGCGGCTGGCTGGTCGCGGTCTACGACTACATGCCTGTGAATCTTCGTCACCTCTTGCGCGACGGGCCTCTCCCGCAGTCTCTCACCGCCAGCATCTTCCTGCAGCTGTCTGCAGCGCTTGAGCACCTCCACCAGCATCACATCGTCCACTGCAATGTTTCTCCAGACCACATACTCTTGTCATTTGACGCGCAAGCAGGGAGATTGGACGTTAAACTGGCCGGTCTTCGCCATGCCATGCGTTCCAGGACGTCTCCGTCGGAGCGTCGCATCGCAGTGGATGCTGCAAGCCCACTATTCCCAGTTATGAACGGCACAGCACCTGGCACACAAGAGCTATCCGAATGGACGACGCGACGCAGGCACTTTGGCGGCGCGGCAATCCCTCCCCTTTTCTCGCGCTCGTCTCTCACAACGCGCGGGACCGGCAGACATGCTGGGCACACTGCTGAAATCCTTCAAGGCGGCTACTATGACGCGCCCGAATGGCACTGGTCAGCCCTCGAAGAACCATCTGAGAAAGCTGACTACTGGTCTCTCGGCGCCGTCGCAGCCGAGATGGTGCTTGGCGTGCCTCTGTTCCCCGCTCACGTGGACGCGCTTCCACCTATGTCCGCAGCGTCTACTAATTCAGGCGCGCCGCCGATGCACCCCTTGCTCGCAATAGCTTCTGTCCTGGGCAGTCCGGATCCCCAGCGACAATATGTCGTCGATGACTATGGTGGTATCATCGGAGGGGGTTCCTGGACGCAGGGTATGGAATGCGCGCGATCTGTAGGCCTCTACTTTGACTCGGTGAGCATTCGCGTCCGCACCACCGCTTCTAAACTCTCGTGTTCCGTGTTCTTCGACCCTCAGTTTACTGGTCGCGTTACGTGCTGACATGATCTCTGAACAGCCCTTCCAGCCCGTGGATCTGCTAGAGCACCTTCTCAAACGCGCCCCCGTTTTCCTTGCGCAGGCTATTATTGACCTTTTATGGTATAATCCTTCGCGTCGTGGACTCCACCTCGCCGAGATAGCGCTGTACCTTCGCCCACTCGCTGCTTGTGCGCCAGATGTACTCGCAAGGCGACACGCATCCCTAGCGAACAAGATGGACATCGAAGCCAATGCAGCCGGTCGGACGCCAGCGTCGTCGAGTCTTTCGCAGCCAGTATTGTCGCACGAGGCAACTCACAACTACGCGACGTCAAGGCGCCATGGAGGACCACGGTCTTCCGATGGACGCGCTTCGCCATACCAAAGCGAGAGATTCAATTCCGCTGCGGGAGATCGCGCCACATTGGGAGCGAATGGCGCCGCGCTGAAAAGGCTGGCGGAGCTGCTAGGGCCGCAAGAAACCGTGCGGGCCTTGGCGAGACGCTCCCCTCCTCCGCCTTCTGCTGTCCCTCGCTCAACCGAGCCCTCCGAGTCCACTCGCTCTTCTGTCACGCCCGACGACGAAGAGACACGCCCCCTTCAGCATAGTGCAGTTCCAACGCTGCTTAGCGACCTCTCTTTTCTGTCGCCAGCGACAACTCCCGATATGGCCTTACCAGTGTCTTGGGACAACAGAGAGCTCTCGCCAAATTCCACCCCCAGGCGACGCATTCGGGAATGGTTTCAAGGTGTCGTACCGGGGTACGTGACCCATTTCCCCCCTTGTCCATCATGCTGAATCGCGCCTTAGGTACCCCGCAACGCCGACTGCATCGTCGATATATTCTTGGCGAGATAGTAGTCTGTATACGCCGTCTGCCTCCGTCGCGACGCCTATACCATGACTTCTCCTTTGTTGCTGAGGGATTGGGGCGTCTGGGACGCCGGCACTATTTATCGTATCTGGAGGTAGTTGTGAGATATCTGATGTTCTGTCAATGAAGTACTGAACACACTGACCTGGACTGATGATTCTCCATTCGCCCACGCGGACTAACTGCTCCCTTAAGCTCCCCACCGGCTTCCCCGTGAAACTCGAATCCGCTTCCTCAACGTGATCATCCTCTGAGGTGGTTCCGTCGCTTTCGACATCGTTCCCCGTGTCGTCCTCAGAGGGATCTGTGACCTCGTCGCTCTCCACCTCAAAATCTTCTATAGAACCGTAGAGGTGGGAGTTTGTATATGCATGGCGCAGCGTCGCCACCTGGCAGTTGCCTTGTATCGCCGGTGTGAGTCTCAAGCGCACCAACCGTACAACGAGCGGATGCGGGACGGGATAGACCCATACGGACAAGAGGGGAGGGCGGAAAGTGAGCTCGGTCTGGACCTTCGTCCTCGGAGTTGACGAGCGTGTCGGGCGTTCTAGATGACAGTACTCTCCTTGCCCTGGCGCGTCGCGGGAGAGACGCCCTGGTACATCTGGAGATACAACTTGAGCTCGTACGCGTCTGGATCCAAGGATTCATTAGCTTTAAAGGCAAGTTAGGCATGCAGAAACTCACCGACGAGCACTATCTGAACTGCTAGGAACACGCGTGCGGTGGGAATGCGCTGGCGCCATGGACTGCCTGCATCCGTCCTTACGAAATGCTGAGCGGCCTCTTGCAGGTCGGGACACCGATTGCTACAAGACGACATCTTGAGCCTGAAGACACAGGACCATATCTTCAAGGCGCCAAAGAGGGAGAGAAGGACGGTGAAGGCGTTGAAACGGCGGAGCAAATACGGTCGCTTCGCCCGGGGTATACCACGTCAAGACGTGCATAGCGAGGCAACTGACTGACAGCGCGGGTCGCGCTATATCTCGACATTAAATCTGCTAGAGATGCGTTTAATATAGGAGTGAAATGAATGACAGCGCTCTACTCACCGACAGTCTAAGGGGAAATGATACCTGTAGAAATCTATGTCGCCGAACGGACAACGCCGACGAACGATGCCAGAGATCCACCATCGCAGAGAGCAGGTGTCGAGGGAAGCTTCGCATTCCTCTCAGCGATGCGGCGCGGTCCGATCAAAGATGTTGTCAATGGACGACGAGCAAGGATAACTTGTAAGGGGACGAGGTCGCCGTCGAGCTCGGTTCCGAGCGATGCGCATCGAGGGTATAACATATCAGCACTGCACGACTCGTTTCAAAGATCCATACTCCAAGCATTGGGTATGATAAAGAAAAGAGTCAAGGAACGACGACCGCGTCCGTCGAAGTTCGAGTTCAAGTTCATACTATCATAGACGTCACCTGCTGGACCACGCGAGCCACGTGCGAGTTTGATCGGCGTGCGAAGACGGCGACAGAGTCGACCTTCTCCTCCTCCTCGTCACTGCCCCTCGTGCTGCCCCTTCTCGCTCCTTGAACTCCCCTGGCAGAGTCCGCTCGCTGCTAGTACGGACAGCGACGCGCTCGAAAGTGCTCCCTTTCGACCGCGCACGCGCCAAATCTCGAAAATCCACGGCAATTGCAAGAACATTGGAGTTCCCCCGCAGAGCGCGATACGTGCGTCCTCATCGCCTATCGTGACCTTTGAAGGGTCTGAACACTACACAGATACATTGCCACTGTCCAATACATGCCGGCGCGCTGGAACTGACTCGCTCGGCTAGGTCCTTCCCCGCTCCCGGACTCCTCTTCCCCGCCCTCCGCGCCGTCCATGACCGCCGCGCAGTCTACGAGCCCATTCCCTGCGTCGCGCTTCGCCCGCTTCAACCCCTTCAAGACGTCTTCTGCTAAGCCCTCTGCCCCACCGACGCCCGAGCCCGCGTACATCCCCTACAACGGCCCCGTCGAGCCGCCCGCCACGCTCCGCGCACCCGCGCTGCCCGACAATCAAGCCAGGGACAGCTGGGGCGACCTGAAGATCGACGTGTCGCGCGCGAACACGCACTCGGCGGGTGATTGGGGCGTCCCGGACGCGGATACGGAGTGGCAGTCGCGGTACGGCGCGGAGGTGATCAACATCGCGAGCGAGGCGCTCGCGCAGACGCGCGCGAACCAGGCGGCGGTGGCGGGGGAGGCGTCGGGGGCGCCCTACGCGTCTCTGTCGGCAAACAACTATCCGTCTTCGTCCCCATATGCCTCGAACGCCGCGTATCAATCAACTTACGTCGATTCGCCCGCGCCATCCCCCAGTCCATCTGCTGAGAGCCCTCATCACTTTCCTCCAAGCCCGCAGCATCTCTCCCCGCGCCCCCCACCCTCGTCCTCCCCGCGTCCCGGCAAGCCTCACAAATCGCCCAAGAGCCCGCGCAGCATCACCAACCTCATCGCCGCCGCGTTTTCTAGCTCGAGGAAGGGCACTGCGTCCGTGCCGACGTCGCCGCGACACCTACGACCTGAGGCCTCGTCGTCCACGATGCGCGAGCAATCGTACTTCTCCAATCCCGTCCTCGAGCCGATACCGGACAACCTGCGGAGACCAAGTCCAGACGGGTCGCGCTCTCCGATCATGGATAGCATGCGCAAGCAGAGCTCGGACGGGACGCGCGCACCAATTCCCGATGTCCTGCGCTCTCCGCCGCGGAAGCTTCAGCACAGCGCGTCGGCGGAGTGGAGCTCTGCACCTCGCGCGCGCGTCGATAGCTACGCGCCGAGGGCGAGGGTCGACAGCTACCAGCCCGCCGCGTATCAGTCTGCGACAACCTCACGACTCCGACCTTCGATACCTGCACAGTACACGACTGTCGAAGCGCCGTCCTTCTCCCTCTCGCCCTCGCCTCGTAAGCCGTCCTTCGACGCACGCGACTTTTCGCTCGCTACGGATGTCGCGCGCGACCATTCGTTCGACACGCGAGAGCCGGCGCAGTCCTTCGATACAAGGAACCCGGCGCCGTCTTCGAATGCGTATGAGCCCTCGCAGTACGGCGGGGAACCCTCGCAGTATGCTCGCGACTCCGCACCTAGCCAGTACGCGTTTGAGCCTGCCGAGGAGCGCGAACGCGAACCGCGGCCAAGCACACAGGTGTTCGGGCAAGACGTGTATGTGCGCGAGTCGTGGGCTGGACTGCCGCCGATCGTAGCGAGCGCGTCGAGTGGGGTATCCGCCGGCTCTCGCGCGCGGGGAGGCGCGTCCGGTGCGCAACCGAGCTCAAGCGCCGTGCAAGAGTCGACCGCGCCATGGATATCCACCACCTTCAGCGCGCCGCCGCCCTCACAGATCGCCGCCTCGCGGAGCGCGCCGCCCGTTCCGACGTCCTATCCTTCGACTGTGCCGAGTTCGTATTCGCCGCCTGTATCGCCGCATCCGTACGCGTATGGCTCGACGAGGGAAGAGGAGGGTAACGAGGATGAGTTCGGGGGGAATCGAGGTACGTCGTGCGTAATTGAGTGTAGACAAGGTGCTAACATGCTGCCCAATCGTAGCAATCCCGCGCTTTCATCTTCCGAACCACCGTCTCAAGGCCTCTATCTCTGTTCCCAACCTTCGCGTTGTCCATACCCCGCCTCCGCTCTCTACGTCCCCCAAGCCCAAGTGGGAGCCGCCAAAAGGGCGAGACAAGTGGCTCTCGGCGGAGACGTGGTGCGACGCGTTGCTCCTGCCTCGTCCACGCCTCCGACTACGCTCTCTGACGGGCAAGATGGGCGCGTCGCTCGCGGGGAGCAAGCCCGGGAGCGCTGGCAAGGGCTCGACAAGCAAGGGCTCCATGGCGGCGGCCAGCATTGGCAAGTCGACGCCGAAGTCTTCGTTCGCGGCGGGTACGGAGGGTGACCAGTACGCGTCGTATGCGGCCACGCTGCACTCGAATGCTCCGCCGTCGAGCTATGCGTATGTTTCAACGTCGTTGACGGGCGGATATCAGCAGCAGCAACACGCGTCGAACCTGCACCCGCCTGACCACCCGCATCATCATCAACAGCACCTGCATCCTACTAACCGCATTGTGTCGCCACCGGGGAGCCCGCTTGCGCGCGATTACGCCGCATTGCCGGGGTCGAGCATTCCGTCTCGCGTGCTTGCTCATTCGCGCTCGTTGGTCGACCTCGTGCGCCCGGAGCGGGAGGCTATCGAGATCGTGCGAAGGATTGGAGATGAAGATGAAGATGAGGTCGCTGGTGTAGGGCATCGACGGCAGCCGAGCGGCGGGCGTCACGTCGAGGAGCATCGCAGACTCGCAAGCGGTGGGGCTCGGCGTGAGGTAGACAGGGCGGAGGCCGTCGCGCAGCTCGAAACGCCTGGCGCGGGACCGTCGACCTTGCGCGCGGATCCTCGCCCGCCACATCTCAAGCCACCTCGTCCTCGTAGCTTTGCAGCGGACGATCTATCGTTGCCTAGTCCGGTACCGTCGTTGGCGAAGTACGTCTCCATTCCCGTCTCGTCATATGTGGTGCTTACATTGCCTTGCAGAGTTCTCGAAGAAGGCACTCTCCTCGAAAGCCAGCGCGCCAAGTGGCAGGAGCAAGCGACCGGCTCCCTTTTCAACAAGCGCGCGCGGAACCTCTCTCGCTCCCGCGCGAAGAGCCTTACGAAGGGTGGCGCCGCGGATGCGAAGGCGAAGCTCAAGAGGCCTGAGCCGCCTGCTGAGTTCGACTTCGGGCTGGGGACGGTCAAGCTGGAGGGGCCCTCGAAGACGTGCGTGCAAGATCGCAGGCGCGAGAGAAACGACATCGTACTGACAGCAGGTCTAGGTACGACTCGGGCGCACTGAGGAAGAAGAAGCCGCATCGAGTGCAGGAGAGTATCGACTTCCTGGGCGCGCGCGCTTTACTAGGCAATCAAGCGCCTGTACATATACGACTTGAGGAGCCAAGGAAGGAGTCGGGATCTCTGCGTCGACAACGAAGTCAGACGACAAGCGAGGGTATGAATCCTCACTTTCGTTCTAGATCTCGTCACTAACCTGTTTTCGTAGGGACCTACAACCGATCGTCGCAGGGCACTCACGTGCCCTCGCACGCGCACAGCTCGTCGCTGACGAAGACTATCAGCAAGACCTCCCATTCGCATTCGCACTCGAGCTCGTGGAGTCGCAGTGCCGGACATGCTGTCAAAGCGAGCGTGCGCGGCGCGGCTGCCCTTTGCGGCTACGACGGCCAACCCCTTCTCACACCAATGTCTGAGCGAAGGGAAGAAGACTGGGGCAATGTACGCTCGACCGACCGTCTCTCGCCTATCGCTGCGCACTCGCAGGATGGAACGCATCTTTCGCCGACGTACCCGGCGCGCTCAGGAACTTCGCCGACACCCTCCAAGGTGGGTATTGCGCTGTCAACACCGCCGCCGCCGTCCGCGTCAAGTCGCGAAGAAGCGGAAGAGCTCGGGAGCGGGTTCAGGTTCCCGGCACATCCGTATGCGCAGGGAGGGCGCTTTACGGTTACGCCTCAAGCAGGGGCTTCGTCGAGTGGCAACACACGACGAGGAGCAGAGTACGCAGGTGCACACCCATCGCAAGCGGGGGCCCACGCCTCGCGTCCGTCGCAGGACGGCCTGCTTCATCCTTACGCAGCGGCGCAAGCAGGCCAGCGCGACTCGTACCAGCGACTCGTCGCTCAGCCCCGTCCTGACTCGGACGCACCACCCTCAGCCGCGATGTGGACTGCGTACTCGCCGTCGGGTGTCTTGCGCGAAGTCCTGCCGGACGACCTCCGTTATTCACCGTACATCTCCAACTTCCCTGACAGTGGCGCTCAGGAAGTCGAGGCCCGACCTCGTCCGGCTTACAGCGACCCGAACACGCCTCCCATCAGCCCCGAAGCGCGCAACTCGACCATGATCTTTGACACCGCTGGCGTCGGCGAGATACTCGCAAACGCGATGAGCAGTGACCGGAGGGAGAGGCGAGAGCGTCGGGAAGCAGCACGACAAGGACTCTCGCCGCGCGCAGAGACGAATGACGAGCCTGCTTCGCCATCACATCGCGTAGCTCGACGACCTGTGCAGTACGACGCAACGCGCCCATTGTACATCCAGAGCAAGTCGGACAGCACGGCCCACACCCTGGCCTCTTCCCGCGTCCAGCCTCCATCCCCTGGAGCGGACTTTTTACAGATGATTACGCCCGCAGCCAGCTCGTCACGTCTTGCTGACGACGTCGCGGCTGCAAGAGGCGAGTTGTCCGCGCCGATGTCGGTGTACCCGATCACGAGAGTAGAAGAAGTCTCCGACCACGCGCCATCCCCTCGCTACTCCCCGATAGGCATTGGACACCTGGAGACGCCCGGTCAGAGCCGAGCAAACCTTTCCAGTCACTCGTCGCAGGAGGTGACTTCGTCCTCGTCGTCGCCGCAGATGTCTCCTCGTGGACTTGGGAGTGCGGATGACCTAGAGAGCTTCCACGACCTCTTCTACCGACCGGGCGCGTCGAACGGACAACACATGCCACGGGCGAGCTCAGGGTCTGGCGTACAGATCTTCCGTCCTGGAATGGAGCGTCATGAGAGCATCGACGCCGCTCTTGACTTCGTGCCACCTTTTGCTCAGGCTCAGCGAGGAAGCGGGGTCAGCCGAGGCAGTGGACTGACGTCGCTTGCTCGGCATGTGTCTGACGAGCTGGAGGAGATTGTTGAGTACCAGCGTCTCGCGCCGGATGGCGTCCACTTAGGCGAGCACGATGACGACGACGACGCGTCGCGCTATGTGCGCGACTCCCGCTACACACTCGAGGCGGAGTCGAAGTACTCCAGGGATACGGAGTCGCGGTATACGCGGGACACTGACTCGCGTTACGCGCGCGACTCGCAGTACGTACGAGACGACGAAGCGCCGCAATACGTGCCATTGGTGCCACAGATCAATTCGCGGCAGTCCGTGGAGGAGCGCATTCCGCGCTCGGCGTCGTCTGATCTTGGTGACGATCTCGGAGGCTCGCCTATTGAGGAAGAGGATGGTGTGTTCCATGCCTCGCTACGCGCGTTCCGTATGCTGATTGTCTGATCAGATACCGTGCAAGTTGGTCTCGTTATCCCCGTATCCACTCCGCCGGCATCTGCAAGCGACCCCCATCGCTCTTTTCAGGGCGATGTAGCCTACGCGCACGACATGTCAACCCGCGTGTCAACGAGGCGCTCCGATGCCCTTTCTCCCGCCAGCGAGCGCGTCAACTCGTTGCAACCTCCATCTATTCAGGCTCGCAGCAGCTATATGACATCCACATCGGGCGGCTCGCGCATCTCCGGGCTATCCGACTTCCCCGTCCCGCCGCCCAATCCGGATCTCACGCCGGCGCACATGTCGTTGCTCAGCTCGTACTTCGATGGCGCTACTGCATCCACCGAGAACCTCGCTGACGTGCGCCCTTTGAACCCAAAGCGGACGACATTCGGGCTGGAGGAGGACGAGACCGTCGACGGCCATTTCACTGCTCGGTAAGGCTTGTCGAGAAACGCATTTCGCCGATGTTTCTACATGGCCCTCGCTGGCCCCTATACCTTGTCTGCGCACGGATACTTTTGGAATACACACTACTGACAGATCGTTCACATTGTTCTCACCCGCCTCGCGACACCCACCATGTACCTATGTTGTTATGCATAACGCTATGTATCGTATAGATGCCGTTACACATAATCCCTGCGCGCTTCTGCCTGCGCCTCTCCCGCTCCTTTATGCTTCCTAGCTTCTCGCACTGTCCTTGATGTCCGCTGCACTTACCGTAACAAGTACCTCCTAATCTTGGAAACTCGCCTTCACTTCTCTGTCGTATTTTGTTGTGAAATACCGCCATTACCTCCTTCACATTAGTCGTACTCAATTCGACGTCTGAAAACGCCGTCTGAAATCCTGCGCGTTGCTGTCGCCGCGCTGCCTCGACGACGGTTGCCAGAGAGCAACGGCGGCGTGCCTAGCGGCGCGCACGTCCGAGCTGCCGCCGATCCACGCGATCGCGCACGCGCGCGGAAAGTCCCGGTGGCACGTGGCCGCGGCCGCGAGCGCGGCGGCGCGTCGCGAAGGTCGCGCTCGTCCCCGTATTCAGTCTATCCTACGCGCTCATATACCTTTATATCGCTTTAATATCAATGTCTTTCTCTCCTCACCACCCGTCTCATAACCCTGGAGCTGCACCGTGGCCCGAGGGTACATTCCCAGGCCATGGTGACATGCTTCGTTCTCGAGAAATCACACTCGCGCGATGGCGAGCTGTCGAGCTGCAGGACTACGCGCGTGCGCGAGAGCGCGAGAACTACCAGCAGCGGCCTATCCAGCCCCCTCAGCTACCCCAGCTCTACGGAACTCCCACCGCACATTCTCGATCACAAGACGCGCACAACACCTTCCCAGCCTCCGACTATCAACAAACTCGCACACCCATACGCCCCCAACCCAACTCACAGAATCATCCCACCCCCCCGGGTCTTACTTCTCCCCTCGGTCCATCCGGATGGGGCGTCTACAACGAGTACGCGGACCCGCGTCGACAAATGCTCCGTCAATGCGATCACCCCGCTCCGCCACTCTCACAATCTCCCTCGGGCCACACCGCCCCCTTCCCAGCATCCCTCGACCCTCGCGCATACCTCACGACCACCCCTCTGCCAAAAGAAAACCGCACGCCGGCCGTTGACGCAGCGGCACGTGCACGTGACTCGCGCGACTCGGAAGACGCGCTGGCGGGCAGTTCGCAGGGCACGTCCACGGCAAATTCCCGGGCGGCGCCCGCCAAGGGTGGCCGTGGGAGGACGGCGAAGGCGGACGGCGCGAAGGCGGGTGATGCGAAGCCTGCCAAAGCGCAGAAGAAGCGCAAGCGCAGCGACTCGAACACAAGTGTTGAGGACACTACCGAGACGCTGACGCCAGAGCAGAAGGTCAAAGCGTCCATCGCAAGCGTCGAGACGGACCATCGCAAGCTTACAAAGGCGGAGAAGGAGGCCTTTATCGCGCACATCACGCAGAAGCAGTACTGGAAAAACTTGAAGCTGCTGAAGATGACAATCATCCGGCAGGTGAGCACTGTCCCTTTCTTCTTCGATGTCCATAGGGCTTATGTCATCTCAGTATATTCCGGATAACCAGCTCATGCACATTACCCCTCGCCAGCTCGACAACTACTTCCGGGACGTCTACAACGGCAAGTACAAGGCCATTCTGGACCTTGAGCGGCATACGGGAGGGGGTGATGGGGATGCAGATCGTGAAGAGGAATTTCCAGACTCAGAGGATGAGGACACCTTCACCATTCGCCCGCGTGACAAGGCACCGAAGGGCTCGAAGTATTCCAAGGAAGTCCTCTGGCGATTCCAGCACGAGGATCCTGTCTTCCGCATGCTGGACAAAGCGTATGTCATCCTTTTCATTGATGATATATGGCCCTGACAGCTCCTCAGTGCATACCGTGACCCCGAGGCCCGTAAACAACTCGACTTCGATATGGAGACACCTGTCTCAGATGGTGACTCCGACGTCATCGAGGTCAGCGCTCCAAAGACGGCGGGCAAACCAGCCTCTCAACGTGGTAAGCGGGCCAAGCAGGATCCCGACGATGCTACAGCCCATCCCAACCACCAACTCCTTCGGTCCCACGTGGCGGCGATGTCCGAACGGCATGCAGCGTCGTTCGAGCTGAAGCGCAAGGAGCATGAGCTGGCGCTTGCACGTGATGCCCGTGAGCGTAAGCTCGCAGAGCAGAGTGAGCAGCACCTTACTCTTGAGCGCCAGCGCCTTGAGCTTGATGCGAAGCTGCGGGCCAAGGAGATCGAGTTGCAGGCTTGCAAGATACGCGAGGATCAGATGGAGCGCGCGTTGCGCATGATATCATCTGACCAACCGTTCCTGGTGGAGAAGGGTAAGGAACTGTATCGGAAGCTGGAGGAGGAGGAGAAAGAGGGGGCCCGTCTTGTATAGATTTACTTGGACTTCTAATCTTTGATCATCTTTTACCGTATATTATTACGCTTTTAATTCCCATTTTACTGTTATATGATCTATGCGGGAACTCTGGAGCCCGCGTGGGATCATCCGTGGTGCGACACTTGTTAACATAAAGTGGTCGCGTACTCGGCGAGAGTTGAACGTCCGTTCGGCGATTCCGCCTTACCAACGTTCGGCCCATTTGCGGATACCGCTTACCAGCCTAACCCTCTGATCCTGGTTTTTGCAACAGAATGGGGTTTGAATCAGATTGAATCTGTTGATTAGGGTTAGGATTAGGGCTAGAACTGAGGCCGTTATGCGCCTAGTTTGGTTAGAGCATGGTCCGGAGCCTGCAGAACTAGGGCCGTTATCAGCTGTGCAAGTAAGACTTTTGCAAAAGATCCCGATAACTGTCCGCGAGCCTATTGCAAAAGTGACGAATGTGTTATCAGCACTGCCACAGGCCCCGGCCAGGTCGCCGGGCAGCCTCCGGCTCACACCCGATGTGGTAGGCGACCCCCCGGCCTCACCGGTCGGGCTTTTCCGTCGCACGCGACGCGCGCCTCCCGCCGCCGCCAAAATTGATGCGCACGCTGTTGATGCGCCGCCACCCGCGCTATGGTGGCTGTGCCGTGAACAGGGTCACATTGCAACGCGCGCCATCGCTGCTCCCTCATTTCTCGTGTGTATTAGCAACAAAAAAGAGATAAATTATATAGCCAATAGAATATCTACACGTGATAAGGGTATGGACAGAGTGTATACAAAGTGGAGGGGAGGGGAGTACGTGAGATTGCCAGCCCTTGCGTGGGACGTAGGTGCGATGCTGTCCCATCGTGCAATCGCGCAGCGCATCTTGGGGGCATGCAGGGCGGTCCCCGACTTCTCCCGAGTTCGCACGAAGGAGATGTAGAGGAATACGGAAGATCGGAAGGGAGGAAGGAAGGACCGCGACGCGCGCTCATCATTGCCGTGCGCGCGGCGTGAAGGGATCGGCGAGATAGCTGAGGAGCCACGTTCCTCGTGCTCGCATTGAGCACAGTAAGGATTGGCGCGGGGAAGGGGAGGAGGGATTTGCTAGGCGGTGGAGTGCGGCTATGCTGGTGCGCACATCCTCCTCGGCATTGCCAAAGGGAGGGGTGCCCGCTGGCAGCAGGATAGCGCGAGGGGCTGAGGGGGGTGGGGGCTTGTTGTTGCTTCTTAGAGCGACGTGAGAGGAGGGGACGAAAGGAGCGGGGGAGATGGTGGTGGTCGAGGTGAGAGGGAAAGGGCGCTGTGCAGCCGATCGTAGCTCACACGCGCAATTGCGATAGCGCGAATGCGCCACCACTGCAAGCCATACTCGTTGTCAGCACATATCTGAATACGGTGCACGTTTGCGCACCGTTACCCCAGACTTTCCGGCAACCCAGGCGATCCTCGCGTCGGATTCAAGCCAAAGTATGGGGTCTTGGCATGCGCGCATCACAGCTGTTGTCGACGTGTCCGGGGCGAGGGGCGTGGGAGGCAGACAAGGAGAGCTCATATAAGCGAGAAAGAAGGCATGGTTTGAGCAGCGAGAACATCCAGCCGCACGGCCAGGGCGGTGGCGGGAGTCGTGTAGTTCGGGTCTGCAAAATTGTGTCTCGGGACCGTCGGGCTTCCGGTCCGGACGTCCGAGAGTCGTCGTTGGCGTTGAAAACGGCCTCGGAAACATGCGCTAAGGCTCGGACGCATAAGAACAGGGCGCATATGACAAGGGACTAGTAAGTGGCCCCAGGGCATGTACGAGACCTGCAAGTTAAGAACATGCGAGAGCATTTGCAGTGAAGTCATGATCTGAGTAAGGAAACCTTCGAACACGTCAAGATTCGAACACGCACGGAAGATGCCGATAATGGCACATGACAAGCCCCATCAGGGCAAATGTCCTAGTCACGCGTATGTAGCGTCCGTAGCGAATGTATTCGAAGTGGTACGAGCGGTACGACAGCAAGCAGTGTATACAGCGGAAACGAAATACGAGGCCAGTTGTCATTACGCCATTGGGTATCCATCGAGACAGAGGCGACGGCTACAGCTGCACGCGCGCCTTCTTGCGAGGAGGACTCTCGTCTTCTTCGGCAAAGTCGGACGTGTGAACTTCGTCGGAAGGACCGTTGTGAACCTGGGAAAGAGGTAAGGACAATAAGATCCCAGAAGAATCATCCTACCCTCTGAGAGACCGGTTGTAAGCGCGCTCTCAGCGCGGGGTTGTGTAGCATAGGGTTGAAGTTCATGCTGAGGAAGATTATGTCGTCGTCCTCCTTCGCGGCGACGACGGATGTCGTTGCGATCGCGGGCGCCGCGGGTAGCGAGGGCTATGCAGCAGTCAGTTATGGGTTAGGGAGCAATACCCTGCGACGTACGTTGTCGATCTCCCCATCGAAGATGTCCAAGATGTTGCGGACGACAGTCTGTCGAGCGCCCCTAGTGCGCACCCACTCGGCGAAGAAACGAGTATCGGTGGCCGAGGGTGGCTGGCTGTGGAAGAGAGTGAAGTGCGCACTCTTGAGAACCATGGAGAGAACTTCGGCGTCGGTGCGGCTATCCATGACATGAGCGGAAAGGAACTGGACAGCGAGCAATTCAACACGCACCCTTCAGAGCCCCGAGCCATCGTAAGGTCGGTGAAAGCCTTGAGGAGCTTGCAGTCGCCGAAGACGCGGCTCTGAGACCAAGATCTCGGGCCAACGAAGAGCAGGCGTTCGATCTCGGGCATGATCATGAAACCACCTGTGCGATAAATCCATTTGAACTGCCAAGAGTTGAACAGCACGGAGTCTGCGAAAGTCCCCGCTCTGAGAAGAGCGTCAGCGGAAGAGGCCGTGAAATAGGTGGGAAGCTCACGTATCGTCGAGATCGATGATCCAGGTACTCTTGTCACCGACGTAGCGCGTCAGCGTGCACATTTCCCGGCCCATGCGCTCCCATTGCTTCAAAGTCACCGTCTTTGCGAGCGCGAAGCCCCGATCGATATACTTATCGAGGGTTCCGACGCTCAAGTCGATGAATCGTATACCGGTCTTCTTGAGGAAAGTATTGACAGGGTAGAGGGAGTAAGCGGACCGATGGGAAATAATGTTCATGACGATCGCTGTGCAACGTTGAGCGCGTGCACAAGGAAGGTCAAGAAGAGCCAGACTCACTAGAGTGAAAATCGAGAACAGTGTCGATGGCAGAATGTACCCCAACCATGACTTGGATGACGGCGTCGCCGCGGACGAATGAGAAGGCGTCGAGGACAGCGCGCTGGTTGTATATAGCTTCGTCGCGGGTTGCCAACTGATTGATGGCGCGCCGGAGGGCGTCGTCGAGATTTTTGTCCTGCGCTTTGCGGGCCTTGTAGGTGTACCCCAGGTCGATGACGAAAGCGAAGAGCGTGTGAGCGTGGTGACCTTCGGTGTACAAGTCGAGGTCAGCGTCGCCAACAACGGTCCTGGCGAAGTAATGCATGGCGACAGAGCCGGAGATGAGCGTACCAGTCTGGCGCATGACGTGTCGGAAGGGAAGGACATCCTGCTCGCGCATGAACTTGGCAAGGGAGTGGGCAAGTCGGAAGGCCCTGCTGCTATAGTCGCTGACGGCGCGCCGGTTGTTCCTGTCGACCATCGACCAGTTGATGAGGTCCTGCTGTTCGAAGCAGCTGCAGAGCGGATCGTCGCAGGTGGGTGGACTGTGGAAGGTGTAAGTTCAACGGACGAAGACGAAGGAGAGGTACGTGCAGCGGCCTGTACTTCATGGGCGGCATGGTCGTCAAGAGCAAGAGCGATTCGGGACGCACCGGAGCACGGGAGACGGCTGAACCTTATTTACCTTGATAGGAGAAATGTCCGCACCATCTGTCCGCAAAGCCGAACATCAAATTTCCGCGTCGAGGGTACACCACATACCATATGGGCGCGCAACGTGTGACGCTTGCTGTCATCGATTCACGCATGATTCTGATCGTCTGCGAGGTTAGGGGAGTGACTGGGCAAAGTAAGGAGGTGCCTGGAGATGAAGGAGGGCAGAATCGAGTGCGAGGCGAGCTGTTATCAGAGGATGACGTTCTAGCAGAACACCACTGCATATCCAGTCCATCTCGGCAAGTAATACAAGTCTGGCAGCGTAGCGAGCACAGGCGGTGAGTCGAAGCCAAGCGCGCGGAAGCAGATAGTAGTGATGCAATGACAAGGGTGTTCTGGGCCATTTGTCCGTTTTAGGACACACGCCACAAAGCACGAGGAGTGGACGCCACAAAATAATTCGCGTTGAAGAGCGACTTCCCACTGCTATCTACATAAAGCACCTCTGGACATCCCCCCTCACCCCCCTCATCCCACCTCACCGGACGTCTGCTGTGATCTCTCGTATATGACCAAGACTGCGGGCTTTATTTCGCCACCACGCGTCCGCCATGTTCCAAGTTCTTCAGGGTTGACTCTCGCCAACTCGGCTTCCTTCTCGCATACGTCGCCGTTCACCATTCCGTCGTGTTTGAACAACGTACCTGAACTATCCACAACTCGACACGTGAAGTGATTCTCCCCAGCGTATACGATACCGCGAAGGACCATGGTCACGCCGTTGAAGTCGACGGTATGTGAGATGATCATCTCGGACGTTGACCTGTCTAGACAGAGAATCTCTGGGATTGTTCTTACGTTTACCTCGCCTGCTGTGGCGCAGCCGCATGATGCACAGTTCAGGCGCCGAGCCCTACCCTTCAGGACTTCCGACAACCAGTCCGCGGTTGTGAACCTGTGTGGACGCCTACCGTTTAGCAGGTTCCGCATGTAAAGCGGTTGGCATTGATGTAAGGCCGTTCTATTCGCATTCCTCGTTTGTCCGCATCTCAAACAGCGCATGGTCCGTGTAGCGATGATATGCTCACCAAGCGTCGCCAGGGCCAGGCGATACACGGATGCGGGGCGACTGCCGTAGGGGAAGCTTTCCGGGTCATGCGCGTGCAGCTTTGATCTAACGATATCCCTTGTAGCGGACCATGGAGTCGTCGGATGCTGGAGGAAGTGGGCCCATCGCTCAGTAAGTTCTTTGGCAAAAGGGCTCAGCCTGCAAAAATAAGGCGACCATCTGACCGGGTTACCGATCCATATAGCATGTAGAATGGTGAACAGGGAGTCGTATGGGCAGCTCCAGTCATCGGAGTTCCAAACGTACCCACGAGGAGCCGGCCGAGTTTCTATGCGCAACTCGTCTGTTCGGCGGTGTTTGAAAGGTCGGTCATGTTCATGTGAAGGCCCATCGTTATCCTCCTCACGCTCCCGGCGCTTAGTCCGCTTGGGCCGGCGTGCGTCAGGACCTTTCTCGTTCTCATCTTCTTTCTCGGCGTACTGCCACGTCTGACGCCCGAAGGGCTCGTCTATATCTTCCCATTCATTTGGTGAGTGCCAGCGAAGTGCGTGGTGCAGATGCGGTAGCTCATAGTCATCCCCTTTCCAGTCGAGGAAAGATCGTATCAGCCGGTTCCTGGTATTTCCCGACACACAGGCCGGTAGCTGCTTCAAGTATCGCAGGCGGGTAATGTCGTTGAGTAGCTCAAGGTTTCTGAATTCTCGCTTTAGCTGATCATCGAGTCCTCTCGTTATGACAGGCTCGTTGATTGAAGACACGATGGCAGTTCCTGCGGCCGATGAACTGCGGGAAAGAGCAGTGTAATACGATTGGTGAGATCGCGAATTTGATAGGTTGACGACATTGACAGGCCTTGTCTTTCCTTGGGACGCATAGTCCGTCATCGAGAAGTTGAGTAAGACAGGGATTTGACGACGCTCAATCGTGACTACTTGATCATTTGGCAGTTGGCAACGCAATCGCGGCTCCTTGTGAGGAGTCAATGGTACGACGTTCTCTTCTAATCCCTCAATATTTACCGTCTTCGGTGGGTTGACGAGCTTGACATATAGTACGTCGAGAATCCGCTGCTTATCTTCCCCTCGAGACATTGACCAGTCGTATACAATCGCCTCCTGACCTCTTGTAATGCACAGCTCTGTGGCGATATTCGAGCGTATCATGACAGGCATACCCTTACACAGATCGAGGCGGCCAGCGACGTGTCCGGTGAAGCAAGGTAACGAAGACCAAAGCACGCTTTGCATAGGCTCGCTTAATCCAGATCCTCCCTGAACGGTCGCCTTCCTCCGCCTTTTCTTATCCTTCTTCTTAGCGGGCACAGTATCCTCGGATGCTCGCGTGTCGCACGAGTAGAACGAGGTGAGTTCTTGGCCAGTATCCTCGGCGAATCTTTTGGCTCCTAGCTCGTTGAAAGCATCTTTCTCAGAATTCCAAGCAGTTATTATGGATACATCCCTGAACTTGGGGTCGCTGAGACTAGGCGCGAAAGGATTGCTGCCGACTACACGACTGCGCAAGAAAGTGATATCTTCCAAGGTGCACGCTGCGTATCTCATATTTGCCAAGGCACGTGCCATGGCGCGATCCTCAGGCGTCGCCGACCTCATCCTCATATTCTCCGACAGGATAACGACCGTCGTCACTTGATGCCACATCGCTTTGCCGATTATATTCATCTGTACAGCGAGAGACATGCGCTTTCTCTCCACGTCTGTCTGTACTTTTCTGTCGTACAAGCGAGGGCCGTGGACGGGGGGCAATTGAGCAAAATCCCCCGCAAATATCATATTCATGCCGCCGAAGGGAAGTTCATGCCTCCCTAGTGCCTTAGCAAGGTGAGCGCTTATCTTGTACATCTCGCCGCAATTCAGCATTGATATCTCGTCGATGAAGATGTACTCAACGCCACTCAGTCGGTCGAACATGTTTCTGACTTTGCTGCTATCCATGCCTTTGTCGTTGCCCCAGCCCATGCCAAGTACCGAGTGGTAAGTGGAACCGTTCAGAAGCGCAGCAGCTGTGCCCGTCGGTGCTAATATGATGAATCTGTGCTCCTCCCCTCTGCGCTTGAAGAATTCGACGAGAGCGCGAATGACTGTCGATTTGCCGGTGCCGCCCATTCCTCCGAGGAACATACGTAGGGGTTCAGATTGGACACCACCTGCATGGTTTGCGATTAAGGTGAATGCTCGCAGCTGATCAGTGTTCAAGTTGAACTGACGCGACACGTCTTCTATCAGGCTCTTGAGGTCCGGCTTGTCCTCGGCGTAGTCCTTGGTAAAGTACGACGCAGGTAGTTCGACTACACCAGACACGTGAGTACTCTCGCCATTGGCGCTGGTACAGTTTGCGGCAGAGATCTTCGACGGGCCCTAACCCTCTGATCCTGGTTTTTGCAACAGAATGAGGTTTGAATCAGATTGAATCTGTTGATTAGGGTTAGGATTAGGGCTAGAACTGAGGCCGTTATGCGCCTAGTTTGGTTAGAGCATGGTCCGGAGCCTGCAGAACTAGGGCCGTTATGCGCCTAGTTTGGTTAGAGCATGGTCCGGAGCCTGCAGAACTAGGGCCGTTATGCGCCTAGTTTGGTTAGAGCATGGTCCGAAGCCTGCAAAACTAGGGCCGTTATGCACCTAGGTACGGGAGCGCACTTGTCCGACCACCTAAACTAGGTGCGTTACGCACCTAGGCAGGCGCCGGCACACACGCGCCACGCCAACCTAGTGCCGTTATGCCTCTAGTGAGGCCGAAGCGTTGTCCGCCTCGGCCGAGGTTTTGTCCACTAACCCTCTGCCACCTGTAGGCTCCCGATCCTACAAGGTTAGGGAACCTGCGCCCCCACCCCCTCGTAAGGGGCACCGTTCGAACCGGAATCGTCCCGCGCGCACGATGGTACAGGTTTGCCGCAGGCTATCGCGCTGTGGCGGCCACCACGACACGTTCCACAGAATTTAGGGATTCGCCGAGCGCTGATGCGCCATCAAATTCCCATGAGTGATCGGGAGGTTGTACCGTAGAGACTCCGGAGTTTCCCCGCTTCCGGCCGTGCGCGCTGGGCGACGGTGGGGGGCGCCTGAGGTGCCCCCAGCGTCCCGGAGGTTGCAGAAAGGGCTGGGGGAGGTGGGGGGAGGGCCCGAGGGTTGATCCCGAGGATCTCCGCCAACACGGGAGCTGCCGACGGAGGGACCGGTCTGACGCGGTCTGACGCGGTCTGACGTTGCTGTAGACGACCGCCTGCTTCGGTAGAATGTAGAATAGGCAAACGGCAGGCTCTATGAGGTCCTCTGGCACTGTCTATGCTATGAGTCTGCATTCTACCAGCGATAGAGGCGAGCTCGACGTCGGCCATGATCTCCATCACGTGATCCATCCCGCTGGCCGGGCAGTCACCCGTCCTGAGCTGCCGTGTCTACCTACCACCTTCCCCGTGCCTCTTCTGATGTTCTCAAGCATGAATTCACCCCCACCAAAACTGCTAGGCTCTTGATTACTGTCGGATGTCATAATGCAGTGGCTTCCCAATTTGGCCGGTCTGATGCGGTCTGATGCGGTCTGACGCGGTCTGACGTTGCTGTAGACGACCGCCTGCTTCGGTAGAATGTAGAATAGGCAAACGGCAGGCTCTATGAGGTCGTCCAACACTGCCCATGCTATGAGTCTGCATTCTACCAGTGATAGAGGCGAGCTCGACGTCGGCCATGATCTCCATCACGTGATCCATCCCGCTGGCCGGGCAGTCACCCTTCCTGAGCTGCCGTGTCTACCTACCACCTTCCCCGTGCCTCTTCTGATGTCCTCAAGCATGAATTCACCTAACCTTCTGCCCGATTCCAAGCGCGCGCCTGGATCAATCCCATCAATTTTCTCCGATCAGGCTGAAACCGGTGCCATTCGACGCGGAGACATCGATAACCTGGGAGCGCCCATGTTTGTTAGGGTTAGAAAGCCCGGGAAGGTAGAGATATTGGACGAGGAAGTGCCAGGCGTCTCACCGGAATCCGATCAGGCGTTTGCAAATTCCCATCAGACGTCAGCGGTTTCCGGCCACACGTTACCGCCTCCCATCAGACGCTTCGGCAAATGCCGGGCTCCTTCACCATCTCACCCTCCACTCTATTCTAGGATGTTTTGGGCAGGTATGCAGAGCCAAAGTGTTGTTAGAGTTAGGAATACCACATTGCATGTCGTGTGCAGCGCAATAGCGGCGAAAAAATGAGTTTTGGCCCGGTCGCACACGGTCGCACAGTGGTCGCACACCGGTCGCACACATCCTGGGAAGCGTTTTGTGATCCCATCAGTAGTTTCCTGTCACACGCGTGTGATTCCCATCAGACGCTTGCTATTCCCGTCACACGCTTCCGTTCCGGGCAGACGCTCGCTGCTATTCCGGGCAGACGCTTGCTGATCCCATCAATATTTCTCGGGTGGCGGCTGGTGTCAGACATAGGATGCTGGGTGACATTTTTCTCAGTACGGGGGCCTTGTGTTATAGGATTTATGTGCTCTTAGGACTCGTCTTTAGTTGTGACATGGTCCACCATTCGGCCGGGGAGCGTACCACCCAGCCTCACGCGGTCGCACACCGGTCGCACACCGGTCGCACACCGGTCGCACACCGGTCGCACACTGGTCGCACACTTCCTGGGAAGCGTTTTGTGATCCCATCAGTAGTTTCCCACACTTCCCGTCACACGCTTGTGATTCCCATCAGACGCTTGCTGATCCCGTCACGCGCTTGCGTTACACCTGCCTTTCCGGGCAGACGCTTGCTGCTATTCCTGGCGGACACTTGCTCAATATTTTTTGGGCAGCGCCTGGCGTCCGACATAGGATGCTGCGCGAGATTTTCCTCAGTGCAGGGCCTTGCATTATACTATTGAGGTGCTCTTAGGACTCGTCTTTAGTTGCAACATGGTCCACCAATCCACCAGGCAAGGCTCCGCCCAACCTCGCGCGGTCGCACACCGGTCGCACACTGGTCGCACACCGGTCGCACACTTCCTGGGAAGTGTTTTGTGATCCCATCAGTAGTTTCCCACACTTCCCGTCACACGCTTGCTGATCCAGTCACACACCTCCGTCACACTTGCCTTTCCCGGCAGACGCTTGCTGCTATTCCGGGCAGACACTTCGTGATCCCATCAATATTTTCTGGGAGGTGCTCGCTGTCAGCCTCAGAGTTGTCCATGTTTGCTGGTTGTCTGTTTGGAGGGCTTGGTTGACTTGTAGGCATGGTTGGCAGCATGTAATAGGGTCCCTCCTCCTTTCTTTGTCGGACATCAGTCCCGCAGCTACATATACTTTCTGCGTACAAAGTTCATCACTGCCATGACGCTTGTTGGCTCCCCCGTCGCATCCTGGTCCGCGATCCACTCCGCAAACTCGCGCACAGTGTCCCAACTGTGTTTACGCGCTGCAGGACAGGCAGAGGACTCGACTAGGTCACGATATGCCTCTGGCTTCAGCTGTAGGTCCGAGAATATACCCCACGCCATCATCAGGCCGACACGCCTGTACGGGTGCAGCTCCAGTGGTGGGTTGTTGTGAAGCATATTAGGGCCTGCCGGAGCAATGTGGCAGACCCAGCAGACCCCATGGCCGCGTGCATACTTGATGTTGGCCCGGAAGGCATGGAACTCCTGTCGGGCATCCTCCGTTGATAGGTTAGGGCACGTCTGCCAGTCGTGAGCCATATCTGGTGAGGTGCCTCTCCCCCCTTGAGCCAAGGTGCGAACAAGACACAACCCGCAGTGCCCATCGCTGACTTGCAGGAATGCCATGTAGTGGTCGGCGGAATCTAGCGTGGACAGGACAGGACGGTCCGTAAGCGCCAGCCCTCCTTCGACACTGCCATTATCCTACAAAACTGTCAGACACCCGTCGTCTCTGTGCTCTGAAGACGCACGCTCATCACAGAATCGCCAATGTCCTCTAGCATTTTAGCTTCGATGGGGCTGGTGGTGGTTGCACTCTTCAAGCTGGCTGATTTATGCCAATACGGTACCCCAAAGAACACACCCCTGTGCACGTGCAGCCGTCTGGACTTTGGCCGTGCTGGCCACGTGGTAGGAGAAGAGGTATTGTCACACGGTCGCTGGTCCAGCGTGACTGTGAGCACTTCAAGTCACAGACAGCTGGCTCAGGTCTGGTCTCCGCCTATAAATGTCAGGAAGCCTAAACATATCGGCCATCTGTGTACTTTATGAGAACGTGCTGTATCGCTTGTCCGCTTCCTTATCTTGCATGTACCAAACTGCCACTCCACAGGATATCCCAGTTCAGACCCATGAGGTATAGGACTGACATCCTCTGAGGTATCACCTTTTGTTGCCACACAATCAACCATTCCCCGAGGCAAAGTTTCGCCCCACCGCGTTAGGTCGCAAGCGGTCGCACACCGGTCGCACACCGGTCGCACACCGGTCGCACACCTCCTGGGAAGCGTTTTGTGATCCCATCAGTAGTTTCCCACACTTCCCGTCACACGCTTGTGATTCCCATCAGACGCTTGCTGATCCTGTCACACACTTCCGTCACACCTTCCTTTCCCGGCAGACGCTTCCTGCTATTCCGGGCAGACGCTTCGTGATCCCATCAACATTTTCTGGCAGGTGCTCGCCGTCGGACTTAGGGTTGTTGATGTTTGCTGGATTGTATGTTTGGAGGGCTTGGTTAAGTTCTAGGCATGGTTTCCAGTGGATAAGAGGGTCGCTCGCTCGTTCCTCTCCACGCTTCGTAGGACACTACTGCTGTGCCTCCATTCTGCCCACCTGCTCTAGCCTGGATGTAAAGTCACAACGCGCCAACACCACAGCCCAGACGTGAGTCCATATATACTGAGTCCCAAACAACGGTCTGTTAGCACTCCAGTCAGACATATGTCGACACGCAGCGCTCTCACCCCAGGTGTGACGTGACTGTGGGACGCGTCCCGGACGCGTCCACCGGTCACATGGAAGCGTGACATGTGAGCAGCGGACACACGTCCACTGTCACGTGATGTGCGCAACGTGAGGCACATTATGGGCGACCCTGGGGGCCCGCTGACGCTCTCTTGACATCGTGGAGGCATGGCGTAGGGCTGGGGGTGCCGGGGGAGGGGGTGGGGGCGAGCCTGGCAGTTGGTCCTAGCGACCTCCGCCATTGTTCAAGCTGTTGAGTGAGGGATCGCTCCGCCGCGGTTTCATGTTATCTTCTGTACATTTTGGCCAGCAATCATATCCAGATTGATACAAGAACAATACTTAGTCACGAGATAGATAATACCTATCCAGCACTCCCTCTCCCATCACAGTGTACGTACACATGTGGTCCTCGAGAGTATCATCAATGTCTGTAATGATGTGCAGGTCTGCTCGATCCCTCGTGCGTAAGAACCTCTCGAGACAGTCCGTGGTGTCGTAGCCATCATTAACGCCGGCAGCAAGCGTCAGGCTTCTGAGACGTGGCATTCTCGTACCGTGGCGGGTTTGCGACAGCACGGTCAGAATGTCCAGGCAGCTCGGCACGTGCTCCTCATACTCCGGGTATACAAGCGCCAGGGCCTCGACACTGGAAGCCGCTTCTAGGATGCTGATGACCAGCTCCATGGAGGTGGACCGGTCCTCGTGGTGGACGTTCGTCAGCTGTAGCTCTCGCAGCGTGCTCCCGACAATCATCCCATCCTCGAAGGCGGCGCTCAGCAGCTCCAGACCCCTGTCCTCCTCCTGCCACTCGTTGACCCACAGAGTCATCAGGCTCTCCATGCGCAAGACCTGCAGCAGAGAGCATGCCGCGCTATGGACGCACAGCTTGCGAAGCCTTGGCATCGCGATGGGTTCCCGTTCGCCAAAGGTCCTGTTGGTCGTGATCTCCATCGCCTCCAGCGTCGCGCTGCATCGTTGTAGGGCGCCGTACAAGCAGCCGCTATGCAGCCCCGCCTTTCCCGCAACTTTCACCACCAACGACGTCAGAACGGCTGACACCGGAAGTGAGATGCGCAAGGGAGCGATTGGTGTGTTCCTTTCCTCTCCACCGCTGGCCCGTGCGGTCCAGAGGCGCAGTCTAAGCTCACGCACAGCGGGTCCGCACGCGAGAAAATCCAAGTTGGAGTCGTGCACAATGTTCCTCCCTTCCAAATCCAACTGTCGCAGTGCTGGGAATGACAGTGGTGGTGTGCCATCAGGGTCGGCGAGTTCGGTTAGGGAGGTCTCCCGCCACTCTTTTCCCACCACCCGCATAGAAGCCCACCGATCTGCCATGTCGTTTAGATACGGCCACAGCAGGTGCAGGTGCTCTTGCTGCCAGATCAGGTGCAGTTTCACGTTGCGCGAGTATCTCTTGTGTACTTCCATCTGGGACTGCAGGCGGCGGGCGGCTCTACCTGGCTCTCCACACACACTAAGGCACGTGTCGATGTAGGCCCACAGGAAAGCGTCCACCCCTAAGAGATTATTCCACGCTACGCACACCCTTCGCAGAGGCGCCAGACGCACGCCTACATCATAAACGTGGTCTTTTGCCACCATCTCCTTGCAGATCAGCGCAAGCACGTCACCTGGGATGTTTGCGGCAATGCCTGTCAACAGTAAATTCCTATCCATTGTGATCCACGCAAGCGCTCACTGTTGGCAGCCATTGTGGTGATGGTTGGAGACAAGGCGGTTAAGCAGTCCAAGTCACATGCACTGCTTGTGACAGATCAGTCACCTTGCCATTCGCCGCAGGTATTTCCCACCAGGGGATCGCCACGGTGGGCATATGGCCGGAGTAACTGCGTGCGCTGGGACCTTCGCCACAAGGGACTCAGTATGTGGATTTCGCGGTGGGTCAGTCCACAGCTATTGTGTCCTGCATGAGGAAGCTGTTGGTCCTTATGCCTCACAGCAGGCACCCCAGGCGAGCAAACAAGTAGAAGCCAAAGTATTGTTAGAGTTAGGAATACCACGTTTCATGTTGTGTGCAGCGCAATAGTCGCGAACGAAGTCAGTTTTGGCCTGGTCGCACACCGGTCGCACACCGGTCGCACACTGGTCGCACACCGGTCGCACACTGGTCGCACACTGGTCGCACACTTCCTGGGAAGCGTTTTGTGATCCCATCAGTAGTTTCCCACACTTCCCGTCATACGCTTGCTGATCCTAACTATCTGGTTTGCATACGCAAGGTTTTTCCAGTACGCAATGTAAAGAAGGGTATGGTTAGAAAGTACTCGATGAGACGAGTCTGGCGGTACCCATTTTGCGCTGTGTATCGCAGGATTTGGTTAGATACGGGGGGATCTTTGCGGGATCGGGACGCGTGGCGTACGTCGCGTCAAAACTTGCAAATACGCAGTGTATATGGGGTACCAATAGAGAGCTAGGGTCTCTGCGAGCATGACGGTGAAGGTTTGGGGGCGATCGGAGGTCATACAGGCGAGATAGAGAGGGTGCAATGTGGGATGAGAACAAGCCACCTGCGAGATGGATGGGCAATTTTCTGGCCTGTACAGCAGTGTATCTGTTCAAAAGTGGTATATATGTGGTCGGGGGACAGAGAGGAGTCTGGCGATATGCTACTTGCACTGCGTACATGAGGTTTTGGCTATGCTGTGGTGCTAGCCCTCACAGGCAACCCACAGGGGAGGACACCATGATACACCCCTGTACGCAATGTGAAAACTGGTATGGCTGGAAAGCACTCGGTGAGACGATTCTGGCGATACCACTTTTGCATGGTGTATTGCAGGACTTGGTTAGATACAGGGGATCTTTGCGGGATCGGTACGCGTGGCGTACGTCGCGTCAAAACTTGCAAATACGCCGTGTATATGGGGTACCAATAGAGAGCTAGGGTCTCTGTGAGCATGACGGTGAAGGTTTGGGGGCGATTGCAGGCTGTACTGCCAAGGTACAGACAGTCTGATATGAGATGAGAGTGTTTGAGTACATGATGATATACCCCTCTACGCAAGGTAGAAATTAGTATGATGGGAAAGTACTCAATGAGACGATCCTGGCAGTACCAGATTTGCATGGCGTCTTAAGGTACTTGGATAGATATAGTCAGAGCGTAGCCCGATCAGCATGGGGTTTCTGTAACCCAGCAAAATGACACCTCAATACTGCAGTACATACACCAACAATCACATACCAAGCCACCCAACATAAACAGTACACTAAAGTTCCTTTGAGGTATGAAGCAAAGAAAATCCTGGAAAATGGGAATTAATTATGGCCACCCGGGCGATAATTAATTCCCAGGAAAAGTATACCTACAGCCCCACAAATGTCCCAAACATATCAGAATACATCCTATGTCGAGTCCTCCGTCTCAGGACTCATGCGCTCGTCATCGTCGTTCACCATTACAGCCTTGCGAGGAGCACGCCGGCGAGGACGCTTGGTCTGGCGGATGACGTCTCTCATCTCCTCCTCCTCCTCCTCCTCCTCTTCCTCCTCCTTCTCCTCGCTATCCTCATCGACGTCCATCTCATCGTCCGTACTCTCCTCGGCCTTCTTGCCTTTGCCTTTGGCTCGCTTCCGGGGTGGCGCCTTGCGCTTCTTTCCTGCACGGACACCTTTAGCTGCCTCCCGAAGCGCCTGATCCACCTTTGCAAAGTCCGCAGCCGTGGGCTCCTGAAGCTCCAGCTTGTGCTCCTTGGTGAAGCTCTCGACCGTCCAGCTCGTTCCGCTCTCAAAGTCGAGGATAGACTGGAGTTGTGCCTACAAGTTCCTTTGAGCACTTTGTAGTCGTGTATAAAGTAGACAAATACTGACCTTGTACGCATCTATAACATCCTTCACCTTATACCAGTTTGGCTGCTTCTGGTATTTCTCCGTCTCCTTGTCCCACTGGCTACAAGTGAGCGGTGCATTCTTGCTGATGAACACCGCTCGCATGTGGCGGTTGGTCTCCTTCCACAACTCCTTCAGGCTCTTGTACACCTTGTTGTCGATGGCTTCCCTGTCTTCATCTACCACATCACCGCCTTCTTCCCATGTCCACGGATCAGCAAACAACTGAGCAGCATGCTGTACCTGTTGCTGGACCGTTTTAATTGCCTCCTGAGTTGTGGACTGCTCAGGCTGCTGTTCCGGTTGCGCGGTACGTGGCTCGTCATGCTGGGTGTCTAGCTGATCGTCTGGCTGCGAGGGAGGCTGGTCCTCCTGCTGCGAGGGAGGCTGATCCTCCTGCTGCTTGGAGACGTCGTCATCCAGCTGGGCAGGTGGCTCGTCGTCGGCCTGTGTAGGCGGCTGCTCCTCCTGCCGCTCCTCTGGCTGCCCTGCCAGCTGTTCGTCCAGCTCCATCGGCGACTGGTTGTTACGTTCATCAGGAGCTGCTTTATCAACATCGTCAGTCACAGGCAGCCCAATAGACATGGAGGCATAGACGACGAACCATTGGGCTGGGCATCCTCTCCACGCAAAGGATCACCATCTTCACCTGCTGCTGGCGGGTCTGCTAAATTTTTATCAGTTGTAGTTTTCAAGCTGAACTGACTTCAAACCTACCTTGACCTCCTAGTTCAGGCCCTTGGACAGTTGAGTCAGCATGTGAGGGTGCAGGTACAGATTGAGACCGAGAAGATGGAAGTGATGGCAGCGATGGTGACCGAGATGGCGTTTGCCCATGTGGTGAAGCCGGAGTAGTAGAACGTGGAGGCGAAGGTGGTGCTGCTGTAGAAGCGCGTTGCGGTGAAGGCTCCCGGGGTGTGTGCGGAGACGGATCTCTACGCTGTTCGCCCACGGGAGAGCGGCTTCTCCGGGGTGGGTGGGCTGGCTCTTTGTCTGGAGAAAGTGGGAGAGGTACGTTGTTCTTCCTAAACCAGATCAGATGCCAGAACTGGAAGTCGCCACCCAGAACATCGTCGCTAGAAAGACACTTGATGATGAACGTATGGAGGTTCACAAGTGCAGGATGGGCCTCGAAGAGCGTACGGGCAGACATCGCAACCTCTTTCCCAGTTTGCGGCGGAGCAACAAGAAGATGATAGACCGAATATGTGCAGGCCAGCGAGACATTGCCGATGTGACCATTGCGGGCACTAGGGACCCCCAACTTGTTGAGTGGGTCCGACAGTGACCGGTTCAACACATGAGAAGTGATGAACTTGGCCTGGTCAAGTACCTCCAGAGGTAGGTCGTCACCCTCCTTGTACTCGGTGTGCGATTTCTTTGCCTTTCGCAAAACCTCCTTGCCAAGAGCAAAGACGGTTTTGATGTCTGCCAGTATGCTTTCAGCTGGCGTGACCTCCATGTCGATCGTGATGTCCTGCTTGTGACGATGCTGAGTGTTGATAATATGGTCAGTCCAGGCCTCAATAAAGCCAGCCGTGCAGAGATGGATAGATGAAAGATCTGGTGGCATGACCATATTCTTCTTCACCAGAGATGCTGAAATACGGCTCAGCATTGCGTTAGCCGAGAGACTCTTGTAGTTGCGCAGGATATATTCGTAAATCTGAAGACGAAAAAGTTAGAACTGCCAATGTAGAGCAATTAAAATCCATGCCTGGGCGACCACTCGATCAGCAATATCTGAATTGCCATTCATGGGTCGTTCGAGCCGCTTGCTGATTGTGCACAGCCACTGGTGCAACGACGTCATGGGCGAGTATTTCTGCACGTCAATATTCTTCTTGTGCACTTTCTGGATGGCATAGAGGAGCCCAAGATCGGGAACAAAGAGGCTGACCATCTAGGCAAGACAATGAGTAATAGGCACAACTGAGATTCTGCTCAGCGCTTACCCAAAGTATGAGGTCGTCCAGCTTCGGCAAACGGGAGACCAGAGCTCCAAATATCGATGGACTGAACAGAGGCACCCGAGCCTGCCACGATAAGGGCGAAAGCGCATTCTCCTTCCGAGCAACTGCCCTTCTTACAAAGGACAGTCGGTCGTGCACCTGATTGGCTTTGATCCCAATTACGGTGTATTGGGGATCATGCTCAAGTGCCGGTTGGAGCTCTGCCAGGATGTGATCGTAATACCTGTCCATATCTGCGGCCACTTTGGCGGTCGTGGCTGTATAGCCAGTCCACGACAAGAGGCTGAGCTTGTGCGATCCTTGCACGAGATACTCTTTCAGGCAGAGTGCTGCAGCCTTCTCCGACAGCGCGACCATGTGGCCAAAGACGAACTGCTCCGCTGGGGTAAGACTGTGCTCTTGGACGTCCGACCACCGTATGAGGGCAGAAGCAAGATCAAAGAACACGGGTGAGAAGTTCTGTTGACCGTGCCTTCGGGCCTCCTCTAGCTCTGTACTCCAAGTGGTGATGATGACGACCAGAAGCTTAGTCAGCTTCAGTTGATCCTTGGCGAGCTACCCCATCAAGCTGCTCAGCAGTAAACTTGGCAAAATATCAGGGAAGCTTACCTCGTAGCCACTGCTAGCAAATGATAAGAGCCGCCCAGGATTGCAGACCATCGCCCGCGCCTCCTTCGAGTTTCTGATCAGAGGGATAGTACCAAGCTCGCAAAACGCAGTAATGACATGCAGCTGGGTGTTGATGAGATCCTTGATATGAGAAACGTAGTTGCCAACATCAACTGCATTGACGACTTTGAGCAACGCAGTTTTACGTGCAGCCTGCGCTTCGGCGTCGGTGTGGACAGTGGACCTGGCCTGCACGAGTTCGTCGGCTACAAAGAGAAGCAGGTTGAGCAGGGTGTGCTCCGGCGTATCCGGAACTGGGGTGACTTTGTTATTGTTGCCAAGACTGTGGCGGACCTCAGGCATCGTCTGGAGCACATCTATATGAAAGAAAGTCAGTATTACATAATAAATTTAGGAGTTGACAGACCATCATCATATACCGCCGCATACACCTGGCCAAGCTTCTTGTAGAGGCTGCTATGCTCATCTGGTAGGTCCTCCGTGATGAGTTCACCAAACGTGAGGCTTGGCCGAGTCTGAGTAAGCTCGAGAAAGGCCAACCAGAGAGACTGCCGGCGTGTGTTTCCCTGGTATATATAGGGAGTCTCCCGCACAGCACGGTTGTACCGGATGGGCTGGAGGGCTGCTTTCGCATCCGTTGTGAGTGTACTGACATCAACGGAGGCCCTCTTCGCAACGATGATAAATGGCGTCTCTTTCTCCATCGTATTGAAGAGGCCGGCTTTTGCCAGCAGCTTCATCTTCTCGAGAGATAAAGCAGGGGGATCGCGATTGCCTGGCTTTCGCTTGTAGATGTCGTCAAAGATATTGGCGATACCAAAGCCGATGAGGGCCTTCGACGCCTTGTCCTCAGTATCTGCCTTCAAGATCTAGCAGATTTTCTGTTAGCCAATTACATATGTATGGATAGAATTCCAGCTACCTTATCAATCTGCGCCGCAGGGTCTTCAGGTTCTTCTACGTTCTCCATGGCTTGCTCGAACGTTACGGCCTCAATCTAATTTTTATCTTAATCATCTAGTCTGAAGGAAATATGTTCTGACTCACCGGTGTCTCTTCTCGATCTTTATTTTGCTTTTCCACGCTTTTCGCTACCTTTGGTGCACGCGATGGCGCGGACGATCGCTTCGCCTGCTTCTGCCTGACAATCTCGGCATACTACTAGCGATGAGAATCAATGGCTACTTTAAAGAACAATACTGACCGTCGGAAGCTCAATCACGATCCGGTTCTTGATCTGCTGTCCTTGAGCAGCTGCAGTTTGACCAGGCTGAGCACCATCCCCAACTTCGCCCACCTGACTGCCCTCGCCGGCCTGACTGGGTGCAGCAGACGAACTACTCTGAGGATTTGCACTAGAGGCACTGGTCGCGCCAGCCATTGGACTATCGCTCTCGACAGGACGGGAGGCACTGCCTAGGTCGCTTTCGAGAGCAGAACCACCCTTGCCAGGCAGACCAGTTTCCGTAGTGGGATTGATCGCACCACTCGGATTAGCTGCATCGCCCAGACCACCTTTGTTGGCAGGATCACCAGCACTCGTCTGACCACCCTGACGGCTGGGATCAGGCTGGCGGCTTGGGCCCGGACTGACGCCAGGCTTAGCAGTCTGCGGAACATCCTCGTCCATAGCGGACGGCGATTGAGATCGCAAAGGATTGTCCGGAGTGGTCGACATAGGCTCATCGACCCCGGGCAGGTCCTGCAACATGGATAGCGATAGCTATCATGTCATTAGTGGAGGCTCACTAAGGCATTCTGCTGCTGACATACCCTTTCCTCCTCTGGAACATCAGGAGAGCTGCTTCGGAAAGCAGGATTATTGAAATCCTATGGGTCAAGTCAGTAAAGTGACCGCCACTGGATATTATTGTGCTTGCTTGATCAGGGTTGTAGCCGTTGTCCATCTGTGTTATTAACAGTCAGCACACAGGCCACACTGCAATTTTTTCACGATTTTTCCCACCTTTTTTGGAGCAGAACTCGAAATTCTTCGGAAATTCAAGGGAAATTCGCGAATTTATTATGCTCGACCTGCCCAAAATTAATTCCGATTTTTGGGCCGATTTTCGCGCTTAATTCTCACGGGTGTCTCGCTTCGTAATCAAGATTACGCTGGGGAAGGGAGAAAGGAGGCGGCAAGCCCGTCTTATATAGGTGCTGCACACGTCACAAACTATATAGTCAGCCACTACTCGTGACTATTACCACCTATGGTAAGTGCACGATCCGAGCCGATGAGGCGCGATCGACCCATACATAGTAAATACAAGGGCCGTCGCCCGATAAAATGAGGTGGCCGGCGTGAAAACACGTGTCGACCCCGTGCAGTATCGGTGAGGGCAGACGCGATCGACGGCGATCGGCTGCCACGATGGCGTCGGCACGAGTAACCCCCTCGCTCTCGGTATGTACACGATGAGCAAGGGGTGTGGGATCGGTGGGATATGCACGGGGGTGCGGGATGCGCGTCGAGCGCAGAGAGCGATCGGCTCAATGCACTCGCGCCACGCATCCGAGGCCTCCGGCAGGCAGAAGGGTCGTGATTGGAGGTGGGAGGGGGTTAGGGGAGTGGCGCGCGTGTCGGCACAGCGCGCGACGCGAGGCGAGCGCAGTCGAGAGGGCGGCGCGTCGTCCATTCGGCGGCTTGTAATCCCATGTCGCGGGAGAACTGGTGAGGGGGGAGGAGGGCGGTCGAGACGCCGCCGCAGGATTGCGCCGATTGCGACCTTCGTGTGTAGAGGGCTGGCGGCTTGGCTGACACGCTGCGAATGAGGAGGTCGCGAGGGGGGAGAGCGACCGCGCAGGTGATTTTTGCGACGCGTGCGCATTTCGGGAATGGGGGTGATGGATAGAAGGGCGCCGGGGCATTGGAGGGTTTGTTGGGGAGAGGCGGGCGGGCCAAGTGGCGGGACTGCGTGACGTGGACAGCCAGCGCGCACGCGATGGTGAGTTGCAGGTTGAAAGACCTGCGGTGGTTGGTTAGTACAAGAAGGGAGGTGGGGTTGACCACGCACCTCGCCCTGCCCGTCCCCTCGCGCGCGCTGGCGAGCGCGATAGCCGCGTCGTTGCGGGCGAAAATTTTCGCGCCGCCGATCGATCGCCGATATCTGCCCATCGACGGGCTTTACGAGCGCGGGAGGTGTCGGCGAGTGCTGAGGCGGATGGTTAGTAGAAGAAGGGAGGTGGGGTTGACCACGCACCTCGCCCTGCCCGTCCCCTCGCGCGCGCTAGCGAGCGCGATCGCCGCGTCACTGCGGGCGAAAATTTTCGCGCCGCCGATCGATCGGCGATATCTGCCCGCCGGGGGGCTTCACGAGCGCGGACGGTGTCGACGAGTGTTGCTAGAGGGTGGCGGGCGCTATCGCGCTGGTCGGCGACGATGGGGGAAGGAGACGGAGGCGGCGCGGTGCGACGCGTCACTACAGGAGTTCGGCCACGTGACGTGACGCGTCCTTTTCTCCTCCGACCACGATCACGAACAAGAACACGGCGCCGACGACGCCCCTCCTGTATCCCGCCACTCTGCGTGAACTGGAGGATGGGAAGGAAGAGAAAAGGGAGCGAAGGGGGGCTCATCGCGTCCCCCAAGGTGCGTCATCAAGGCTTCGCGTCGTGATCGGCGCTCACACTCAGCAGGCCACGCTCGCGCGATGAAGCAAAACACCGCGCGCACGCGAGGCCTTTGCCGCGCGTGCGTGCTGTCCCCTCCCTCTCTCCCCCTCTCCTCGCGGTCCGTGCGCGCGCGCTGATCGACCCCGTGCCACGAGAACCGACCGCTCGCGCTGCCTCGACCGCCCCCCGCATGTCGCGTGGATCGCCCGTGAACACGCGTCGCGTCGTCCAGCGACCGGCGTTAGCCCCCCATTCGAGCTGTCTCTCAGCAGTCGGCGGCGAGCCAGAGCGACGCGCGAAGTCGATCGGCGCCCGTCTCTCCCCGCCACGCGCGCGCAGGGGGCGCGATGGCCACCTCCCCTGCCAGTAGCATCGCTCACGCAACATCGCCGGCATCGAGCAGAAGGGCTACGGGGCTGTCAGGTGCGTGTACTACACGCGACGTTGTAATAAGTCACTGACCCATTCCCCCCAAACGTGTTCGACGCGCGCCGCCAGAATCGCACACCGCCAGGAAAACGAAGGGGGGCCAGCCGCTGCCACCTCCGCCGCAGTGAGACACGGATGGCCCACCTAGTTTTGCTGGCGGATGCGCGCACCTGGCGACGAGCGTGGGACACGAGCCGGGGGCGTTCGAATAGATCGCGCCGCTCCCGTGATCGCCCCACGCCCTGTGCACACCTTGCACCACCTCCTCTACCCCCTTGCCCCTCGACCCCCGGCTCCATACGCGCCGCCCCCGCCCAACGCCACCGAGGCAGCGTGCAAATGTACAACATCCGCCATAACACGTCAAAACCCAGCTCATCCTGCACCCCTGCATCCCTCCACCTACGCGAGCTGTGCGTTTCGAAATGCATGTTGAGGATCCTCATACGCAGCGAGGCCCACTGAAGCGCGGTGGTTGATAGTGCATTTGGTATGCCAAGTGCACTCGACTACGACGCTGAGTGCAGTCTGATCGGAGGCATGGGTAGATAGACGAGTAGAAGGGACAACTGACAGATGCACCGAATGCATAAGGTAGTCACTTGCCGCCTTAGAGGGACGGTTGACTTGACCTTGCTTGCTCCTCTTCACCTTGGTCCTCTTTATTGCACTTCCAGATAGACTGCAGGACAAGCAAAGAGAGCTCTGAATAGCTAGAATAGAGATAAAACAGAAATTGATCACAGAATTGATAAGAGATCGCACACTGATAGCTTAGTCAGAATTTCAAATTCCTCGCCCTATATAAGAAGCCAGTGCACAATGGCAAATTTTCCCACCCTCTGCGTCTAAAAACAGGAACCAATCAGAAAAAGGCAAGAAAAAGGAATTTATTATGCTCTGAAGGTCCATAATTAATTGAGCATTATTCCAGCTTCAACAAACAATGCCCAACTCAGTCAGCATGAGTGATGGATCAGATTCACAGAGTGAACAAGTAAGCTGCATTCAGATGACCAGTCTGATAGATACTCACATCGCGCTCAGATGCCCTATCCCGATGACTTTGGAGACTATGGAGATGATGAAACCACAGTCAGTTAAACATTTTCAGTAGTATTATGAGGCTAGGCTCTGACTTAATGTGCAGAATCAACTCTCTCAAGTACAGCAAGATGAGACGGGTGCTCTTATTACGACACCTATCATGAAAGAGTTCAAGATCGTTTACAACCGCCAGGACGAGGTCCTGATATGTCGCCACTGCAATTATGTAGTCGACTTCATCGGCCTGGTGGGCCACCTTAACCGTTCACATGATATCACTGTGGGCGATAAGGGTGGCACTATTCCTGACTTAACTAATGTTCTCAACCGTCTTGGCGTTCCGGCACGCTCCGCATCTTTTGCTTCTGATCCCGTAGCGCGTGCTCCGATCATGGGCTTGCCAGTGTCCAAACCGGACAAGTTTGGATGCACAGAGTGCGGGTATACCGACTCAAACAAAGCCCGTGTTACGGATCACTGCAAGAAAGCCAGACATGGTGGCGTTGTCCGTGGGTTCCGAACGCAGCAACCACGACATAGAGAACCTGCCATCCGAGTTCAACCGCCACAGCCCAAAGGCCCAGCTCTGGTTACGCAGATAATGCAATACCATGAGCGGCAGCAGATGGAGGATACGCTGCAGGCCGCAGATGACCCACGTCTTGTCAACAATCTGCTTGCACACACCAAGTGGGATAAGATGTTGGAGGGCAAGGACCGGTTGCAGGTGATTGAGCAGGCTCAGTTTCCCACTGAGGATGATGGCCCCTTCAAACGCCTAGTCACAGGCTGCCTAGCATACTTCCGTGACGATGCGTCCAAGCTTGAGCTAACTGACGAGCTTGGGCTCCGGCATCTTAACACGTTTGAGCCTTCAGAGCGTGGGTAAGTGCTGAGTTTTATATACTTGCTTATGGGCAAATTAATTATGCCCATATGCCCTATAATTAATTGATTTTTTTGACTCATATATTGCAGGGGACTGAACCATACACCTATGCGGCGACATCAAGATGGTGACAGCACACTGCAGAAGTATGTGCGCCCTGCAATCCGCCTTGTGGCTGCAATGCTCCGTTACCAGCACGTTGTAATGCCCACATCACCGGACCTGCAGGATGCGCTTGCTGAGCTAGAACATCATCTCGAAACATCTAGCACTCCATCTTTGCCAATCTTCCACCGCGTCTTCTCCCATCTCTGGCTCTGCGAGTGGCCCCGCCAAGTCAACCAAGCATACACTTCTGATCCTACGATGATGTACATCGCTATGGCTGCATTGAACAGAGACGGCTCGTTCATGCAGGCCAAGGATCTTACAGAAGTGCTTGCACAGTTTACTTATGACATCCAGCTTGTTGTCCTTCGCCAACTCCACTACGATATCCGGGACCACTCGCAGACTGTCCACTTACAGCTAAGGGCTCTTCAACCACTACTCAAGTATGTGCACGAGGATGAAGTGACAACGTTCGGGAGTATACGGGCTATGCAGCACTATGCGAGCTCATTGGCCTTTGCTTGGCGTGGCATGCCCTCTGTGATGTGGAAGGATCCTGGTAAATACGAAGAAATGGTGTTCGAGGGCAAGCCGCTTCCACTACAAAAGCTGCGCGAGCTATGCCACTTCCTTCAAGCAAGCGCCATTGAGATCTTCGAGGAGTTGTCTGCGAAGGGGCCGACAGACGTTCCGTATGATCAATTGGAGGACAACCTGAAGAATCTGACTACTGGCTATACGGTAGTAGATTACAGGCGGTCTGAGATTATGCGCGAACGTTTTGCGGCATTCTCCAATCACTTGCTTAGCAGCAACAGATGGAACCTTCAGCGCAACCTCGATGGTCGTGAACAGTTTCATACAAGAAACTGTGACCAATGGCTGGCTAGGCTTGCAGAGTTGGAGGAAAGGCTGCTTGTTCTCACGCTGCTTGCAAGTGGTGCACCACCTCGTGGCACGGAGGCTACTGCATTGCTGCTTCGGAATACCCCATACCGCCAGCGTAACCTCTATCTTCTTGGACGGCAGCTTGCGTTTGTGCGGATGTATAACAAGACAACGCACGCGCACGAGCAGGATAAGGTCATTCCTAATGGCTTTGATGCAGTCACTAAAGACATTGCTGCTCGTACCTGGTTCTTTCTTCGCCCACATGCCGAGTGCTTTGCTCAGGAGGTCTTTGGAGAAGAGGGAAAGGAGATCGCTCAGCTCTACCGCACTATGATGTTTATGGACTATGGGAAAATGTTCTCCAGCCACGCTCTGACCCGTAAAATGTCCGGCCTCACAACTGAAGTCCTGGGATGGCCGTTGACTATACGGAAGTGGAGGCAAATCTATCCCGCAATACGCCGTAAACATTCTAGCACCTCTCTGAGCAGGCTAGATGGGGATAATGTTGACGATGTCGAGGAGCGCATCGAGGAGGACGATCCTATCGACACCCGGCAGGCTGGCCATTCTATGGCAATCGCAAAACGTCTATATGGCATCACTGCTGATGTGGTCACAGGCCTAGATCCCGACTCCATCGCTATCTATCTTGCCAACAGTGATGAAGTCCAACATCTCCTACGGCTTGTGCCAGGCTCCCATGCACTGCCATACTACGAGGCAACCGCAGATCAGTACGATGCTGTAGTGGGCGTCCCTCGTGGTCAACATCGTCAACCTCAGAGAGCAGCCACGTCTGCCCAGCCAACAGTTGGTGACCAGAGCAGTAATGATGTGCTTACTGTTGGAGCAGCCACTGCCTTGTTTGATAGCCTCTGGTCCAAACTCAGCGACCGTCTTGACAGAATGGAGGCTACGGAGATACGCTTGCAAGCCCAAATCAATGACTTGCACACTCAACTAGCAGCTGGTGTAGCTCCTCATACGCCAACAAGAAGTGGTCCACCTACGCCACAGTATTCACCAGGTATGGAAGTACTATACGCTTAGGGTTAGGGTTAGGGTTAGGGTTAGGGTTAGGGTTAGGGTTAGGGTTAGGGTTAGGGTTAGGGTTAGGGTTAGGGTTAGGGTTAGGGTTAGGGTTAGGGTTAGGGTTAGGGTTAGGGTTAGGGTTAGGGTTAGGGTTAGGGTTAGGGTTAG